TTGGTCTCATTTGGACTGGAACAGAAGACAGCGAGACATGAAGATGCAGCAAGAGTCAGAAAAAACAAAAAAGGTTGCAAGAGAAGACACGTACAGATTGTATCGGTAGAGCAGACGCGAGGCCTGCTTGAGGGGAAGCTTGGCCATGCCGTCTGCGTACTCTATGAAGACGTATTCGAGGGGCTCAGAAGAATCCTTGGGGACATCAAACTTTATTCCAACAAAACGCCCAATCCCAACTTTCTTGTGGACGACATAATCACCGGAAAGGAGAGTGTAAGGGTCGACCTTGTAGCTGAAACCACCGGCACTAGCCTCTGTACCTTGCCTAACTCCTTTGAGCTTCTGCAGGCCCCTCTCCTGTTGTTCCTTGACCATCTGAATGTACTTGTCGGCCTCCTCAGAATCCATGGCCGGCCCCTTAGCGGTCTCTCTCTTGCCAAGGTCGCGCCGAATCCTCTCGTTGAGAAGCGAAATGGAATCGCTTTCCGCTAACTCCTGCTTCTCTCTCCATCTGGCGGGTTTTGCGGCAGTTGCGGAGAGAGAGGAAAGAGCGACCAGTGGAAGAGATGATGAGTTTCGGGTGAGCTTCGTCAAGGAGAAGAGCCTCCATGGCGAAGGAGAGGAGCAGAGCTTGAAGACGAGGGGTTTAGTAATCAGGTCGGGATTTGGGAGCAAAGATGTCATCTTGAACAAGTTCAAGGATCCCAGAGGTTTAGATAGAGAAGGGGACGATAATGAAGAGAGAGAGAGAGATAAGCACTTTAGTTTAGCTTTAAGCCTTAAGAGTGGTTCTCTATGGGATTGTATGGAACTCATAGGGTCCACGTTGGAGCGAGGAACGGAGGAACATTCCGACGCGAATTTTGGAGCAAAGATCCGACCGAAAGAAGAGAACATCGATATTTGGTTGGATAATAAACAAATAACTCCTAAAATACAACAATCTTTCTTTGGTTATCTTCTTCGTTTTGCAGCCTAACATCAAGTCTGGAACATTGTAAGCAGCAGCATACACACACCATCTCGGTGAAGAGATTATTCCTATTCCTACACAACAAACAAGCACCACATGAGGAGCATGGCTTTGTGGTGGCTTAAACATAGTAAATCATGCCAACTTCAACTAGGCTGATGTGAGGAATGTTGAGTGCTACAGCTGGCCCTCTGCAGTTCTTCCTCAGAAACGAGTAGCCGATATCAATTGTCACCTTCTTCAACCAGGACGACGATTTCCTTGATTTCACGTACGAGTGACCCATTATATATGCAACACCTGCCTCTCTCGCTCCTATCAGATCCATTAGCTCTTCCCTCACCGAGGACTCCATCCCACGACTTGGCTGCGTTAACCGCAATCTCACATGCCGCCTCCTCACTTGCCCTTGCGGATACTCATCCTCATACACTGAGCGCAAGCTCTGCAGAGTCATTGATTTGCTGCTCTGTATCGTGGGGTCACCAAAATCATACCCCTCTGCCTCTGAAACTGTCAACACTGAGTTGGAGAGACTCTTGTGGCTACTCAACACGGCCATTCTCCCATCATAAGTTTGAGACTCCGAAGCAGAGGACTGGAGGTCGCCTGCCTCCATCTGGATGAACTCCGCTATGCTCTGTATCAGCTGATTCTCAAAGTCCCCGTCCTCCCGTTGAATGTCCTTGTACCCATACCTCACTATGCACCTGTACATACGATAAGGCTTTGGGCAGACACGTCCAATGAGGAAGCGTTCTTCAGGGGAAACATGAGGCACTGCAACTGATTTCACACAAACAAATACCACCACTTTATGGAATGCCGGGATGTTGGTGACAAAGTGAGAGAAGATTGCAGGAACTCCAGTTGCAAGTTCTGAGTATACAAGTCCTATTCCAGGCACGCGGACAATACCAAGACTAGGACCTAATCCGAGCAACCACTTGAGTGAAACCTTGTTATGAAGATCAAAACTGTATTTCCTGCGGGCACCATAGTGCCACACATACATGGCGGTCATAAATATGAAGGCGAGCACCAAAGGCACCCAACCACCCTGGGGAACTTTCGTGAGCGCTGCTGAGAGGTAGACACCTTCGATCATCCATAGGCTTCCAAGGAACAAAGCAGCCAGAAAACAACTCTTCTGCCAAACCACGACTATAACAAGAGCCATGAGAAACGTTGTGATGAACATTACTATCACGCAGGCGAGTCCTGTGAGTTAAGAGAAAACCACCATCAAGCAATCAGATCATGCCTCCTGGACAAGAAAAAGTATATGCCAGTTAAGAGAGAGTTTACCGTAGGCATTTCCAATCAAAGTTGTGTCTCGAAAGCCAATAGCTATTGCAAGAGTAACGATCATGAGGATCCAGTTGATCTCAGGGATATAGATCTGTCCATATATATGTTTAGAAGTATGGACTACTTTGACGCGTGGGAAGCAACCAAGCGCATGGCATTGTTTGATTATTGAGAAGGTAGCGGTTATCACAGCCTGACTGCCAACAATGGCTGCAAGCGTGGCTATGACAAAGACAGGCCAGAGAACAGGATCTGCATAAAGGACCAAAATCATATAAGATTGTCATTATCTCAAGGAAACAAGTGATGTTAGACAGTGGTGCCATAGTACACAAACCTGGGATTGAATTGTAAAAACTGTTGGGAATAGACCCGAGGTTCTTTGACAAGAAAGCTGCCTGGCCCATGTATTGTATAACCAGACAGGGGTACACAACAAACGCGAAAGCAAGCTGTACAGAACAAAAAGAAGTAAAATGTAACAAACAAAGCTGCGCAACAAGCATGGACATATGTTGAACTATAACTACAAAAACTGTAGAGAAGTCACGCACGGGTAAAAGAACTGATGTACACCACCAGACATGAAACCACTACTTACTCTGATCGAAACCGAAGTGAAATGGCCAAGATCTGCAAACATAGCCTCAGTGCCTGATGAGACGACAGTGATAATCACTTTAGTAAATGAGCTCACAAGACCGTTCAGTAAGGTTAAAAGACAAGACGATAGAATACAGGATTCAAAGCAAATAGAAAAGAAATAGTTTCAAGTTTACGTCTTGATCCAGAACCAGAACTACCTGTTACAGAAAGAAGAAGACCTCCAAGAGAAATCCAGCCATCTTTACCAGTCACTCTGAAGAATTTGATGATATAAAGCGGGGAAAGTGCATGAATTATCCTCGGATTCCAGTGCATAATGTTGTATACACCGATGAAGAGTAATGAAAGAAGCCAGAGGATCACAATTGGTGCAAACATAAAAGCCACCCTGTGAGTACCACAGTGTTGCAAAGCAAACAGTCCAACCAATATGACACAGGCAAGCAACAGGAGTTGGCCTGCAGTGGTTTAAGAGAAGACCTTGAGATAACCCTCCAAAACAAAAGAAGTTCACAAGATGGAATCAAACAACAATCAAAACTTGATACAAGCGCAAGGAGGAAGCAACAAGCAATATATACCATCACTCAATTTCTGCTCTGTAGCTTGCAAACCTGACAAGGACGACAGAACTGCAAGAAAGCAGGATAGTATTATAATATATAGTTGTTGAGTCAGAAAACATACTGATGAAGAGAGAAATAAGAAGGCTGGTTTCAACTAGGAGATAATGAACCTGATATTGCTGGAGTCAGAACCCCGTCACCTATGAGCATAGCAGCACCAAAAAGGACAAGAAGCAGCAACGCGGTCCTCAGGCTCTTGTGCTTTTCAAGGATTCTTTTAAAGGGGGATGAAGTTGCAGTGTCCGTGGAGGGACCAGACTTGTAAGCTGAGAGCTCCTCATCAGCAGCTTGCTGGTTGGGAAGTAAGCTAAGCTTGGCATGCCTACAAAGCAGCGAATAGAGAGCAAAAGTTCCGCCTGGAGACGCACAAACAAAACAGATATATAAAATGGCGGGAGATGAAGTATATTGTACATATACATGAGAAGTAGGGAAAAGAGAGATATAAAACCTTGTCCATTGTCATGGGCACTGAGTAAGACAAGGAGGTATTTGAGAAGGGGAAACAGCGTGAGGGTCCAGAAAATCAAAGAGAAGGCACCAAAGACGGCTTCCTCGTTCTGATGGTGCGGCAACTTGCCGATAAAGGTGCAAGGATACACATAGAGAGGAGATGTACTGAGGCTACCGTAGACCACACCAAAGCTCTGGTAGGCCAAAATCAAGTTGTTGGAGAGATTCACCCACGAAAGCTGAAGGACGTTAAGAATTCAGCAAGCCAGAAAACAGAGAAATGCCATGAAGAAAGAGAACAGATCAAGAGCCTGATTTTCTGGACTAGGAAACTAGTATAACAATGCGATTCACAAAATCTGAAGGCAACAGAGAGAGCGAGAGAGAGAGTGTGTGATGTTGGAGGTCGATTGGTAGGGTTTATCGAGAACTAACTCTTAGTCTTAGGGTTTATCGAGAACTAACTTGAGAAGGATTCCGAGGGGGAGATACTCCAGATTCTGCCGCCGCCATCGCCATCGCCATCGCCATCGCCGTGGATGAAGAAGAATTGATGAAAATCTCAGCAAGTCAGGTTCGATCTCTCTTCTTACACCTTAAACGTCTTATCCGTAATCTTAATCTTAACTCGTTTATTTAATTCAAGTAGTAATTTAATTCGGGAACCGGAACATTTAATTTAATTATCGGTTTATTTTTGGTGCTCTATTTTGACTAGAGGTCTTGGTCTCCTCCTCCTCCAGAAATGCTTCCAATCCGTCGCCCAGTAGGTTTGTCTGAAAAGTGCACCAACGTTATTTTGGACTGGGGGATATTGAGGTAAATGGCGAACTATCTAATGCTCCTAAGTGTGTATATATCTGTATTCTGTAAGGTTAAGGTGGTTACCGTATGAAAGCGTTGATTGATTGGGTCTGGGCAGAAATTCAAGTGCAGTTTCTTCAGATGATTAACCAAACTCTGTCTCTAGTAGTAGCTTTCCATTCATGAATCCATCTTCAACTTCAGCAGCCCAGTCTCCCTTATAGATGCCGCACTGTCTCTCCTTCAGCCCATCCTCCCCGGAGGGCGACGACCCTCTTCCCCTTCCCCATCCGCATCCTCCCCTAGGTATCTTTGTCTTGTCTTTCTCTCTCGCTCCGAATCCGCACACCACGTGCTTGTTGAAATGCCTTAACGAGTTCTTCTTTGTACAGAGCCAGAGGGCGTGGAGGCCTCCTCTTCCAGAAACGCTTCCAATCCGTCGCCCACCTTTAACCTCAGCCGCGAGTTAGCCCACGCTTTCCAGACCCCCTCTTACCACGACATACGGTCACAGGTTCACGTCGTTGACCCCCCCACGGCCACCCAACATCATCTTCACTTCGACGCTGACCGGACCGAGCTGCTTCTCTCTCAAGTTCTCCAACCAAACAAGGAGTGCGTCCAAGAAGCTCTCAGCCACTCCAAGCCAACCACGCTCACCCATCTCATCTCCACTTACTTCCAACACAGCGAGAACGCCACCCGCCTTTGCTTGAATCTTTACCAATGCGTCCACAGCGCTCGCCTCCTCTACAAACCCCTCTTTGACCTCTTCCACATCCTTCCCGCTGATTCCATTGACCAGTCCCTCTGTAACTTGGCCTTCGACGTTTTCCTCAAGCTCGACACTTTTGACAACCCTTTCTCATCTCCTGAATCCCACAGCTTTCGAGAGACTCAGTTATGCTTCTCCCAGCTGAAGCACAACCTGGACAGACGTCTCCGTAAGTCTAGGTCACGGGTCCGCCTCCTCCACCACGCCACTGCTGGTTCTGCCTCTATGTCTTGTCTTCTCGTTGCGGTTGCTGCTTCTGCCGCTATTATTGCTTCTCATGCATGCACTTGCCACCCTTGTTGTTGCAGGTCCCTTGTGCAGTCCCTACCTCCCTCAGAGTTTCAAGAACAAGGAGCTAACCAACATCTCTCAGCTCAATGCCGCTGCCAAAGGAACTTTTGTGCTCAACAAAGATCTTGACACCATCGACCGTCTTGTCTCCCGTTTGCACACGGGGATCGAATACGACAAGCTTTTCATTCGCCTCGGATTGGAGAGGGGAAGGGACATGTATTCAGTCCAGGAGATTGTGAAACAGCTTCGCAAGAGCCACCTTAACATCACCCATCAACTCAAGGATCTTGAAGATCATATTTGCCTTTGGTTCACCAACGTTAACAAAGCTAGATTGTTGCTCCTTCAAGAGATCCATCTTCCCCGAATGTAAGCTCCTCAACGTTCGTTTTTTTTCCAAAATGCTTGTTTGTGTAGAGGGAACAAATTGCTGGCATCTCTAGTCTAGTCACAAAAATCAATCAAGATTACAACGTCATTGCTTTTTTGCAAAATCAATTAGACTACATGTATGTTTCTTGATATCGTGTGCTTGTTGACCTGATTGAGCTGGAGTCCAAGTAATATATGTCTTTGACTTCATTTGTCTATCCATTTGTCTTTTGTTCTTACAGTAGCCTGAGCTTATGAGAGAGGAAAACAGTACCAAGGTGATATATCATATATAATACAGACTTTTTGTAGTCTTCCTTAAAATCTGTTGGCAGATTTGCATGGCTTAAGCAGTAGTTCAATATGGGATGTAACATTGGTTCAAATCAGACAATTTTTTCAGTGAATTGATTTTTAGAAACAAAACCTAGAGTTTTAGTGACATGAGAAGAAGAGAATGTTCAAGAAGCGGCGACCCCCTGTTTGGCCTTGAGGACAAGCTCCTCCGTGGTGGTACCTATGATCTCGTTGGCTCGCTTCAGCCCCATGCAGTAGTACCTTCCAATGGTGTCCCGGGCAACAATCCCCAACTTCTCTAGCTTCTGGATTGCATCGTCCACATCAAAGTTACACCTCTCCCCAAACTCTTCCTTTATCAGTTCCTCGCACCTCAGATCCAGATCCTATTACCACATAACACAAGTCAGCACTCGCTGATGATAACAGACAATGAAAAAGAAAGGAGAGAGAGAGAGAGAGAGAGAGAGAGAGTGTTATGTACCTCCAAGGTAGCTTTCCCCTGTTCCATTAGTATGTAGAAGGAAATCATCACCTCTTTTACCTGCGCGTGCAACTCACAAAATGAGCCTTACCCTTTTGTTCATATAGACTTGATTCATACCAGGAACTTACTTCTTGCTGAATCACGTCATCACACAAGTGCAGTAGGGTTCCCTTCCCGCTGTCTAGTTGTTTATCATACATTGACTGCGTTATCAAGTTCTGGTACGTCGCCATGTTCTGCTGGAACCTGAAGTAAAACAAGAATAAGTACCTATTCGCTTATCAAAAAAAAAAAAAGAATCAAGGCAGGAATATGTAAGAAAGCGGAGCACTTAACGTGAAGTATGTTTTGGCACAATAACCAACCACCGTGGAGAGAATGGCAATAATTACCCATGGATCTGCTTTAGGCATCTCAACCGAAGTAAACACGGCAACCTGATGAGAAGAAAGTCTTTTGGTAACCAAGAAAGACATGAACCGCAAAAACAAGAAAGAATCTGCTGCCAAGGAGACCTACCAGACCAACTACGGCAGATATCAGAAATTTGACCCAGTCCATTGGAGTCAATCCAGGGTTTCTTTTCTCAGGCTGCACAAGACGTTAATGTTATTGCAGCTAGATTGCATTTTTGTTTTGCTACAAAACCCACAGGCAACATGAGAAACTTACAAGCACAATCTCCATGTCGGCCATAGGAATGTTTTTGAAATGCTTGACGAAAATTCCTCGTTCTAGATTTGTTCTAGAGCTAGCTCGCCTGCAACATCATCAACCACATGCTTGAACCACAAGTTCACAAAGGGGAAAATAGCTGAAACCAGACATACATAAACCTTACCTATAAACAACAATCATTCTATCGAACGTAGGCTCCTGAATTGTGAGCTTGCTCAAGAAACTCTTAAAGCTGAATTCATCAAGAGAAAAACCATTTTTATATACATACAGCTCTCCTGAATAGCCAAAGTTAGGTTATAAGAAAATCACAACAAGCCGTGGACAGGATACTGAAGACAACCTCAATTGTGTATTCTCAAGGCGAATACGCTCCACATACAAGTCCTCATTATCTGCTTCAGGGTTTGTCTCGTCATCTTTTTTGGGATCTTTCTTGTGAAGTCTGCTTGACGTATTAGCACGCAACTTCTCTAACCTGAGATCCAATGCGGTCGCAAACATTAACAAGAAGAAGGATGTCAAGACCCCAAATGTAGTAAATTCATTCAAAAAAGCATATTTTTTATACCTAGTGATTCTCAGGAGATAAGACCAAAAACGTGATATGATCACATCCAATTTTTCCATGAAGAAGAAATCTGTGGTTCTATCCATTCCAATACCACGCCTGAATATGACATACTAGGAAAATGGGCAAAATACAATTAGTCTGGAAGACTAGAATCTCGAAATGTTAGTGGGATCTAGAAACTCAAAAGCGTACATTATCAGAAAAGTCAGGAAGATTTTCATGTGGGTGCTCCTCAAAATATCTCTTGAGTAGTTTCTTGTCAAGCTTCATCCAGCAAAGCAAGAAAACTGGTTTAGAGAAATCCACATGAGCAAAAACGTTAGTGAGTAAGTGCTCTTTGATTAAACCTTGGACTCGTCAACTTTAATGGGAAGGTTGAGAAGATACTGCCCAGACTGTGCAACCTCGATCTCATCATCTGTGGTAATTTTAAAGTTGCTCTTCTCCATAACCTAGTGAAGGAAAAAGAGCAGATTCAAGAACACAGATGCAACATAAGGACGAAATAACCCCTAATCAAGTGACTACCTGAAACAAGTAAGCGAGGAAATTTTGTTCAAGCACATCAATTTCCTGAGAAGACAGGTTCTGCTGCTGGAGTTTGTGAGCACCGTGGACAGGATCGAAAAGAGAGTAGAGTTGCTGGAGATGCAAAAGCCATGATATCAGACAGGATGAGAAAAAGGGGAAAAGCAAACAGAGTTTCTAAGAAAGATGGGAGCAGTGGAAAGGGGTAAACACCATCAAATCTTCAAACTGAAGATTATACCAAGCTCGAACAGTGTATTCAATTCTCTTGCAGAGCTTGAGAAACTCTTGTCTATCATTGCTATGTTCTGCAAAACAAGTTCATCCAAACAAACAAGCAAGGGGCACAGGATTGGAGCGATTGTGGAAGTCGAAAGGTAAATAGGTAATTTCAACCCAAAAAATACTTGGCAAATCATCAACTGGCAATCGAATTCAATATCAGTGGGAGTTGTCCAATCTAGAATCAAATGACGTAGCAAGTAGCGAAAGGGGAAAAAGGAGAAACTGACCAATCAGATTAGCCAAGGTCATGATGAGCTTAGGTTTGAGGATAGGGATGACGGATTCGGGCTCCAGACGAATCGTTTCCTTGTTCCGTTGATGCGCCATTTCGCGGATCGATTTTAGCAAGAGAGGAGATGAGAAGAAGAATGGGTGAAGACGCGTAACGGCCCTGAGATTGAGACTGAAATTGAGATTGAACAAGACAACATATGAGAATGAGATGAGAGCAATCCAAAAACTGAAGCCTTCTTTTTTTCTTAACTCTCTGATGAGAATTAATGTCGTTTGGGTTGAGTAAGTAACTCCACCAACGGAACGGATCTGCCCTGCTTTGCTTTTTCTTCTCCTCTCTTTTAATAATAAATCAATAAATAAAGCGTTTTTATTACCCCCCCTCCAATCATTGCATAAGAGCTTCCAATAATAAAATACCCCAAAATTGCCGATAACGTTTGTTTTTGGTACCTGGTACAGACTAGAGAGAGTAAAGACTATTTCCTTGCCGACATTCAAAAAATAACAATTAATTTCAAGACCAATAGGTCCAAAAACTGATCTAGTTCAGAAAGCAAAATGAAAAAGTGTGTATAAGATGATTGACTATCTGTGGAGGTGAAAATGCAAATGTTAAAAGACGAAGCTAGATCCTCATTATGCCCAAATCTCCACAAAAAAAACGGGCTAAAGCAAAACAGTGCTGCTGTCCTCAAATCTGCGTGGGTTCATATTCATTACGTCATGTCGCAATATAGATTAGGCCCATAATTTAATGGGCTTTTACGATATCCAAATAAACGGTCCAATTGTGGATGGAATTCAAAAAACGAGCGCTTTTCACCTTTGATTAGTAGACTTGGGCAGCTTAATTAACAAGTCTACTCTCATTATTGATTGTTGGGTTACAAAATGTTTATTAGACATGTGTCATAAATTATAATCACCATGTTTAAGAAATCAAAGAGAGATCTGAGAAAACATATAGGGTATGATAAAAAATAATTGAAAGTGTTATATCATCAGAATAGATGATCACATGTGTTGAAGGTTAGTTAGTAATACAAGGAGCGTTAAAATATATAAAAAAAGACATGTGTTGAAGTTATTAACAGATGGGGCTGACCAAAAATGGACACACAGACGTAGATAATGTAGAGAGTTGTGGAGGAAGAAGGAGAAGGATGATAATATGCTTTGGAATATTCGGAAAAGAAAGCACAGATTAGAACGAAGAAGTGGAAGGTGTCAACATCGATGGCTTGCTTTTTTAGTATTCTATCCCATCTAGGCATCATCTACAGAGAGAGAGAGAGAGACAGACAGAGAAGAAGGCCCACGAGCCCAGAGCGAGGGAGCCAACCAGGAAAGAGAGTCCTTTGCGAATATCCAAAAGGGATAATTTGACTGTTATTAGGAACTGGATGATGACGTGTCGATCCTAAGAATATTCCAAGATCCCATCTTCATCTTCTTTTAACCCCCTCCAAATCCATCTCTGAAACCCACCATCCCTCACATATTTGATTTTTATTCTGATCTATTCTCTATCTCTCCTCTCTAGAGAGCTGCTAGATTAAAAATGTCTCTCAAAGCCATTCATGTCACGGAAGTGCCGAGCCTCGACCACTTCCCTGAGAACCCCTCCCTCTGCCCCTCTCGTTTCTCAACAGGTCTGTTCTCATGAGCATCTATGGATCTATAAATTGTTTTTGGTACCCAAGACCAAAACTGATTGATTGTGTATGCACTATGCAGGTGTCGAACTGAGCAAAGGGGTCTCTTATAAGATCCCCAAGTTTCTGGTGGTGGGACATAGAGGCCACGGCATGAACATGTTACAGTCGCCGGATCCAAGGTTCTCTGATCTCAAGGAAAACTCCATCATCTCCTTCAATGCCGCTTCGAAACTCCCTCTCGACTTTATCGAATTCGATGTTCAGGTTTCTTTCTTTCTATTATCTATTTTTCATGTTCGGTGTCGGTTCGCTGCTTCTTTTTTTTATTCCCTCCACGTGACCGCCGGCCATACCACGTGTGGGCTAATTCGTTGACCTCTTTTTTTTCTTTTTCTTTTTTTCCCCTCATCTGTTTTTGATTGAAAAACGCGCAGGTCACCAGAGATGGCTGCCCAGTCATTTTCCACGACGACTTCATCTACTCGGAAGATAACGTAAGTCGCCGTTTAGTAGGCGATTTTTCAGATTTGGTATCCGTCGGAATTGTGGTGATGATTGATGCTAGTGTTGGATTTACAGGGAGTGGTGTACGAGAAGAGGGTCACGGAGGTTAGTTTGTCGGAGTTCATGTCCTACGGGCCACAGAGGGAAACAGGCAAGAGAGGGAAGCCATTATTGAGAAAGTCTAAGGAAGGTAAGATATTGAAGTGGAGCGTCCAAGGAGACGACTCGCTCTGTACTCTCCAGGAAGCTTTCGAGAAAGTGGAGCCCAAACTGGGTTTCAACATCGAGCTCAAGCTTGACGACAACCTCGTCTATCCATCCGATCATCTCTCCCGCCTTGTCCTCCCAATCTTGAAGGTACAAATACAGCTTGAAATAACACACAATGCTTGGTTGGCATCAATTGCCTGACCCTACTAGGCTGCTACTGTGACATGACAGGAGGTGTGCGATTATGGAAAGGACAGACCCATCATCTTCTCCAGCTTTCACCCCGATGCTGCCCTTCTTGTCAGGAAGTTGCAGAGCACCTACCCCGTAAGTCATTTTCCAAACACACACTCTTTATACTGTAACTTGTGTGTTTGCTGAAGAAATGGAAATGAAAATCAAAAACAGGTTTTCTTCTTGACAAACGGAGGCACAGAGGTGTACCACGACGAGAGAAGGAATTCCCTAGAGGAAGCAATCAAACTATGTGTGGAGGGAGGCCTCCAAGGGATTGTCTCGGAGGTGAAAGGGGTATTCCGGAACCCAGCCGCCGTCAACAAGATAAAAGAATCCAAGCTCTCTCTCATGACATACGGCAAGCTCAACAACGTTGCGGAGGCAGTGTATATGCAGCATTTGATGGGAATAGAAGGAGTGATAGTGGATCATGTGGAGGAGATGACAGAGGCTGTGAGGGAGATGATAAAGCCATCCAACGTAGATACTCATGATACTAAGCCAAAGCCAAACTTCTCTGAGAGAGAGCTCTCCTTTCTTCTCAAGCTCATTCCTGAGTTAATACAGCACTAAGACGTAACTCGTTCTCCTTTAGTTAGGATATGTAGTGACAGAGGTTGTATATGACGAAATTTGACAACGTGGGTGTTGCTATCAACTCATGAGAGCCCAAATGCTGTTATGGAATATATGATGACTATAAGCGAATTGACGAGGGGGTGTTCTAATCCAAACCAATCAAATCTAGTTGTGTAAAGGTGTTTTCAGAAGGGGAAAGTGGGGACTTGGGCGAGGAGGCCGTGCTGAAGGTGGTAGTGCAGACGTGGCAAGAGAGGTCTGTAAGGATCCTCTTCCCTTTTCTGCTTGACAAACTTGAGGCATCTCTCAACCTCCTTCTTCACCTCTGCGTACACCTCCTTTGCCTTGTCTCTGTCCCTCAACTCTTCCTCTCCCGTCGCTATCTCCTTGCCAAAGTAGTAATAGTATCTCCCTGGCCACTTTGGTATCACTCCTGGCATGTGGAAGTCTTGGTTCCCCTCTTCTCCTTCCACGCTTCCCCTTCGAAACACCAACCACACACCGTCATCCACTTACTACAATTCATATTAATATTACCAACGTACGTACGCTACTCTCTATTCACATTACCTCACCCCCGGACCTTCCTCTGTCACTCTTTTTAGCACCTCTTTCACAATTGGAACCTTTATCTGGTCATTGTAGTCCACAACCACCTGCATTCGTTGCGCACAGTCACAGTCACACCAGCTATATATTACACATGCTTGGATGCAAAACGTGCTTACTTTTAAGAAATCATCTTCTCCAACCCCACAAAAGGGTACTATTTTGGCTCCAAATTTGGCTGCCGCTCTAACAAATTCCGCTTTCTCTGGCCACATCAACTTGTATTCTTCTCCCTGTTTTTGATTAAACTGAGATGACTTGTTTTCACTACCACAACAATGACAACGACAGCAGCAATAGAACACAATTATGATATTTTGGCTCCAAATTATCTGCCCCCATTTATGAGACTCCACTCCTGAAAACCAACGAGTAGAGAAGTACTAACCTTGCGGTGTAGAGCTTCGCGGATGCCTCCTGGAAACAACAGAATATGGGATTTTGCAGACAAGAGATTATGGAGGTGAGTGGCTGAGATGGGGACCGACCCCATCATCCTGAGCGTGTCGTAAACAGACACATCAGGTAACAATCCATCTCTCAATCTCGTAAACATCATAGGATGCACGAGAGGCCGCAGATTGATGTTCCTCTCGTGAACAAATTGCCCTGGGAGTGATATTTTGTCACTCGCCAGTAGCATATGATTACCCACCAACAGTACAGGTCCTTCCGATGGGATTCCCCCAAGCCCCCTCACCACTTTCCCATCTTCTGTAGTCGACAGAAACACAGGGCCCATGATCAACTCAAGGAGCCTAATATCGTTACCAAAAAATATCAAGATCAATCAATCAGTTTCTTTGCTAGTGCAGTAATCATGGAAGACATTTTGGGACATTATGTGTATGATCTGGGATGTAGTAACCTGTTGACCCCATAAGATTTGTTAAACTCAGAGAAGGTTGGTGGGATGTAGTCGGAGATGTAATCCTGATGAGACCCACGCCGGTAAAATGAAGTGGCCTTTATGATACTGACCAGATCAATGCCGTCCTCCTGTCAAATCCGAAAGCAAAAGGAGATGTTTGTGAGGCATCTTCGAATGAGATGAAATTCAGTGTTTGGCCAATGTATCTGAATGAAAGACGCAGAGTGGAGGGAACCAAGACAGACATACCAGAAAAAGGCAATGGCCGTTGTCTTTGAATGAACGGACTTCACATTTAGGCAGTATTTTGCGAAGTCGTTTGCCTTCCCATTTACTGGGTAGTATCTGGTCATTTCCGCTGTAATTGACACACAGGTTAGCTTAACCTACTTGCTGAGTGAAATGTTATTAGAGGAACCTGTGATGTGATAGATACCACGGACCTGGATAGAATTAGAGTGTGAGCTTGAACTAGATGAAGATGTGCATTAGCAAACAGAGCAGCGGCATCAAGCAACTTGAGCTTCCACAGAAGTGTTTCTTTCCGAAACGTATCAGCTAAGATCTGCATAGTCAAATAGTTAACAAAATTTGACAAGATTGGGAACTAACGACCAACCAAAGGGGTTGTGTAACCTACAGAAGTGAATGTCGATGTTGTCACCAAATCTTGATAAATGTTTGCAGCTGTTTCCTTCTCCGGAAGTCCCCTGGCCCAGTGAGCGATCATCCTTTTCAAAGGGCCACCTTGAAATTCCAATAGAGCTTTTATGCAGCTATGAAATTAAAAATCATGTCTAATACAGTATCACCCAAACTCACATATTTTATCGAATCAAAAGTAAACGCTTGAACCAGATTTTAATTTGGAGTTTTTGAATATACTTTGACCATCTTGTGGCATGGTGTTAAATTAACGCTAGGGGCTCATTTCGTTTCAAAGATATGTGAATGGATAAGTATAAGCTAACCTGGAATCAAGCTTAACAGGGCAGGAAATGCGAGATCAAGTTGTTCTGGCAAGAGTTTCAGCAGGGGAGCAAGAAGTTGCAGCGAAGAATTTCCAAATGAGGTAGCTGCAAATGCAACAAGACTCTCTTTAGATCAATCTAGACGAGGTGGTGAGACTTGTGTTCACGGTATTAGGAATAACCAAGGCCCTTATTTTCCTATTAAGTCGTCAAAAAGCCAGTTGAGTTTTTGGCAATTATAATCAGGCGCTAAAGTGATAGTTGGCAAATAAACAATATATGTGTCAGCGTGGGATTGTGATAGAGATATGAAGTAAGCAGCCACTAGAGTAAGACTGATTCATCAAAGTTTAACACCTAAAGTCGTACAAAGGATAAGCAGTCACCTGGGTTTGAGAGAATCAAGATAAGATCAATTTCAGGGTTGCAGGCTGCAACGGCGAGTGCTATGCAGGCGCCAAGAGATTCTCCAACAAGATATATGGGTTTGCCGGGTGACCGTTGATTTTCCGATTTGACAGTTGTTTCAACCATCCCGACGAGATCTAAAGCATTCAACATGTGTTAAAAAGGAGCTCAAAAAAGAGTGGAGAGAGAGAGAGAAGAAATCAATACCTGGGAGTGCAGTACGATTGGTGGGTGGAATGTGCAGGCACCAGATATCAAACATCCTTGAGAGGCAAGAGCAAGCAAACCTCAGCACAATGAGAATCAAGCATGGCAAATTCAAAACCTACATTACAGATAGAGAAGAAACGCCACTCACTCTCCAAGTTTCTGGTGCTGCCTTACAAGCCCGAGTCCATTTCCGTCGATACCTGCGCGGTTTCTGGATTTTAGCAAGCAATTGCACATGTGATTCGCAAGCAATTGCCTCAGCTAGCACAAGACAAACTAACCAGGTAAGAAGAGAAGCAACGGGGCGCCGTCACATCGAGCCTTGCTTTCCAGGGGAGAGAACCAGCGAGACGGGCCATCATCACCACAATCGCGACTGATGAAATCCCTAGCCGCCTCGAGGTAGTCCCAGAAGTTGTTAGCGGATCGCTTCTCGGAGTCCCCAAGCCTCTCAAGTCTCCACTGCTCCGCGCTAAAAGAGGAGACAGAAACGGAGAGTCGGCGTGCCGGGGGTAGGGATACTCCGAGGGAGTGCTTATGCTTGCGTAAGCCGACGGCGGAGAGAATGTGAAATCCGGTGGCCGCCATGGAAAGAAGCAAGTTGTGGTGGTGCGTGCGTTCATCAAGAGTTTAAAGGAATATTTTCTTTCGGTTTTCCAGCGAAACGAACATCACATGACTCAACGGTCTCTCTCTCTCTCCATCTCCATCTCTATATATCTATCTATCTCTAGCTGCAGTGTTGGTGCTGCTTTCAATTTCAACGAGGAGAATGTGTGACGTTTCTAGCTGCACTTGAGGGCCTGAGGCCAAGAATGAACAAATGGGCTTATTACTCTTTTAGTTTGGCCCAATGGGACTCACTTTTTCTTGTTCAAACAAAAACAAAAACTAGACGACGGAGAACGAAGAAAAGAAACCGTAGATCTGTTTGAAGAGCAGATTGATTGATGGCGATCCCCGTAGCTAAGCTAATGATCTCCGCCATGGCGGTCTTCTTGCTTCTCTCAGATTCTTTTGCGACCTCGGAGGTACCTTCCATGCTTGTCCACAAGAAAGCGAGCCTAAACAGACTCAAATCTGGCGCCCAACACGTTTTGGTGTCCATCGACATCTACAATCAAGGATCCTCGTTAGTTTTCTCTCTCCCTTTGCCTTTCCGTATCTGTTTTGTTTGTTTCATAACCGTGGGGACTTAAATTTAATTGAAATTGGAAGGAATCGAACAGTGTTTCTGTATGCTCTTTGCTTTTGGAGTAAATGCGAGACGTGCGGTGTTTGACTTTGTGGAGAGGGTATATGGTTGGATCTGACATTGATTGATTCCATGTGTAATTATGTCGAATCTCAGGACGGCCTATGATGTGACTCTGACAGACAGTAGCTGGGATAAAGACAGATTCGAAATTGTCAGTGGAAACACTTCAAGAGCATGGGAACGACTTGATGCGTGAGTTTCAATCCGAATATTGCTGTTTCGGTTTATTCTCAGCAACCTGACTGACTTAATTGGTCGCTTTTGCCTGCAGGGGAGGTATTCTGTCACATTCTTTCGAACTAGAGGCCAAGGTTAAGGGACTTGTCTACGGTGCACCTGCTCTTGTTACTTTCCGCATCCCCACCAAGACTCTTCTTCAGGTATCAAGAGACAAGAGTTCCTTTTTATTATTTTGGTGGATCTTGTACTCATCTCCAACTTCATTTTACAACTGTGTTTTTCTTTTGTTGTGGACAGTCTAATTTGACTAACGCCTATAAACCCCCACTTCATCGTTCAACTAAGCATTCTGCATTCCTTCCTTGGTTACTGGTTAGTTAACATTGAGCTCATTTTGTTTCTTGTAGGAAGCCTACTCAACTCCAATCCTACCTCTTGACATCTTTGCGGAAAGACCTCCCACTGATAGATTTGACTTGGTACACGTTGCTTCTATACAACTTTTCTCGTAATCATTTCCTTCACCTGATGCTCTCTTATTAACTTCCCATTCTTCTCCTGTGGTGTTCCTGCTCTCGAAAACTCTTCAGGCCAAGGTAAACCTCATGTCTTGTTTATTAGAAAAACCATCACATGTCAATGTCATAGCACTCAGACTTACCTGTAAAATTGTACCTTGTGTTGACTTTGTCACAGAGGCTGGTGGCTAAATACGGATCGCTCGTTTCGGTGATCTTGTTTGTGCTTCTGTTCGTTAACTTGATAGCTACACCTTCCAAGTCCAACGCAGCCAAAGCGAGCAGCAAGAAGAAGAGGTAAGGCTATGCAGCGGAGTTAGATCAAGTGCTGCGCTTGGCACTTAAAACATAGTTTCCAAACTTGTAAGAATCATACAACACTTTTAGTATTTTAAAAAAAATGCAGAGCATTCCTTGGTTTTGCACCTTTTGCAAATTGCTTTAGAAACAGTCGTCTGTGGGTCTCTATCTGCTCCACTAGTTTTACCGATTTAGAACGAGTTTTACCGATTTAGAACGAGTTTTACAGATTTAAAACGTAATAAAAAAAAAAATTTAAAAACTATTAGGCCGACTTAATCGACAATATAGTTTATAAGTATCTTTCATTTTTATCAAGTAAACCCTCAAGATCTTATGGCTGTTTGAGAATAAGGCGAAGAAGAAGAAGAAGAAAATTGACTGTAATTACGGGAAAACAGATCCCGCCTTCTGACTTAGCTACCCAGCAACACCCGGAGGTACCATCTATCTTTTTCGAAACACGGATGTCTTGAGATTATTCAGTCTACGTTTCAGGTCGATGCTTTGGTCTAGCCAATCAAGGTTTACTTGGACTGAAACTATTAGCATCCACTTATTACACAGTGCTTTGTGTATCAAAATTAGTCCAGAAGAAACACGGCCCGAGAAGATCAAGTTTTCGGGCCTTTTATGGACATCTCTGGGCCTCTCAGTTTATACCTCAAACAGATGAAACGAAAATGGAAAGGTCCAAGTTATGTGTTAAACCCATTCAAATAAACACAAACAAGCCCAAAACACCTTATACGTACCTTTTTCCCACGCGCAAAAGTATGCGCGTCGATCAAACAATCAAAGAAAGTTACCTAAAAACTAAGCAAGGAACGACCCTTGGGAAATCGATGAACGACCAAACATAACAGACAATCTCGTGATCTGGTATCACTTTGTAACAAATATATATCTATCTAATCTAAATTATAGTACTACTAGTATAGTATTTGTGTGTAATGTGTATATATGAATTTCAAATTCCAAGGACGAACATAAACAGAGGATACGTTGACTGTTTGAAAGTGAAACAAGACAAGGAGATAGCTGCTCATGCTTGTCACGCTTACCCTATTTTCCATCTCTCTACCTTTTTACAACAAACATGAAACAATCAACATTTATTAATCTCTCTCTCTCTCTCTTTCTCTCTCTCTGCTTAGTAACGTAATTTTATCTTTAAAAAATGTTTGTTGTTTCTGAATGTTGAACTCATTTGACCAAATATAGATATAAAAAATGTATTAAAAAATTAGAGGCTGCTTAGTGATAGACATATCATATGAGATTTTTAGTGGGGAGATTACTGATCAGATCGATGGGTAATGGAGTATTTCTTAGATGAAAAAAGAGAGAGAGAGAAGAGTGATGGATGATGTGGTGGAAAGTAAAATGTACCATGAGAATTGCGTAAACGGTCAACGTTAGGATAACGTCAGCAGCGAGATGAGGCAATCAAAGGAGCAAAGGCTGAGAACATAAAGACGTCTTGTCGGTTACCCTTTAACGGCCTTTTTTTTAATTATAAGAATTATAAAAAATGAAAATTGGTTTATAGTAATAAAATATTTCGGGTTAATTGCTAATTTCCATCTTTTATTAAAGCTGTACTGCACTCCCCTTAATTTCCATTTTGCCCTCTCTCGGTAAAATGAGGTGAAAACACACACAACGAGCGCGTGGAATCACCAAAAAAGATTTTAAAAAAAACTAGTATTTGTTACACGTAAAAGTATAAGGAATACTGTATGTTGCTGACGCTGCAAGTAAGAAGACGAGTATATACTTACAACCAGTCGACAATTGTTTAGAAGAAAAAAAAGGCAAAATTCTGAAAAATTCGAATATTTTTATTGAGTAGAGGTATCCAAATTAAATGAAAACTTTTATATGGATGATAGAATTCTTTAAAAATGATGTGGGAGAGGGTTTTCAGAGAAAGTGAACTACGTACTGATCATCAACTTCTACTGAATACAAGTCTTGCAATTCTGAAACTCTGTTCAAGCGATTTTACCACACACACAAAAAGAGCTCTGTTTAAGCAGAACAAAGGATAAAAAAGAAAACAATAAAGGAAAAGAATGTACAATACTACGATGTAGGGAGGGAGGCGGCTCGCGTGGGGCACAGAACTCTGTTTCTTCTCGTCTTTTTTCTTTTTCTTCTTTAATTTTATTTTTTATTTACTACTTTTTGCCACTGCCCTTCTCTTCCTCCCAATGGTCAATCCTTTTAACCCCTCTCGTTTGTCTCTCTCCTGTTTTCAAAATTTCATGGTTTGTTTGAGATTTTTTGTATGATTCGTATATGTCTACTCTTTTTTCATTCGTTTAATTAGGTGTTTTCTATTCGACTATATGTCCCATTTGTAGTTATATACAATTGTTCACACATAATTAGATCAACTGTACTTCAAAACATAACAACAAAAAAAAACTGAATTTTAAGTTTGATTGTTTAGTAAATCAAGGTCAACGAATAATAATTTGATAAGGTTATTTTATAAATATATCTTTTTTCGTAAAAGGGTATGAGGATTGTTTATATACTGTGATATATCCATAAACAAATGCTTGTTTTCATGTTAGTTATTTTATTTTTTTACTAAACGCTTTTTCATGTTAAGTTCAAATAGATACTTGTTGTCGATAGTATTAAAAAAAAAATAGAGGCCATGAACCTGCATGCAGATCCAAACCGACGTATATAATCGATGAAAACTTTATCTTTTGGTGAAATAATAAGAAGATAGTTTAGTGGTAATAATGAAAAATAGATGAAAGTGGGATTGCAGTTTTCATGGGCTTAATTAGGTGTTTATAGACAGTATAAAAAAAATACAAGGGAATTCGCGAGCACTCTTACAATACCCTCATTCCTCACCGCCTTTTCGCCCCGACACCGACATGCGACATCCTTCTTTTTCTTTTCAGATTTTTTGTTTTAACTTTTCGCATTATCGTTGATTAAAGACCGGTTTGAAGGTTAGTCAAGTTTGAAATTAAACTCTTGAGTATACATGTATATATCTCCATAAGACCATAACATATACTATAGTTTAGTTTTGTTAAATTTTCCATACATATATACAAGATTAGAACTACAAGCGTCAACACGCATACAGATATGTATGTACCTTGCTGTGTATGACTATATATGTGCCAGGAGTATATAATACTAGTACATGATAACCTATAGGACACATGTTGGTCGTTGGAATCAGACTCAGACCATCATACTTCGAGGAGAGGCGAAAGTATGCAACTCTAAAGCTGATTTTAGGGCTTGGTTCGAATCCCACCTTTCCTCACTCTATCGGCTTTGTTTCACCGTAAGGGGTAAAAAACCAAGCTAAATTCGAAATAATATTTATATATTTACAACAAAGCAAGGCATTAATATTGTGCATAGAGAGACATACACACAGACACAAGTATATATAAATGGCAAAGACCAGATAAAGCTGAAAAGATAGCATCACGCTCGTATTCTTTTTCGTTTTTAATTTAATTCCCACTTGTATATATTTTTGTACTGCTTAATACTGTAAGTCGGAGGGCTCTCCTTTTCCTACCATCTAACCCTACCCGTCCGATCTATCAAATTTTTTCTGTTTTATGTAATCTTTTTCTTTCCACCGTTGGATTGTGAGATTTCCCTACAAATAGGCACGTTCGTATGAATGTTGTATTTACACGTAGAATGATTCCATATCTTTTCCGTAAACTCGTTCAGGCTTGTCATGGCTAAATTTGTTTCTGTTTTATTTTTTGTCAGGGCTAAAATGTTTTCTACTTTTCTGAATTATACTTAACCTTTAAACATACTTAACATGATTACCAAAAAAAAACCTTTAAACAGAGAAACAAGAAAAATAAATACTTAAAAACAAAAGATATCATTACACAAATTTACAAGGGAATTTTCAAAGTTCAGGCGTTTTTTTTTTGGTTTTAATGTTAAGATTTAGGCGTTGAATTCAAACTTTCTTAAATATCCTTCAAGAAAAGCATATACGGCTACTCGGGTTATACCGGACCCATATAAAAGTTGTGAAAAAAACATTATATGACAAGCGTTACGTATATATACTCACATTATACTAAAAAAGAAAGAGTGTTACGTATACCGGTATACGTAGGACTTCTATTTTTTTTTTTTTTTTTTGCGCAAAACGTAGGACTTCTATAGGAAAACTAAATTTAACTGATAAGTAAAGCTATCCGACAAACACAATCCGACAAGATTATTTATCTTTTACGATTATTCATGCAAAGATTTTCTTTTTCCAAAAAAGAAAGACGTGAGTTTAAACACCAAAAGAAGTAACTTTCTTTTTCAGCTAGAGGGAGCATAACTGTACGGAATTCTCTTACTCTATTCAATTATACTACATATCATCTTCTATCGGGCATCAATCCTTCGTTTTCTTATTTAGGATTAACCTCAAACCGGAGATTCAGAAAGGCCTTTTAAATATTAAAGACACGAGCGTGGAAGCAAAAAGCATGTGACGATTAGCTTTGAAAATTAACTTAATGTTTTTTTTTTTTTGCTAAAGGGACCTGATTTAATGTTTTCCAAAGCAGATTTGATGGTAGTATTATTTTAATTAAAGTTCTATAACATTATTCATATTAGTAGTTTATTACAATTAAACCCATGATCCCTATTCCCAAGCAAAAATAAAAAATAAACCCATGCTAAGGCCATTAGTAGTTTAGGGATTTGTTTTATTTTCTACGATAAAACTCAGCAAAAAACAAAATATATATACATACTCCATTTTTCTGCCAATCAAACGAGTTATGTTTACATTAGTACATATGTGATTCCGTGTAAATGGACAAATCAAATCCTACAAAATATTCTGACTCCTTAAATTATTATATGATGATTAGATATATACTCGTCATCTTATAGAATTTTGTTTTCATTAATCATTAAGTGTATTCGTGTAAAATGGACTAAAAGGAAAAACGTATCGCCCAACAGCCATACACATGCATTTGGTTCCGAGATTGTTTATATATAGACCTTGGTTATAAAAGTGAGATAATTAATTGAGAAAAAGGGAGAATTAAGACGTAAGAAATTAATGGTAAGAGCCGACAAGAAGGACAGACAGAGCCGTCTATTACCAACAACTGGCCTTCTGATAAAAGCCTGTTCTTCTTCTCCTGCTTCCCTTTTTTCTTCAAATTTATTTCATTTTTATTTGAAAAATGATTCCATAAATATATAAAAGATGGATACGTACGCACACAGACAATTAATTTTACCGAGCGAGTAACGTTAATGTTTTGTTGGTTTCACCTGCAATCACCATGTTGATGTAATCGCTTTTACTAAAAAAATAAGTTTATACACAAATTATTACTTGTAATAATAAAGAAACAATAATTAGAGGGAAAACAGAGTTAGGGATGTAGACCTCTATAAATACTCTGCATGGCTCTCACTCTCTCCTCACCAAAAACTTGAGCTGCCCTCTTTCTTCTTTCTTCTGTGTTACTCGTTTTTCTATCTTCTCTATTGATTTCTGCAAATTAAATCAAGATAGAGAAAAGAAGAAGAGGGATCAAAATGCAATACCATGCGGAATCGTGGGGATCATACAAGATGAACAACATAGGATACGGCGGCATGGGGATGGCGGACACAGGCCTGCTTCGCATAGAGTCTCTGGTGGCGGAGAGCGCGGTGGTGATATTCAGCGTGAGCACGTGCTGCATGTGCCACGCCGTGAAGGGGCTCTTCCGGGGAATGGGCGTCAGCCCCGCCGTCCACGAGCTTGACCTCCACCCCTACGGCGGCGACATCCAGCGAGCACTCATCCGCCTCCTCGGCTGCTCCGGCGCCTCTTCTCCGGGGGCTCTCCCGGTGGTGTTCATCGGCGGTAAACTTGTAGGAGCGATGGACAGAGTCATGGCATCTCACATCAACGGCTCTCTCGTTCCACTGCTCAAAGACGCCGGCGCTCTTTGGCTCTGATGGTTCTTCTAGCTACTTTCCAACTTCCCTTGTGCTTTCATTGTTATTTGAACTTGTTTTAAAGCTTCTTTAGAGAATGGAGAGAAGATCAAAGCTGTAGTGACAGGTTAGGTTATAGTTTGTAATTAGAGACACTGTGAGAAAGAGAGAGCTGTGCCGTTTGTTTGAAGCTCACCTATCTCCCGTCTTTCCCCTCGTTTGCTTTTTTAGTCTTTCACTTTTCCATTTTGCTTCCCTAATTAAAAAACATATATTCATATCTCAACGGTATTAACTGTTTTATTCCATCACACCAATTTACTTTAAATTTCCACCAGCTTGATTATGCCCTATTTTATTAGTCTTTTTTATCTACACAAATAAAAGCACAGGCTTTAACTACGAGTGAAGCTTGAAGCTATGAAGAGACTTAATTGGCTTTGAAGAAGTTGTTGAGCAAATACCCCACTGTTGTTTCTTGGGAAGCCCTGCTGCTTCTTCTGCTTGTACCGAGAACAGAGCATTCCTCACTGTTCTTCACCTTCAACTTGCTTACTCCTATCTGTTGTCTGATTGACTCGACAATTTTCGATTCAACAGCGTTTCCTGTCACGTCCGTAACGTAGAACGTGTCTCTAGCCTTACCATCCCGCGTTGAAATCTCTGCTCTCACAATTGTTAAGCTGTTCTCTCGGAATGTTCTTGTTATGTCAGAGAGGAGACCAACTCGGTCTTCTGCTGAAAGTTCCAGCTCTAATCCCTGAAATGTATATATGCATCATCCATCAAGTGAGATTGACAAAGACAAGACCTAAAACCAAAATGTTACTTACTTTGTATGATTTCCATTACTAATTGGTTACGTACCTCGGAGGCTCTTCTCTCAATGGCTGCTTCAAGACATTGTATGACACGTTCCTGCTCCGCTTCTGAATTGATGGGAAGTCCATCCACATGACGTATGTAAAACTCCTGCAGCGGCCGCCGATATATATATATATATGGTTAGAAGAAAAAAGAGAGAGCAAGAATTAGCATTAATGAATGGTTCAATTAACAACCTGATAAGCCTCCGGAGGTTCTGTGCTGACCATGCCATGGAATACCACATACTGCATATCAGTTAGAGTACAGACAACGTCAAACACAAGCTTTGGCCTGTCTTTGGACCTCATGGTCACAACAGTGTAATCCTTCTCAATGTTTGTTAGCGTGACAGTGGGCCTCGACGCCGATGTCCTTGCTCTTTTGACTCCCTCGTAGTCGTAGTCCCTATCATCGAACATGATCTGATGCAACCGTCTCTCCCTGTGTGTGTCGGAGCAAGAGAAGACCGTTTTGGCAGCTCTTGAACCGCCGTTTGTCCTAACGACATTGCACAGCAGCTCTTTGATGGTGGAAAGCCGAATCGGATCTGTGATGGCGGAATTGGTTGAATTGTCGGTGACATGAATAACCGCTGCAGCTCTGGTGTTGTGAGTCCATATCTCAGCGCTGACAACGTTGCAGTGAAGACCTGTGAGAACAGCAGATACTTCAGACAAGAGACCGGGTCTGTCCGTTCCAGCGAGCTCGATGGTTGTGTATTCCTCAGAGAGCATTACACCAACCGAGCTGCTTAGAGGTGGAATGAACCACCCAGCGTTGCTCTCTATCCTCTGCCAAGAAACAAAAAGGGATTGAAAAACATTTGAAAACGAACAAAAAAGAATGTGTAGGTAGAGAGATACACAAGACAAGACAAGACAAGACATACCCTTTGGATGTAGTCAAGGACTTGTGTGTCAGTGATCTTGTTCCCATCTTGGTCGATGACCTTGAAGACGTCCATGAACCAGCCTCCATCAGAGGAGATGTAAGCTTTCTTGATCACAAGGTTCATATCAGTGAGCACTTGCACTACTTCCAACAGAGTCCCATGTTTGTTCACGCTATCAACCTTCATTTGTAACACAAAAACAAACAGAGCATATATCATCAAACTCTGTTTTCTCTACATAAAAGAATATATATATATATATATATATATATATATATATATATATATATATATATATTTGTAATTGTACCTGGATAACAGTGGCATCCTGGCTAGCGTTGTTGTCGATTACAACTCTGTTACCATGCATGATACAAACACAAAACATATAAACCTTAAAAGATGACTGTTTTTTCACATCTCAAAGCTGAAATCTTTACAAGGGTAAGTAGAGAGCATGAAGGAAAAACAGAGGAAGCGTTTTAGTTTTGCCCACAAAACAAAACGAGGGAAGAAAGATTTGAAAGAAAAGAAAGACCTGGGCGGATTCATTCTCCTGATGAGCTTGGCATATTCATCATCATCCATGCTTCTAGACTCTAGTTCCTTCAATTCTTGAGGAAATCTACAAGAAAGAAAAACAAGGGAGGGAAAGTTGAAAAGAGGATAAAAATGGTATCGGTAGAGGTCACAGTCGCACTCACTCACAAGTGTCACACCCAACACCCGTTTTGCTGCAAGTGGCCACGCACGTGACACTCAAGATTCTTTAGATTCCCATTCTGTTATTGTTTCAATTTATACTATCCCACCAAAAGTCGTCTGCTTTGTTTTCTTGGGTCAATTTTGATGAGCAAAGGCCAATATATTGCCGATTGGGGTATCTTCCTTAAATCTCAAATATACTCTCTTCTTTCTACACAACCCTCCCATAATCTGTATGTTAGAGTATAATTTTGCTTCTTCCTAGCTTCCTTTTAAAACATAATGATATATGGAGATCTGATCAGATAGATGATGCAAGGGGTGGGTTATAGTGTAAATAAAAACTGGTTGGAAAGAAAATGGAGTAAAAAGCATAATAATGTTAATGTACTTGCAAAAGCAGGCAAAGTAGGGGAAGCAAAGCATTTAATTTAGCGGATTCCATTTCCACCCACTTGAAAAAAAAATTGACATGTCACAAAGATTTTGTGCCTAGCCGAATCTTAACAATCGGAACATTATATTTGATTTCAGTCTTGTCATAAGAGTGGAGTCAACACACGGTTTCATTCGCAATCCCAAGAGAATCTTTATAAACCTTTGATACCTACACAGTACACACCTTTGTTCTTTAATTTCTTGGCCTATCCGTTCCCCTCCATGCATATGCACTACCAGCTAATCTTGTACGCAGTTTGGGACTTGGGAACTTTATAACAAACAAATATAGATAGTAAGATAGTATCCTAATTGCGTCCAGTACCACATCACATGATTGATATCTTGTCCTGGATCAATGGTATATCGACAAATACCAATGGAGAGACAGAAGCAAACGAGACTACTCTAGGTAGGATTGTGAATGGGATATAGATAAAGTGATTTCAAGTAGCTAGGAGATGATGGGGTCCAAACTTTACGCTTCACTTCCGGCGGCGACAAATCAGAAGTCTGGTTTTTTTTTGTTGGTATGGCCGGAAAGGAGAGAATTTGTTTGAAACCCCAAAGCTTCTGGGCCTGGGCCTGGGCCTGGGCCTCATCCATTTGCTTTTGTATTTGGGCTTAAAAAGAAGGACAGAAGAGTTGGCGTGGATCATGTGATTAGGCGTTTCCCCAGCTCTTTTGTTTCTTCAGAGTACTTTGCTTCATTAAAATGGGGGACAACTACCATCACTCCTTAGTATCTAATCTGGTGAATCATTTGGGTGGGAGATGGCGAAGAAGGTGTTGATGACATCCGACGGCGACGAGGTTTCCCGAAACATAGCTTTCCATCTAGCCAAACACGGTTGCCGGTGAGTTATCATTACTAATACAGTACCACTATTGGCTTTAATTAAATTGGAAGAGAAATGAAATCTAATCTGAAAATTGGAAACTACTGCAATTGCAATCACTTGAGGTTGGTAATGATGGGAAAGGAGGCATCTCTAAGGAGCGTTGCAGAGAAGATAAGAGATTCCATAGAGGGAGCCTTCCCAGTGGAGGTCATCGGGATGGACATGGAAGCTGAGAGCGAGGAAGCTTTCGATTGCGCTGTGCAAAGGGCGTGGACTTGCTTGGGCAATGTGGATGCCTTTCTCAACTGCTACACCTACCACGGGAAGGTGCAGGACATTCTCCAAGTCTCTCAAGGAGAGTTGGAGAGGATCGCAAAGATCAATCTCACGGCTCCGTGGTTCCTGCTCAAGGCTGTGGCGCGGAGGATGAAGGAGCATGGATCAGGAGGCTCCATTCTCTTTATGGCCACCATCGCCAGCGGGGAGAGGGGGCTCTACCCTGGAGCTGATGCCTACTCTGCGACCTCTGCTGCTATTCATCAGCTCGTTCGGGTATGAATGAATGTGAATGTGAATGATTCAATGATAACACACACCTTTACCCCAACACAGTCACTAGCACTCTCGCTAACTAAACTAGTCCTAACTGTTTCAGGCATCAGCCATGAGCCTTGGGAAGCACAGGATTCGTGTGAACATGATCTCTAGAGGGCTGCACCTTGGGGATGAGTATCCAGCTTCCGTCGGGATAGATCGAGCGGAGGAGCTGGTCAAGAACGCTGCACCGCTCGGCCGTTGGCTCGACCCCCACAAGGATCTCTACTCCTCTGTCATTTACTTTGTCAGCGACGGCTCTCGCTTCATGACTGGCACCACTGTTTTGGTCGATGGAGCGCAGTCTCTTATGCGACCCCGTTTCAAATCCTACATGTGATTCACTTTTCTATCGTGTCTATCATATACACTACATACTGTATATCTACTAGTATTGTTTTGTAACTTTGTATCGTATTGTTTCCTGGGAAAATTGAGTTTGAATAATAATACTAGATGCGAGAATCTAGTTTGAATTCATCCATATCCGTCTTAAGTTAAGCAATGATTGATTATATATACTTTTGCAGAAATCAATTAGTCAACAATCTCAACATCAGTTGAGCCTGATTGAGCCCATTAGTTTGAATACTTTAAGAGTTGGAATCAACTTTGGTAGCTTTAGTTTTACAAGTCGTAATCCGAATGATGAAGCCGCCACACCATAATTTCCACCAAACTCTCTTTCTATGACCAATCCGCTAATTTAGCTAATCATCTCACTTTTCTCTTTGTCTCTCTCTCACTCTCTCTCTCGCCTTTCATACACATATATACATAAACACAACGCGCACACACACACACACACACACGTGTCGTGACTTAGTTTTTGGAATTTTCAAGTGAGAAATGGAGGATAGGAGTGAGGTGTTGTTTCCATCGTTTCATGGGGTGGAAGAAGAAGAAGAAGAGAAACACAAGAGTAGGAAGAAGAAAGAGAGAGAACCAAGGTTCGCCTTTCAGACAAGAAGCCAGGTTGATATTCTCGATGATGGCTACAGGTGGAGGAAGTACGGCCAAAAAGCTGTCAAGAACAATCCATTCCCCAGGTACCTACCACTACCAGTTACCTCCCTAACCTAATACTAATATCTTGGTGATCAAATTAAAGGATAGTCTCATCATTCATATATGTATCTATGTATTGCGTAGGAGCTATTATAAGTGTACAGAGAAAGGATGCAGAGTGAAGAAGCAAGTGCAGAGGCTATCAGGAGATGAAGGAGTGGTCGTTACCACTTACCAAGGTGTTCATACCCATCCCGTTGATAAACCCTCCGATAACTTCCACCACATTTTGACCCAAATGCACATCTTCCCTCCAATCTAGTCTTCTTCTTCCTTCTTATGTATCTTCGCTTCATCATATTCATATTCATAGTGTTTTCATGTAAAAACCTACAAAAGTTGGCCACCGAATGCTGCTCTCAAGCGTTCACACCTTTACTGTTAAAGTAGCAATCAACATATTCAAAGTCTTGTTTGTAAGGCTATAAATCCAAACCAAAACCAAAACCCTCATTCAAGTCTTGTTTCCTTTACACACTAATCCTTCTCTTCCTTCCTCGGAACCTTGGAATCCATCTCCTTTGGTGTCTTGGACTCCGCTGCCCTGAAATCGTCATCACACAACTTGCTTTATGTTGTTAAGCCAGTAGAGAAATCACAAAGATGATGCTCATTGGATTGGATGAATGATGAATCTTTTGTTTTCTTTTCTCAAATCATCATCCCTAATCCTATCAAGGATCAAATCACAGAAATCTGGTTTTGGCGACAAAGCAATGCTGTCTTCTGCTTGTTGAATCATAAGAGAACCTTTTGCTTGTATTCAGTTTTTTTTTTTAAATACTCCCGATCAAACATCTCCATCATTCCGATTATTTTCGAAAAGCACAACCATTTGACATCAAACACCATACAAATCGTGGAGGAATTACGAAACTTTCGAAATCGAAAATCAAAGATGGTGAGAAAGAGAAGAAGGCTAACTTGGAGGCGGCGGAGGTTTCTTCTTCGATCCAGCTGCGAATATGCTTGACGTTTCGCCTGAAAACGGAGGGGGATTGCTTGACGTCGCCCTTCAAGAGGAGCACCACCGCGCCAACGCCGGCCACCGTCAATATGAAATTGGTCAAACCCATCTCGTCTACAACTTCTTCAGCTACTTCGCTCACTAGGGAGAAGATGGCTTTTGTTACTTTACCATTAGTGGGCTCTATTTTCAAGTCAGCCCATTAAGCCCAGCTGTAGCCCTTGGTAACTTTTTATTTTACAAAACATTATTATTACAAAAGAATAAAGGACCATATGTCATCTGGAATATTATGTCGACGTAAGCAAGTACTAAAGCATCGTAAAGAGATATCATATAATACACCTTTGGACCATTTCATACAAAAGCAAATATACAACAGTCAGAATCTTCTCAAAAGATATGCTTTCTTCTTCTTTATTCAATTGATTTTTTTTTGTTTTTTTGTTTTTTCATGATTAGAAACTAGAAAGCGATGGATATTTGATATTGAGTAACTCATATGTTTCCACCGAGCAAAAAACAGTGCTGGCATTGCCGCCACAACCGCACAAAGATAACGTTAGTCGCTTGTGTTTATGTACAATATCTCTGACGAATAAATTTATCCACATTCTTTATTAACAAATCAAGTTATCCACATTTTCTTCCTTTTTAAAAAAAAATGCCACCCATGGAACTAGTTAGATAAACAAATAAAACGGATAAAAGATACGCTTTCCTTAAAATAAATATCTATAAACAAACATTTGAAATCGTTGTGCTACAATATTTTTTTTTTTACTGGCGTGTGTACATGCAAACTTGTGATTGTGAATCCTTTAAGAAACTTGTTACAACATAAAAGAAAACAATAAAATTTCACTACACAACTTAATCCGAATTTTAAATATAATTCTCCTTGTTCATTTGATAAAAAGGGAATCTGAGCCTGTTTGATTTTGTTTTCAACACTAACTATATATGATCCACGATGTTATTTTTGGTAGTCTATATACATTTCGAATTTACAACTATGTTTTGCAATGACTTGTTAGATTACTAATTCACTACCATCCGTTGAATTTTTTAAACTTGTAGAAGTGTGTGTGTGTATATATATATTGTATACGAGATATTTTCCTTATATTCGTAATTCGTTTCGGCTTTACCGTAAGTGAGCAAGCGGGGAAGCTAAAATAATGTTTACGTACTAGTGGAATTTACACGTAGAACTTATGTACATGTTAATAGGATGGTAAAATAAGATGTCGTGGCTATTTGAGCATGAAAGTTGGGAGTTGGTCAGCAAAATATGATGCTATTCCCTGAGTTATATTATTCATTGTGGTAAGGGGAAGGACCACGCGTCTTTGATACCTCTCTATCTCTCTGCATGCCTTGGCCACACACAACAAAACGAAGCTCTCTTCACCCACTCCCATTCAGGTCTATATATATGTTAAACACCGCCAACAAGAAAACGAATACAAGTAGCAATTAAGTAACTAAGTGGTCATCATGGAGATGAACAGAAGGAGATCAAGAGGGTTCATGATATCTAAGCTAATGCCCTTTTGCAAAGCTGTGAAGCCTCCAAATCCTTCCAAAGACCTTTATAATAATGTTCATTACATTTCCTCCACCACAACTTCCTACGCTCCTCAATCTGATTTCAATAACTACTCAACTCCTCTCCCTCCTAAAGTTTCCTTCCTCCTTCGACCATGTACGCACTTAGCTTTCTTCTACTTCATTAGCTATATATAATTTAGTATGATATCCCTATAACCACAGTCCTTGTGTGATTTTATTGGCAGCCGTGGCTCCTGAGGGTAAGCATATGGAGAAGAAGCTGAACAAGATGGCAGAGAAGCTGTACTTTGATAAAGGGATCAGTGGTGTGGATGAGAGCGTTGACGCCAGAGCCGCTTCTTATATCTCTTCGGTTCGAGAAAGGTTTAAGCTGGACCCTTCCGAGAGAGTGACGACTGTTATTAGCTTAGATGAAGACATTGACTAATAATTGTACTGTGTACGTTGCTAGCTTCAGTATATTAACGGGAAACTTAACGTCAATAGAAGTTGTAAAACCCACTTAATTTTCTCAATAATTAAATTACAAATTATTCTATGCAACCCCATATTAATGCAAATGCATGGTTCGTAAAATTGATAATTACGGCTGAATAAAAAAGGATGGATATTATGGAGAAATAACATAGGGAAGAATGATCACACCACTGGAGGACTGTCAAGTTTGGAATATCAAGTCATGAAGGAAAGAACTATTCTCTGAACTGAAATTCCAACGGTTTCTATTACATATAAAAACTAATTAAATATTTTTTCATAGTATTGCTTACTGTACTAAGCATAAGATTCTTGTCTTGAGTCTCTTTTCCATGCATCATTTTTGATATATTATTTCATAAGCCCAGATATAACAAAGTAAAATATGCTTACTCTAGAGTCTAATTCATATATCACTTTTTCACTCGCTACGTATCTCCCTCCTTCCTTGCTTCTTCTGTTGGTAACTAAAACTACGATAAATGACGTATGAAATGGTGCGAAATACAAAGAAAATTGTGTTAAAATTAGTAGGATAATCATCGTAAAGGATAGTATTTCGTTTATTTTCACTGAGATACGTTATGAACTATAATTCGATAACGTATAAAGTCGCAAAATCCATGCACGCATAATCACTAGAATATAATAAATACAAAATCAGATCGCCGTATCACTAGCATGCACGGCTTCCAATCAATCATGTTATCTATGAGATGAGGAAAAGAAAGCAACGGAAAGAAAATCCTTTGTCAAAAAAAAAGAAAGCAAAAGAATCGAAACTAAACCAATAAACGCAATCAAGTATCAACACTTTAACTTTACATAAAGTTTATATACATAGCCACTAAATGTGTCTCTTAAAGAAGCCACATATCTATATCTATTGAACAAGAAAGGGAGAGATACAAATAAAGCCTCTACTTTTTCTTTTGTCATCCTTAAATATAATCTCATCAATCATTTTGAAGAGAACACCTATAGTATACTTACATTTTCACAGATATATATACCAAGCGCATTAATATACACTTGTGTAAATACAACTACAAGGTTGCTGCTCTGGTTAGTTATTTAAATCTGATAAACGATCGAATCTTCTGGAGCTTAAACCGAGGTAGATATGGGAGGAGCTGACTGGGGACCGGTGGCTGTTGCGGTGGTGTTGTTCGTAGTGTTATCGCCGGGACTTCTGTTCCAGCTGCCGGCGAGGAGGAGAGTGTTGGAGTGCGGTAACATGACCACTAGCGGCATCTCAATACTGGTTCATGCCATTCTCTTCTTCGCTATTATCACCATTTTGGTCATCGCCATTCAAATTCACATTCACATCTAAGCATTTTTACTTAAATATTAATTCACCTATTTACTTCCCTGTTTCGAGCTACTAGTAAGCCACCAAAACATTGTGATGTAAAGATTGAGTTTCACCATACATATGAAAGTTGGTATGTTTTTCTTGTTCTTTTTAATTATTATCATTGTAGATGTTTTAAATAGTAAGATTAATATCCGAATTTTTATTAGTCTTTGTTTGTATTACCTTGATAGAATGATAGTATTGCTGGTCTGATAAATAATTGTATAAAAATATAGATATAGTATCAGTTGTGACCATTCGGTTTTCAACGGGCTAGACACAATGGAGATCAATAACCAGTGGTGAGTCATAATATTAAAAACCTCTGAGTGGCAAATGAGAAAGAGACAAACAAGGTCAAGTTAAAAACCTATTTTTTGTTTGTCGGCTACTGCAATCAATATGAAAAGCATACAAGGAAATAATGAGTAGTACCTTTAACGTTAAAAGTTAAAACATGAATGGAGATAGTTGACAAAAACAAAACAAAAAAAGGTATGAAGGGGTGATCAAACCTATAAAATATGATTTCAAAGTGGAAATGCTTGCTTATACGCATGCATCAAAAGGTTTATATTGCTCTAAAGAAAGCAATACTATATAATTTTAGGTTTATAATATAACTCAGAGGTAGTAGAAAATAGAAATTTGTTTTTGTGATAATTCTAAAAATATGGTTAGTCAAACCAAAAACATCAATCAAACAAACATGATCGCCTGATTTTCCAAAATTAACAAAATCAATAATCTACTCTACTATAGCGACTAGTTTAGTAGAAGAAGACACCATGTTTCTCAATCAGACAATAAAAGGTTGATGAATCACTTGTCAGAAGAAGACACGCAAACATCTTTAAAAATTCTTGTGAGGAGTTTCCGCAGCGGAGAGAGAGAGAGTAAAAATGGCGTGGCCTCGGCGAGAAAGGGTGGTGTCGTTCACCAACAACAGATGGCTTGTGTTTGTGGCGGCCATGTGGATTCAGTCATGCGCTGGCATCGGATACTTGTTCGGCAGCATATCGCCGGTGATAAAGAGCTCCTTGAACTACAACCAGAAACAGCTCTCCAGGCTCGGCGTGGCCAAGGATCTCGGGGATAGTGTGGGCTTCCTCGCTGGCACCCTCTCCGAGATCTTGCCTCTCTGGGCCGCTCTTCTCGTTGGGGCTGTCCAGAACCTTGTCGGCTATGGCTGGGTCTGGCTTATCGTCACCGGACGAGCTCCGACTCTTCCCTTGTGGGCTGTGAGTTCCGATCCATCTTTTTTTTTTTTTTTTTTATGGGTCCTTGGAAAGTTTGCTTTTCTAATCATGTTTGTGTGGAGAAGGGAGAACCTCCGGGCAAAGTAGTCCTCTTTTCTTTTTGCTTTTGCTTTTGTGGAGGTAACATGTTGTTTTGGACTTTGGTAAGAGACTATAAAGTAGGCTGTCAAATCTGAAATCTGTGAGTGAGAGTCTTTCTTTATTTTCTTTGGAATTCATCCATTGTTCTCAATCCTTCTTCTGTAGCTCGGAAATTGAGTTGACGCAATGACACAGTAAGAAAAGAAAGTGGTAGAGTTTATGGTCCAAGATTGTGAAAGTTTTACTTTTGTTGAGATTCATTCATTCACCTTGTCATGTCATGTCATGTCATGTTGCAGATGTGTATCCTCATATTCGTTGGGAACAACGGGGAGACCTACTTCAACACGGCCGCATTAGTCTCTGGTGTTCAGAACTTCCCCAAGAGCCGTGGTCCTGTGGTTGGTATCCTCAAGGGCTTTGCTGGTCTTGGCGGTGCCATCCTCTCTCAGGTCTACACTATGCTCCACTCCTCTGACCGTGCCTCCCTCATCTTCATGGTTGCTGTTGCCCCTGCGCTTGTCGTTGTTCCTCTCATGTTCTTCATCCGACCCGTCGGTGGTCACAGGCAGCTCCGTTCTTCCGACACCACCAGCTTCACCATCATCTACGCCGTCTGCATTCTGCTTGCTGCCTACCTCATGGCTGTGATGCTTGTTGAAGATTTCCTTCATCTTAGCCATTCAGTCATCACTGCTTTCACCGTAGTCTTGTTTGCAATTCTCCTTGTACCAATCTTGATCCCTATCGCCACCAGTTGCTTCACAGCCGAGCCTTGTGACACTCTAGAAGAACCTCTCGTCGGAGACCAGGACCCGGGGCAGTCAGCATCTGACCGTGATCCTGAGCTTATACTGAGTGAAGTGGAAGACGAGAAGCCGAAAGAAGTGGACCTGCTTCCTGCGTTGGAGAGACACAAGAGAATTGCTCAGCTGCAAGCAAAGCTGATGCAGGCAGCTGCAGAGGGTGCAGTTCGGGTCAAGAGACGGAGGGGACCTCACAGAGGCGAGGATTTCACTTTAACTCAGGCACTAGTCAAAGCAGATTTCTGGCTCATATTCTTCTCACTCTTGCTCGGCTCTGGTTCGGGTCTAACCGTGATAGATAACCTTGGGCAGATGAGCCAGTCTCTTGGCTACGACAACACTCACGTTTTTGTGTCCATGATTAGCATTTGGAACTTTCTTGGACGCATCGGTGGCGGCTATTTCTCTGAGCTCATCGTCAGGTATTTCATATTTGTCACTCCACACCCAATAGTCAATAGGATGAGGATAATGACTTATGACTCCAAATGATTTTGGTTGCAGGGACTACGCCTACCCAAGACCGGTTGCAATGGCAGCGGCTCAGCTTGTAATGTCCGTAGGACACATCTTCTTCGCATACGGATGGCCTGGAGCGATGCACATCGGGACACTCCTGATTGGACTCGGCTATGGTGCTCACTGGGCCATCGTCCCAGCCACTGCCTCTGAGCTCTTTGGTCTCAAAAAGTTTGGAGCTTTGTACAATTTCCTGACGCTGGCCAACCCGGCTGGGTCCTTAGTCTTCTCAGGTCTGATCGCAAGCTCCATATATGACCGTGAAGCAGAGCGGCAAGCACATGGGTCCTTGTTCGATCCTGACGACGTCCTGAGATGCCAAGGTTCCATCTGTTACTTCTTGACCTCACTCATAATGTCTGGATTCTGCCTCATTGCAGCCTCCCTGAGCATGATTCTTGTGCAACGGACCAAGTCGGTTTACACAAATCTCTACGGCAAAACCCACAGCTGATTTTCACACCAAGCAAAAGCAAAAGGCTGGGTGTTTCTTCTTTCATACATATGATTGCTCGTCTTCAATTCCTCATCTTATTCTTTCGCTTGGTTTCTTCGACTTTCCCATAAAAGTGTATTTTTTTTTGGATTCACATTCGTAATTGATCTGTTGTATTCACTCACATAATTCATCATAATCTTCAGCTACAAGGTGTCCTCTGTGTACATGTCAAACAACGACCTAATCTGTGTCTGTCTCTGATTTAAGTTCCAGAAGCTATAAGATGTTGGCGCAGGCGAGAGTCCTCATCCTCGTCGTCCTCATCCTCAACGACCATCCATGGCAATATAGGTCCCTGTACAAACAAGACAGACGAAAAGCTCATTTGATGGATAAAGCAATGAATGTTAGACATCTATTACCTTCCCTTGGCGTATGACCTTGGGATATGGTCCTGTCATATCCACGATGGTGGATGGTTCAGTAACTCGGACACCTCCATCTACCACAAAATCCAGGCCCTGTAAAAAGAAGCCGAAACAGAGAGTATGAGCGAGCGAGAGAGAGAGAGAGAGATTGAGTGAGAGCTGTGTATATATATGCATACCTCTGGTCCATACATGTCACCAATAGCGGTTGGGTCAATCATCCATTCATTTTCTTTAGGCCCTTTCACACTGCCATGATTTCACCACATCCACACATTACCGCTATGCACATATGTGTGTATATCTTAGAGTGTAATGAAATGGGATTTACTAGGAAGAGGTAAACCTGGTGCAAATAAGAGGGGCATCCATGTGGTGCAAAATAGCTTGGCAGAGAGCGTCATCAGAAATGCGGACACCGACGTTTTTCCTGGAAGCATATTTGACACTTGTGGTGCCAAACCCTACACACTGTTTTGGTAATTCTTTGCTTGCAGTCAAGATGAAGGTGTACTGTTCAAACACATGTTAATGGACATTGTTCCTTGAGTAAGCAGTATCATTATATCACCCTTTTATCAACAAATGCAGAGAAGAAGAGAGAGAGAGAGAGAGAGAGTAATCTCACAGGTCCAGGTAAGCATTGCTTGACAGCTCGGAAAACGTTAGCATGGCCATGGCCATCACCACGAGGGAAGCCCATTGTAAATGTGTCTATGTCCCGTAAGGAACGGCATAAGATGCTAAGTGGCTGCGTAAACAAGTAACAAGAGATTATTATCATCATATACACCAAGAATAAGACATTTAAGCAACGCAGAAATAGTGAAGCTTACCTTGGAGGATTCAATCTTTTTAATCCTACAAAGACAAAGAAAAAGGGTGGGTTTGTGGCTGTGTCAGCTGAAAAGGGATTAAGGAAGAGGCAGCTAACCTTCGGAGACGCTCTACAGCGGAATGGTTTTTACAGTCACAGGCTATTGCATATCTATACAAGAATGAATGAATGAATGAAGAAGATGCATGTGTAAAAACAAGTAACGAGGAAAATATAAAGTGGGAAATGACTCATGAGAGAGGCTTACTTACACTGTATCAGTGGGAATAGCCCCAACAGCTCCTTGCTTGAGCAGCTCAATCACAGGTTCCAATTTCCACGCATCAACCCCCGAAGGATCCACCTCTATACACAGCAATTCCCCTTCCTATTTTATACAAATCCATTACAATCCAATCCAAAGAGATAAGAATCACAGTTGAGCTTTAAGCTTTCAAGGGCAGAAGAATGGAGAATGCCTAACAAGTAACAACCTTAGTGAAGCGAGGAGTAGAGTACTTGAGACGCTTAGGGCTTCTCTTGGCCGCCATTGCAGCGACGTGCCTTTGTGGAGAGAAAGATCCACTGCTCGGAATCGTTGAAATACGCCGGAGCGTCATCGGCATCGCCATGTCGCCGCCGTAAAGTTTGGCCGCCGCCATTAGAAACGGACTGTGTGTTTTTAGCCTCACAAAGAAGACGACGACGGCAGCGTTTCGTAATTGAGATTAAGTTGTAAGGTCAACGACTAGTCAACTGAAGTGAAGCAAACAGATTAAATTGCATAATTTAACACAAAATTCTCTAATCGCAATTTGGGCCGATGAGAAGATTTGTTGGGCTGAAGTTAGTGTCAAAGCCCTTTGACACGCGTCATTTCATCATCTTCTTCATCGTTGTTATCTATATCTCGAGGAATCCATTATTAGTAGGCAAGTGAGATCAAAAATCAAAATCAAAAGAAATGCCAGGAATAATCGGGCCCTCGGAATACTCGGAGGAACCAACTCGGCACCCTTCTCTCAAGGTCAACGCAAAGGCAAGCAGCATCACTTTTCTTCTTTAAGAGCTTAATCGCTACTAAAACTAGACTTGCTTCTGATCCATTCGATTTGTCCCTGCTTTGGTGGATAAGTGATAACAGGAGCCCTTCAATGCTGAGCCTCCGCGGTCTGCCTTGGTTTCCTCTTATGTCACTCCCGTCGATCTTTTCTACAAACGAAATCACGGCCCCATTCCCATTGTCCACGACCTTCAAAGGTCCTTCAGTACACACACACACACACACACTATCTCTCTCTCTCTCTCTCTCTCTCTCTCTCTCTCTCTCTCTCTCTCTCTCTCTCTCTCTTCCTTCATATTGAATTTCAACTTGCTTGCGCTGATTCTGGATTCTCTTGCCCCCTAAACCAGCTACTCCGTGGCCGTCACCGGATTGATCGACAACCCAAGAAAGCTGTTTATGAAAGATATCAGGTTGATTCACAATTTACGTTTGTGTTTGATAATGATATACAAACCGTCTACAGTATTTATAAAAATCCCTTATCAAATTGCAGATCCCTGCCAAAGTACAATGTTACTGCTACTCTACAGGTATATATATGGTTGTGCTTGTAAATTGTAAATTGGAAATGGTGTATTCTTCTTCTTCTTCTTCTTGTTACGAGTAATCATGTGTTTTGTATGTTGGAATCAAGTGTGCCGGCAACAGAAGGACTGCCATGAGCAAAGTCAGGACTGTTAGAGGAGTTGGATGGGATGTTTCTGCTATTGGCAACGGTTCCTTTCTCCTTTCCTTTCTCCTTTCCTTTCTCCTTTCTTTCCTTTTGTTTCCTCTTGTAATACATACACCAAAGACTCTGCCTTCCCTTTCTACAGCTGTCTGGGCCGGGGCCAAATTGGCGGATGTTCTTGAGCTCTTTGGGATAGCAAAGCTGACATCTTCGACCAGTTTAGGAGGCAAACATGTTGAGTTTGTTAGTGTTGATCGCTGTAAGGTATATATATATCGATTTCTTTCATGTTTTTGTTATTGACTCGGTTGATTGATTCACATGAAAAGTCCTTTTTTGTTTGTTTGTCTCTCTCTCTCTCTCTCTAGGAAGAGAATGGGGGGCCTTACAAGGCGTCCATCCCTTTAAGTCAAGCCACGAATCCTGAAGCTGATGTTCTGCTCGCTTATGAGATGAATGGAGAGGTTCGATATCCTTCTCTTGCTTCCTTCCTCAACAGATTAGCCTTAGCCTCGCTTGTGTATGAAATCATCATCATCACTTGTTTGTTTCAAAAATGCTCAAAAGACGCTGAACAGGGATCACGGATTCCCGTTAAGGGTGGTGGTCCCAGGTGTGATTGGTGCTCGTTCGGTCAAATGGCTTGATTCCATCAACGTAATCGCTGAGGAATGCCAGGTGAGGCCTCAACAAAACAAAACTGCCCCTGTTTTCCCATTTTTGTAGCAATCAGAAACTGCTCTAACATGGTCAGATGCTGGGATGTGGTGTAGGGATTCTTCATGCAAAAGGATTACAAGATGTTCCCACCCTCTGTCAACTGGGATAATATCGACTGGTCTTCAAGGAGGCCGCAAATGGATTTCCCTGTCCAGGTAAACACCCTCGTAATTTGTTACACAATACTTGATCTTCTTCCAGTTTCCTTGCCATGTTCTTGGTTCCTTTGATGATGGATCTCTTGTGTTCAAAATTTGCTTTGTATGGCTTATGAGTTTGATTTCAGAGTGCAATCTGCTCCTTGGAGGACGTGCAAATGGTGAAGCCTGGAAAGGTAACAACTTGTGAGCCGAATCTGACCTGAGAAAGCAGGTGCATTGTCGATCTAATTTGGTCTTCGCAGGTAAACATCAAAGGATATGCGGTTTCAGGAGGTGGGCGCGGGATAGAGCGAGTGGACATCTCCCTCGACGGAGGTATCAACTGGACGGAAGCTTCGAGAACCCAGACACCAGGAAAGCATTACATCTCAGAGCACGAGTCGAGTGACAAATGGGCGTGGGTTTTGTTTGAAGCCACCGTTGATGTTTCGCAGACCACTGAGGTCATCGCCAAAGCGGTAAAAGCCTCCTCAACATTTTCATTTTGCTCACCTAAGACTTGACTTTTCATAATATACGTTATACGGGCAGGTGGATTCGGCGGCGAATGTTCAGCCAGAAAATGTGGAGTCAGTGTGGAACCTAAGAGGGGTGCTCAACACCTCGTGGCACCGTGTCCTTCTCCGCCTTGGCCACTCTAACTTGTAGATCAAGTTACCCACCACCTTCTCCTTTTTTTTCAAACTAAAGACTTGCTTTGAATTTGTGCATGTGGTATGTCGATATGTGACCAAAAGAATTGAGCTTTTGTTCAAATAAAATGGGAAAACCCACCTGTGATTTACTCTTAGGTCTTAACTTCCTTCACCCTCCACTCTCTTTATTCTGTGCATTTGATTTGACTTTGTATTTAATCATGTCACGTTTTAATAAGTCGGTACGCTTCCGTCACATTTCAAGATACAAGCAAGCGGTAGATTCGGGAACCTGCCGGTGTTCACTTCACAACATATACTACTTGTTTCTGAAACTATAAACTCATTCAACATCGATTCAGTTGCTGCTCTAATCTTTCTTTCAACAGAACAAGCGCTGCGGAAAAGTATTAAAAAAAAAAAAAAAAAAAAAAAAACCAAAAAACCAATAACCTTATATTTTAAATCAAATATTCTGGACCAGAGAGATACGAAAGGACAATATCATTCATCACCGGTCTAAAACCTTTTGACCTTGGGTCCACTGGGACCTTCTTCTTCAAGGATTTGACGAGGAATTTTGTAAATGAGGTTTCGGAATTTCTTCCGGAAAAGTCCAGGCAGTGTCTTTGCGATACCGTCAAGGGTCTTTTCAATGTCATGCTGCACAAGTGGACCCCATTTCCTGAAATAGTTGAGCCACGCTGGCTCCACGATTCCTTGTCCTGCAATCAACTCATATCCCGCACCTGCGTCAAAGAACTTGTCACTTCTTGCCATGTCGTTTCTTACACCGTTTCCGTCTTGGCCTTGCAACACGAGTCCTGGTCTTGAGAACATTGCGTGGCCGTGAAGAGAGGAGTAGGCCACAGGTTTGTTTCCGCCTTGAAACTCTAGATCGCACGCCTCCACTAGGGCTCCGCCACTGTCCTCAGAGAAGTAGGCGCGCCACAACTCGCCGTTGAAGTTGCTGATGCGCAAGGTAACGTGCTCCCAGTCTCCGATATGTTCTCCGACATCACCTAGCGAGAGGCTCTTGATGAATAAAATCTTGAGGCGGGCATTGCCGTTAAAAGGGTAGAATATCCAGACGACAATGTCAGTGAAAGTGCCTCCAAACATTGGCTTCACGTGTAGATACACCTTGGTGTTTCCTAAGTCTCCCCTTTTAACCCTTTCCCTTGCGTTCTCATCGGCCGGATAATCAATCCAGAACAAGCCATCATCCGAGCCGCCTTGAGGAAGGTTTGAACCGTTGGGTTGTACTGGGACGGGGTTAGATTCGTTACCTTTCTTGTACAGCAAGGCACCGTTGGAGAAAACCCAATCGACAGAGGAAGGAAGAAACTCCTCCTTGGGATGTAAATATATCCAAGGAGAGTAGGCTCCAAACAAAGCTCTAATCTGATCTTGGCTCGGCATGCTTGACATGTCATGTTTTGTGTTTTTCAAGCAGAATAACGACGGAGGTGGGAAGTTTAGTTGCTGAAAGCTGAATGTCCCTGTGTACACACCTGTTGCTTCTGTTCCTCTGTTGGCCGGTCTCAAACTAGAAAGAGTTACTTCTTTTACCCCCCACACCCATGTATCGGCTTCACTCTGATCCGTAAGATCGGACCGAACACAGCTTATAGATTCTTGCCTCAAAGGGGGCTTCGTAGGAGAAGTAGAAACAAATAGGCCAACCGCTTGATACCCTTGAGGACAAATGGGCTGCCAAAAATAAGCAGGCCCGTCTTGCATGACAATGACGGAATTTGTGTTCCCAAGTTCAACGTAGTCAACCGGTGGTCTCAAGCTATTTCCAGATACGTCTCAAGCAACAAGAACCCAACCGAAAAGCAAACGGTTGTTGGGTTGTGCATAGAAGCCAAGTGTGAAGAAGCCAGGAGGAAGATTGATAGGTTCGAAGATGCTGATCCCCATGCTGTCGGGCCCTCCCTCGTACGTTGTCCATACTCTCTGTGACGTTGAGGCTGAGATGGAGACTTGGATCACCTCAAGATCTCCCAGATCTATCTTTCCTTTCCCAAAATTTCTCCCATCCAAAGGGATAACAGGTAATGGAGATGGAAACTTGAAGCTTGTCTCCACAGGTAATGGAGATGGATGCGCAGATCCGGTCACTGTCGAATTCCAATTGAAGTTGGTTCCACCTTCGATGCAAAACACATGGTTAACAAATAAAATGAGAAGAAAACAGAAAAGTTCAAAGCCTTTTCCACAAGACGATTCCATTCTACTCTGTTAATTTGTTTCAGTATGAAACATTTAGGATTTACGTACCTTAATTTGAACACTCTATTCTCCATTCTAATTTTTAGTCAAGAGTGTTTATTAATAAGTCAACATGTATAATGGGCAGATTATATGCTGTCAGAAACATTTATAGATGATTTCCTATAATTTATCAATTTATTTTGGGAAAATCTAAATAGTAACGTAATTTTATGGTGGACTTCCAATTATAGCATAATATTTTCAACTCGCCAACTTTAATTTCCTGCTAAAAGATATACTATACATCATCTACGTATGTGGAAAATGATTTTAGAAAGGTGCATTTCTAAAAGGGAAATCAGTGCTGTATAAATGTTGTTGACTTAAAATTTTCAACATAGATTGGTATGGATATAACTTTTATAAAGATAATAGAAAATCACTAATTTCAAATATTAAATCAAGTAACACAAAATCTACAATAACTTTATTCTAATAAACATACACATTACTTAAGGTAGTATTACTTCCTCTCTTTTCCTTTTTAATGAATTTTCTTAGATTTTCACACATATTAAGAAAAGTTAATTTTAAATCATAGATGTATAGATTTTTGCAATTAAATAGTTTTATATAAATTTAAACTAATAAGAATTCAAAAAGCATAATAAATGTTTCATAGAATATGAAAAAGTGTATCAAAAAGTTAAAACATTTATCTTAATGAAACAACAAAAATTGGCTAGAAAATGATGTTTTAACACTTAGAAAAAGAACTTAAAACGAAAGTTAAATTAAATATTTTGTATTAAAATGTGAGTTGAAATTTAAAACGAAAGTTATTAATTGTTACTATGAAGCAAGTAAAAAATATTTAATTCCACTTACTATATATGAAATGGAGAAAGTACTCGTAATATACCTCATATTAATTAACAAAAATTATAATTAATATGTCATAATTACATAAGTATACATTTTTTCTCTATTTGAGTGAGTGTCACGTTAAAAATTACAATTATAATCCAATGAAAAGTGAGGAAAATAGTGCATTACAACTGTAATAAGCATTATGAGCTGCTGAAAAGATAACATTGTTCGATCCTTTAAAAAACAAGAAAAAACGACAAATGAAGAAACAAAATGCATAGTAAATTAACGGGTAATTAAATAGTATTAGGCTTCTTTTTCTGTATGTACTGCCTTTTTAGCGTTGGACATCAATGGGGGCATGATTCATCAACTTTCGTCGCCGCTCGGTAAAGCTGCTACAGGAAACCAAACGGGGAACGCAGCCGCCGTGTGCAGCCGATCTCACCCTCTTGAGTCTTTCGTGCTGTCTCTCTCTGTCGTTGTTATTAAAAGGAGTCGCAGGCGCAGAAGATCTAACCGGTGTTCTTAGCCAGAGGCATGCTCTTGCTTTGCCTTTTGTAACGTCATCTTCTTCTTCATCATCATCCTCGTCTTGTGTCTCTTTGAAGAGTTCTATGAGTCTCTTCTTGTTGTCGGTAGGAGACGGTTCATCTTCATGTTTTTTGTCCTCTGCTTGAGGAGTTTGGTTGCAGAATTTGTGATGCACTGGTGTTGATCCACGCGAGGGCGTAAACTCTGCAATTCATTCAACAAACGTGAATCGTTAGTTTTTAAAAAAAAAAGAATATCAAGATTTATCAATTACAAAAAGAAGAAGAAAAATTTATCAAGAAAACGTACGTACCACCATCAACGCTCATGAAATCATCTTCACAGTCAGAATCAAGCCACCCCCGTGAATCGAAAAACATCATATCCTCTTCATTACCTTAAGGAGTAATCCAAATCATTGTTACCGTATGTCCCAAAAACAAAAAACAAAAGAGTTTGTATATGAATCTACCCCAAACTATACGGTTGTTATAAATTTCGAACAATACATTGACATCATACATTAATTAAGATCTTTATTTATGAAAGCTGCAACTTGAAGGGTGGTCCATAGATATATAAATATCACATACCGCTAACTGTCTATGCCTTGAAAACATTCTAACCTCTAACGTACGCTTCACCGGTGTCCATGTGCTGCTATTTAAACAGGCCCCGTTGCACATTTACCCAAATGTTTATTTTGACCATCATCATCATTCATCACAACAATTATTATCAAATACTACTATTTAAAGATCACTTTCATTCTACTTAATTATGCTTATATCTTAAACTCATGAATATACGATTTTGTAACCCTTGCCTGATTAGTGTCCTAGTACATCTTGGTTGGTCTAAGAAAGCAAACGACTTTACATTTGTCGGCACTAAAAGCAACTAATCGATCACAGCCATTAGCAACTTTAATAATTGTTTCTAGATAAAACAAAGAAAAAAGTAATAAAAAAAAACAAACGCCGAGAATTATACGAGCGTATATACCAATACCAGTATCTGGACGAGCGGAATCTACGATAGAGTCTCGATGGTTCGTCGCCGGAGTGATGACGTCATTCCTGACGAGCGATGTGGTGGCAGCGATCGTGTCGGGTTTAGAGATTAAAGCGGCAATGTTTAGGGAGGCGGAGGAGGTCTTGTTGTGAGCAGAGGAGACACACGAGCCCATCTGAAGATTCAGCCGAGTACGTGCGTATGTTTTGCTGTATTTTGTATAGAGAGAGAATTATGTGGTTTAAGAGAGAGAGAGAGGGGAAATGTGATTAGAGAATCCAAAAGGCATAGAGAGACAAGGAAGATGAAGAAGCAAAGAGGAGAGAGAGATAGAGAAAGTGAAGAAATGGGCTTCAAAGTGAAGTTAACGGGAGGAGAAAACGGAGCAGTTATCGATTTGGTAAGTGTCTTTAATTGTATTCATATTTAGGTTATGGGTTCCTATTGGTCCTTACATTATACGGTGGGTCTCCTCTTTTCCTTTATTTTTTCTTCTGATTTTATTTAAGTAGTACTTGTATATTTTTGACTCATTTTGATTTTTGTTGTGTTTCATGCCCTCTCAAGTCTCAAACATATTTCAACCTATATCTTGATTATTATTTATGACTGTTGGGATAAATGTAAATTTAATTTAATCTAGTTGTTTTATGTCAAATAAATTCTATAGTTAGAGAAAAGAGTATTTAATTGCACTGTTAAGAAAAAAATCAAAAATGGGTCATTAGGCCGTTGACGAGAGAAGAGAGGCCGGAGGATAAACTGGGCCAAAAAGAAGAAAAGTCTTTACCCCAGAGAGCCAACTTTTAAATTATGACGATAACTCCACGTCATCAGACACGTAAGGTTTGGTGGGTTAACGGGTTGACCCAGTTGCCATTGCGCTTTTATTCTGATTTGTCTAAATTCTCTCTTTACCAAACCAAACACGAGCACGCAGAGTCGCAGACGCAGAGAATCAGGGAAGATGGGGGTGTCGCCGAAAATAGCACCGTCGATGGTGTCATCGGACTTTGCAAATCTGGCGGCGGAGGCCAAGCGGATGATCGATTTGGGGGCCAACTGGCTTCACATGGACATAATGGTTGGGTACCCCCTTTCTTCTGTTTCCAGTCTCACTTAAGTTTCATTTCATTCGATTCGATAGTTACAACTGGGGATTTAAGATTGATTGTACCTATCTCTCAAGTCGAAACCTCGTTTGTTGGGTCTCTATGTACAAGTCTCGTGAATTTGACCAGAATCATGGTTGGTTTCATTTTCGAGAGAAACTGGTTTGCTTGATGTGATCAGTCACTATGCGGCATACTGTAACTTAGAGTTGATATATTCGTAAGAGTAATTAGAAAAGAGTAAGAGAGCACTTGAATAATATTAGTTGATCAGGTGTACAACTGTGACAGCCTTGTTTGTAGTTGGTATCTACTATCTACTATCTCTGCTGCTCTTACTAGGAAAGGAAACCAACAAGTTCTCTGGAAATGGAATTAGGGTACAAAAGAAGCTTTTATTTTCTGCCTCGGCTATTGGATAATTGGATATTGGATATTGGTTATTAGCAGCTTATAAACACAGAGTGTGATGATTGGTGCAGGCATTTTGTCCCGAATCTCACGATTGGTGCTCCTGTCATCCAGAGTTTGAGAAAGCACACCGAGTAACACTCTCTCACTCCCTCCTTCCTTTGCTGGAATTGATCTCTTTGTTTAGGCGTCTGAAACCTCCTTTATCCTCCTCACACAGTGCATATCTCGATTGCCACCTCATGGTGACGAACCCCATGGATTACGTCCAACACATGGCTACAGCTGGGGCCTCTGGTTTCACCTTCCACGTCGAGGTTGCCAAAGGTTTTACTGCTCTTTCTCTCTCTCTCCCCCCCCCCCACACTCCATCCTTGCTTTTGTCTCTTCTTTCACTGATCGTTGACTCGGGTTGCAGAGAATTGGCAAGAACTTGTGAGCAAGATTAAGTCTGCAGGGATGAGGCCAGGTGTGGCTCTAAAGCCTGGAACACCTGTTGAACATGTCTATCCTCTGGTATGGATTTAGAAACTTTGAAAGGGCCTTTTGCATTTTATGTATGAATTTTCCCAGAGTGCGATGCGATCATGCTTTCATCTACGACAGGTTGAAGGGACAAGTCCGGTTGAAATGGTTCTTGTGATGACCGTTGAGCCTGGATTTGGGGGACAGAAGTTCATGCCTGACATGATGGACAAGGTTGGTTATCTTTTGCAACTCTCTTCTACATGTAATGCCATTTGCTCTTTTCCTATTTAACCAACACTTGATGATATTCAATGGGATAGGTGAGGGCTTTGAGGGACAAGTACCCATCACTTGATATTCAGGTAAAGCGCCTCTCATCCTTACAAGACATCGTTTCATCAACTGACTAGTCTTCCGATTCTGTAATCTATATACTCCCCCTGGATCAGGTGGACGGCGGCTTAGGCCCTTTGGCCATCGATGCTGCGGCTGCAGCAGGGGCCAACTGTATCGTCGCCGGAAGTTCAGTGTTCGGAGCTCCGGAGCCAGGGGATGTCATCTCCCTTTTGCGGACCACTGTTGAGAAAGCCCAACCCACTTGGGCCTTGAGGGAGTGAGACTGTGACTGCGACTGTGAGTCAATAGTTTTTTGTAATTTTATTTCTTTTAAATAAGATGGAAAATATGTTAGCTGCACATGGCTGCGTTGGTGCACAGACGGCGTCGCATTCTCATCGGAGTTTGGTATTTCTTCCTTTCTCTCATGGTTAAAAAAGTTGGTCCTTTATTTTATAAGGGTATGTTATTTCGTGAATCGTGATACATTTTGTTTATATGTATAGTCTTGGTTCCATGAACTGTAACAACTAACAAGTCATTTTTGAAATTATTTCTTCCCTCACACATCACAGTTCACAGATACTGCATGGTATTTTGTTTACAGTCCGGGATTTTAACTATTTATGTCATAGGAATTGGGTGGTACTACTCCTATGAATTGCAAAGTGCAATACTGCAATGCAATACAAATAGTTATTGGTAATAGTAATACTAATAGATTCAATCATTTTATAAGGGAACGCACTAATAGGTTTAACCTCTTAAAATTACAACTTTTGGTTTGAGTTATCGTTATTCCTTGTTCTTTTGGGGTCAACTTAGGGTTTTATTGCAAAATGGACCTAAGAGTACTTAGCCTTTTAGCTCTTTGATGCTTTGTCGTTGCTTTGTTTTGCATGTCTTTTCAGTTTCTTGATAATGTTTTTATGTCTTCCCCCTCTCCCTACTTATCAATTCCCAAATCATTCTCCACACACTATCTTTTGCATTTTACTTGACCCAACCATTGCTTCTTAAATATTTTGTCTAATATGGCTTGAAATCATTCAAGTAAGACTAACACAAAACGGTTACGTGTTTCAACTTGTGGTTACTATGTTGCAACCTACGCTAAGTTTAGGTATAAATCAATTCCGAAAATCTAGATTTCCCAACTCTGTAAACTACTGCACATGCTTTTGACCCGATTTAAAAATTGATCTTAAAGTTAAACAAACATGACCATGACTCTAACATGATACCCCAACAACAACTAAAAAGTGGGTCTTAACACGGCCTAACCTTGTTCCCAAAATCGCATATCGAAACAATATATAATCTTCTTAGGATAAAGTGAGTTTGTACCATTGAGATTCACTTAGCTTGGACTTGGCACTTTGTGAATGTTGTTGAGTTTACGAAGAAAAGGTTCCAAGCACAAGAAGATGTCCTTGATAACTCCTGTCGACAAATCTCCAAGAATCAATTGAATACATAAAATAAAATATAATATTTCACTAACCAATTGTATAATGTATGGTAACTTCAAGGGCACCTTCTAATTTACTAGAATTCAAATAGAACTGTCTGTTATCTAAGTGGAAGCCATGTGTACAAATACCAAACAAAACATTTGCAAGTAAAATCGAAAGTCCATAAACTTTTTCTTTATCCATATGAAACCTCTTTGGCCAATATATACAGACATGCACAAATGGTAATGACGCAGCTTTTGTAATGGACATGGCAAGTCTTGTAGTAATCTTGTTTCTCATCTCCACATCGTCTCTCTCTGCAACTCCACACGATCTTCTCAGCTGCGACACAGCCTCCCACACTGAAGAAGAAGCATCTTCCTCCTCCAGCTACTTTTGCGACTCAAACATCAAAAAGTGCCACACTTTCGCCATTCTCAGAGCGAATTCACTCTCCAGTTACCATCTTGGTCTCGAGTTTGTCCCGCAAGGTCAGTTACTGTTGATCACGATCGACTGCAGATGTAATGGAAGGATGTACGAGGCCCATCTCCTGAAAACTTGCGTTAGAGGCGACACCTTTCACTCTATCTCTCAATCCCTGCAAGGCTTGACCACGTGCCTGTACGTGAGCCCATCTTTTGTTAACATTAATGTTTTTCAATTCTGTTTGTTTGTTTATCAAGATTCGTGGTGTTCATTTTCATTGATGCAGATCTATAAGAGAGAAGAATCCAGGAATTTCTGAGGACAGTCTGGACGAGAATGTTGAGTTGCGTTTAGCGGTCAGGTGTTCTTGTCCAGAAGAAGGCGTTTCAAACGCCAGATTTCTGGTGACATATCCCGTGAGCGAGGGAGAAAGCGTTTCAAGCCTGGCAGCTAAGTTCAACACAACAGAGGATGCTATTGTCTCCGCTAACAACAGATCTCGACTGCTTCCACTCGCGCCTGCTCTCATCCCTCTTTATCACAAACCGGTTCTCGATTCGTTGCCTAAACCGGGAAACCCCGTACCACAGAACACCACGGCCGAGACTCGCCGGAAGAAGAAGAAAAAGCGGTCAAAGATGAAGCTCATGATCGCTGTGAGCAGCGCCATTGCTGGAGTTTGCGGTCTTTTCACTCTCATGGTGTTCGGTTACTTGCACTGGAAGAAAGAGACGGCGATGCAAACGCAAGCGCAGAACTGGATTAGCCGTAAAGATCCCGAGGCCCGGCAGCTGAGCCTGAGCATCCGAACCACCAGTGACAAGAAAATCTCGTTTGAAGGGTCTCAGGACGGTTCCATTTTGGATTCTCACAACACCGTTGGCACCACAACGCCTCGAAAACCCGTCCTGGAGATTTATGCGTTTGAAGAGTTGGAGAAAGCCACTGATAATTTCAGCTCAAGCAATCACATCAAGGGTTCGGTTTATTTCGGTTCACTAAAAGGCAAAGACTTGGCCATAAAGCAAGTGAGCGCACTTGCAATGAAAAGATTCGATTTTGGGCTTCTCAACGACCAGTCACACTACTACAACCACAATCTCGTTAGGGTTCTTGGGACATGTTTCAGAGAAACCGAAACCGATGAGGGCGGGTCTTATCTAGTTTTCGAGTACGCAAAGAATGGGTCTCTTTGGGATTGGCTCCAGAACAAACTGGCGATCAAGAATCAGTTCATCGAGTCTTGTTACTGCTTCTTGGCATGGAAACAGAGGATCAAGATCTGTCATGATGTCGCCATCGCGTTAAAGTACATGCATCGGATTAACTACGTCCACGGCGACATAAAGAGCAGGAACATCTTCTTGAATGAAGATCTCAGAGGTAAAGTTGGAAGATTTGGCATGTCAAAATGCGCAAGGGATGAATTAGCGAGCGAGGAGAACATTCTAGAAGCTGATACGTCTTCAGCTAGTGACGTTTTCGCATACGGGATTATGGTAATGGAGGTTCTGTCTGGACAAACGCCAGAGATGTTGCTTGGATCGCAAGAACAAGAGACAACATCTCTTGGGACACAAGAGACTGGTATGTCGGAATGGAAGAGAATGAGAAGGGTTCTCGGGGAGAAGGAAATGCTGAGGGAAGTGATGGATAGCACATTAGGAGAGAGCTATTCAGTCGAATCCGCGTTTGAAATGGCAACAATTGCAAGAGACTGTACAGCAGAAGAAGCCGAGTTAAGGCCGAGCGCGGTGGAGATTGCAGAGAGGGTTTCGAGATTGGTGGTGGATGACGATGAAGACGACGAAGACGAAGAGGTAATGGAGAGAGAGGATACCATGATTTCAGAGAGCTCTTACAAGCCTTTGGTAAAGAAGAATACTGTAGTAGACTAGTACTCTAGTAGTATAGATATGAATATGAGAGATATACGCTAGCATTTGTAACACTATATAAATATTATATATACATGTATTTCACTAGCATTTGTAACACTATATATATATATATATATATTATATATATACATGTATTATTCCATCATCATGACCCTAAACTCATCAAAGTTAATAATTCCATCCATATTAATATCAAACTGGGAAATCATGACCTCGCACTCTTTAAGGCTTTTGGACTCGCCCAACAAACTTAGCATCCTCTTGAGACTCTTAGGTGTGATGCCTTCACTCTCTTCATACAACTTGAAAGCTTGCTTCAAGTCCTTCTCCTTGTCTTCCTCCTCTCCTTGTTCCACCAAGTTGACGAATTCCTCCAGTTCCAAGGATTTGTCAGTTTGTGGAGCTGTCGTGGTATCTTGTGGTGCTAGTGCCTTTTGCCCGGACTTGATAGCTTCGACGCATCTTTCGATGGTGGAAACCGAAACCTTGCCTTGTTGGCCCTTATCAAAGCAGCTAAACACCCTTTGGTACTCTTCAAAGTTATTGCTCTTCATAGAAGACTTGAGAGAGAAGGAAGAAAAGGATACGAATATATATAAGACTATCTTCTTCCCTTGAAACTTTTGGCAATAGAAACGAGGAAAACTTATATATATATATATAGAGAGAGATTAGAGAGTGAGAAGAGAGACCTAAAGAGACGATAAACGTTGAAATAGAAAGTCATTGGTTATTGGAGCATAGTACTACTAGTACTTGTACGACTAGTCTTCTTTTTGCATATATGTTGGTTTCTTTACGGGAGCTTCAAAGGACAAACAACCGCGGCTTTTATTTCTGTGTTGACTAACCACAAGTTTCCATTTGTTTTGTTAAAATAAACAACTTCTTGGTGATTTCGGTTACCAAAGGACCACGAAGATTCCGTTGACTTTTGACTATTCAAGAAGTTTCGTGATCGTGAGCAAATGTTAACGTGAAATGAATGAATATTATTAATCTTTTTTTTCTAGTGTGTTTTTGGGTGGTTCACATTCGTTGACAATTTCGCCCGTTGAATATAACTGGGCTTATAGGTATGGGCGGGCTTTGGGCCAACAACATGTGACTTGTTTAACGTGTCATAGTGTTGTCCACGCAGTGGTGGACACGTGTGGAAAGCGAAAAGTGAGTGGCAATTCCGTGGTTTAGTGAGAAAGGAAGGGTCAAAGAATGTACAGCTGTTGGGTTCGTCTCCGTGTCCCCTTAAACCTCGCCTCCGTCTCCATTGAAACCCCTCTTTAAGCTCTGTGCCTATTCTCACCTTTCTCTCTCACTCTCTCTCTCTCCGAATCCGCCGCCACGCCTTCCCCATGGCATGGCTGAGCCGCGTCAGAGGAGTATCGCCGCTTTCAAGGCTCCTAGCGACGCGTCGATCTTTCGGATCAGCGGCCGCCTTGGCGTTTGACTACGACTCCGATGACGAGTATCTGTACGCAGATGAATCCCGTTTGGTGGAGACGAGGCTTGATTTGGATGGGTCAGGACCCGAGAGGGGAGTCCAGTGGGTGCTGATGGGCGCGCCCAGGCACGTCTTCGCTGAGAGGCTCTCTAACCTCCTTCAAGTTCCTCACATTTCCATGGGGTCGCTTGTCCGTCAAGAGCTTAACCCTAGATCTTCTCTCTACAAGGAGGTACTGTGCTCAATTCGCAATCTAAAAGAAGCCATTCTTCTTTGCTTTTCCAATTCCCATCAATATGATATATTTTCTGTCGTTAGGGTTCTTTCTTTATAAAGAAGACTGTAACACTTGAAGCTGTAGTCTCTCTTTGATGGTGCATTGATTTCAAAGTGCTTTAAATGAGCCATAGTTTACGTCAATTGGGGTTGAAAACTCTTAATGTTGCTTCTTTATGGCAATGTTTTGTTCCTTAAATAGCTTGTATCTGTAGGTGCAAGAAGATGACATTTTTTCCTATCTCTTGGAACTAATCACTAGTCTTCCTGTGTCTAATGTGTTTACAGATTGAAAGTGCTGTAAATGAACGAAGGCTTGTTCCAAAGGGTGTTGTGTTTGCATTGCTTTCAAAGCGGCTGGAAGAAGGATACGTTAGGGGGGAAACAGGTTTCATTCTTGATGGAATTCCCCGCACTCGTAGTCAAGCCGTGAGTTTCCTTACAGTGTTATTAACTATTGACAGTGTTTTGAAATCAGCAAGGCAAGTGATTCCTCACACCTTTCTCAATGTTTGCAGGAAACTCTTGATCAAATCGCTCAGATTGACCTCGTTGTGAATCTTAAATGCTCCCAGGAGCATCTCTTAAACCACCGAGCTGCTGCTCTAAACGAAACAGCTCTGCCTCGACAGGAGTTCCTTGGCTCTATGCTACACTCAGCTGTTGCAATCAAGGCCGGGAAGGAGAGTCTTGGTGTCTACAAAGAGGAGGTACTTTTTTGTGTGTTTATGAAACCTTGTCTCTGTTATATAACTCTCAAGTTAAAAGGCTGAAAATAGTTGTGGGGATGCATCAGGTGAAGCCCCTGGAAGAGTACTACAGGAAGCAGAGGAAACTTATCGACTTTCATGTTGGCGGTGCCACATCAGCAGAAACATGGCACGGCTTATTGGCAGCTCTGCATCTCAGACATGCGAATTTGGCGACTTCACAGAAGCTCACTGTGTGATGCTCAGGCAAAGTGCAGCGTTATATCTGCCGAGAGCTTTGCTTTATAAAGTTTTGATCTTTCTTTCTTTTTTCATTTTACATTTTATGGGTCTGTTTCATCCTTCAGGTAAACCCCTATTTTTTTATTTTGTTTGCCAAATCTGTAATTCAAAGTTTTGCGAGAGATGCTATGTGATGAGGAGGATACACACTAAAACTTGTAATGAGTTGAGTTGAGTCGATATATATAGAACACGAAATTATTAACATATAAATGCTTAGTACCTTTGAAACACAAAAACAAGTACAGATATGCTTCACTTGCAATAACCTCTCTGCAAGTCTGCAACACATATGCTCAAACTGCGTCTCTTGTTAGAATAAAGTTCGTGCTACACACTCTATACATGGCAACCAAGTAATCGATTCATGAGACATTTACAAATTACAAGCCTCACAAGCGAGAATTGAAATACAAAACACATCAACGTCTTATTGATCATTCGCCGTTCCTCCAACACTCCCTGAGAAGTTGATACCTGACTGTCTCATCCGCACAGCCATCATTGACTGCCTGCTGAAGTCCAACAACATCCAACGGTGAACTCAGCTCATCAAGCTCGTCATCGCTTGTGTATGCTTTTCTTGTGACCGAAGACCTGATTCTGCATAACTGCGGCGCCTGAGCCTGTCCAAAGTCTCCAATCATAGTGGAGATTGAAGCCCCTGAAGGTGGAGAGTACACGGGAGGAGGTGCAGTGCATGGATAACTCGTGATCATACCCTTCTCAGCTTCCTCCTACAAAGAGGCATCACTAGGCTTCTGTTAGCAAAATTAGCCTATTGACCTCCAATAAAGAGAAAAAGAAAAAAAAAGCGTCTCACCTCGGATTCAAGAGCTTCAAGTACACCATGAGGAACTGGGTCAGGGCAAAACTCATCCGGCACAAAATTATTCAGCACTCTCTTGATCAACGGTGCACCAAACATTGGGCAAACCTTCACAATGAAAAGAGATATTAGAGTGATATCTAATCAAAAGAAACAAGTTTACAGGATAAAGAGAGCTGTGTGTTGCATTTGCACCTCTTTTCTCACAGAAGTGTTGAGGAGCATATCTTTTGGAAGCATCATTAGATCGCTTAATGCCTTGAGAAGATTGAAAGTCTTGAACGATCTCTCAACGTAGCTATTCTCATCGCTGCTGCCATCATCTTCGTCATCGATGCCGAATAGATCATTGAGCCACCTGGACCAGTTTCCTATCTGTTTAACATTTACAAAATGCATGAGCTTTTACAGAGTCTCTACACTATAAGCATTGGTTAAGAGAAGTAAGTTGAGTGCACTGACCGAGTTCTTCAGCTGGGCACCTGAACCGAAACTTGATGTTGTACAAGGAATTGGTAAGACCCTGGAGTCTGCAATGGGATCAGAGACAGGGTCTGTTGGGAAATTTTCATCAGAATCACGAAGGATAGCATTGAACATTGCCACATCTAGCCGAGCCACACACTGTTCCATTATCTGCATGACAGACATGTCTGTAACTGTAAATCAAGAGTTATGGCCCCAAAGTGAAAACTTTACAAAGGAAACATGTTTACCAGACGCGCAGGCACCGGCGAACAACCACATTCATGCCCACTAGCTCTCACAGGGCATAGACGTTCATGTGCATCCCTGAAAGCCTTTTTCCAAAGCTCTAATGAAAAGTCACCTTGTTCTTGGTTCATACAGCTTGGAGTTCTGCCAAAGTTTTTCTTTGACGCAGAACCATTGGCTTTATCAAACTCTCTAGTGGATGCTGCCGAGGACTGCATATGTGGTGTCAAAGTCTGCAAATCAAAAGGACAAGAACATTAGCATTACAATTGGTCAAGTGAGTGAAGAATGAAGACGAAGCAGAGAGAAGCTAGCAGCATTACCTGCCACCATATGGATTCTACAACGCGTGAGAAGATCCAAGCTTCGACCTTCTCTAGCGCTGTTACAAATGTTTTAGGGTCATCCCACGCACCAACACTCTCAATGTCCTTTTTGCTCAGAGAAGAAGAATCTTTCCACCTCAAGGATGGTCGCTTCTCGGTTTCTTCTCTCTGACCAAGGTAGTTCCTCGGTCCAGGACCAGAGGAAACAGGTAGTTCCTCTTCTGCACTGGTATCACTTATGATCGCCCTCAGGATGATAGTGTTTGACAACCAAAATGTCAATCTAGGGACATCATTTCCACACGCTTTGGCGACAAGAACCAACCCGGAGACAGCACTTTTGGCTGCATTAGCTCTTCTCGAATGGGTTTCTCTGCAAGCATGAAGATACAGCCTCAAAAGACGTCTAGCAGGCGCATGGACTTTAGTTGACGAACTTCCATGCTCTGAAACCACGGAGTAGAGCGCTGCTTCAACGGCTGCAGCCTCACATAACTCACCCTCAAGCTTCTTCACCTTACTTTCCAAGCTCTTGACTTTGCTCTCCAAACTTGTGTCCCGTGCAGACTTTGGATACACCTTAGCTTCTCTGGATAAACTCAATCGGCTACTGCTCCTGGAAATATCCAAGGATGATCGAACAGACCTCACCGTTCTTGATTTCTCAACTCTGCACTCTGATTCCTGATCACTCATCAAATCTTGGCTATTCTCAGAAGCTCGAGGCGAAGCATTTTCCGAGTGATCATCGATTTGGAAAGGCATAGACTTAGTGGTCTCCTTAGGATCGGTTGTAAACACAGAAGATAGATCCAGAGATGAGGAACGTGACGCAATATCTCCTTGTCTGCTCTCAGATGCTGACTGGGATCTCCCGTGGCCATTTCGTTTGGAACTCTTGTTGAGCCTCTCATGTTCTTCCTGCAAATAAGACATGAGACCACTTTTGAACATTCCATCCACCTAACTAACTTATCCAAAAAGAAGAATATAGAAATGTTGACATCTTACGAAAAGGGCACCATTTGAAGATGAAACAGTCAAGGAGGAGCGGGAGGAAACGTCGTCGTCTGTGATGGAAGCAATCTCAGCTTCCTTATAGTATTCCTCGTTCATCAAGGCAGAAACAGATTCACCACCATTTGCAGCTTCCTCCTTGGCCTGGCGTCTATCAATGCGTTGAATAGTGAGGTACAAAACAGGCTGACTTGTTTTCCAGAAGGTTCGTTTACTGTTCATCGGAGCAGTTAAGCTCAAACTGTCTTTGACAATACCATAATCCGCCAGGTCAATGGTTGCAGTTGCCAAGAGCTGATGTGTTTTCTCTCTGCGAGGCTCGTACAAGTTGAGCTCCAAGACGTTCTTGAAGAACACATCGCCGCTCTTGTTGTTCCGAGCAGAGGCGTCTTTGAACAAGGTCACAGGAAGCTTAAATGATTCGTTGAACTCGATTTTGCCTTCGCCGATGACAGAGCCAAGAGAAGGAGCAACGACATTTGTAGTTCCAGAATTGCGGTCACCGTTCTCCCACTGAATGACAACAGAGCGCAGTGATCGAAGGGACTGAGAGGGAGGCCAAGGTTTGATCTCGTGAATGTTGATCAGGTAATGCACTTGTATCGATGAACCTCTCCTGTTCTTGGAGCTTATACCCAATACCATTTCCCCAAATCAACTACAATCACTGTAATCAAAAGTAGCTTTGCATTAACATCCCAACACTTTGATATTCAACAAGTCTTCTTCGATTTTACCAACCAGGAAAGCTTTGACTATCCTAAAAATTCCAACTTTAATTCCAAATTAACCATTTAAATTTGGGATTTAGACAATGCATAAACAAGAAAGAAAGTAAAATCTCTGCTTATTTGGTCTTCCATATAACACTATCGATTTGATTGATTAAGATCCAAACTGCTCCAGAAGACGAAAAAAAAGAAGAGAAACTTATCTCCGAGCTAATTAAAGATAGATTGCATCAGATTCAAGCAAGTGAGGTAAAGATAAAGCAAGGGAGGCATTAGAGCAAAAAGCAGGCGTGTAATGCAGCATTGGAGAAGAATAAGAAGTGGTCAAAGTAATGTGAGAGAGAATACCCAAACAAACCCAAGTGCAGAAATTAGATGAAAATGTGAATGTTTGTTTCGATTCGTGTCCTTCTTCTTTACATGAATTAATAGGATTTCTGCTTTGTTTTCCTGTCTTTTTTGCTTTCTGGAGTGCGTTTTGGTTAATCGGAGGAAGGATGTGAGCCACTGACAGAGAATGAAGCATCAATATAGCGGAGGAAATTTAGAAAGAGAGAGAGAGACAATTAAATTAACAAACTATTTTTCATTATGATGTCAAAAAGAGAGAAGAATTCCAATTTTGGAAAATTCTGAAAATTAAAAAAAGGAGTTTGATGATCGTGCAAAGAAAGAATGAAAGATCTATCTAAAACGGCGACGTTACGAATGAAGAGCATTATAAAAAATATACAAACACACGCGCTTTACTCACGCGTTGTCACAAAACCACAATGCTTTTGCTACATTGCCTCTTTACTCTTTGTATCTCTTACACGAATGCGAGTGGGCAAAATTGGATACCATTCTGTTCTAATTGTTTTCTTTCTTTTTATGTTCTTGTATACTCCTTCCGTTTTTTTTTAATGAATTTTCTAGCCATTATGTGTTTCACAAAGATAAAATTTTTACCTTTTTTATTCACTTTTTCAGTTTTCAAGATACAATGATTATATTTGTTGGATTTTTATTGGTTTAAAATTATAAAAAGTTGTTTTATTGCAGAAATCTATGCACTAATAATTGAAAATCAACTTTTTCTTAATCTGTGTGAAAAAACTAGAAAATTTATCTTTAAAAAACGGAAGGAGTATATATCTTTTGCCGACAAACTATACAGCCTATAGCTAGAAAATGCATATCCCTTCTAAAGGAGAAATTGTATAAAACAATTGTGTGGTCAATGAATGAATGTTTAAAAAAGAAAACATTCTGTTGCATAGATGGACCGAGTTTAGAGTAAACTACATATGAATTTAAAACCAGACTATATATTGATGGATCAAAAAAACATTGGGATGAGAATATTAAATATGGATACTTTTCTTAATAAAATTATAATTGGGATCCCAATCCCATTATTCTTTGCAAGTACAACAAGACTAGAAATGAGTAGTAGTTACAAATTTACCAAAGCATCAACTTCATTATGATGTAGTTTATTGGTAAAAAAATTGACTCATCTCCTACCTTCCTTATCTTTGTTTTCAAGTTTGGATTTTTCAAGACTAAAATAGCATCACCAAGACTTAATATAATAACATTAACAACTTGTATATCATATTCTCCACCAAGTTTGAGTCTGAGTCAACGACACATATGTCTAAAATTTAGAAGAATCGAGCGAGTATAGTAACAGCAATTCAACAAGACTCTAAAAGGCTTTCTTGTCTCCAAGCACCATGGTTGGCAATTCAAGCTCCACTGTGAAGAACATTTTTACAAATCTTGTTGTAATCGATATAAAGATTCTAAAAGGTAGCGTAAAAAAAAGAGTGAAAGGTTGATAGATATGAATATGAGTGAGTCAGGCTTGAGTGATCTCTTTTTCTTTGGACTTGCACATGTCCTCTGCTGACTTTACAAACTTCTTCGTCAACTCTTCCACCTGTCAAAGTTAAACAACAAACACAAAGAGATAGAAAGATTCAATAGTGGCAGCAGAGGCAAAACCCATTTGCAGAAAGAAGAAAGATGATGATGATGATTGACTCACTTCCTTTTCCAGTCTTTTCACTTCATCCTTTGGTAGGCTCGACCCTGCTTTCTTTATCGTGTCCAGTGCCTTTGACAAGTGACAAGAAGACATAAACCATTACCTTCTTTATACGTATTAGAATTGGATAGACAGTTTACAAGTAACAGCTTCCATGCCTACCTTCTGCCTCGATCTTCTGATGCTTTGTTTGACAACTTCACTGGACTTGGTTACAATCTTGCACATTGCCTGGAGTTAAGAATTATACATATAGGGTCATCATCATTCAGGGCTAAACGATAAACACAATCACACAAGACAAGGAAGCCTTTACCTGAGTATGCTCCTTGGTCAATCTGCGGACAAGAGACCAAAGCGTCATGTCAAAACTCAAGAAAGAATCAAATGTGACAGAGAAGAACTCAAGAAGGAAGTGTTGGTTTGCGTACGCTGGGATAGATGCGACAAGTCGCTGGCCATCCAGTTTGGGGTTTAATCCTAACGGCGACGCGACAATTGCTTTCTCCAGTTCTTTCACCGTCTAAAACAAGATGTGAGGTTTCACTTTCAATTCAAAACCACACACACAAGAGACACAAGAGACACAAGAGAAAGAAAAAAATAGAAAAAGGAAGAAGAAGAGTGGAGCTCACATCGGGATCATAAGGATTGACAGACAAAGTCTTAGGATCAAGCACAGAAACCAAAGCCAAGTGATTCAGTGGCACCTTAACTCCTCCGGTTTCAACAATAATATGATCCAGCATTCCTGCAAACCATAATACTAAGCATTATTAAGCATTATTAGGCATTAAGGCTTCTTCCTCCAGTTTATGCTGGTTGTTATTAAGAATCAAAATATCACCTGGAGCAGCTCTTCCAGTTCTGATTTTAGTTAAATCACGGGACAAGGCATCGATGGCTGCCTCCATCTGGGAAGTGGCTGCTGCTTTCACCCTAGGCCCCATATCTGGAGTTGCGTCCACCAAACCCGATGCTGAATCATCCTCTGCACACGAAATCGAAATCGCACTTATAACTTATAACCAACACTACTTTTTTTTTTTTAAATGGCAACTACGAATCAATCAATCATTCATGCGGGTGAAGTGGAAATGAGGAAAAGCCTACTTGATTTTTTGCCTTTGGCGAAGCCTCGACGAGAATCCCTGAGAAAATCGGGCAATGACAAATCGATTTCCAAATCTCGGGCTCTCGGATGATTGGGGGGAGGAAAGAGGGTCTTGTGAGACAAGTCGCGAGATTGAACAAAGGAGGAGCTCCTCCTCAGAAAAGCAATCACATTTCGACTCGAAACCGCTCGTCTCAACAACATAGCCATCCCAAAAGGTAAAAGCCCAGAGAGGTTTTGATTCCCGGCTACTCGCTCCTAAAACCCTCGACTCTGTTTTGTACTATACTAGTAGAGTACCCGCACGTTTGTGCGGTGTGACGTTGTTGTTTTGTGTAGAAAATTTAAACCCTAAATCCGAACCCGACAAAAAACCCTAATCAAAAAATTTAAAAACCCAAACTTTTTTAATAGGTCTAAACATGAAAATCCGAAATCAAAAAAATCCCGAAAACCCTGACTGAACAAAAAAAATCTGGAAACTTTTTCACCCGGAACCCGACCCCAATACCTAATCAAAATTTTAAAATACTCAATTTTTTTAATATATCTAAACCCGAAAACCAGAAATCTAAAAAATCCGGAAAACCCTAAACTGAAAAAAAAAATTGAACCTAACCCGAACAGAAATTTTCAAAGAAACCCGAACAATTTCTATATCTCTATATATATCTCTATAAAATTATGTCTCAGATTTTCACCCAAACCCGAACTTGTCTATAAAAACCCGAAAATCCAAAAAGCATATTCTATTGATTTGGAATTATCGTTAGATTATGTTAAGTTTTTTTTTTGCAGATTTTTAAGAGATGGAAAACGGAAGTTTTCTAAACCATCGGTTTATTTTAAGTTATTATTCTTGTATCCAAACAATTTTTTCCATTTATTCTTCTATCCAAATAGATTTTTCTCTTATTCTTATATCCAAACAACTTTTGTTTCCATTTATTCTTATATCCAAACAACTTTTGTTTCATTTATTATTCTAAAATAGATGTTTCTCTAATTCTTGTATCCAAACATTAGAATGTACTTCTCAATTAATAATATAAAGACGAAATGAAGCTAAAATGTCAAAGTAACAAAAACATAAAAAAAAAGGGGACAAATACCAAAGTACCCCTCTGCCTTGTAAAACCCTTTTCGTTCCCCGAGCTTCATCTTAGATCTTCCCTTCTCGCGCCTCCGTCGTCGCTTCCGGCACTCTCACCTGAAACAGGTCAGTAACCTCTCCATTTCTGTTCCCTTCTCTATATTATTAGGGTCTGTATTGATTTGGGATTCTGTGTTTGCCATTTCTCAATCTGAAGAACTCATTCCTCGATTCGGACAAGGATGGCAACTCAAGCTGCTGCTGCCTCATTCAATGGCAACTTAAAGGTACATGTTTACATCTTTTTCTTCTTCTTCTTCTTATTCTTCTTCTTCTTCTCCTCTCTTTGATAATCATTTTTAGCCAAACACCTGATAATGAACAATACGCACCTTTTAGGCCTTGTTGTACATGTGAAAAATGATCACTTTTCAGTCTCGACCAAATTCAGAGAATGCCGACACCTATGCTACTAGAACTAGTGTAAGTTAGGAAATGACAAAGATGCAGGACACTTGCTCGAAATTGTTATTTCGGATTATGTCGCTCATCATCTTGAATATGCCTTTGTCGATTCTATCTTTTGCAGAAAGCAATGGCAGGTATAAAGCGTATCAATCTGGACGGTCTTCGTTGGCGAGTATTTGATGCCAAAGGCCAGGTTCTGGGAAGACTGGCAGCTCAGATATCGACAGTGCTGCAGGCCAAAGACAAGCCAACGTATTGTCCAAACCGGGATGATGGGGATATTTGTATCGTTCTCAATGCTAAAGATATTGGCTTCACTGGCAGAAAGCTCACCGACAAGTTCTACCGCTGGCATACTGGGCAAGTATTCTGTTGATCATGTTTCTGGCAATCTCGATCTTGAGAGATGATTTGTTTATAAAGTATTAATACGTGTGTGTTACGAAAACAGGTACGTTGGACACCTGAAAGAACGGAGTCTGAAAGATCAGATGGCCAAAGACCCCACTGAGGTCATCCGTAAGGCTGTCTGGCGCATGCTTCCTAGCAACAATCTCCGTGATGTCTGTTCTTCATCTTGCTCTTTACATTTTCATCAATCTCTATCTTGCTGCCTGACACTGCCTTTCTTATCTCCATGTGGGTATATAGGACAGAGATCGGAAGCTGAGGATCTTCCAAGGCGACGAGCATCCTTTTGGGGACAAGCCACTCGAGCCATTCGTCATGCCTCCTCGTAGAGTGAGAGAGATGCGTCCGCGCACAAGGCGAGCAATGATCCGTGCCCAGAAGAAAGCCGATGAGGCTGAAAATGGTGGAACCGAGGTCAAGAAAGGCAAGAAGAGGACTCCCTCTCAAGTACCTGCCTAGAAGAAGATAAGCTTCACAGTCATGTCATTCGTCTTATTTTAAGCTTCTAAGTTTTTCTTGCTTGTCTTAGTTACCAGACTATAGACATGGCTCTGTTTCTGGATGTGAGATAATAAATACATCAGACATGAAGCCAAGATCCTTCTTCCTTAAACATGGTCTCGTTTTTTATTATCTTTCGCGTTTTATTTGTCGCCATGATTTGTGAATGGGGGAGATGCATCAATCATGGGAAACTTGTGAAGTAAGACAAAATTTCATGAAGTGGCAATAATAAGCATCATTGTTTCTTTTCTTCACCAACAAAACAAATACAAAAAGAATACATCGTCTACCTAGTCGTAAAAAGAAACCACACACAAAAGAATACAAAGATCATCTTGGAAACATCGTTTTCTCCTTCTCTGATTGTTTTAGTTAACTTTGGTATATTTTCTATCTTTACACAGCAAATGCCATTCTTGGAGCACTGCTGCCTGAAGCGCCATGTGCTCTGTTTCTTCTGCTGTCAACTTAGACAGTGTTCCTTTTTCCTTTTCTTTCTTCTTCTTCTCTTCTTTTTTCTTTTCCTTTTCCTTTGCTTCTTTCTCTTTTTTCTCCTTTTTCACCTTCTTCTCTTCTTCATCTTCTTCGTCTTCTTCATCTTCTTCTACTTCTTCTTCATCTTCTTCTTCTTCGTCTTCAGTTTCCTCCTCTGTCTTTGGCATCTTTTTCGGCTGAGCTGCCTTTAACAAAGCAATTCTCTCCATTGATATTTTCAGTTTCTCAGCTGCTGCTGCTTTCACTTCATCCTCTGCCATATACTCAACGCCCCCGTCTGTTAGATCATCGCACCATCCCTGAAGATCTGACTCTATTTGCTTTGTGATTGATGCTTCTGAGGCTCTAACCACAAACTTGCACATCATCGTGGTCGTCTCGTCACCCAGATCCACGTTCCTGCTCACTTCACTTGCCCCAAAGATCATCATCCCCACAAAACCTCCGTGCCACGTTTTTGCAGCGTAGCAAAGCTTTTATGACAACAAGTTCAAAGGTTTATCAGACCTACAGTCCAGGTTTACATGTGTGAGAAGGAACAAATACTTAGATCACAGTGGAACTGAAAATTCACCTGGAATCCAGCAACTGTGCGTATAATGTGGGAGCAGACTCTGTGGAATGGCTTGGAGGATAGTGATTTGAGTCCGCTTAGAAACGGTGAAGCACCATATTGTTGTGCAGCCGTCGCCATGAAGCCGCTTCCTTCATACATATATGTGCCAGTGTATTCTGCCACAGCTGGCAAGCTAGGCCACAAACGAAAGAACTCGACTGGTGAGATTTTGTGCGGGAGAAGGAGCTCAGTCAGTGGGATCTTGTAAGGCTGACACCTTAAGATCACAGGCTCTCCGAGTTCTGATTTTGAGCCTCTCTTCTGCTTCATCATCTGTGGATCCTCTTCTATGTAGTCACCTTCATAATCTCCCCTAGCGCCACGGAATGGATAGTAGAGAACTTGAACCCAGAAACCACATCTTTCAAATTGGGAGACACCGACGGTGACACTGCATTGTACAGGATCCTACAAGAGTAATGCACAGAGTGGATATTAATACACCCAGCAGAGATATGAAGCTGATCAACTTGTAAATTTAGGGATAAAAAAACTCTTAGATATTAACTTTGAAAACTGAGATTCAACCTGTGAGACAAGATTACGCAACTGCCGCACTGCTTGAGGAGAACCATCCATGAAGTATAGGGCACCAGATAATCCAACCCGTATATCCACACGATTCAGCTCAAGCTCTGTCAAATTAATGATCTGAACACAAAGTATAAGAGAGGTGTTGAGACGCTAAACTTTACCAACCTATCTGTATTCAAGTAAACTTCAGGATGATACAAAGAACATATACCAACCTTCAAGTGCAAAGTGACCCTTCCATCATTTGTATCTGCTAAATGGTAAGCTTCTATATAGCAAGGATCACTGCTTCCAGTCAAAGGGTATGCTGTAGGAGGAACCTTAATAGAAGTCGAGTCCACCCCTTTTGTAAGGAAGAGAGTTAATTCACTAGGCTTTGGCCTCCAAAGCTCTAGAATGGCCTTGTGAATTAACCCTTCTAATTTTCTGTCTTGAGCAGCTGATGGTTCGTAAAACTGAACAGTAAGCTTATGGTGGCTGAAAGGGTAATCTCCTCTTGTCTCACTAACTCCAGCCCACCTGGAAAACAATAGGTTGAGTGAGATTCAATCCAAGAAACGCAGAAAAAACGCCCAATAAAAGCATTCCTAGCCAAGGAGAAAGCTCACCTTTTTTCAGGAATATTTGAAACATATTTGATCCTCTGCAATATTAAACGGGTTTGATGTTTGCTAACTGTATCTGCAGCAGCATGGTTCCTATACTCTTCGAGCTCTTTGGTTATTAATTGGCCAGCTCTTGCATGACGCGATCCCATCCTCTGGGCACATAATAAGACTGCCTGCACATCTTGTAGCCTATTTGATGTAGTTGCAGCGGCTTCTAAGTTGAAGAGAACCTTGCGCATATTTGCTATGATAATATTTAACGGGTCATCAGGGTCATCAGCCAAAAGTGGATCCAGACCTTCTAGATCAATATGTTCGGCAACTGTCCATATAAGACGGCCAAGGATTCTTGGGGTATTTACCTGCCAAATTGAGATAAAGATTTATACATGGGAGAAATAAGATTCTGACCACGTTTTAAGTTCCTCTTCAGTTTAGTACTAAGTAGTACATAAGAAATGTCATAACTAAACCTTTTCAAGGAAAAAAATTATATAGATGAAATTTGCCAAGTGTGAGAAGCCGAGGCTTAATTACCTCTTGGATATCCTTAACAAGCTCACGTTGTAAGTTCTGTAATCGTGTCTCGTTTAATATTTGATCCTGCGAAGCACCGTCTTTAAGCCTCTTCACTCCTCCTCGGGTATCATAGATATGGCAAAGCCTAACAAGCAGTTTCAAATAGCAATCTATAGCGTACGTCCTGCCATCACAATCCCATTTTACGCAAGGCCTGCACACTTCCACAACCTCAAGGGCTGGTTCGGTCCAGTTCAGAGCACCATAACCAGTGCCATATGCTAGTGCACCAATCACTCTGCTCTCCATACCCGAGTTTTTTTGTTCAGGCAAAGGTAGAGATAACTGGAAGCAACTTTCCACAAGCATTGCCACCAGCTCTTCCCGAAAGAGGCTTTTACTGGTAACACTATTGAGATCATCTTTTATCCTTGCATCCTCAAAGAGGGAAATGATATCTGTCCCAGGAAGAGGCTTCTGACCTCTTCGGGCACTTTCTCTGGCAAAAAGGTGAACACACAGAGCTGTCCGGCAGATACAGGCCAATGCGTGCATCCTGTCCGATTCTGCTCTCAAGTTCCTCACCATAAGCAGCAGTCTTCTAAACAAAGAGACCTTCATAGAACATGATTTTTCAAAGCAATGGTTCAGAAATCATGATCCACAGCTTCAAGACAAATGTACACAACAAATCGGTAACTTAAAATTAATAACGAAACCACAAACCTGCATATGCAGATCAAGCAAGTGCAGGTTCGTGACTACCGCCCTGACTATACTCTCTCTAGCAGAAGAAAACTCTTGGCGGTCCCAGAGTGTTAAGATTGCGATAATGGACTGTGAGGCCCACTCTGGCTTCCCTCCGGCAACATCTGCCAGGTACAGCATGTTAATTCCAACTTCAAAAATCAGTGCTGGATCCAGAGAGGAAGCCAGGAAGGGCGCGAAATGAGTAACCAAATCTGAGACGCCAACCAACTTCTCGGCGTTGGAATCCACAGCCGCGGCATTAGCTGCAGCGCCAGAGGAAGCCTTGGAAAGCAGTCTTATCACTTCCACACTACCCGAAGCCACAGCCTTGACAGCAAAGACAAGAGGGAAAACAGTGGCTCTGAATGTTTCCACAGGAAGAACTAAAGACCTAGCCATCAAAGCGCTCCTCTTTTTCCATACAATGTCAACCATTGAAGACACCCACTTGGACCTGATGGCCAGGGAATTCTCGCTGTCTACGAGCTTGTCGCCAGCAAGACGGCTCATCCGCTTGGAGTCGAACTCCTGGAACAGTCTGCCGACGGACTCAAACGCAACCTTGGAGACGGCGTCGGATTTGTCGAGCATGTTTTGGCCGATCCGAGCCCACCAGTTGGAGACCTTGTCGAGGAGACCCACATTGTTCTCGCACAACGTAACGAGATCATCGCGCGCCAGGATGCAGCCAAGTGTTTCCGTAATGGAAAAGCGGAGGTTGTCAGATGGGGAATCGAAGCATGAAGCAATCTCACTGCTGCAATCAGAGATCAGTTTAGGAAGCGAGAAGGACGGAAGAGCCGCAAGGATGGAGACGGCAGCGGCGGTGACGTCGGGGTCCGGGAAATGAAGATCCGTTTTGACACCTGAACAAACCGTGTCCCAAAGATCCGGAGTGAGTCGGGTAGATCGGATGAGATCGAATGCGAGCTTCTTACAAACAGCCGATGCGGGAGAAGCAACAATCTCCTCCACTGCAGACTTAGCGATCACCGAGATATCCCGTCCGGCGGCTGATTGCTGCAGCGCCTGTAGCAGGGCCGATGACTGGCGAAGCGCGTCATTGGAGCGGAGGTCCGCCTGGATCTGAGCGAAAAGAATGTCCATTTCCGGATCGAGTTAACTAAAATTCCAGATCCGAGGTGAGGAATCTGAGGTAGCTTCGCTGTATATAAGCGTACGGATGCGACATGGAAGAACTGAAGAAGAAGAAGAGAAGAAGAAGACGATGAAGGAGCAGGCAAGCGAGACTCGAGAGAGAGAGAGAGTGGGAGCTTTTCCTTCCGGCGGTAAAACAGCGTGGCGTTGCAGTGATTTGAGCTTTCACAGCGTGCCGTTTGTCGTAGGGTCGAGTTTGTGGTTTGGGCTATCTTTAGACCCAATACAAAGTTAAAATGCCTTTACACTTTGCTCTCGCTTTACATGATAGGCCCAATAACTAGTAAATCCAACAGCCCAGGACAATCTCACCGTAATATTGCACAGATTGACCAGTGCGCGATACCAAAACGGCGTTAGACGCTGCAACCGTGCAACGCTAGTTTGGACACGAGAGAGAGAGAGAGAGAGAGAGACTTTGCGTTATTTTTGTTTCTCTCTCTACTTCTCGGTCGTCTTCGTCGATTGTTTACTTATCTCTCTAGGGTTTAACTTTATCTTCTTCTACATCAAACTCTAGGGTTTTGTTCGAGATATACGCTTCTGCCTAGGCTCTCTAGGGTTTCGTTGGAGCGATTGCTCAGGATTTCGAGCCGGTAATTTATTCAATTTTTCCGGATACTTGTTTGATTGTTGAGAGATCACTTTCCCTATGTTAATTTAGGTTCCAATATGCAAGTAAAGGGCAGAATTGAATTGCTCGATTTTTGGAGCTTGCATCTATGTTGTCTCGTCTGCTCCAGCTTTTCCGCTTTGATGTAGTTTCCAAAATTGATTACTGATTTGTGCAGGATACCGTAAGCCCGCTCTAGGCGTGGAATTTGTCGATATGACTGTGAGGAACGGTGGTTTTCCAGGGGATTACCATGGCAATGATTTTGACACACTCGAAGATGATACGTTCGGTGTCCCTAGAATGGTGATGCCATTGGGTGGCTTGTCATCATCAGAAAGGAAACATTTGATCAATAGGCTACGAGAGGAGCTGGAACAGATACGGTCCTTTCGCAAAAACGTCACACTCACGCTCACACGTGCAAGTAAGAGCCTTGGAGTGTCACGATGCTCTACTGGGCCCGGGAAGAAAGTAAGCGCAGTGAAACCAGCTCCAGTCAGCACTCGTACGATGCTTCGGTTGAAGCAATGTGAGACCCTCCTGCAACGATTGATGTCGCATCCGAATGGTTGGCTCTTTAATACTCCTGTGGATGTGGTCAAGCACAACATACCTGATTACTTCACCATCATTAAACATCCAATGGATTTTGGAACTGTAAAGAGCAAGTTAACCTCGGGCACTTATTCATCCCCGTCAGAGTTTTCTGCTGATGTCCGTCTTACCTTCTCCAACGCAATGACGTATAACCCTCGTGGAAATGATGTTTATGTCATGGCTGAATCTCTCTGCAAGTTCTTTGAAGTGAGGTGGAAAACTATTGAGAAGAAGTCTTCCGGAACCAAATCTGAACCGAGTAACTCTGGTACTCATACTGAAACTATTGACATTCCCGTGTCTGCACCTTTGGCTAAGAAGAGGAAGATGAACGTAGACAGCTTCGTAGAGCCTGCTAAGCGGGTTATGGCAGAAGAGGACAGAGTGAAGCTTGGCAGAGATTTGGGGTCCTTGATAGAATTCCCTCTACATATAATAAACTTCCTGAGAGACCACAGCTCCACGGAAGGGGGATCTGCAGACGATGAGATAGAGATTGACATTAATGATCTCAGTCATGATGCCTTGTTCCAGTTGCGGGATCTCTTGGATGAGCTTTTGCAAGAAAATCAGAAGAAAGACTCAATTGGTGAACCCTGCGAGTTAGAGGTAAATCTCTTTGTATATGTTCATGTTTGATCCATTTGATAACATGACTGACAAACAGCAACACTTTCCCTGATGCAGCTCTTGCATGGGTCAGGGCCAGGGAATTCATTGATGCAGCACTGTGATGGTTAGCATACAATTGTTTCTTGTTGTTTGAGCAAATTCTCATGTCCTGCTGTTTGATGAAATAGTCATTTCTTCCTCTCTAGTTTCAGGGAGTGAAATGGAGGATGAGGATGTTGACATTGGAAGTTATGACTATGAGCACCCTAGTTCTCCCTTGGATGGAGCAACGAGCACTTCCCCAAGGACCAAACGTGAGCTGATTTCAATCTTGGTGGAAAAGATTATTATTTTGATCTTTGATTTTTGGCATTTGGTTTGCTTATTCCATTTCGAAAAGCAGCTTCCGTCAGTGGATTGGATCAGCTGGAAGTAGAGGCGTCCAAAGAGAAGCCAAGTTCTGCTGATTGTCATCAAGAGGGTAAGCTCAGGAGCGTGGCAGAAAAATGTATCTGGTCTAATGTCTGGTGGTGTGGTATCTGTATCTCACTTGTTGACCCGTTAATAATATAGGAAATAGTGCTCCTCAGAATGAGAAGCAACTGCCTCCGGAAAAGCGTTACAGGGCTGCTCTATTGAAAAACCGATATTCAGATTTAATCTTGAAGGCTCGAGAGAAAACTCTTAATAAGGTTAGCTGTGTTCTGGTGACCCTTTATGACACTGGAAATGAATTCCTGAATTGATTATATATGTGTGAGAACAGAATGAGAAGAAAGACCCAGAGAAACTGCGACTAGAGAGGGAAGAAGTTGAATTGCGAAAGAAGAAAGGTATTCTTGATTTGCTAGATTTAATTATCTGATTGATGTTGGAAGGACTAAAACTTTTTGTATTTGATGTTTTTATAATTGGTTGTCACCAGAGAAAGCACGGTTACAAGCAGAAGCCAAGGAAGCTGAAGAAGCTCATAGAAAAGCTGAGGCAGAAGCTGCAGCCGAAGCTGCGAGACAGGCAAAGAGGAAACTGGAAGTTGAAAGAGAAGCAGCCCGACAGGCACTGCTTGAGGTAAATAAAGAAAATAGCTATAGATAGATGTTAAGAGTCGGCTACTATGAATTGGTTTGTTGTTTGTTTTGAAAAGTGAAGTGGGAGATTTGAGTATAATCCCATTCCCATACGAATGAAACAGATGGAGAAGTCGGTTGAAATAAACGAGAGCTCGAGGTTTCTCAATGACTTGGAACTGCTGAAAACGGAGGAGCATCTGACAAGTGTAAGGGAGGATGATGGGATGATGGGTGTTTTGGGGTTTGGAGGCAGCAATCCTCTAGAGCAGCTGGGGCTATTTATGAAACCCGATGATGAGGATGAAGATGAAGATGAGGCTGAAGCTGGTACGCTTGCCTCTCCAGATCCTTGCAATGAAATGGAAGAGGGGGAAATCGATTGAGATTGGTTTTTGCCTGGTCTGTTTGTACAAATGAAATTAATCAGACTCGGCTGTAAATTTAACAAAATGCTGATAAATTTTTTTTATCTCTTGTCCACATCCAATTCCAATAGTCTCAATTCAAACTTTCATTTCATTCAATACAGAATCTTGTAGTCGATCGATCGAGTTTATTACAAAAGGAAACTAAAATAATTTACATGATAACTTAAATTTAGGATTAGATTTCATTTGTCCTTACTCGTTACATATACAGTAAAAGAAAACAGATTTTTTAAAACAGCAGGTAGTTTAACTTGTAAAACACGGTTCCTCTGTTTAACTACGATACATTGGTTACCAGAAGAAACTGAATAGAAAAGTAGAAACCGAGTCTCTATTACTACTTGTTTTAATTCTCTCTCTCTCTGGCTTGTCAATCCGGTTTAGCTCTACAGCCAATAACCGGGTTATACCAAGACCGCAGCCGGCGTTTTGACAGACAAAGCTGAAGCACCAAAGCAGAAGTAACGGCTCTTTAATCTCCTCCTCACCGAACCCTGCTTCTCGGTTAACTTACTTTTCACCGGGACAGGCTGGTTCACGCCAGAAGGTCCGGCTATGTTGGCATCGATCAACACTCCTTTCTGTTTAAGATCGACCATGCTCGAAGATGAAGAAGTGGAGGAAGAGTGGATTGATATTTTCGAGAAAGAGCTGGAACGAGACCGCACCGGACCAGACCGCTTCTTCTTGGCTCTTGGGCTCGAATGGTTACTTCTCACCGACAACGCTCTTTTATTATTATTGTTACTGGGCAGAGCAGGAGACGAATTGCTGCTTTTTGAGAATCTCTGGCGGAGAGGCACATGAGTTTCTTGCGTCTCAAGAGCTGTGCAAGTGACGGCGCTCATCTCAGAATCATTCTTGGAGTAGCCAGCTTGTTTCTTGGTTCGCGGCCAGTGGAAGACGCTCTTCAATCTCTCTGTTGCAGAGTTGTTTCTGCATTTCTTGAGATGATGTTCCTCATCCGTCATGTTTATCCGACCAATCTCAATGGAGCAAGAGCTGGATCTCCCGTGCCTAGGGACAGTAATCTTGTCAGGCACGACTTCAAGGCCGGTGCTTAGGAAAATCTCAGCGTCGGATGTCCTGAAACGAGCTCCTGGGCTGTAAAAGTTTCCTCTGTCCTTGAGGTGAGACGCGACCACACTCGTGATGCTCTGATCACGACAACTGAACATCCCTCCGGCTGATACCAACCGTCGGAACAGGATATCGGACGTCGGAGAGTGCGGCTTATGCCTGATGAGATCGAGGGGAGTCATGCCGGAAGCATCCTTGATGTTAATATCAATGGATTTCACAGACATGAGCATCTCCACGAACTCCAGAGGAACGTTCCCAGAGATGGCCATGTGAAGAGCCGTGCGTCCCTCGTTGTTCCTGTAGTTGACGACATCGCAGGGGGACTTGGAGGCAGCGGATGTGATCAGACGGTTCATGAGCTCCGTGTGCTTGTCAAGCCTCTCGAAAGCCGGAGTCCTGAATCCGGAGATGCCGGCGTGAAGGAAAGTGTCGCCGGCGTTGTTCCTAGCGGTTACCAAAGAAGGAGAGGCCGAGATCAGAGCATCCACGAGATCAGCGTAGCCACGGTAGGCTGCCACGTGCAGAGCCGTGTTCCCTTGGTTGTCTGTGGCGTCCATCAAACCGTATGAAGCCACAAGCTCCTTCACCACCTGCAATGCATCAACAGCCAAATCGATCCTGTTTATCTCTTGACTAATGAGTCTACTAGTTATAGAGTTATAGTAGAGTTACCTGAGTTTTTCCTTTTCCGGCGGCTGCATGGAGGATTGTGGAGCCCTGCTTGTCTCTCAAGGCCAAGACATCTTCAACAGAGCAGTCACTCAAAAGCTCTCTGAGAATGATCAAATTGCCTCCTCTGGAAGCAGAGTGAACCGCTCTCTTCTTCATCTCCCGTTTGTACGCCGCCGGAATCTCTCCGATTTTCTGCTCGAATCCGCCGTTTCCGGCCGTCGCGAACCTCGGACTAACCGCGAAATCAAAAATGAGACGGAAGACGTCGTGGTTTTTGCTTCTGGCAGCGGCGTAGAGAATGTCAGTGACGCCGTACTCTCCTTCGCCGAACACGAGCAGAGGGTTCCTCTCGAGGAGGTCGCGAACAAAACACAGATCTCCGGCGGAGGAAGCCGTGTACATGAGCCAACCGCCGTAGCCAGAGCGGATGAGAGTGTTGGTGTTGGGGCCATCGTCGCAGGCGGAGAGTAGCTTCCTGGCGACGCGTGATCGGCAGGCGGCGACGTCGTGGAAGAGGGATTCGTCGTCCCAGACGGTCTCGAGGCGGCGGATGCGGCGGAGGGAAGTGAGCTTCATGAGGTTGTTGGAGTCGATTCGGATAAGCTCGCGGACTAAGTCGTACTGGCTGTTGGCGGCAGCGTAATCAATCGGAGTAGCGTACCACCACTGATCGCCGGTGCTCTCCCACCGGAGAGGAAAGTAGGTTGGAGGCATAGAAACCGCCGGATTCTGTTATGGAAAACTGTGACAAGGCACAAGGAAGAGAGATAAAGGAGAAAGGGAATTCTTGGAGGTCTCAAAGAACAAGAGAGGAGAAGAAGCTGGCGAGGAAGAAGAAATGATTAGTATATGTATGTAACCGAACTTGGAAAATCTGGTGTCTTCATTGCGCGGATTGTTTAATTCAACGCGAACCATTAAGGAGGAGGAATCTGATTTTAAATTAACAGAATAATCATCTGAGGAAATTATGATTAACAAAAGAGATATTTGGTGGTGAGAAATGCCTAATTCTTGAAAGTTCAAAAAATATATATACAAAAGGAGGTGATTGTAATGTGTAATGTAATGATGGGGACACATGAAGAAAAGTGGCCTTTTTCAGCCAAGGGAATATTGATAATGCATAATAATATCAAGTCTGAGTTTAGATGGTGTCAAAAGTTGGAGTATTACTTTTGCTTCGAGGGTAATCGAATTTAGCGTTGGTGGATTATCCAAAGCAACTCAAATCTTGGGAGTTTTGAATTGGATATCAACGAAATTCAGTGACATTAATCGTAAGTCTGAAAAATCGTTACTCGTTTTTATTTTACGTTATTCGACAATTCACATATCCGTTAGAACTGAAGCAATATTTGAAATATTTGTAAATTTTTTCACCAAAGAATAATGAGTAAGCATCAGCCAACGTAAGGATGTTTGTTAATGTTTAGTGTGATAATGGGGTTGGCCCAACTACACTCAATGTCCCATTTATGGGTAAAGAGACTACAAGGACAAATTCTGATCAGCTACTGAACTGTTTGATCATTTTATTTCCCTCTCGTGGTCTCTAGAAATCATGACCCCATACATTTCATAATTGGATCATTAGATTAATTGATCAAGGGTTACGCGTTAGCATCATATAATTAAGAAGACAAATGGAACATGCAGATGAAAAAACAAAGCAAAAGGATATGGTTAGGGTGTCAGAAGAGGAAAATAGGCATGTGAGGAGAAAAAGGTTGGCTTCAACTTTTGTTATACACATAAAAGCATGTGATGGGTGGTGTCTCATCTTCAACCTTTATCTCATAAACTTTCATGGGCATGGGATGTACATGAAACATGATAGCGAGAAAGCAATAAGTAGGCAGTGGTCTGGTCAGATATACTATATCATAACAAATCGATAAGACATTCAAACAAAATCGGGTTCAAATCGAAACTTAACCCAACTTTTTACAGTTTATAGAACAGAGGATGGTTTCGGGTTTAGCCAGAAAGCTGAAAAGATAGCAAGCAATCAGTTGTAACTAAAACATAAAGCAAAACGAAATTGTAACCGATCATAAGTCACAGGACAAGTAGGAAATGAAAGCAATAATGGAAGAAGAAAAGGGAGATAATGATGCAAAGATTGCTTTTTAAACTTTAATCTGAAGACATTGAACCGAACCCCACAAGAAGAGTTGGTATCCACTATCCACCTAGAGAAAGAGAGTAGTAGAGTGATGCAATATCAATATTCAAGGTCCCCATCAGTAATGCTAGTGACAGTAGGCAATAAATCTGAGAGTTCAATGGAACAGGTACACCAACACAAGGACCAACTCATCTCCTCTATCCGGAAAAAAGAATCAGCAAAGGATTTGAGTTACAGTGGCTGGGCATATATCTATCATTCGGTTTAAACAAGAGTTCTACAACTTACAAGAGCATAATAATGCTTATTTTACTTTGAAATGTAACTTTAACATCAAGAATCTACTTGATTTGATGATAATCCACATTCAAAGAAAATCTAACAAGGCCCAAGGATCTGAGGAAGAAGGTCCAGTGACAAGAGGAAAGAGACAAACATCTTATCAAATGAAAAGAGAAACCATAAAAAAAAAAGGAGGTGAATGGAAAGTTGAAACCTCAGTCAGTTCTTGGCCTTGACGGAGTTGTTCTCCTTGATTTTGGCTCGAGTGTCGAGCTTGACAAAACGTTTAAGATCATCGTAGGGAAGAGTCTCGACGTTCTTTCTTCTGAGTTCACTAAGCGCGGGTCGCTTATCGAGCAGATGCCAGAGCCAATCTGGGTAATCAGAGTCGGACAGGATCTTGGGATCAGATCCATCTTTGAGAGTATTAGCACCAACAACGGTCGTGGATTTGATCTCTTTGCTCAGGGTCGATCCTTTGGGAGCATCGGTGGCGCCTCCTCCTTTGCCACCCTTCTTGGCCTTGCTAGCTGCTGCTGCAAATGTTCTCCGGAAGACATCCCTCGATCCGCTTATCAATTTCACACCTTGTTGGTTCATTTCCCCTACAGATTCTGAGAGACCAAAAACACAATAATCTATCCATCACAAATTGCCATTTCGTTTATCGCAACAAAGCAGATGTTCACTAATTCAGATTCAATCTAGCCAAGTTCTCTACAACAAGGACGACAATTAGGTTGCACAGTCTCGCGAAATGAGGGCTTTCTGCATCGAAGCAAGCAATTGGGCGCTAAACGAAGATTAGTCGAGACTAGACTAATGCAGGGAAATTTTCTACAAGCGAAACCACAAATCGACGAAGCTTACTTGGGACGAGTTTTGAAAGAGCGAACGCGGCGGAGAGTGACCAACACCTTCTTTTTTCTTCTTCTCGCCTTCCCTCTCTTACTGTTAGGGTTGGGCCAAAAACTAATTACCCGTCCTTTAAAATATAGAAAATAAAAATAATATTGATGAGAAAACAATAAGGTTTAAAAAAAAAAAAAAAAGGGAAATGATGATTCGAAAATGAAACACTCATCAAAAACTTTTTTTCTGGTGAAAAAAAAATCAGTGTTCAAGTAGCCAAGGTCAGAACTCAGAACAGAAGCGTCAGATTTTTATTTATTTTAAAATATCTTTATTGGGTTATATGCATTCTGATAGGAACCAAACAAGAATGTGTTACTTGGTCTCTTTCTTGACTTGTCCTCTTTAATTTTGTCTACAATGCAAAAGTCCCGCCTAATTCTTGCTAGATAACATCAACGAAATGGTCCAACACAATCAAAATCACTCAAGTTCATCGTACAGTTTTAATTGTGCTATAAAATGTAACATATAAGAATGGCTCTGTGCATGTTGCCATTCTCGCTGCTTACAGCCTGAGTATATTTTTCAAATAATCTCACAACTATAAACATTATTTATAATTTTGTCAAATATAGATGTTTCTATTTGTATTTCAATGTTATAAAAAAGAAAATCATTCAAACACAAACTCATTAGTTGCGTGTAGAGAAATGATGTCTTAATGCTTACCAAGGAAGAGACATCAACATTTTGCTTTGAAGTATATGTGACCAGAGACCTATTCTCAACTCAACAAAGAAAGGATGGAACAAAATTACATATATAAGTGCTGATTGTATCGTAGTCTTGGTTTATTAATTAGTCACAACAAATTTTATTGAAAGTTGAAAGTAATATTTCAAACAAATGATGAAACAAAATTACATATGTAAGTGGTGATGCTAGTATAGTACGTAGTTTGGGTTTATACAACTAAAAGACGAAAGCCAGGAGAATAATAGCCATTGTTGCGGGGATTAACTGCGGGGAAGCGGCGAAAGTGGCAGCGTTTGGAGGCGGTGGAGGCGTCTTGGGTCCACCAAAGTGACCACCTTCACCACTTGGAGTTGGTGATGGCGAAGGAACCATCGGAGGAGCAGGTTTCCGGCCATACGAGGACTCGGCCGGCATAATCAACATGGCCAAGACGAGAACGCAGGTCATTAAGGTGAAAGAGAGGAAAGATCTCATCGCTCTGCAATATGTTGATCTCTTCTCTTTCTCTTAATTGGTCTTCTCTCTTTTGAGTTAATTAATTGTTGAGTTACGATTACAAAGGGAATAATACTATTACCAGTGTATTTATATACACACTAAACTGGGAGAAAGGTCAACGAGTGAGAATGAGTCTAATTCGTTTTATGTGACTACATTCGAGTTTGTGGATTATGTCTAAGTTTGTTTGTTTAGTGGCTAAACATTAATTGTATTTAATTTTGTTTGAACTGGCATAAATGGAGTACAATATTTTGGTAGAGATGAAGAATTCATGATGACAAAGAAAAAAAAATCACAATATTTCTAAATGTAGAATATGATGTGCATAATCTACATTTCACCTCAAAAAAATAATTGTATTAGCTTAGCTTGGATATAAAATGTGGCCATGTCTAATCTAATATATAGACCAATCATGTTAGAAGCTTTTGTTGAGGTCTTCCTAATTGTAATAATGTCCCTTCATAATGAATTAAGAAAATCTATATAATTGAAAGTGATTGTTACACTCTCCAGCTGATGACATATCAGCACCTCCAGAGAGTGCCACGTCAGCCAGAATATTTTTTTTACTCAGACTTATTACAAAAGGGCGTGTTTTGTCATTCTCTTCGACATGTTAATCATCTTTTCTCAGTGCCCCAAAACGACGTCGCTTTGGGATTAGGGTTATTTTAATCTTGCCCAATTCATCCCTCTCCACCTCTCCGCCCAGTTCTTCCTGCTCGCGAAATCCAGACCGTCCATTCCTTGCTTCCGCCGGGACTGTCCGCATACCTGCCTCCGCCGTTACGAATATTTATGGCGGCCTTTAATTCCGGAGTTTACTTCTTCTCAGCTTCAATTACCGGCTTCCAGTATTTATGCGCAGAAAAAGAAGATTTATCGAACCCAAAATGGCGCAGGTTCAACAAGCTTCTTCTTCGCATTCATCCGTTCGAGACGGAGCCTCCTCGGTGGCTTCTGGCGGCGGCGGCGACGGAGTGAATCACGGTGCTTTCTGTTCTCTCTACGTCGGAGATCTGGATAACAATGTGACGGATTCTCATCTCTATGACTATTTCACGGAGGTGTGTCAGGTCGTGTCTGTTCGTGTTTGCCGTGACGCTGCCACCACTACTTCTCTTTGATATGGTTATATCAACTACAACAATACCGATGATGGTTAGTGCCCTGAATCCTTCTCTCTATTTGATATAACATTGAACATTGTGGTTTACGATATGATCTTGTCAATTTATAACCATTTTTTGGGGTAATTTGAGTGATGGGTATTTGCAAAGATGAAATTTTTCATTTGTTTATGGTGATTTCGGATTGCATTTGTTTATGTTTTGTTAGGGTAATGTTCTCAATGGGAAAATGATTTGTGTTACTTACTCTTCTCGTGACTCTTCTGCTCGTTGAAGTGGAATTGGGAACTTATTTGTCAAGGTATTTGCTTTTTGATTTCTCTACGACCATATGCTTTGTTTGTGGATGCCTAATTCTTTGTGGTTGTTTTTCATTTGAAGAATTTGGACAATTCTGTTGACAACAAGACTCTGCAAGATCGTTTTTTGGAAAAGTAGTCTTATTAGTGTCAAGTTATCAGAAACCTTCAACTTCTTTTACTACTCCATATCCTATTAGTGTTAATGTTTTCATATTTAGAAATGATATATATTAAGGTTTTTATATGTGTAGATGAAGTAATGTTTAATGTATTTTTCATGGTGATGTATGTAGCCTGGTCTGGATTCTATTGGCATTGCAGCTGTTTCACGCAACTGCAGTGGAATAGCAGCTCCTGCATGTGGCCTCGTGAGTTTAGAACCAAGGTAATGAATGTTTCGTTTTTTTTTTTTTTTCTCTATGATCTTTTTTTGTATGAAGGCGCTCTAAATTTCACATTACTCTGTTAGGTTGCTGAAATCCTCAAAGATCGTAGATCTTGGTACCGTGACTGTCGATGTATCCAGACACTGAGTGTTCTTCCAACTGGAAATGGTGGAACTATCGAGCTTGTCAACACTCAGGTCTGTTTCATAGATCTCTCAATTCATTCTTGTTTAGTTCCTTCTACAATGTTCTAATCATTTTATATGTTGGGTTGTCAGCTATATGCTCCTACAACATTAGCAGCAGCTCGTGACTTTTGGACACTGAGATATAGTACAAGTCTAGAAGATGGAAGCTATATGGTGAGTCTTGGGAACTGGTTTTGTTCTTTTATAATTTTCTTTATTTACTCGCTTTATGCTTTTTTGCCTTCAGGTTTGTGAGAGGTCACTCACTACTGCAACTGGTGGCACCCATGGTCTGCTCTCTTCTAGCTTCGTGATAGCCAAAATGCTGTCAAATGGATGTAAGCTTCTAACTAATAAAAACACATCTGCTCTCTTAAGAGTCTCCTCTTTTTTTGTTGATTGCTAAGTTTCTTTGATTTTGGTAGGTTTCAAGTGTTCCTGCAGTCTTGAGGCCTCTTCATGAGTCTTCCAAAGTTCTGCTCAGAAAATGACCGTCGCTGTAAGTTCCATGTGAACCTGACCCACCCTTGACCTTCATTAGACTATGTGTTTCTGAGTTTTATTTCCACATTTTCAGGCTCTGCGACATGTGAGGCAGATTGCTCAAGCGACTACTGGAGAAGTTCAGTATTGTGGTGGACGCCAGCCTGCAGTTTTAACTTTTAAGAACTTTCAGGCAGAGACTGCCGGTAAAATATTATATTTCCTCGATTAGCTTATAGTTTTGCTGTCCTCAGCATTATTCTCATTGCTTCTCTTCAAAATCCAGTGGTTTCAATGATATTGTTAATGGTTTTGTGGATGATGGATGGTCTCCTATTGAGTAGTGATGGAGGAGAGGATATTACAATCATGATCAACTCTTCCTCTTCTAAATTCGCTGGCTCTCAATACAGTAACTCTTTTCTTCCAAGTTTTGGAAGCGGTGTCCTCTGTGCCAAGGCTTCTATGCTGTTGCAAGTGCGCTTATATCACGATTTGGCATTTATGAAGATGCAAAAGAATTGGTTTTCTTTAGTTTCTAACTCTTATTTGTCATCTCTTGACGAATGTTCCACAACTTGTACTGATTCAGTTCCTGAGAGAACACCCAGTTGAATGGGCAAATAAGTTCCTTTAGAACAGATAGATTGTTTCTTCTGAAGAAGTTCTTATGTTTACTTCATCATTGTTTTCGTTTTCTCTTTTAAGTTATTCTTATGTTCAGTTCAGTTAAAGTAAAAAAATTAATATAAACTTATATTTTAAACCTTGCTTTTAATTATTTTTTAATAATACTTTATATTAAAATCCCAGTTGAAAACCATAATTTTTTCATCAGAAAAAATAAACAGAAGAACCATTGAAAAGGAAGGAGGAGGTGGAGTACTGAATATTCATTTAAATTGTAAGCTTTAAAAAAAAAAGTCTGTAAAATAAAAAAGCCTGCACATTGCGCGGATGCTCTCCTAGTAATAATAGTAAAACGGTGGCTTTGGCAAACTCGTCGTCGACTCTTGGACGTATGTAGAGTGTAAACACGTGTCGCCGGAGTCTCCATGGCAGCCAAACTCAGAGTCTCTTCTCCGAAACACAAAAAGATAAAACAAATTCGTAGAATCTTTGATTATTCAATTGAATTCTTCCAAAAATCTAAAAAAATAAATATGACAAGTTGCAGAGACTTCGTGGTCACCACTACCCAATCATAACCATCGGTTTATAGAAGGTAACGACGAGGCATGGATCAATCATCCATGCATTTGACTTTTTTGGGTTCTGCATCCTAGATCGGGGAAGTAGCAAGCAAATAGTAATTTAGGGTTGGAAATTAGAAAGATCGAGCGATGCGGTGGGGTTTGATCACGACGTTTGTGGCCGTGGCTCTGGCCGTGGTGGTGGGTTTGGCGGATGAAACGGGTCAGAGGGCACCGTATCGGATCCACACGCTGTTCTCGGTGGAGTGCCAGAACTACTTCGATTGGCAGACGGTTGGTCTGATGCACAGCTTCAAGAAATCGGGACAACCCGGTCCGATAACCCGGTTACTGAGCTGTACGGAAGAGGAGATGAAGAATTACAGAGGCATGGACCTCGCTCCTACATTCCGAGTTCCCTCTTGGAGCAGACATCCTAAGACCGGTGACTGGTAATAAAAACATGACTCTCTCTTCACTTGTGTCTTTATCATATTTCTATTTCTGTTTTAAACTAGGCTGAGACAGAACAGAACCACATTGCTTGCCTGCCATTCAAAATTCAACTTTGCTTGTATATGAAATTGGTGTATCCTTGGTTAGTTTCAGGAAGAATCTTTGATGTTGAGGAAGAATTTTTGTCTTATTTTCTACCTGGTGGTAGGTACCCAGCAATAAACAAACCAGTAGGAGTGCTGCACTGGCTTCAGCACAGTGAAGATGCGAAGAATGTGGACTGGGTGGTTATTCTGGATGCAGACATGATCATCAGAGGACCTATCATCCCTTGGGAACTCGGCGCAGAAAGGGGAAGACCCTTTGCTGCCCATTACGGGTACACACATACACATAACATATACCTCTTCCTTCCTTCAATCAAATCATTTCTTCATTGTTTGCTCACTCACTCACACCTTCCTTTGTCTCCTTCTCTATGAGATATATAGCTACTTGGTGGGCTGCGATAACATGCTTGTCCGTTTGCACACTAAGCATCCAGAGCTCTGTGACAAAGTTGGCGGTCTTCTCGCCATGCATATGGATGATCTTCGTGTCCTGGCCCCTCTTTGGCTTTCTAAGACTGAAGATGTTCGCCAAGATAAAGCTCACTGGTCCACCAATATCACCGGAGATGTTTACGGTAAAGGTTGGATCAGTGAGATGTACGGTTACTCCTTCGGTGCTGCAGAAGTAAATCTCAACACCTTCCTTCTCAACAGTTACACCTTCTTCTGCTGTACGCTTGGTTTTGATTTTGTTTATTTTTTCTTTTGATCCACAGGCAGGACTTAAGCACAAGATCAACGACGATCTGATGATATATCCCGGGTATGTTCCGCGAGAAGGTGTTGAGCCTGTTCTTCTGCATTACGGTTTGCCTTTTGCCATCGGTAACTGGTCTTTCACTAAACTTGACCACCACGAAGACAATATTGTCTATGACTGCAACCGTCTCTTCCCTGAGCCTCCATATCCAAGAGAGGTATATGCAACACCTTAACAAGTTCTCAACTCCACTACTCGTCTTTCTTACTGAGAAAACAATTTTTCCACTGAATAGGTGAAAATGATGGAACCTGATGAGTACAGGCGAAGAGGTTTACTATTGAGTCTTGAATGTATGAACACACTGAACGAGGGACTCATACTGCGTCACGCTGTAAATGGGTGTCCGAAACCAAACTGGTCAAAGTACTTGAGCTTTCTCAAGAGCAAAACTTTCATGGAATTAACAAAGCCTAAACTGGTTGCACCAGGAAGTGTACATATCTTGCCAGACCAACACCAACCACAACACGTAGCTGCTTATCCAAAGATCCACACACTGTTTTCCACCGAGTGCACAACTTATTTTGATTGGCAAACAGTTGGGTTCATGCACAGCTTCAGGATGAGCGGTCAGCCCGGAAACGTGACTCGGCTTCTCAGTTGCACAGATGAAGATCTCAAAAAGTATAAAGGTCATGACTTGGCCCCGACGCATTATGTTCCCTCCATGAGCAGACATCCTCTCACCGGCGATTGGTAAGATTATAGCAGTTTTCACCCATCAGGGTTTTCAAGTTATATAGCTTCATCTTTGACTGAGTTTTGCTATGTTGTTGACTGAATCAGGTACCCGGCCATTAACAAACCGGCAGCGGTTGTCCATTGGCTTCACCACACGAACATTGATGCAGAGTACATAGTCATTCTTGATGCTGACATGATCCTCCGAGGACCCATCACTCCTTGGGAGTTTCAGGCTGCTCGAGGCCGACCAGTTTCAACCCCTTACGAGTAAGAATCGAGTGTCTTTTGCTATCATTTCCAGTATGTATCTGGATGTGACAATGATGCATAAATCTTCTATCTGTTGTTGTTTAGCTATCTTATAGGGTGTGACAATGAGCTAGCAAGACTTCACACGCGTAATCCAGAGGCTTGTGATAAAGTCGGTGGAGTGATTATGATGCACATAGAGGATCTCCGGAAATTTGCAATGTACTGGCTGCTCAAGACCCAGGAGGTTCGAGCTGACAAAGAACACTACGGGAAGGAGTTAACCGGGGACATATACGAGTCCGGTTGGATCAGCGAAATGTACGGTTATTCTTTTGGTGCTGCTGAGGTATGCATAACTCTTAGCTCTCTCTCTCAAGTCTCGACTATGATTGGTTCTGGATTGCTACATCAGTATAAAACACTTACATTGACTCAACACTGCAGCTGAATCTGCGGCATATCATAAACAAGGAGATATTGATATACCCAGGCTATGTTCCTGAACCTGGTGTTGGCTATCGCGTTTTCCATTACGGACTTGAGTTCAAAGTCGGGAATTGGAGCTTCGACAAGGCCAACTGGAGGAACACCGATCTCATCAACAAATGCTGGTCCAAGTTTCCGGACCCGCCCAATCCTTCCGCAGTCCATCATACAGACAATGACCTCCTGCAAAGAGACCTTCTCAGCATTGAATGCGCACAGAAGCTCAACGAAGCTCTGTTTCTGCATCACAAGACTAGGAACTGCCCCGAACCCGGTTCTGAGTCGACCGAGATAGTGTCGGGTTCGAGGAAAGTTGGTAACATTGAAACGAAACAAGCGCAAGCGCAAACCCAAGGAAGCGATGATGATTCGAAAGAGTCTGAAGGGAGGTTCAGCACGTTGAAGTTGTGGGTGATCGCTCTGTGGTTGATATCTGGAGTAGGGTTCTTGGTAGTGATGCTTTTGGTGTTCTCGACTCGTAAGGTGAAAGGAACAACAAGAGGCAAAGGTTACAGAAACAAGAGGCGAAATTCCTACTCCAACACGGGTTTCTTGGACTCCAAATGATGGTGATGGAGAATAGGCATGTTCACATACATATACAACTTATTTTGTTGGCATTGTAGATACAATTAAACCAAAAGATTTGAGACATTTTGCTTTTAAATCTGGGATTTTCCCCAAAGTCTTTTATACAGGTTTCTTTCTTTCTTTGTATTCTCTTCTTCTTCTTCGCGTTTAAGCCAACTAAATCTAAAGTGATATCTGAGTCAGATTTCACAAATCTAAAGTTAGATTTAATTTTGTAGTTTTCTATTTATGTAATTATATTATGTTAAGAAAATATTTATTGTTTACTATAATTAAAAATATATAGCATACTTTATAAAAAAGTGCTTAATTACATAAAAACTCCAAAAATATATATATTTTGTGGACCACAATCTCTTTCCAGTGGGTAATACTTAAATAGTAAAATCTCACAAAGTGTGTAGCTTTTTCCTACAACGGAACAAACAGACAGAAACCCAGAAACCTGCCATATTTGAATTCAAATTTTAAACACTAAAAAGGTAAACACAACGGACGAAAACTCCACTTTTCTACTTTTTCTTCTTTTCTTCACCACATTATCAACAATTCATTTAACAAAAAATTCAGGATCTTTGGAATTCAATTCAATCTTAAAATTAGATCTTGTTCCAGAAACATGGGAGAATCTGCTTGTCTCATGCAGCCATTCTCATATGCAGCTCCAGAGGTTAGATACTTTTTCCTTTTTCATTTGATTTCCTTTGTGTGGTTAGAAATTGTTGAGAAAGATCTCTGTTTCGGGTGTGTAGGGAGGCTCTGTTAGTAGCTTAGGACAGTCAGTGTCCTTTGGGAGATTCATGTCGGAGAAACTTGACTGGGAAAAATGGTCAGCTTTCTCAACACAAAACCGCTATGTAGCAGAAGCAGAGAGATACTCAAGACCAGGATCTGTGGCTCAGAAGAAAGCCTTCTTTGAAGCTCACTACAAGAACCTCGCTGCTGCAAGAAAAGCCGCAGCGGAAGAGGCACTCTTGCTTCAGCAGCAAAACCATAATCCCGAACCAGAGAAGCTTCCACTTCAACAAGATATCAATGGAGGAGGAAAGAAGGACGGGTTGGTCTCAAAACCGGATCTTGAGACTCCAAGAGGATCTTTAGACTCTGAGTTGAAATTACTTGCAGAAAAAGTGACCATATCCGGTGATAGAAGGCAATCTGATGAGAAAGAGAACCGCGGGAGGGCTGATTCAGAGATCAATGGCAAAGATCCTGAAGTTGAACAAGAACAAGTGGAGACGACGCCTATGTTAATACTAAAGGTAAATTGTCGGATTGATTACCATACATTTGTCTTTCTGTCTTTCTCTCTGGCTTCTTCTGTTCTTCATCTGTTACTTGTTTGCAGAAGAAATCCAAAGATGCACAATTGAAGAGCAGTACCAAACCAAGACTCTCCAAGCTCAATACATCGGAGAGGACTCCAAATCAAAAGCCTAGCAACTCTTACAATTTCACGCCTGCAAAAGAGTTCAATAGATTAGTGTCGATGATAAGGAAGATTGATGGGTCAAGAACTTGTTCTAAACCAACCAAAGACTGCAAGACTCCTCTCCGGACACCGTCAAACAAGGTATTCTTCAAACAGTGTTTCTCTCGTTTTTGATATCGAAAAACAAGTGTTTTATGCTGTTGCGATTGCAGGTGACTGCAAAGGGCATTATCGATGACTCTTTGTACACACCTTTATCGAGTAACCAAAGGTAAGCAAACACTGCTTAATAAACATTCTTAAGAGTTTCTTATTGTTTGCTGTATGTATGGTTAGAGGAGTAATGAGGTGTTACAGTAAGTGCAGAGGGAAAAAGGCTACTGATTCTTCTGCCAAAACAGGTCGAGGAAGATGGAATTTCCTGCCTACGGAGTAAGTACTGATTCAAATGTATTAAATAGTTTACTTACCCAATTCAAATGTGTATAAAAAGTGCTTATAACTTATTTGTTGGTTGCAACACAAAAGCAGGACACCCAACTGTTTTACACCGTTTGGCTTAAGAACAGAGGAGAGAGCAGAGAGAAGAAGGAAGGTAAGAAGAGGTTGAGCTGATAGAGAGAGAGAGATTTTGGTTTCTACGGTTTTGTCATTTTAACTTGGTTGTTGATGTAATTCAGAAGCTAGAGGACAAATTCAAAAGCATGGAGACACAAAAGCCAGAGGAGATGAGTGTTGAGAAAGAAGAGAGTAAACTACGGCAAAGGCTATGCTTCAAGGCGAAGCCACTTCCAAATTTCTACAAACAGAGACCTAAATCCACAGACCAATCCAAGAAAGTAAGCTCTCACTCTTATCTTAATCGTCAATATGTACATATATAGATGTAGCCCAACTCCTGTTTTAGTGTCTGACTGAGACTGAGAGATGAGAGATGGGTGTTGTTGTGCTTTGTAGGCTCTGTTACAGTAGCTGAGAGAGATGGGCGTTGCCTTTCAGAGATATGTGATATGTATACTGCGCGGACTTAGCGCATGTGTTTGGTTTTTCAAGTTTCGAACAAGACAAGACAAAGAGATATTCATCATTTTCATTAATTTGTATTGTATAAAGATTTGTAAACATTGATTATCTTCGGATCCTCAAACTGAAATGTAATGTGTCAGAAGTCAGAACTAAGCTTGCTTATACGGTCACTCACTTATGTGGTGCAATATGCAAAGTAGAAAAAAATAAAAGGAAATGAAAAGAGAGGGGCATTCCGAGAATTGAACTCGGGACCTCTCGCACCCTAAGCGAGAATCATACCACTAGACCAAATGCCCACTTTTGTGAAATGTTTCTTTCATTTAAAATAAATATAAACAAGTCCAAAATTTGTAATCAAATAGCAGTAAGTAGGTAACAGTAACTCCAATTAATCCTTTGATTATAATCGCATAGTTATATAGTAGTTAAAGATGCGGCCTCATCTCATATCATAGCGTTACACAAATATGATTCCGTCCCAAAAGTTTTAAAAAAGAAAACTTAGAGGGAGAAGACGAAGAATCCGACGGCGGCGACAGTGCCGGCGATGGAGAGCTTCACGGCGCCGCTTTTGGGTGACTCGGCGGTGGGTCCGTCGGCTGATGGTCCATCGGCGGTGGCACCCTCGGGGGTAGGAGCAGGTGGGGAGGAGACGGAGGGAGCGTCGGCGGAGTCAGTGGGGGCAGCGGAGTAATCGTCTTCCGGGGTGGGTTCCTCAGCGACAGGGGACGACGCTTTCGGTGCGGAGGATTTAGGAGCGGCGGCCGGAGCCTTGGTGGGGGATTTGGTGGGAGAGGTGGTGGGAGCAGCTGAGGGTGCCTCGGCAGCGAATGCGGTGGCCACGACCAATGCCAAAAGGGCCATTACGACAAATTGACGCGCCATTTGTTCTTGTTTTTTTTTGAAAAGGAAAGATTAAAAGGAGGTGTGTTCCAAAGCTGAAGCAGTACTGTTTTATTTATTTATATCCGAATACTGCAAAAGCTTTAGATGAAGAAAAATAAGAGGGCATTCAGAGGGATTTATATGTTTGCAAAGATGAGAAATCGATGGATTTGAGAAAAGGATGGAAATCCATTGGCCTTATTTTAGAAACCTCTCGTATAAAAAGAAAACATTTTGCTGTATGTAGCCAAAATAGTGCTATATTCGGAGGATTACATAAAAGAAGAGATGAGGCCCTAAATATAGTTGACAAAAGGTGCTTGATTGATACACACATCCCAAATTGCATGAAAATTACAAAATCAATATCAACACCAACGTTTGTTGTTCAGTAAAGAAGAGTTATGTACTCAATGATCATCATCTATATACTCTGGTTACAAGTATCATATATAACAAAGACAGATAAGAATAGAGATAATATGTATGTGTGTGGGGCTTTGGGTTTTAGACTTTTAGTTAGAGTCGGAGCGTACTCTGTCCAACCTATCCACACTCTTCCTTCCCCTCTCAATCTGATGAGAGTGAGAGTGAGAGTGAGAGTTGGACTGAGAATGGTCAACGCTCTTCCGAGTCTTGTCATGGCAGTCAACGCTCTTCCTGGACCGATCCAGATGATGGTCAAAAGAGATCCTGAGCTTGCTGCTGCTGCTGCTCTTCTTCGACTGGCTCTTTGGCGGCTTACGCTCTGTGCTCTGCCTCGGCTTCTCTCTCCTGTTGTCCACACTCTTCCTCGGAGCCGGAGCCGGAGCTGCTGCTGCTGCAGCATCATCATCATCTCTCTTCTTCCGGCAAGGTAACCGCTCAACAGTGGTGATGAATTTCTTGAGGTGTCTGATGTATTCAGGGTAGTGCTCAAGATCACAGTGGTTGCCTCCTTTCACCCAAAGCGGCTCATACTTGTCTTTGCACAGTTCCCATAGTTGTTTCCCATGTCCACAGTCCACCACTTCATCCGATGTTCCATGAATGATGAGCACAGGGCAGTCTACATATGGGATTTTGTCGATATTCTGCATCATATCATATAACAAACAAACTGGAGAGTGAGTGTGTGGGAAAGGAATCACTGAAAGCAATTCCTGCGTTTAGCTTACTAGCAAGCTACCTTGTAGATGTCGAACCAGTAGGTTTTCTTGACGGAGTACATTACTCTTAAACCGGAGAGAATGGGGCTGTGGAGTACGACGGCTCTCAGCTGAAGCAGCCGGGAAGCAAGATCTAGGGTGGGCCCGCTTCCTACAGACTGGCCGTAGAGGATCACATCTTCCTGTTTGGAGCCGTACGTCTCTTCAAGACACTTGTAAACAGCTTCGATATCAGCATACGTGTTTTGCTCACTCGGCTTCAATCATAAGAGACCACAAATCAAAAAGAAAGACTTGGTGGGTTTAGTCCTAATCAACATGACAAATTCATCATGAGACAATAGTAATGGTGGTTGCTAAAGGACAAACCTTTCCACTTGACTGTCCATACCCTGAGTAATCGTATCTGCAATAACAACAAGGAAACATATATAATTGAAAATGAATGATCGCAGCAGAGTTAACTAAGATATGAAACTGAGTGACAGATACTAGTCTTGGTTTCAAACATTCATAAACAAAAAAGAGAGAGCAAAATCTTACAAGGTCATCAACTGTTTAATGAAGAATCATATCTGGGCAAATCCTACTCCTATCTAAACAAAACACACACTTAATCAACACAAGCCTAGAAAGAAATTATCTTTAAATCCACAAAAAAAAAAAAAAAAAACAAACAAACAGAACAAGTAAAAAGTGCGAGAATTTTAAGTTGCAGACTGCAAAGAAAGAGAGAGAGAGAGAGAGAGAGAGAGAGAGAGAGAGAGAGAGAGAGAGAGAGTACCCCATGAGATTAACCTTGAGATGGATGCTAAGCTCGATGAAGAGCTCATACATCTGTCCCAAATCTGCCGCGTTTCCATGGGAGTAGAGGAGCGTCGAGGTTGCCATCGGGTGCCTCACGTACATGGCCACGATCTCCGTTCCTCTCCTGGTCGGTAGCTTGAGGATTTCCACGTTCTCGCGGTGGGGGAAAGGCGCCAGAAGCAACAGCCCCGTCAGCTCGTCGGTGACCACCTTGTAAGACGGCGGACTCGGTGGGAAGAAGGCGAACTTCGCCGCCACCGAAGACGTCACCCCTCCCATCTCCTTCCTTTCTTGCTTACACGCTCTGTCTCTCTACGCAAAAAGCATTTCTCTTGATTTATTGAGCTACTGGTTTTTGAGATTGAAGCTTTTTTCTTGGCAACAGAGAAAGAGAGAGAAAAGAGAGGAGATTGTTTTATCAAGCAATAAACAAAACGCTTTTTCTCTCTCTCTCATGCTACTACTACTAGTTTGCATTCTTCAATGTTTCTTTTCATAATTCCAATGCTAAGAATTAGCTAAAAATTAAGAAGATTATGTGGATTGTAGACTTATGTCAATCTAGTTTTGGGTAACATATTTGTGAGATATGAAAGTGATTAATTTCGATGTCTATATATACTGTACTCTACTTAAAAATTACTGCCTTCTCTTGTATATGTTTGAACGGTTAAGTAGAAGTATATATATGGAAATCGGGCACATAAATTCGGATATTTTGGATATTGTATGTTCCATTCCATACATTTTCAAGCTGGACAGTTCAAGGCATTTCATTGATTCTAAGATATTTACACACGGGTAACTGAAAAAAAAAAAATACATCTTACTCATTTGAAAACTACATGTACCTAATTTTCATTGATGATTCATAATTTCATACTAGCAGATATCGAAAACTAAACGAATAACAAATAGTATAACATGTGTCACCCCTAATTTATGCATAAAACGTCAAGTCGAGAAGTGGACAGACTATTAAAAAAGCAAAAGGTTTTTCCTCCAAGCAAAAAGATTTGGCTTAATAATTCAAGAGTAGATACAATCATACAATATAGGCTTACAAGAAGTGTTTTAGAAAGAACAAGGTGGACACGAGCATGTGGGATGAGAGTTGGTATTTACATAAATAGACGTTCGTGTCCTATTGACATGTCTTTACTTGACCCTTTGCCTTGATTTAGACTAATCCGTCATATACAGTATTACTTTGTGATCGATACTGGAAAAGAAAAATAAAAAATCGAACGAAGTTATGAATCATATCAAAAGGGGAAATTATGAATTTGTGTTCTAAGAATAAAAACTAGTACAAACAACAAGATTACTTATACTAATTAACAATTCATGCTTTATAGGAAATTAAAGAAAAGAATATTTGAGATTAATAAGATGGACCACATATGAAGAAGATATGGCTCAGAACAAGAAAAAAAAAACATTATACTGGCGACATGAGGGGCACACTGAAATGCTATAATTCAATAGACAAGAAAATGAGATATCAACTACTAACACAAAAAAACATTTATAAGAAGATAACCCAATAAATGAAATTAGGATAATAAATTAGAGAATGATAAGAATATAATTTAGTAAGCTACAATTCATAGTAAAACATTAGACACTAGAAAGAATAAAAAGATGTGTTGGTGTCCTCCATGGGTCCATGAAATAAAAATGGAATTGAGAAGCAATATAAGAAGAGGGAAAGCAAATAGTTGTTTTGAAGTGGTGGGTCTTCACTCACCCATCTTTGACAGCTTCAAAATCCGGAGAAAGTCATATATATATATATATATATATATATATATATATATATATATATATATATATATAAATCCATTTAAGAAACTGTTTATTATTGAAAATGATTAGGAATACTTCAATCAAACATGTCGACAAAGGCCAAACCACACACATGGACTGGCCAATTCTCAAACAAAGACATTGTAATTCAGAAAATTATTAGAAGGGAAAAGGAAAATGAGACTGAAAAAGGAAAAGAAGAAAAGGGGAAGAGGGCGAGAGAGGGACAGGTGCGTGGGTTATGTAGCTTATTAGAAGTTGTAGTTCTCGTCTTGGTCAAGAAGCTTATCATCGTGACAACAAGCGAAGCTCATGTACTTCTCCATGGGGCGTTGGCACTCGAAGCAGTTCATCTTGTCCGGAATGCGGCCGCTGCGAGCAGTGATGTGGAAATCGAAATGGCCGCATGGTTTTCCGGTTTCACGGAGAATCTCGTCGTGGTGGTGGTCGTACATTGCCTTGGTGTAGCCTTTGGTGGGAACGTGGGTCTTCCAGGTGCGGTCGTAGACGCTGACAGTCCTCTCAATGGCACCGTGAGCGATCATCACTATCTCAGGCCCTTTGCTCAGCAGTGCCCACCCTCCTAGCTTGTCGTAGCTCAGTATCTTCTTGATTCCTTGCATCACCTAATTCATAGTATATAAATACCAAAAACGACACCGTTTGTTTTTTTGTTGTTGTATAAAACCCAAAAACTATTAATACCCTAGAGCTAGGGTTAGCCTAGCAGTCTAGTCTGTTTTAAGTTTTGTTTATTACCTCGTCGTGATCATCGGCTTTACCGAGTTGGATCTTGGAGTACAACATGCTCTCGAGCCTAGTCCAGAAGAACCACATCAAGGCAGGCTCGGTCCAGCTGTGGCTGAGATTTTCAGCCTTGACAGATTCACTGATGCGCCTGATCTGTTCCCTGTGGCTGTGGTTTCGTTTTCCGACGTAAGCCATCTCCAGATTGATGTTGGAATCTTTGGCCGTTGCTTTGGCCGCCATTGTGAATCTCCTTATCCAGTCCAAGTCATCTCCTCCGTACAAGAATATGTAATTATCCGGGTTTATCTGTTAGTTAGCAACAAGTATATGTAGAGTCAGGCCTTGATTAAATTCATCATCTCATAAAAAGTTAATGATTAGAAATACCCAGTTGAAAATGATAGAGTCGATGCCATCAACGATGAGGTTAAGAGAGAAAGTCTCCCTCCTCCAGAGCTCTTCCTCACGAGATCTATTGAAAGGGAAAGCTTCAGTTCCCCAAATCCAGATCATGTGAAGCGCATTGAGACTAGCCTCGTTGCCTTGTGGGTCAATCACTACAAGAATGGGCTTGTTCATGAAATGCCATCTCTCTCTCATAAACTCCACCACATGTCTCTCTACCAGCCGAGGACTATCCACTGTGTACCTGATGACCATGCACAGCATAATATTATATTCATCAAATGTTGACAAAGAAAGATTGCTTTTGTCTTTTGATGAGTAAATATATACCATGGCATAGGTGCACGGAGAGCCTCAAATTTCTTCTGAAGAATGGGAGATCTGTCGTAAGCTTCGATAGGATCGACGATGGGAACCCACACAACCTCGTAAGGCATATGACTCTTACCATCGGCTCCCATCAAGTTCCTCCTTGACTCTGTGTATATTTGCTCGAATATCGACAGCTCATCTTGCAGTATGTTGAGGTCAGAGATGAGCAGCAACACTGTCTTCCTCCTCAACACATCCAAGTGAACCTGAAAGTGTAAGATTCGTAGTTTATAATTAGATTGATCAGTTTTACATGAACTTAAAAAAAAGTTGACGTAATAATATATATATATATATATATATATATATATATATATATATATATATATGCAGGCAGAAACCTTTCTCTTGGTCAAACCATCTTGCAATGGGGTCATGTCGTTTCTGGGATGAATCAAGGCCGAGAGAATCTTCATGTTATCAATGTGAGTGGTGTCGAATAGAGAATGCAACATCTTTAAGGATTCTGTGCTCCTCTGCTTCTCTGCAAAACCAACTCTTTTAATTTGCCAGCAATTAAATTAAAGGAACAACAGAGTGATCTGATGAATATATATGTTGAATTAATGAGACTGTGGTACAATTACAAACCAATGTGACGGTAGCAAAGCCTCAAGGTCTCAGAGAGATGGTCATGAATGTTCTTGAGCTTGTTAGCTAGCATGGATGTTTCCCATGAATCCATTTGGGTGTTCATCATCCTGGTAAAATAAAGAAATCCTTAATTAGCGGGTGATCTTCTTGAATCAAGAAGCAAGAAAAAAGAAGAGTGATGTGTATATATAATAAATGAAAGCTAAGTCTAGTGTTATCGCACTCGTGTCCCATGGCAGTGATCATGTTGATCTGAGAAATGCAAGCCACGATGCTTCTTATGGTCCAATAAACAGCAATTGGGATTGTAGAGATGATTCTCGAAAGCTGAGGATCGTCCAGTGTAATGTAACGATCAGGTAACTCGCTGAGTTCCACAACACAAGCGGTGACGCTCTTCATCTCTCGGATGAGGTCGTTGAGCCCTTGGGAGACAGACTCGAGGGTGACTCTGTTCTGAACAGGGACCAGCTTCAGCATAGCTAGGGACTTAGCCAGCTGGTTCTTTGAGTAGAACTGGACCAGAAGCCAGAACTCTCCGTAGTTCAACGCGAAGGCGGCTAGAGTCAGGACAAGCTTGGCGTCCCAATGGAAGCTAGAGAGGTGTTCAAACACTGACATTGTTATTTCGTGCGCGTCTGATCCCGTCAGAGACTTGTAAGCAATCTGCAAGGAAGAAGCAAATTAGACTTATCCTTGTGTTGTTTGTTGCGCAAGTTAGGTCATGGTTACGTTACGTGTAGAACAATTTATACAACTTTGGTAATACCTCGCAGGCAACACGATCGATAGCATAAGAGACGTTATCGAGAACGCTCATCACGCTTGATTGCATAAGTTTATCCTCCGTAGGCAATGGAAGCATCTGCGAATTAAGTGTCATTATACGGCTTAATTAATTAATTAATTAATAAAGAAGAATAGTTGAATGAATGCTAACGGAGGCGTTGGAGTCGTCGGAGTCAAGAGTGGCACGATCGAGAATATCTTCAACGAGAGAGAGAAGGCCACGCACTTGTACTTCGCGAGCATCAGGGGAATGAGTGTGTTGTATCACTTTCAGCATCATGCTGTCGTCCGATGACATGGTTAGCCCCGTCGTCGCCGGTATCATCTCCATCGCCGGAGTTTTACCGGCCAGTTTCTGAGCGTGCTGGGACTTGATCAGTGACTCCATTTATTAATTGGTTTGGTTTCTTCTTGCGAGAAGAAGTGAGAGAGTTTCTTATTGGTGTGTGTGTGTTGTAACGTACCATCAGGTTAGCCTTAAATACTCAAATTTTCCCCCTTACTTCATACCGTCTGGAAACTGGGAATCAACTTCTTTGCTTCTGTAACAATTAAATTAAATATCTTTGTTTCCTCTTTTTCTTCTGCTTTTTCTTTTTGGTGGCTTGTTATAGAATGATTCTAGATATAGTTCCCGTCCTCGTAAATGTCGTTAATACTTAGTACATACTACAAAAATATAACTATCCTAATACTATAAAGTGTAAGCCTGCTTTCATACAGGAATATATATATAGTAATTAAATCCTAAGATAAACCTGGTTAAACTAGTCTTAATAGGTACAGATTGTCATATCTTACATTTTTTAATCAAGAATCAAACCTAGAACACGTTTTGTTCGCTACTTTGCTTTGATTCTTATATTACTTCCACTCATGCCATAGTATTTTTATGGATTCTGTCATTTACTTTTGTGTTACTTTACATTTATACCGCAGAATTACACACACATCTATATATATAGAAAATAGTACAAGATAGTAGAGTGAAGTGAACAAAAGGGTGTGATTCTTTGCTCTTCTTGGGAAAAACTATGAAATTTGTTAACCCCAAATATAAAAGTACATAGGATAAAGCTAAAAAGAGCAACGCTAACCAAGGAACTTCCTCTCTTATCAACGGAAAAGGGCCACAATTAGGTCGATCTGTCTCAATGCTCTCTTCATTTCCTACTCTAAAGACACGAGCAGTGTATGGAAATTGATCAGGCTGCGATGTTGCACAGAAGAGAGGGAACAATCGGTCTCATACCTTACATATCTGATATCTCATGAGAAAATAAATTTCTTTCTTTAGTAAAGGATATAAAATATCGCCTGAAGAATAATTATGAGATTGTAACGTGGCTGATAATGACAAGAATATATAAATCTGTTCATCTTTTGACTGACTGATTCTTTTTCACATTAAATTATTTTCATTTCAAAAGGCCAAATGAATACTTTATATTAATCAAATCCATAAAGAAAACATGTCCCATTACAGACAAAAGAAAAAACAAATTCAGTTACTTATTTTAGCTAACTAATGTTCTAGAAGCTTACGGCTCAAGAAATCTACAAAGAAGAGCAGTATATAGTCAATCAGTTCACTGTTCAAGAAGCTTCCATTGCATACAAACTTTTTATTATTCTCGAAAACATAAACACACAATTTTATTACAAAGATACTGCTTTCATAGAGTAGAAGCAAAAACAACAACAACAAACAGCATGATGTATAGAGAAAACACAACAAGAACTGACGGAGGAAAAAAAAAAGACGCAAACTTTGGTTTTATTGGAAATATATTGTTGTAGAATTACGCTTCCAAATAAATATCTTCCGGAGTATTGTGGGATCTCACTCAAGGCAGCATTGGTACAAGTAATACTTTTCCATGGTCCTGCGGCACTCGGTGCACTCGACCTCATTGGGTATAATCCCAGAAGTCTCAGGAAGCATGAACCTTGTGCAGTGGTGTGGTGGAAGACGCATCAAGAGATGATCATTCAGTGCTTTCAGAAATCCATTTGTGGGAATGTTGGCTTCCCATTCGTTATACTGAGCCAAACCCGTCGAAAACAAGCTCCCTTTGGCTCGAACCATCAAATCCGAAGCCTTACTCACCAGTCCCCATCCATCTCCTTCTCCCCCAAACCCTAACATAGCAACGATTTCTTGCAGGACAAGGTCCTTTTCTTCCTCTTCTTTAAAACCTTCTCTCCCTTTGGTTCTGTGGGCTTTCAGCATCCTTTGTTTCGACTCCCACATGCTCTCGACCCTCGTCCAGAAAAACCATATCTGGAACAAGTCCGGCAACGTGTGGCTGAGGTTTTCTTCTTTGATTGTGTTGATTATCGGCTGGATTCCGTTCTTAGGGTTTCTTTTTCCAACATAAACCATCTCGAGTTGAATGTTTGCGGCTTTTGCGACACTACGCCACAGACTCGTGAAGTTTCTGATCCATTGCATGTCTTCTCCCCCATAGAGACATATGAATTTTCCCTCAACAAGCTGATATTAAAACATATTTAAGATAAATGTTACTTGTAAGACAAGAAATATAAGAATACTCTGTTTTAAAAAAAAAAAATCAAAAGAACCTGGTTCAAGGAGTGAGGATCAGTGCCATCAATCAAGAACTCAAGATTCCACTCCTGTTCACCCCATAGATCACGTTCCCTTGGGGTCGTAAATGGATAAGCGAACGATTGCCAGATCCAGACCATGGGGAAAGCATTGGTGGACATAACTTGACCTTTAGGATCAAGTGCAACGAGTATAGGTCTGTTCTTAAATCCCCACCACTCTCTCACAAACCTCATTGCGGCTCTCCTTAACCTCCGAGGCTCTCCAAGAACGTACCACCTCATGTTCGAATGAAGTGACTCGAACTTGGCATCATCAGCTTCTGTCCAAATTTTTTGAACCGGAACCCATAGAATCTCGAATGATTGCTGCCATGCTTCAGTGTAGAGCGATTCCAGGATGTAGAGCTCTTTTTCGATGTTTTCTAGGTCTGATACCAGAAGCAGCACGTGCTTTTGCGTGAGCACGTTGATCCCAACCTAGTTATAGTTGAAAGAAGATTAGCACAGAGACAAGATCCAGAGAAAGTGAGATAATCAGAGATTTAGTTTTTGTTTTTTACGCGTCTCTTGGCTTCACCAGCTCCATGGTAAAGAAAATCAATGGGTCTAAGCAAACTAATCAGAGGAGGAACAACGTCAACGTGAATGATAGTAGTGAACGTCTGAATGAGTTCTTGGTACTCCGCTTCGATTATACCATCCTCTGTAACAGAGAGAACGAGGTTCAGATCCGAGAGAAACAATGACAAATAGCTTAAAACGATGTCGTATTGCATATAAATCTCACCAATGGTTGATTGACTCTTCTTGAGTTGTTCAATCAAGTAAGCATTGATCTTCCTCAGCCTTTCACTATTCTCATGTATTTCCGAAACTTCCATAAACGACATGATTTGGCTGAAAACGCAGTTGAGAAACATTTAAAGTGGTTTCTTGAAGAGCAAGAAAGCTTAGAAATCGGAAAGAGAAATTACTTACTCCTGTTTAAAACCGCTGACGCCACTGATATGAGAAGCGCAGATGAGAACGCTGCGAACAATCCAGTAAACCGCGGTGGGGACATGGTCGGTAAACGCAGCTGTGATGTGGTTAGGTGGGAGTTGATAGATGTGGATGATGGTATTGGTGAGGTCAACCATGTCTTGCATCAGAATACGGGTCTTGTCAAGACGCTGGTGCAGCGCGTTCTGCCTGGAGAAGATACTAGGGAGCTGTTTGATGAGAGCCAGAGATTTAGTGAGCTGATTTGTGGCGTATGTCTCCGCGAGGAGGAGAAAAACGCCGTATTTCACTGCCAAAGCGGCTAGGACAAGGACTAGCTTAGCATCCCAACGGTATTTGGAGACCAGAGTCAGAACAGAGAAGGTGGTCGTATTGCGACTGTCTAAATGATTCCCTGATGTCATCATTCCGTGAGAGTCACCGCCATGGAGACACTTGCAGTCGATCTGTTTCATCAGAGACATTGATACTTAGAAAATGAATTAAAACTTTTAAAACAAGAAGGAAGCTTCATATGCGGATGACCACATGCATATACCTCGCAAGAGATTTGATCGATGAGATCCGCGAAAGTTTCAAAGGAGGTATGATCCGCGTAGTCCTTGAACACAAGTGACGGCTGAAAAAGTTTTACATTTAGAAAACTTGTAAATCAATCTTTCAAAAAAGTTGATTAATTGCAGAGCAAGAAACTAAACCTTAGGAGCAGAGGAGTCAATGGATGGGACATGAGACTTGAAGATGTCATCGACAACGGAGAGAAGTGATTTGACGTCAAAGAAGATCATATCTGGACTATGAGTCTTCAAGACTCTATCAGACATGACTCGGTCATCAGAAAGTGAGAACATGGGTCTCCCATTTCTGTGGAAAGCTTGTTTTTTTCCCGGTCCAAATCGTCCACCGAGCGAGTTGTGACCCAGTGATCTCGGAACCAACGAATGTCGACTATTGGCATCAAGGACATCCCCATGTGGATGAGGGTTATGCGCAGTCTTGGGGACAATGGAACCGATCTTCTCGGTCTCATGATCCATCACCTTATTATGCTGAGGAGCAGCAACGTGGTGGTCATCTGACTGTTCACCGAAGGGTTTCTCTTCGTGGGTTCTTGGGGCTAAGGGACGCCTCTCGCCTAAGTTATCAGCCAGCTTCTGCTCCGCGGATCTTGGGATCAGAGAGACCCTTTTGAGAGGATCGGCCGGTGGGTCAGTGAGGGGTTTTGTGTTCAGTTGAAAGCGTTGGGCCATATTGGCGAGAAGGTAGGAAATGTAGGGGCTGAAGAAAAACCAATATGTGAAGGATATGATGTGTTTGTTTGTGGTGAATGATTGGCTTTATATATTGGTGAAAAAGGATTAACAAAAAAAAGTGGCAACTTTGAATCAACTTCTTTGCTTCGTCTTTGGTTCAATATTTGTTTTGTGTCTTAGACACTTCCGTAGACAATTCCTTATTTGTTTTGTTTGACAAATAAGTTTTGATCATAATATTTGTAAACATGAAACTAGCCGTTAATACTAATACATTTGGTAGATCTGATAGAACATCTCTTACGAAAGTGTTGGAGTCCAAGTCGAATAAATGTTCAACTATGAACTATCTACATTCTAATTAGGAATTTCTTTGTGTTTTTTTCTTTCTATTGAAATATTTGAAGTAAATATAAAAAAACTCTGTATAATCAACTCGTGACACTCGTTAAGGGACAAGGCTACCTTGCTTGGATATTGTCCATAGTCCATGAATCTATGTACAAAATGTATAGCACACAAAAATGCTATTGACATGAAACCTATATATTACATTTTCAACAGTGTATAATCTTTCTTACTATGTTTCTTTTGTAAAACAGGTTTTTCCAATTTGATTGGCTGCTCAAAGCTAGAATTTCAACTGTAACTATTTTAGAATTTGCAGTGTAAGTTTCTCCAGCTGGATTTTGGTACTAATAGTATTCAAAGTTTAGTTTTGTTTCTTTTTCTTATCTCCTTTTCAATATTCTTTTTCGTTGTCACTTATATTTGGTATTCATTAATTAATAACAATATTAGAAAGAAAGAATTAAAAAAACAGATACAGTAATGTACTTTTGTTTTGCTGGTTTTACTCAATGTTTGTTACCTACTCATACAGAGGTTTGAAATTCTTATAAGCAACAACAGCATTAAAAGGGTCCGGCCTAGAAGCTAAACCAATTACACTCAAAAACCAATTGAAAACCGGTTTCTCAGCTCCGCCTTGACCAGGAGGCTGTTGCCGGATGATCTCCGGCTGAGTAAAGCCTTCGATAGACTGGAAGTACTGAACCACTAACTGGACACGACTGTACTCTGTTCCATCTCTCCAAACCTTTATTGCTTTCTCATAAAACATACGATTGCTAAAACTCACTATCAACGCACCTCCCGGTTTCAAGACTCTATACACTTCCGCAAACACCTGCGGATTATACATGATTTGAGGTCCGGTTTAGGAATTTTAGACACATATAATTAAAAACCGAAAGCGAAATTGGTTTACTTTGTACGTACCTTTTCTGGTTGTTGAAGATATTGAACACCAACAGAACACAGAACCGCATCGAAATACTTGTCTTCGAACTCGAATTTCTGATCCTCGTTAAGATCCTTGATGAAGAAGTAATCGAGTCTAGGGTTCCTCGCAAGCTCCTGTGCGTTAAGACCATGTCCCACCACTTTCTCGTACTTGACCTCATCGGGTAGATGGCTGACCCATGAGCTCATCAAGTCTAAGACAATCGAACCGGGCCTTACTCGGTTTCTGTATAGATCGGTTAAGGAGGAAATGAAGCTGTCGTCGACGTGGTTCACGAAGCGTGGGTATGAGTAGAATTCACGGTCAGGATCGGCGTTTAGTTTGGTCCGACCTTCGTTGTTGAGTACTAACCGTTGGATCTTACCGGCCGATGATGGTGGTGACGACGGATCGGTTTGGTTCGACGATGCGTTAGTGACTCTTGGTCGGACATTTCTCGGTTTCAGTTGAAATGGAGATTGTTGAAGGTTGAATCGAAGAGAATCCATAAAGGTAACTCTACTTTCTCTTTTTTCTCTTTATCAAACTTGGCAGAAGCTACGAATCGTTCGTAGAAGAAAGTGACGAAATTAAGTTTTTTCTTTTTCAAAAAAAAACGAGTGGATAATTGATAAGCGGTGAATATTGGCTTTTCAGCAGAAGTTTAGTTAGAATGGGCCCACTTTGCTGTAAGAAAGAGGTTTCAGTGTTATTTTCTTGGAGAGAATAGGAGGATCTATTGTATGAGTAACATAAAGCAGAGCATCTTTTGAACAGAAGGAAGAGAAATCATAATTCACAATATTATTATTCTTACAATCCAAGCAAAGCAACTAAACAAGTCAAGAATTTTGGTAAGTTTAGGAGAATTCAATCAAAGAACAAAAGAACAGTTTTCTTTTTTACAGATATCTCTCGGAGAAGATGGGTTTAAATGAATGGTATTGTACTATTGTTAGTAGAGCTTAATTCTGGTCTGGATGGGCGCACGACAAATAGGACAGACCTTAAGATCTGGTCCGCATTCACAACATGTCTGATGACCGCAACCAAACGCCATGTTCTTGGGATTGCTCAGACATATCGGACATAGCTGTTCCAAAAGAATATATTTAGAATCTTAGATCATATGAAAATTTAAAGTTGCAAACAAAGGGATTCAAAGTTGATACTAAATTACCTGGTTCTCGTCTACACCATGCTTGGTTTCGATGGGATAAGGAGGCACACTCGGTTCAAAACTCGGTATCCGGGAAGCCATAGTCGGGTTGAAGAATGATGAGCCGCTCTGCACTGGAGGCGGGAGTGGGATTCTCTCTGGGATGCTCCCGTTTCTTCGCCTGCATATATGTCAGTCAGGGCAAAGAGATAAGCTGACAACTTTCATAACAATATAGCACTTGTACTGCAGAGCTAATCTATCAACGGGCCAATACCCTAAAAGGTTATGCTCTATGGTTGCTTTGTACTGTGGCGGGATCTCCATGAGAGCAGAGAGTGCGAATTCCGTCTCCTTCCGAGCCTGCTCTTTGTTCTTTGACATGATCTCCGTGAAGTTCACAAACTAACAACATACAAAAATACATACTCACTCGATCAGAACGATGTCGAAACAAGTTTTCTAAATGTGACGAGAAGAAAAGAAAAAAGAAGAAGAAGAAGCTGATAGAGTGTACTTGGAAGTTATCGAAAGCACGGGCAGGTATGTTATCATCAAACTCCTGCATCATGTCCCATGGTCCGTCCCCAACCCCTACTAATACTATTGACAATGGAAGCGTACTGCGCAACACAAAGGAAATAGAAACGATCATTGATTATTCACAACACACAAAGAAAAAGACCTCTAAAATAATAAGAAACAATAATCAAAATGTTCCTCCTACCTTGCTTTCACAATTGCATCTACCGTCTTCTGCTCTTGCGGACTTAATTGCCCATTCTCCGTATCGACACTTCTTGTAACCTGAAACGACAATTCGATATCCTTAGACACGAGGTGATCGGAGGAGGATCGTAGTACAGGCATCAAAATATTAACCAGTACATAATATTGGTACCTGTCCATCGGCTATAATCACTAACACATGATATTGGCCACTACTCTTCTCAACCACTGACATGGCCATTTCAATGATGGGTGCAAATGAGGTCGGTCCTGAAAATACAACATTTCGCACACACAACACGGTTCAACTACTTATGTTGCGCTTCACAAGGAGGAGGAGATACAGAAGAGAGGAGGAAAACAAACCTGCGAGCTTAAGCTGAGGCACGATCTCTCTATACCGAGCCAGCACTTCCTCAAACCCATTACAGAATCTACCCTCTGGATAGAAGCTAAACACGTCTTGATCATGAGTTGATGCTGCAAAGAGACGACACCAAAATCTTGAATTATCTGAAACTCGCATGTCGAATTAAAGGGTGAAGACTGAAGAGTGCTTGCTTACCGTCTCCAAAACCATAACAAGGAATCAAGTTATCCTCGTCAAAGGTGGCTAAGGTTCTTCCAATGATAGTGATTGCCTGTTCGTAAGGGTTTGGTGTATTGCTTATATGATGCAAGCTTTTCCTATTGAAGGACTTGGCACCTGCACCAACACCAATATTAGTCTGCTCATTCTTCTTCTCCTTTTGGCCATGCGTTATTAAGGCTTAGATGAAGGAAGCTCTAACAAACCTGTCCATTCATTGCTCTTGGTGAAATCAATACCAACGATTAGATTTGAAGATTCAAGACCTGCACGCCCTAGAGCCTCCGACACCTGGAATCATTTCAGTCACATTACTAGATCCGATTTCAACACTTTCAAGGCAAATCCAAGGTTAGATCATTCATTTTCCTAAACGCACCTGATCTAAAGAGGAGTAGTTATCAGCTATTCTCGAATACCTCCGATCAAATTTCTTCCTGTCATTAACATGACTCTGTGAAGGCTGTGGAGGATGATGATAAGGCTGTGCATAGCCCTCTTGACTCTGTGAAGGCTGTGGAGGAGGATAAGGCTGAGAATGATGGCCATAGCTGGAAGTGGAAACCGGAGGAGCAGGAGCAGGAGCAGGAGCAGGAGCAGGAGCAGGGGCATAAGTGGGTGGAGGAGGATAGTTGTAGCTATCAGGTCCATACTGAGGATAACTTTGATGAGAAGCCCATGACGATGACGATGATGGCGGCTCTTGCCTCCACTCTTCTTTCGAATTCCCTCCTCCCATCAAACTTTATTCAAATCACAAATATAAAAAACACAAACTTGAAGCCTCGATATCAATAAGACCACTGCATAAAGAATTTTTAAAAAGGTTGGGAATTTAGAATTATATCCTATAGAAAAAGGGGATTCGCAAGAAGAAGAAGAAGAGAATCGATTGAACATGCAAATACCTATGACAATACAAAACTCAAAAGTTTCTGAGATGTCAGAAGACCTAACAGAGGGCAGTTATAAGGTTGAAAGGCTCTTATAGTCGTTTTCAGGAAGGTTCGTGAAGCGCTCACAAGGAAAACAGGTGTAGTAATCAGGGAAGGCGGCTCTTTTAGTCTTAACTTTTAAGTAAGAAGATTAACATTAACATGCAGATAAAGAAGAAGAAGAAGAAGAAGAAGAAGAGTCAATCACGTTTCCTAGAAGATCACCGACTTGCCGTTACCAAGTTAGACAAATATTCAACTTTTCCCAGTTTTAGGAGAAAATTAAGAATTGTAGATTTCATTAACCTAGATTTAGTCTTCCCAATAAGACAAAATCTGACAAATCCACCCTTTCCTATTAAATCAAAACGCAACCACAAATCTAATTTATCGTCAAATACTCAAATGGATCGAGAACTGCGACAGAAAAATCTCACCTTTATATGTGTCAACTCGATGACGAAGAAGAGAATTCTCTAAAGGATGATGAAGGAAGGGATCTTTTAATTTTCTTTCAATATTGTCAAGGAAGGATCTTCAATGGTCGATTGTAATTCGCCTGATTTGTTCAGAAAGCAAACTAACCTTTTCCGTTTAATTTCACTTTCACGTTTCAATCATGAACTCAAGATAAAGTTGGGATTTGTTTATTATTATTTTGGACCAAATCATTAAATCCACAACACTTAAAATAATAAAGTGCCATATCCAGAAAAGCATGAAAACTTCTAAATTCACCTCTTAAAATCAGAAATATTATTATTCAATCTTCTAAATTTGGCCCACCAAGCGATTCCGGAACCAATTTTCAAATATATAACTTTTAAATTACGCAATCAAATAACATTATTAGAAATGTCGTGCCCATTTTTTACCATGGAATTTCCTTTAAATAGAGCTACAGAAAGTAGGTATCACATCTTATGTTGTTTAGGTATTAACAGAAACATGTGATAAAATAAAGACGTGAAAGGAACAAAGTAGAAAATGTGAAGTGCAAGAGAAAGAAAGAAAGAAAGAAAACAAGTATAACAAAAAAATGAAATGTTGTGAGCATCAACGCTCGAACCCGTGACTTGATGACAAGTGCTGCCGAAACATAAAAGCTCAAATGTTCATTTCTCTGGCCCTCTGGTCTTTTTTTCTCGTGAAGAAAGACTCAACAATCAAGGCTTTGAATGTCGGAATCATTCAAACATGTAGGTGCAATCTTTATCGGCTCAAGCTTAAATCCCGATTTCCGGCATTCTTCTTCCAAAATCTTCACCTGAGATGGGCCGTCAGGGCAGAAAACCACCACTGCTCCTCCACTTCCAGTGAACTTGGAAGCTGCACCAACCCTCCTTGCAACTTCCACCATCTCTATGTTCATTGCTCCTAAGCACTCGTCCCCAAACATCTTCCTATATTTCACTAAATGTGAGCAGGGAGTTTGATCTTTAGTTGCGTATAGATACATACTTGCTCTGTGGATTAGATTTTACCTCCTAAGGTCAAAGTTACGGTTCATGAGTTCCACAAGTTTGGAATGGTCCTTGTTGAGTAATGCAGTTCGACCTTCTTCTGCTATGTTTCCAACTCCTTCCATTGTTGAGATTATCATCTCATCACCGTCTAACCATCTTTGCCGAACCATACTATGTACCTGCACTCGGAATCAATGCCTAATATCAAACAACATGTAACAAAATTCTACAGAGCTATGCCTAAAAGATCAACTTCTAAATTTCACTCTATTAATTCTTATAATCGAATACCAAACCAAAGCGTAAACTGAGAGTGACCTTTCCAGAGTCGCTAGGATTCTCAGCATAGATGAGATGCAAAGGTGGAAGGAGACTGATATCCATACGAGTGTAGATCCCATGTCCCAATTTCTCCATGTGTTGTTTACCAAAATCCTGAAAAGTGTCAAGATCATCATCATAGTCATGCCAGCAACTGCAACTGATGGAGCTTAGCTTTGTACGAAATGGTTTACATAGAAGAGATGAGCACCACCCACCATGTGAACAAGACCACCATAGACCTGAGCAACCCGGTCTTGAAGACCTGCAACGATACCAAGCTCTTTCTCTGCACTGAGAACAATGTTAGGCCTAACTTGTACTTTTATCAAATGCCTGACATCGTAGAAGTCGAGAAGGCAGCTGAGTGCAGCGGATACGATGGCACTTGAACCCGAAAGCCCTGTCTGTAACATCAAAAGCTAGAGAGCATCAGCAATGTAAAGTATTCGAAAACAAAAACATGAAGAAGAAAAGACAAACTCTGTATACCTGCCTAGGGATATTGGTATCGTAAGATATAGTGAAGTTTCCCTGGTGAAGTTGAATGCCATTGTCTTTGCAATGGTTACAGAAAACTTTACAAATCGCCATTAGCAGCCTCACACCTCCGTAGTAACCTTCATTTTGCAACCGATTCAACTGAGGAAGAACAATCAGAGCAGTTACTTTTCCCTATTCAGGCTATGAAACTAATGATCTGAGACCAAGTCTGGTATCTACTGAAATATAAACATTAAAAGAAGATAGTATTAACTAAGAGAGAGCGATGTGAAGAATGAAGAATGAAGAATCCCCCATTTGCACATTGAGAACGGGAAGGAGTCCACTAAATTCGATTAAATCACTCACATAAAAAGGAGAAATTCGAAAACGAATACAGGCAATTATCAACCAATTCTTTAAAAATAGAAAAAATTCACTTATTGACTAAAACAATCAACAATTCAAACGAAATGCCAGATGGATCAAAAGGAATAACACTAATAAACAATTGTCGAGCAGAGAGAAATTCCACAACAGACACGAATTATATGAGGAAAAGAAGAAAAAAGGCGTACGAGATGGTCGAGAGAGGTGAACTGGACGAGATCGTGAAAAGGATGAAGCGTGATCACTAGATGTTCAGATGGCTCGAGCTTCACCGACGCCCAGAAGTTGCCGATTGTGAAGGAGATGGTGCGGCCGAAGTATACATCGCTTGGATTTCCGAGAAATCCGACCCGAGCGAACGACCGATGCTCTATCGCCGTCGTCTGACCGGAAACCGTGGATTTGGGATCCTGATCCATTTTTCTCCTTGGCGTTTTTTACTTTCTTTGTTTAACATATCCTTAATAATCCATCCCATTTAATGGTTTAACGACTTATGATGGGTCCCACTATCTACTGTATTTGGAGTTACACTGATCCCATCCATCCGGTTCGGTGGCTCACTGGTTTAAATGACACTTGGCGAATAAATCAGTCGTAAACCGATCAACATTATAGGCACCTGATGATAACTACGTCTGTACAGTGTACATTGATTTAGATTCGGTTTTGTTCTAACCGGTGATAAACCGTTCTGGTTCTAATGGACAATAACAAGCTACAAACGAATCCCAAAACAGACAAACAAGCCCAAAACAAAAACGTGGCGAAATAACAACTACTTCCAACGCAAACAACCGAGTCCGAGACGACGGATTTGGTGCTGTGGCTGGCATGGGTGTCGTAGACAGACCCAGCCATGTAGCCGTAGAAGAGCGATCCGATGGGAACGTTTGTGATGAGGATGTTCTGGTTAACACCTACACTGCTACGTCCAAAGAGGTCGGATGTTATCGAAACCGCAGCCGCGAAAACGAACCCCGAGCTTAATCCGATCAGTGCGGTCGCAACTTGCAACAGCGCGGTCTGGTACGTCTTGGATGAGTAAGCGAGGATGAAGAAGGCCAAAGGCGTTGGCAGTAGCGAAATGGTGAACCAGCCTGTTCTGGTCAAGTAGTCTAGCTTCTTGCGTGTGAAGTCAGGTGCAGAGGAGAGCAATCTTCCCAAAAAGGAGAAGGCTGAGAAGAGTGTCACTAAGGATTTAGCCTTTGAGCTGTTTTGTCCTAGAGACTGAGCAATCTGTCCCAGGTTGTTGCTGTAGACAAGACCGATGGTTCCGCCGCAGAAATAAGCAAAGTAGTATAGCCAAAACTCAAGGCTACGAACCAGCATTTGGAGAGAATGTTCATCTCCTAGTCTCACTACTCTATCATCATCATCATCACATTCTTCCTCCTCGTTACTTTTGAGGATTTTGGGCTCCTCTACGTTTACCACTGCGTAGCCAGAGCTGCGACGGCGGAAACAAGACTCGAGAGCTCTGTGAATATAGTCGAGAAACGGGACGCACAATGGGAAAAGGAGAAGGAAAATGGCTCCGAGGAAATGCCAACGAGGTGATGAAGCTAAGTAGGTGTTTGTTGAAGGCAAGAGAAGGTAAAAGCATGTGATCAAAGCTAAGACATTGAAGACGATGAAGATTCGGGTTTCGTCTTGGGTTCGGTTAGTGTCGGATTCAGAGGAGTTGGGGTTGGTAAGGACAGGCCAAAGAGCTAAAACAGAGACGATCAAAGGGATTAGAGAGTTAAGGAGAAGGTAAATGTCAGAGCTTGCTGATGATTTCCCACTGATTACTTCGTGTCCAAGCGTGTACAACGCAGCACTGATCCCGTTGAAACTCAGGACGAGAGACAAAGCGAGCGAATGGTTGGATTCGAAGTGACGAAAGCAGAGGATGAAGCAGACGGTGTTGAACCAGCAGATGCTTAATCCAGCTAAGGAGCAGCAGACCAAAACCAGAGAATAGGGTAGATCGATCACATCGGCGATTGATAACCGACAACGTAACCGACGAGTCCCATTGCGGCGGCGGCGAACAGCACGGCGGAGACGGGGAAATACGCAATGGCGAAACCCGAAGACCAACCCAGAGCTTTACCCAAATCGGAAGCCACCGCCATGTAATTGAGCCGCGATTGAGAAACCCCCATGGACGATTTCATGTCGGAAGAGTAGGCGGAGAAGTCGAAGTTGGTCCCCGTGAATGCTTGAATCCAGATTACCGCCACCAGCACCGTCCATCTCCGCCACCATTGGAGGATAGACTTAACTGGAGGGGGAGGGGGAGGCGACGGCGGCTGACGTTTCTGCAAGTCATGCTCCTCCGCCGTAATCTTCGCCGTAGTCGTCGTCGATATCGTGGTTGGGGGCTCCATTTGCTCGTCTCATAATCATCGGTTCACACACAATTCCTTTGCTTCTTTTTTTAACGTTCGGCTTAAAATTCCTTTTACTATTTTAATTTAAGAGAGATTTGTTTCAAAATTTTGGGCCTTTTTTCAAGAGGGAAAAAATCCTAACAAATTAGATTTGAAACTGACGGATGAAAAAATGAGATTAATTATAGTTGTTGTATCTGCGAGTCTATGGAAGCTACCAAACGGCTATAATTGGTTTTACAGAGGAGAGTCATTATTGATTTCAAACATAGTATTTTTCGGACCTCATCCATCTCTCTGTTCTTTCTTTTCTTCTTATCCTTGATCATATCCTACTTTGTCGAGAAACTCAAAATACATATTGGTTTCTGTGGATACATAGAATCATGTCCAGTTCTAAGAAGACCAAGTATCTCTGCGAGGATCTTTGTGGACAGGTTATTTTTTTCTGTTTTGTTGTTTCTTGCCTCATTTCTCTCGTCTAATCCTTTTCTGATTCTTAAGGCTTAAAAATGTTGCAGGAGGGTTCTCGAGCAGGCAAGGCCATGTCAAGGCTTAAACGAGTGCTAAGAGGATACGATTTCAAAAAGTATATATTCATCTGCATTCTCTTGCCAATCTCCATCTTCGGCATGTATCTACACGGCCAGAAGATCACATACTTCTTAAGACCTCTCTGGGAGTCGCCTCCGAAACCATTCAACATCCTTCCGCATTACTACCACCCCAACACTTCCATGGAAACGCTCTGCAGTCTTCACGGCTGGAAAAGCAGAGAATCTCCGAGAAGAGTCTTTGACGCTGCCCTGTTCAGCAACGAGATCGACATGCTCACTCTCCGTTGGAACGAGTTAAACCCTTACATCACGCAGTTCGTGCTTCTCGAATCAAATTCAACTTTCACCGGACTCTCAAAGCCCTTGGCTTTCGCGGAGAACAGGGACAAGAAGTTCAAATTCGTGGAGCCAAGGCTGACTTACGGGAACGTTGGTGGAAGATTCAAGAAAGGAGAAAACCCCTTCGTGGAAGAATCCTTCCAAAGGCTTGCCCTCGACCAGCTGATCAAACTCGCGGGTATCAAAGAAGACGATCTTCTGATTATGTCTGATGTGGACGAGATCCCCAGCGGTCACACCATCGATCTGCTTAGATGGTGCGACGGATACCCACCGATTCTGCATCTTCAGCTCAGAAACTATCTCTACTCGTATGAGTACTTTGTCGACAGCAAAAGCTGGCGAGCTTCCATACATCTCTACAAGCCTGGCAAAACTCGGTACGCTCATTTCAGGCAAAGCGACCTTCTACTGGCGGACTCAGGATGGCACTGCAGCTTCTGTTTCAGATACATCAGTGACTTTGTCTTCAAGATGAAAGCTTACAGCCATACCGACCGGGTTAGGTTCTTGCATTATCTCAACCCAAAGCGAATCCAAGATGTCATCTGCAAAGGAACTGATCTTTACGATATGCTTCCTGAAGAACACACTTTCAGAGAGATCATTGGCAAACTCGGTCCCATTCCACGATCTTACTCAGCTGTTCATCTCCCTCGACATCTCATCCAGAATGCTGATGCTTACAGCTATTTGCTACCTGGCAACTGCAAACGACAAACAGGCTGACTCGTCTCTCTACTTATCACTCCTGCTTATAGCTTTTGTTCCATCTTCTCTGTATATACAAGTTACAGTCTCAGATTTTTCTTTCAGTAATTTTGCGGATCTGATAACAGCACTTGGAAACAAAACTTGATTTAATATTACGTGTCTGAAGTTGAAAAACAGTCGAGTCTTTATAAAAAGAGATGGCATCTAATCTACCTCACAAAAATGGGATTTTGCAGACATACAGTATATAGTAATTAAGATAGTTGTTTTCATTCAAGGGCAAAAGATGATCCTATGGTGTTGTTTTGTTCGATGTTCCTTCGAGAGCTTGTTTGTAGCTTCTTTGATAGCTCCTCGTAGTATTTTATTTTCTGCAAAACCACCAAAATGAGATTCAAACACAGCGAGAGAAGGTAAGAGTTTTTCAAACAGAGAGAGAGGAGAGAGCATTTACCTGTTTGTTGACCGAGGGTTGGACTAAGGACAAGGCTTGCTCGAAATGAGTCATATTGATGGTACACTCACTTGAATCTTCAGACGACTCACTGCACCTGAATTTCTCCTCCACTGCCTGGTGTATAGCTTTGTCCACCTTCCATTTCAGACATTCAAACCAACCATCAGGATCATACACATTACAGAACATGGCTCAGTCTCATGCATGAATAAAGAAAGACTGCGACAAGATTATTACCAGGTTAGCGAGATCAGCTCCGCTGAAATCTTCACAGTTGGTCTTTGCAATAGCATCCAGATCAACACTAGGATCAATCGGTTTCTTCTTTGCAATGGCTTGTAGGATTGAAGCACGCTCATCCGCAGTAGGGAGGGGTACGTACACAAGATTCCCAAACCTGCCCGGTCTCAAGAAAGCAGAATCAACCACATCTGGCCTGTTTGTAGCTCCAATTACATACACATTACGCCTCTCTCCTCCATCCAGCTCAGCAAGAAACTGTGGAGCATCGAAATCCATTTGATCAACGCCCAAGTAAGATTTACAGTTGCAGCATTCAATATGACAAAGAAAGCCTTAATTACCTGGTTCAAAAGTCGTTCAACAACCCAAGCACCTTCTTTACCACGACTTGTTGTCAAAGCATCCACCTGAAGTTCAAAAACATTACTCATGAATACAATCATACAGCCCTTAAACTGAGACTCATCTCAAGTTTATACGTTTGCGTTTTAGCCAGGCTAAGACTTTTCAAAAGATGAAATAAAAACCTCATCAAAGAAGAGTACACATGGCGAGCATGTCCGAGCGCGGTGAAACAAGGTTCGAATAGCAAGCTCACTTTCTCCAACGTATTTATTCAGAATTTCTGCACCCTGAAAGCAAACGAAAGAACATAGAAAATTCATTATTCTGGACCATTCTTGTGCAAAGAAAAATCCAGAATATCTGACGTGAAAGTCAAACCTTGATGTATATGAAATTAGCTCCTGCCTCGTTTGCAACTGCCTTTGCAATCAGCGTCTTACCGCAACCCGGCGGTCCATAGAGCAAAAACCCTGTCTCTAAGTTTGCCCCAAAAGCCTAAAAAGATCCAAAGAGACATTTTCAGACACATCAGTGGAACAAGCAAGTAATTTTGACTTGACTATAAAACAGTGGCAAGTGTTTCATTACTACCTTATAAATCTCAGGCCTTTTAATAGGTCTGACTATATAATTGTTGAGTTCACGCCGTAGATGCTCGAGTCCACCAACATCGTCCCATTTGACATTAGGCACGGTAGAGAACCCTTCTCTGGTTAGAGATCCTTGAACTAATTTCACTGCTTCCTGGTAGAAAAAGAGAGAGAGAACATAACAGAGTCAGGACCTAAAGAGCAAAACTTTTTAACAATTGAAGTAGAGAAAAGTTAACACACCTCGAAATCAGACATATTGACAAAGAGTTTATCCAAGTCTTCTTCCGCCCAGGGCTGCCTCAGCCAAGATTTATCATCATCGCCGTCACCAGACAGTTGTGATTTTCTTGAATCCCTGACCCTCTGAATGCCTATACTTCCAGCCTTGTTAGCAACACCTTCCAAATCGGCTCCAACAAACCCTGGTGTCAAACGCGCTATTCTCTTCATGTCAAAGGAACCTTCTAGTCTAAGTTTTTGGACAACAACAGAGAGAATCTGAGCCCTGGCCTCTTCATCCGGAACGCTTAGAGCAATCTCACACTCAAACCGCCCACTTCTCCTCAAGGCAGGATCAAGCGCATCAGGCCTATTTGTAGCTCCAATGACGAGAACATATCCATCACTAGAATCAGGATCCCTTTGATCGCTCTTGTTACCAGGGCCATCCATACAGGTCAATAGCTGCGTTACTATCCGCTTCTCCATCTCCCTCTGCTGGTTCTCTCTCTTTGATCCAATCGCATCAATCTCGTCGATAAACACAATCGAAGGCGTCTTCCTATATGCTTTAGAGAAGAGCTCTCTAATATTCTCTTCCGAAGCACCTGAGAGTTTTCACCGGAACCAAAAATTGCACATTGTATTAGTAACAACAGTAATGAGATCAAAGGGACAGAGAGAGAGAGAGAGAGCAGCTGCAAAATGTACAAAATGAAAATCAGTACCGGAAACACCAGAAACAACTTCTGTGGCTGAAATCTGATGAAACGGAACACCAACTTCATTGGCTATGGCATTGGCTAACTTGGTCTTCCCACAGCCAGGTGGTCCATGGAACAGAATCCCGCTCGGTGGCTTCACTCCCATCTTCTTAAACGGTTCAGGATTGAGAATCGGGAAGAGAACATTCTTCTCCAAATCATCCAACACTTTCTGTATCCCACCGAAATCTTTAAAGGTAGGTCCTTTACTAGCCACCACTTCCAAATCGCCATTACCAGTGGTTCCACTGACGGAAAGAAAGACTTTACCCTCCTTTCTCGACCCCATTGTAGTCATCTTGCTTCTACCTTTGCTGGTCACGGTCTCAACTTCGACATTGTTTTCCACAGGCGCAATGGGTTTCTTCGAGGAGCTGCTGAGCTTGGCGTAGTTATCTCGCAGACTGTCATTGGTCAAATCAAACCTCGGACTCAGCGGCTCGCTGTAAATGGCGTCCTCAGAAGTCGACACATCGCCACTGTCTTCCGAGGAAGAAGAAGAATAAGACTCTGATCGCGCCTTTTTTCTCCTCATGAGATGCGATTGCTCCGCTTGCTGTAGCTTCTCCTCTTTCTCATCGACCCGTCTCTGTTTCTTCCTGGCAGTAGCAACTTGGTCATCGGCATCATTGTCATCTTCGTCATTAATACGCTTGTTGTTTCTGAAATTAAGGATATGCCTGACGTTGAGCAGAAGTACATCCCGTTTCAAACGGGTAAAATTACCGTACCTAGAACGGAGATCGTCGACGATCTCCTCCGCCGTAGCTAAATCCTTCCCGCACGACTCCATAGCTTGGCTCAGATGTCTGCGAATGTGACTTCCGCCCATACCTCCGCCCATACCCCCGCCGCCGCTTCTGCCTCCGCCTCCGCCTTTGCCACCTTTCTTCCCCATTGTGCTTCCGGCGTTATTAGGGCTTAGAGCGGGTTTAGGTTGGTATGAATAATTTGGAGACGGAAAACACAGGAGAGCTGTGATAAGAAGCGAAGTGGGCCTCGTTCTGTTTGTAATGGGCCGCTAGTGTTAAAGTCCTTTAGTATTTGAATTTAGCTGCATAGGAAACTTGCAGCTAAAGAAACTCAGAATTGGAGGCAAAGAGGGAAGACAAATTCTGAGAACAAGGCTTCGGTTCCAAATTACAATTGCTGAAAAAAGACACTTTGATTGGTTCTGGTCAAGCTAAGTGGTTAGAGAATACTTGTCTTGCTTTGTCTTGGCTTAGGCTTCCTGATTCAGGGGATTATGACCTAATAGCTTATTTGGGATTGAGTGTGTGTGGGATCCAGGTTTTGGTCAAGCTGATGGGTTTAGGTAGCGTTAACAACATTTATGGGATGAGTTGATATAAAACAGTTGGACCTTAAGCTAAACAAAACAGAGTAACCACAAGAGTAGTAGTAGTACACAAACACCACAAGGTCAAAAATGTCTTGTCAAATTACAATGAAGCGAAGATTCTGACATGTAAATGATTATTTCCCGGAAATTTGAAGTAACTTTCCGGGAAGCCGATAGAAAATGATCGCCTGACAAGTTTTTGAAGTAAAATTATCACAGAGATATGACTTCAGTTTCACTTGGCGGGGAAAGTTTTCTTACTTATCTTATACACATTCCTGCTTTTCTTCTCCTTCTTCTTGGTCGTCGTTTCTCTACGTTTATATGAGAAAACGCCTTTTGAAAGGTTGTGCTTGTGCATGTAGCAGCAGGAATCCAATCACAGCCATCCAATCCAATTCATCAAGCTCTCCTGAGAAGCCAACTGCAAAAGTAGCCATGCAATCGAAATCAGGACCCAATTAAGTTCCAATCTTTCAGTGATTCAGAAATGTCTGTCTCTTGTAAATTTGGAACTTACAGTGAGGAAATCAGGAGGAACCCCGAAATCAGCGTTCTCAAGATCTGAAAGCGCAAAACCATCAAATTCCCCGAGGCTAGGATTAGGGAGAGCCTGGTTTTCCCAAGGAGACGGAGCTTCAATGCTTTCGTTGCATGTTAAGTTATTCTCTTCACTCAGGTTTACAACATTATCATCTTCCATTCGAGCTTTCTTGGACCACATAGCCTCTGGAATGCTGTCTAGTCCCTGGTTTACCTGAAACACACACACACACACACACACACAAAAAGACCGGAATTAGTCTCTAGAAAGCAACGGTTTTATTTGCCAATGGTTTTGTGGTTACTAACAATAAAGATTAACCTCAGCAAAAGGATCAAACGTCTTTGCATCATCAAAAGCTTCTTCATCTAGAGGTCTAGGTGGTGTAGGAGTGTTCGTTTTCGGCGTTGTTGGGCCACCTCTAACCCCGGAACTCTCACCTTCGTGAGGGATCTCTCCAAGTTTCTGCTGCTGATATGTGATCTTTGAAATAACAAAGTCTCCAATCTCCTCTCCTTCTGTGCCAAGATGGTACTGATGAAGCACCCAGTTTGACTTCTCGGGCTTTGATCCCTTTCTAGCGCTCTTGTAGAGCACCATTATCTTCTTGCAGCCCCTCTGCACTCCATCGAGCAGCACAGGCTTGGTTCTGCCTGTTTTGTGCCAGCGAACTGGTTCCTCGTTCACGCATGTGGGTGTGATCTTTCTGCGTTTCCTCTGCCCTGTTCCATATGCTTGCACCGTCTTGTGAAAGAAGAAGGCACTTATCCCATCTTTGTTTGCACCTGAGATACCAAAAACTCAAGGAATCAATACGCACCTTTGTTTGATTACTGACTAGTACTTAAGTTGCAAATCCAACCAGTACCAGGAAGGTTTTGAGGGTGAGTGTAGTTGATTCCAACATCTTCAGTGACAGGCCGAATAAACTCTTCGATGAGGACGTGCGATTCTGAGCCACCAATCCCACATTTAGCTTCCAGGAATTCGATGATATCCTCATCTGTTGGCTCGAACTTGACACCTTTAGGAAGGCCAGGCCATGGAATCAGCACCTGAAACCCCAGGAGATATAAGCAAAGTCTCGTATGTTTCAATTTTAGACAGAGAAAAGTGAGGAGAGAAGAGTGAAGTCTGGTTGGCTTCACTCACATTGCTGTTGTCAATGCGGTAAGTGCAGTTGGGGCATTGGATAGAAGCTCCACAGTCTTTGATCTGCAGAGCTGAAGAGACAGATGCATTTCTCACTTTGGCTGCGATTCCTCGGCCATCTACAATCCAAGCACTGTATATAAATGGAGTTGGGGATTTTGTTACAAGAAAAATATGTCAAGGATAGATATGGCTACTGCTCATAGAAACAAGTCATCTCAAGACAACAACTTAGGAGTTGTCCTGTCTTGTACAGAGAGCTACATACATTAGCGATTCAAGCATGCACTTTTTTCTGTCAGAAGCAGAAAATAAATGTTCACAAATATCACAGACAGATACGCAGAGCAGAACAATCCCATATCTCCTACATACTTAAATCTGAAAGCAATTAGACCGATTCAGAAAATGCCCAATTTAGACGAACAAGTTTCAATCTTAGCTAGGGGCAATTTCACGTTTTGCTTCCCAATCATAACCTATACCAAGCCAGGGATAAGAGTCTGAGAAATGTGGGGATTTAAAGCTTACCTCGCCATGATTCCCAAAACAAAGAAGAAACAAACTGAGAGAGAAATATATTTATAGAGAGAGAAAGAGCGAGGAAGAGGAAGCTTTGAGGTTCTCTCTCTCTCTATACTTGGCTAAGTAAAAATGGACTGTAGAGTAGAGTGAGCGCGTGAAGACAAAAACACGACCTGAGCGGGAAAGTGGAGTTTACCAAGAGCCTCGTACGTTCCCAATCCTATGCTTCGAGGAAAGCTTCTCAAGAACACAATCGACGAACCTCAGCTTCGCCAAAACTTGTGTTGGTGACTAGCCTTGACTTGAATTTTGGTTCGGATACGAACCTTAGCTTCTTACGATTATGTGCAACACCGAACCACTTGGAAGCTTGGTTAATCGAGCTCAATGGCAATTTTGTAATTACCTGGTTTGTGTAGGGCCACACTACCTTGCTCACCAAGCCAAAATGTTGTTTTGATTTATATATGATTAAAAAAAAAATTAAGCGAAATGATAAAATAAAATATATTTGTATTAATTTGTAATTTGCTTAAATAAATATTACCCCTGGATTCACATTATGGGATCTAGTATTTATTTCATTAAATTTATTAATTACAGTATGATATGTTTACCAGCAGTGAAAAATACACTCTAAGAAAACGATGTGTTTACCAAATTACCAGCAGTATAAAAAAATGAGTCAATGATTTTCATGAATGGGCCACAGTTTATATAGACAATGATTGATTTCATGAATGGGCCACAAAAAGGTTTTTACGGTCAAACATAGAGTCAACGTTACAAAGTATGACGGTGATACATCTCTCTTCTCCCCTGTGTAAACAATCAAAACCATAGCTACAAGATCAAAAACATAAGAGACGACACCTGAGTCTGTCTTCACTCTTGACAAGTCGATAGCGAGAGAATTCACATTCATTATTGTTCCTTCTTACTAGGTAAAACAGAAGAGAAAAAAACACAGGGTATCAATCTCCGTAGAGAACCTTGCGTGGATCAAGCTGTCCGCTGCAGTAACTGGATGAGACGATAGAGAGTTCTTGTCTGCCTTTCCACTCTTCACAAGGCTTCAACAAAACCGGAGGTTCGATTGCTCCAGAGTCTACGCAGAGCATCGTTTTGTAATCTTCATCCCCCATATCAGCTATGCTCTTTGCCTTTTTGTCCCACGGGTTCCACACAACTGCTCATTTCCAAACTCAATTAGGCATGAGTTACTAAACCAAACTCTTTTAAGCTTTACCAAGAAAAGAAGAAAAACAACAAGCTATCTATCTATCTATCTTTTATCACCTGCATTGGGCATGCCTTCCTTTCGCAGCTCGATGGTTCTCTTTCGCTCATGATCTATCACTGCAATCTTTGTTGGTGTGTTCAAGTACACTCTATCCACCTGCAAAAAAGGCACCGACTCTGTATCATATCTTGTACTTGGAGGACATTTGTTTCTAAGGGGATCAAAATAGAAACTGGATGACCATCACTACTTACCTCACCGTCAAAGGTAATCGCATCTGCTTGCTCAGTGAATCTTTCTTTACCCATCAAGTTGTCTAGATAATCCAGTGTCTCCAGTCCCTCAACCCGTACTTCACTGCAAATCAGATACCCACATCAATGGAACCAACGTTGCTTAATGAGAGGAAATCAGATGAAATGAAATTTCAAAGGTACACACACACACACCTTATGTCGGATACATATAAGTAGTTTCGAAGTGCAAACATAAAGGAGAATCCCTTTGTGTCAACGTTCCTCACACGAGGGATCACAGTAAGCTTCCCAGGGCTGATAGTAATGCGAACACGGAGTTCAAAGCTGCGCAGAAGGAATTATCAAGTTAGCCAAAGAAATGATACTTAAAATAAAAGCCAGCTCGTAGAACATGAGCTAGGGGAAAACATATGACTGCCAGATTCATTTCAATGTTTTGAGCTTTATCAGGCTGTAAGTTATAGAATCTTTTTTCCACACACCTGTGAGGCCAGATCTTCAGATCATCTTCTGTGGATTTCAATATCAGATCAACTGATGATTGTTTGTTAGCAGGATCCAGAGGAGAAGGATCGTCATCATACGACCAGAATCTGTTCCGGGCAAATCCATGTCGCTCAAGTCCACCAAAGTTTCCAAACTGCAAACATGGCACAGTATGCTTGATAGTAGTACGAAAACAGAGGAGAACGTTATTCTAAAGTGATCAGAGATGCCAAACCTGTGGAAAGCAAACAGGTATTCCTCCTCTGATCGTCTTGGGTGGCTTATATTGAGCCTAAAATGAGACACAGCAAAATCAATATACTAGTTAAAACATCCTGCTTCACTGCTCAATGGGCAGTAATGTCGTCTATTTATACATTCAGGCTTCTAATTAATGCAACATGATTCATAGTGCAAAGGAAAGGTCACCAGAAGGAACATGGATTCATCACAATCAACATATCCAAGTCAGACATGATAGAAAATGAGAAGCTTTTGAGCAATAGTTTGGAACTGAGGCCAAAGATCTTAAAACCCATACCTTGCTGCTCACAAAGAGTAGTTCTTCCCTCTTTTCATTTTTCCAAGAAATGACTTGTCCTCCAAACAGAAGCACCTGAAAGTTTTGAATCCGAGAATATGTAAATGTACAAACCCTCAAAGAGTTTTCTCTAATCATGAAGGAGACTCAAACCAAGTTCCAGAAAAAGTTGAACATCTTTCATTTCACACTCCTCGTATAGCCATACAGTAGTAAAAGATATAAAAGTACTAATTACTGAGACGTAGATTCTTGCATCATGATGAAATGATCAAAAGAAACAAAACAAAAAAAAAACTGGGAGAAAATATTAAACAGCCAGACCTCTGCAGTTGATCCGCGAGGCTCAGTCAAAATAATCCGGGACGATGCATCAACGTCGTTGCCTAAATTCAAAGGCATCCTTTCTTGTCTCTTCTTCCTTTTCGACTCTTATCTCCTTCACTCTTAACAAAAACCCATTTGCAAATCTATCAACAACCGTTTACCAAACTAATATCATGATTCTGATTAGACGAGTAAAAGAATGCGAATAAGAATATGCGAACAAATCAATTCCGCGAAAAGGGGAAATCAAGAAAGTTAATGAAATATTAAAAAAAATAAACGGAGACTTCGAAGAGAATCGAACACGGCTAAAAGCAGATACGAACAAAAGGAAAAAAAAAAATGAAAGGGAAAGATTCAGCTTACGTTTGATCGAATATTTGGAAAATCGTACTGATTGCGACGTATCAAAACCCGAACCACTACGCGATCGGCTTCCGATTTGAACAGCTTCCACCGAACTCTACGCGTTTCGTGACAAATCCAAATCCATCAACCAATCGATCAAATCCGAGATGACTACCACTAAACGACACCTACAAAACATGTATTGACACTAACGTGACGATAATAACAAGAAAAGTAGCTCAAATGTAGACGAGAGACAGATATTTCAAAGGGAACGAATGAGAGAGAGAGATGTTGAAAAAGAGAAACAACGATCGAGCGAGATGACCTACTTGAAAATGCGGACCTTAGTTCTTGAAAATGGCTTTGATTCCCAGAAAATTGGCTTACGAGTCAGAGCTTGAAGAAGAGGAAGGAGGAAGAAAGAGGAGGCTTGTGCGTATTTGTAGCTATTCCAATTCTCAATAACAGCATAAGCTCTGATACTGCCACGTGCTCTATTTCTTGCATTCCTTAATACTTTCATAAATCTTTATTTATTGTTGATTAATTGTTATGCTTATCCAGGATTAAAAAAACAATAAATACAAAAAAGTTGCCCAATAAATAATACCAACTGATTCGGCCCAGGCCCAATAAACAATAAGAAACGACGACGTATGTTCACAGTTGATAGCATGTTTATGGATTGCTTGAACCTTTCTCTCCCTCGCGAAGTTGAAATTTAAATTGCTCAAGCTCTGTAGAAGCAAGAACATCAATGGGAAGTTTTTCGGATTCAGAACGTCTTTCTACGGGATAGGGTTAATTTTCAGGGGAATTGGATGGGTTTTTATCGGAAGTTCTCTTCTTCCGTGGATGCACGCCAAGTGTTCGGCGAAATGACGAAGAGAAGCTTATATCAGTGGAATACTCTTCTTAAGAGTTTATCCAGAGACAAACTATGGGAAGACGTCCTGTGTCACTTTAGTCAAATGTTTCGCGATGAAGAAAAGCCTGATAACTTCACGCTTCCAGTTGCTCTCAAGGCCTGCGCGGAGCTGCGGGAAGTTAAGTATGGAGAAATGATTCATGGGTTCGTCCAGAAGGATGCTACGTTTGGATCTGACCTTTATGTTGGATCTTCTCTGATAGATATGTACGCGAAGTGTGGGAAAATGGCCGAAGCTTTGAGGGTGTTCGATGAGTTGGAGAAGCCTGATATAGTGACATGGTCTTCTATGGTTTCTGGGTTTGAGAAAAACGGGTTTCCCTCTGATGCCTTAGAGTTCTTCCGGAGAATGGCGATGGCTCCGGATGTTACTCCTGATCGGGTTACTTTAATCACACTAGTTTCTGCATGTACAAAACTATCGAATTCAAGGACTGGGAGATGTGTGCATGGTTTTGTGATGCGGAGAGGATTTGAAAAGGATCTGTCTTTACTAAATTCGCTATTGAATTGTTATGCAAAGTCGAGGGCTTTCAAAGAAGCGGTTAATTTGTTCAAGATGATGGCAGAGAGAGATGTGATCTCTTGGAGCACAGTGATTGCTTGCTACGTTCAAAATGGAGCTGCTACTGTAGCATTGCGTGTCTTCAATGAAATGATGGATAACGGAACAGAACCTAACGTAGCTACTATTCTCTGTGTTTTACAAGCTTGTGCAGCTGCTCATGATTTAGAGCAAGGTTGTAAGACTCATGAATTAGCCATTAGGAAAGGTGTAGAGACACAAGTCAAAGTCTCCACTGCTCTGGTTGATATGTATATGAAGTGCTTCTCCCCCGAAGAAGCTTATGCTGTTTTCTCCAGGATTCCAAAGAAAGATGTGGTCTGTTGGGTTGCTCTGATAAGCGGCTTTACATCAAATGGAATGGCTGAGAGATCAATTGAGGAATTTTCCAAGATGATGCTTGAGAATAATACCAGGCCTGATGCTATTCTTATGGTGAAGGTTCTCGGGTCATGTTCCGAGTTAGGCTTTCTAGAACAAGCTGAATGCTTTCATAGTTATGTGATCAAATTTGGATTTGACAGTAACCAATTCATCGGAGCTTCGCTTGTGGAGCTTTATTCGAGATGTGGGAGTCTAAGTCATGCCTCTAAAGTATTCAATGAGATTAGTTTAAAGGACACTGTGGTTTGGACCTCTTTGATCACTGGCTATGGAATCCATGGGAAGGGCGCTAAAGCGCTGGAGACATTTGACCACATGGTCAAGAGCTCAGAGGTAAAGCCTAATGAAGTGACATTTCTCTCAATTTTATCTGCTTGTAGTCACTCAGGTTTGATTCACGACGGGTTGAGAATATTTGAGTTGATGGTGAGTGACTATAGGCTTGTTCCTAACCCAGAACACTATGCTGTATTGGTTGATCTTCTTGGTCGTGTAGGAGAACTAGATACTGCCATTGAAATCACAAGGCGGATGCCTATTTCACCAACACCTCAAATCTTGGGTACTCTTTTAGGCGCGTGTAGGATTCATCAGAATGGGGAGATGGCAGAAACTGTAGCAAAGAAGCTTTTTGAATTGGAATCTAATCATGCTGGTTATTACATGTTAATGTCGAATATGTATGGGGTTAAGGGAGAATGGGAGAATGTGGAAAAGTTGAGAAATTCAGTGAAGAACAGAGGAATAAAGAAAGGCTTGGCAGAGAGTTTGATTGAGATCAGAAGAAAGGTCCATAGGTTTGTGGCTGATGATAATTTGCATCCTGAGAAAGAGAAGATTTATAGATTGCTGAAGCAGCTGGGTTTGCATATGAAAGAAGATTTGGAAAAATCTGTGTATTTCGAATCTGAGGGAGTCAGCTTGTGTGATTCAGTGTATGCAGAAGCTTGAAAGCCTAGAAGTAACCACATTCTCATCTTTTAACTTATAAGCTGATAAGAACTCGTCCGGGGAACTACAATACATGATCTTGAATTCATTCACAGTCATAGAAGACTGGTTCAACAATCTCACTCTGTTTTTTTCTGCTTTTGAAGCGATAAGAAGAGGAATCCCTTTGCTATAAGCAATACGCCAAGTATTATTTCCTCATTGCTCCATTGAAGGTGTAAGTAAGTTGAGAAGAGCTGAAGCAAAAGTCCTCATAGGAGAGCCAGACAACTGGAGAGAGTGGTTAATTTGGTTATTCAACCCTGTGTATAAGGCTATAACAGACATTCCATAGTTATTGACTCCACCTGACACTAACTAATGTGTGTGTCCATCTCAGCCCTTTCATTGGTATCATCGGATTTGCTCTCGCTTCCAATTTGAAAGTTTTTAGTTTAAAAAAAAGGAAACGAAACTTGTTACGCATGCAAGCTTCTCAGAAGCCACGTCACTGTGTTAGGTGTCACGGTCTCACAGCATCTCACTCATCTATAACGATCTCATTTCTCAAGCCTTAAAAGACAGAAGCAACGGATTCAACAAACACTTTCGTCTTGCAAAAGCTCTTAAACTTGGAGAGGAGGATCAATGGCGGACGTTCGAACACATTCACACCAGGTTCAAGTGCACCCTCTGCGCCAGCATGAAGGCGGCATCAAAGTCGTTTATCCCCAGAGCGGCCCTTCTTCCACTCAGGTCCCTTTTAATTATATCATCCTATATTCCTATCTCATCTGTATATCATACATGTGTGGTTTACACGTGACGCACGTGCATGCAGGTTCTAGCCGTGGTTGCTGGTGTACCGGTTGGAGGGACGCTGCTGACTCTGGCCGGTTTGACGTTAGCTGGTTCGGTTATCGGACTAATGCTAGCATTCCCGTTGTTACTCATATTCAGTCCGGTTATCGTACCAGCAGCCTTTGTGATCGGTCTAGCTATGACCGGATTCATGGTATCAGGAGCAATAGGGCTCACTGGACTATCGTCCATGTCGTGGGTACTCAACTACATCCGCCGGGCCAGGGAGCATATGCCTGAGGAGCTGGAGGAAGCGAAGCAGCGTTTGGCTGACATGGCTGAGTATGTGGGACAGAGGACCAAAGATGCTGGACAAACCATAGAAGACAAAGCTCATGATGTCCGAGAGAGCAAGACCTACGATGTCCGAGACCGAGACACCAAGGCTCATACTGCCCGACCAGACAGAGACACCAAGACTACTCATGAGGTCCGAGTCGCCTCTACATAAAGCGAGTGAGCGCGTGTTTTGTGGTGAATAAAAGGGTCGTCTGTTGTGGTTATGGTTTCTTGGTAGATGTGGTTGTTGAACATGCTGTATTTGCTTGTAAGCTTCTCTTGAGTTTTAGCTGTAATAATAATGTCGGAGACGATTTGCTTCTGTCAGCTTCTTTGTTTCGTTGATGCGTCATTTCCTCTATTGGTATGCATGCGGAATTAGAATTGAATGACGGATGATTTGGCAATTGTCAATAAACGAAGAAACATCTCAAGTTTTCACAATGAAATCCATATGAGGTCACAAGATGCTTCTTAAAATGGATAATAGATGCATATATTTATATATTTAGCACTGTACAGAATACAGAGTAAGCAAAAGCGACGACTACCGACCGCCAAACAAAGCTCCTTCGTTCATGAGCTTATCTAGAACCACATTGAGGTCAACGGCTTGACCGTTTTCAGTCAGTTTTCTCACTGTTTCTCTGACTTGGTCCCTTGGGAACCCCATGGTCGTCACCCTGTCGATTACATGATTGATTGGGACTCTGCTTTCTGATCTCGGGGAGCTAGAGCCGGTGCCGCTGCTGGCTGCAGCCATTGGCAACGGATCTGAATTTGAGAGCTGTGAGTAACTTGATCCACCACCCCCTCCATCTAACATTGATGGTTGAGGGTGAGGAGCGTTGTACAAGTGTTGAGAAGGAGCAGAACCAGCTGTTGCCTGCTGAGGAGGAGGGATTGGCAAGTAGGACTGCATTGCGTATGGTGGATGTTCATCAGGGTTGTAACCCGATGATGGCGGTGCCTGCTGACGGTACTGTGGGGGTTGATGAGGTGGCTGGGTTAGAGGAGGAAGCTGGTTTGGTTGGGAATGACTAGGCGGAGGGCAAAATGGGTCTTGTTGAGGAGAAAACTGGGAACGAGTAGCAGCGGAAGGGGAAGAAGAAAGAGGAAAGAGTGGCAAAGGGAGTGGTGCGGGCAATTGAGCAGATTGCGTTTTGGGGTCTAGTTTGGATACATGAAGCTTTGAAAGCTCAAGTTGAGCTTCCACAATTTCTTGTTTGTCCTTCAAAAGTTGCACACCACTTTGCACCTGCCACCAATTCACAATTCACACACAAAGAAAAGAAACCAACTTTGCATCAACAATGGCTCTCGATGGTTGCTTTTTAAATGGGAGGACAAAACTTAGGCCAATATTCATCTTGGCAAAAGGAAAGTTACCTCAACAAGGATATTTTGAAGCTGACTCATTTTCGCATGGGTGCTTCCGTGACTCTTGTCAACAGAAACTTTGAGATGATCGACCAGGTTTTCGAGATTGTGGGTTCTCGTCTCCAGCAGTGTTAGACGCGCACTCACACCTTCCATTACACGGAGCAAGGTGTCGGCATGTTTCTTCATTGTCCTATCAATCTCACACATAATCGTCTCGCTATCGCTATCGCTATTGCTATACACCTTCTCAGGAACAACTTTTGCAGTCTCAGTAGAGTCTACAGATCCTAAAACCTGCACAGAGCTAAGTAAAGAGACTATCAACAAGGCTAGTGTGTAAGAGACTCAACTACAGTTTTCTGTAACAACTGCAAACAGAGGAAATACGGTGCACAAAAGGATCAATTTGACAAGGAGAGTGTTCATGTAGATTTAACACTAACATAAGATTCTAGTGTATTTACCTTGTTAGGCCAAGTGGAAATGGGTTTAAAATCCGACCCGGCGAGGTCGTGAGACAATCCAACGGCGGCGGTGTTAGGACGAATCGGCTGGAAATCATAGCTGGGAACCATCTCATCCACTCCATTGTCGCCGATTCGCTGCTTCAGGTGATGATCGTCCAGTGAATCACAAGTATTGTTCATCAGATCGATGAAATCAGTGCAAGGAGGAGATGAAGAGGATCGATCCATTATCTGCTTATCCGTATTTTTCATCGATCGACACAAAACTTTATCGGACTCTGCTGGATTTTGTTATCTTTTCTAAAACCTCGATCGAGATTTTAACAGAATATTTTAATGTCAATGTTGTTGCTTACTATTGTTCTTCATGTAACCCGACAGTTTTGGATCAATACCTTTCATGGGTTTATAATACTTTTTTCATGGACTAAAACTAGGAAAGCCCAAACTATTGTAGACGTATTTTTGTTTTTACTTTCTCTCTGTGTAACTTTGTAATCACTGGAACCCCTTTTCGTCGTTTCCTGACACACTTTTTTGTTTGTTAAGATCTGGATGTAATGAACACGTGAATTCTGTTATTTTCCAATAAATTATGTATTTGAAGTTCGAAAGATTGTGTCAACAGAAAATCGGCAGAGATTTGGAATGAGAAAATTGAATACAAATGAGACAAATATCCATAATGAACAAAGTAAATGGATGGGACCAATAATACTATTTATGAAATAAAATAAGTGAGAGCTGTAAATGGATTGGTACCACCCGACCCAGGTGCATACAACATCCACATGTTTAATTCCCCCTTTAGTAACATCCATACAATTCAAAATAATGTCTACAATAAACAACAACAAAAAGAGTATTAATTGTGGTCAGTAATCTGTTATGTTGGTAATGAAAGCTAAATGAGATCATTCATTCTGTTTTGGCGTTACAGAAAATTTGATGTGAAAAAACAAACGGTATTCACATAAACACAAATCACTCAATCAGTGCCTTCTAAATAATGAATGGTGTCTTGTATATATCCAATAAAATAATTAAACACGACACGTCTTCTGAATAATGAGGAGGAGACACACAAGTATTCACTCTTACCAACAGAGGAAGAAGGAGAAGGGAAGAAGAAGAAAAACAAAAAAAATGTTAAGACTTGTCGTTTACACAAATGGCAGAGGATTTATGTAGATCTTCAAGCATCTAACCATAGATCGATCTTCAAGAACAGAATCCGCAGAGCGAGAAAGAAAACGATTACCAATCAAATATGCTTCTAGTTCTAACTCCATATCCGAGACTTCCGTCTCCCTTATTCGCTGCCAAGTCTAGTCCTGAATCAGCATTGACCAGAAGAAACAGAGCTTCTTATTCTTATTCTTCTTCTTCTAATCACTGGTTGTCTCTGAGACCGAGACTGAACCGCAGATTTGATGGCTTCAAGGTCAAGTCAGCTACAGTCCCGGAAAACGTGGAATCTGGAGGATTGGTCAAAGGGTTGAAGCTAGGAGGCATGTTCGGAGTCTGGTATCTTCTTAACATATACTACAACATCTTCAACAAACAGGTTCCTTCCTTGTCTGTCTCATTTACTTATACAGTGGTGTGTGTTTCTAAATTTTCTCAGAGTTGGTCTACAGGTACTCAAGGTTTATCCATATCCAGCGACTGTAACAGCATTTCAGCTCGGCTGTGGAACGTTTATGATAGCAACAATGTGGCTCCTTAAACTCCATCCACCCCCCAAAATCGCTCCTTCTCAGGTATTTTCAAAAATATAACCCGGAAAACAGAGAGAGAGATTCAGCTAATAAGCGTATGGTATATGCTTTCTGAATCTGCAGTTTCCGGCAATCGTTCAGCTAGCAGCAGCTCACACATTAGGTAACTTGCTAACAAACGTGAGCTTGGGAAGAGTAAACGTCTCTTTCACCCATACAATCAAAGCCATGGAGCCTTTCTTCACCGTCCTGCTCTCTGTTCTCTTGCTCGGCGAGGTAACCATAACTACAAGAGAGTCATATTTACATAACCTCAAAAAAACATTGAGCTTATACTTAGTGATGTTTGTTGAGTGTCAGTGGCCGAGTTTGTGGATTGTGTGTTCGTTGCTACCAATCGTTGCTGGAGTCTCTTTAGCATCTTTCACGGAAGCTTCTTTTAATTGGTATGAACAACAACAACAGCAACAAAGTACAATAATCTTCTCGATGAACTTTTTAACTGATTTGGTTTCTGTGTTTCCGAATGAACCAGGATTGGTTTCTGTAGTGCAATGGCATCTAACGTTACGAACCAATCACGCAATGTTCTCAGTAAAAAATACATGGTTGAGAAGGTATATATAAAAAAAAGAAACTGAATAATGTAACCAAGTTTGTTTCTCTTGAAACTGGTAATTAAAACCGAAATTGTATACTGATGATGTATTCTATTGATTGAACAGGAAGCTTTGGACAACATCAACCTTTTCTCTGTAATAACTATTATATCTTTTATCATGTTGGTTCCTGTAGCAATCCTCATCGATGGATTCAAGCTTACTCCTTCTCAGTTACGAATAGCTGTAAGTGAAAACATATATAAAACGGTTCATATGAAACAGATGAAGAAATAATGTGTGTTTCTTTGTGGTTGCTTGACAGACAAGCCAGGGATTGACTGTAAAAGAGTTTTGCTTCATGTCTCTTCTTGCCGGTGTTTGCTTGCACAGCTACCAACAGGTTCGGTTTCAATAAATTGTAATGACCAGCTTAGATTATGTTAATTCGGTCCCAGTCAGCAATACTTAATCCTTTCTCGATCAACAATCCCGGATTAGGTATCGTACATGATCTTAGAGATGGTGTCTCCAGTGACGCACTCTGTAGGGAACTGCGTGAAGCGTGTGGTGGTGATTACATCATCCATTCTTTTCTTCCAAACTCCAGTTTCACCTCTTAATATGATCGGTAACAAAATTATGAAAACCATTTGTTATCACTGTTATCAGTACTTTTACATTTCATTTCAGGAAAGAGTTAATATAGTAATAATCTCTTAAACAGGTACCGCGACTGCACTGGCTGGAGTCTACTTGTACACCAGAGCCAAGAGGATCAAAGTCAAACCAACTCCAAAAACTTCCTGAATTTGTATATAAGAAATCATAGAAGCTCTTTATTTTTCATTTCGCCATATTTCTATTGTTTGTAGATATATTCCTCCTAATCTAATCACTTCAATGGCATCCATTCCACAGTCTGACATACAAAAAAATTAACAAATTATACTGTTTTTCACCATCAACATATGAGCTCATAATGAACACAAATAGAATCCGTTAGTAGCACTGTAGATCCTAATAAAAATGAAAAAAAATTCTGAAATTATATTTGAAAAACCAATATTATTCAATGGGCCTTGAAATCGAATGATATTGGGCCAATAAAGACTAAAAGGGAAGGAGGCGGCTCATGTAGGTGCAGATATTTTGTTTTGATGATTTTATAAACCTAACTAACGGAACGCCATTACGCTGCACATCCTTTTTCCTCTCTCTCTTCTCTACGCTTCTTTTTTGTGGCGTAGATTTTTCTAGAGAGAGAAACAAAGGAATCTCAGAGCTCCAGTTCAGAGATTTGACCGATTCAAAATTCACATCCATCTTCTCGAATTAAGGTACGTCTTCTATCTCTATAGAAATTGTTCGCCGTAGTGAATTCTGATTTGATTTGCCGTCTTGCTTCCTGGAATCTGTCGGTTTAATTATCTTGTCAGATGGAAGCATATAACGTGTTAGATCTGTGAGATTGTATATTGGACGGTCTACTATTATTCTTATTCTCTTATAAGCAAGTCTCTTGTGATTTGATGCTTTTAAGGATTTGTATCATCATAGTTTGTTATCGATTTTTACAGAAGGATTTGGTTTGGCTGCCATGGCTGCTACCGCAACAGCTCCTTCTGCAGTCCGTTATGCACCTGAGGATCATTCTCTTCCAAAGCCTTGGAAAGGGCTCATCGACGATAGAACAGGCTTTCTCTACTTTTGGAATCCAGAGACGAATGTTACTCAGTACGAGAAACCATCCCCTCCCAAGTTTCCTGCGCCATCGCTAAGCTCCTCTGTCCAGGTTCAACAACCCTCTTCCGTTGGTAGCTATGCTCCTTCCAAGGACGATGCCGCCAAGTACACTAGAGCCACTGACGCTGCCCCTAAGACTGACTCTGTCTCGAGGTTTTCTGAGGTACGCTAATTGCCTGGTTTGCTTGCAATAGTTTTGATTCTTTGATCCTTTGATCCTTTGTTTCCTTTTGCTTTGGCACATATAATCTGAATTTCTGTCAATTTGTACAGGGCGGCAGGAGTGGACCGCCGTATTCGAATGGTGTTGCTAATGGAGTGGGGAACTCTGCATATGCGAGAGGTCCTCCTCCTTCATCAGCTCCCGAAAATGAGATTTCTCCGGAGGCCTATTGCCGCCGTCATGAAATTACCGTCAGTGTAAGTATCTACTCACTTGAGAACTGCCTATTTGGGAAAGAGAGGCATAACATCTTTTTTAACTTTCTTTCGTTCAACTAATAAGCATTTTCTTTTCCCTTTTCTTCAGGGGGGCCAAGTACCACCACCTCTCATGTCCTTTGACACTACTGGTTTTCCTCCTGAGCTTCTGCGGGAGGTAAGCATTAATAGTTACTGTAAACTGATAATAATACTTATGGACCCTGAAACCGTTTTTCTTTTCTTTGAGTTATATAATTGCTCGACCAATACGCTGCATCTATTTAGAGTCTTACGCTATGATCTCAACTATGGAGCTAGCCTGGTTTTTGAATATCATACTTATTTTCTCTCACCAAACTAAATTCGTCTTAGGTTTAACATTTAGAGTCAAACTTTTATGCCGTATGCACCCTTTTCTCTCTCTTTTTTTTTTTGTGTCCCCAGGTGCGATGTTTGCTCCTAGGAAGAGCTAATGTCGTACACTGTGCCACTTCTGTGAGGTCCTTGCAAATTATTTGGAGTGTTGGACCAAATATTTTTGGAAGGGCTTCCCAAATCATCCAAGCCCGTGGCCTGGCCTGTTAATGGTGTCATGATGATTCATTTCACCACCGGGTCCAGACAGAAGAAGAGGCGTCCTCCTGCTGCAGGTTTCATCAGTTATCTTTTGCCGCCTGCAAATGGGGGATGGTGCTTCTTCTGACATGAGCCACTACTCCTTTAAGCCCAACACATCCTTGGCGCTCCTCTTCTCACAGGACATCCTTGTTTTCTGCTTTCTTAGGTACGCACTGCAGGTTTCGCTGCTCCAACTCCCATTCAAGCTCAGTCATGGCCAATTGCGATGCAAGGTAGGGACATAGTAGCCATTGCTAAAACTGGCTCTGGAAAAACTTTGGGTTACTTGCTTCCTGGTTTTATGCATCTTCAACGCATCCGAAATGATTCGCGAATGGGCCCAACAATCTTGGTGTTGTCTCCAACGAGGGAGCTGGCCACACAGATCCAAGAGGAAGCTGTTAAATTTGGGAGGTCTTCAAGAATTTCGTGTACGGTAAGTAGAAGTCTCTGAACTTGTTAAGTGTCAACATGCTACTTGTGATGTATCCTTGCAATGTATACCAAATGCGATGGTTTCTGTTTCAGTGTTTGTATGGTGGTGCACCAAAGGGTCCTCAGTTGAGGGATCTAGACAGAGGAGCAGATATTGTGGTTGCAACTCCAGGACGATTGAATGATATCCTTGAAATGCGGAGAATTAGTCTGCGTCAAGTATCATATCTTGTGCTAGATGAGGCAGATAGAATGTTGGACATGGGTTTCGAGCCGCAGATAAGGAAGATTGTGAAAGAGATTCCCACCAAGCGTCAAACCCTTATGTACACAGCTACATGGCCAAAGGGTGTCAGGAAAATTGCTGCTGACTTGCTTGTGAACCCTGCTCAGGTCAACATTGGCAACGTCGATGAGCTTGTGGCTAACAAGTCAATCACACAGGTATTGCTTGACTTGGTTCCATTGCTGTCATTGTTTTGATTCCATTCAGGAGAAACCGATCTTATTGTTCTGCTTTTTTTTGTGTGGTTTACAGCATATTGAAGTAGTAGCACCAATGGAGAAACAGAGGAGGTTAGAGCAGATATTGCGGTCTCAGGAACCCGGCTCGAAGGTGATAATATTCTGCTCAACCAAGAGGATGTGTGATCAACTGACACGCAATATAACCCGTCAATTTGGAGCTGCTGCTATACATGGAGACAAGTCCCAGCCTGAGAGAGACAATGTTCTTAACCAATTCCGCAGTGGCAGGACTCCGGTTCTTGTCGCTACTGATGTTGCTGCTCGTGGACTTGACGTTAAGGACATCAGGTAACATAAAATTAGCTCTCCAAAATTCCGATTCTTAAAAAAAAACATGATATACATTAGTTAACACAAATTTTTCTTGAATAAAAGGGCGGTCATAAACTATGATTTCCCCAATGGAGTGGAAGACTATGTGCATAGAATCGGAAGAACAGGAAGAGCTGGAGCGACTGGTCAGGCATTCACATTCTTTGGTGATCAAGACTCGAAACATGCTTCGGATCTGATCAAGATTTTGGAAGGAGCAAACCAGCGAGTTCCTCCTCAGATACGTGAAATGGCTACACGTGGTGGTGGCGGAATGAATAAATATAGTCGATGGGGTCCTCCTTCTGGGGGCCGTGGTGGTGGTGGTCGTGGTGGCGACTATGGTTATGGTGGCAGAGGTAGTAGCTTTGGTGGTTCACGTGACAGGTAAATAAACATATAATAAATTGGTATTTTGATTGATAGAAACTAGTATATGATTCAATGATTGTGACACTGATGAGAGATTTGTGGTATAATTGTGAATGTGAAGTGGTAGAAGCAGCGGTAATGGGTGGGGAAGAGAGCGTGAAAGGAGCCGTAGCCCTGAGAGGTTCAACAGAGTTCCACCACCGTCTTCCACCGGATCTCCTCCTCGCAGCTTCCACGAGGCCATGATGAAGCACAGATGATGATGATGACGAGATACAACAAGCTATAGATGAAGCCGAGGGAAGAAGAAGAAAGTGTTACTCTTATGGGAATATTCATTCGATATTCTATATTTTTTGGCCGATGATGAACAACACTAAAAACAAGATACTCCCATTTACGTAAAAAACTACAATTGTATGTTTTTTCTTTTAGTTTTTGTATTTCCTTTTATTATATGTGGTGTGTTTGGATAAAGTAAAACATAAATCTAATCATGTTGGGTCATAATTGTGGTTCGCTTCATTGTGTAATTTGTTGTGCTTATAATGTTTCTTTCTCCTAACATGATCTGTAAATTAGTTTTAAAAAGTTTACGAAATCAATCAACATCTTTTTGAACCTTGGGAGAAATAGACCATTGAGGCAAAAACAAGCGTAGCTTTGATATAGCTAAGTCTTGTGGAGACTCTGCTTTGTGTAAAGTTTTTCCTAATCTCTCCCTCTTTAATCACTCACTATCTTTTTCTATGCTTGTTTCCTTTAATTAAAGTCTTTCTCATAAGATTTTACCTCGAGTTATCCACTTATCCATACCTAAGTTATTTTGTTTTTTTTCGTCTTTCCTTAAATCTTCAACACTTATTCGTTTTTAAAAAAATGTATTATTATGAGTTTTCCTTCCATGTAAAAGAGAACATATTTGTAGAGAAACCCTCAAAAGTCCCTAATCATTTAGCCGAAACAACCATCGCCCGTGCCCATAACAAAATTTGACGAAACCCACAATGAATAGTTTTACTGTTTTGGTATTATCTATTAACCCTTCGTTTTACTTACATAACTTTGATGATTTATGCCCTATGCGTATGAAAACCGTGGTGATCCGCAATAGTATCGTTTTAGAACCTCTTTTTTTCCGAATACGCACACAAATATATATAAATTATTTTGTTATGTGTTCATTTTCAAAAGTTATCGTATACTAGAGACTATTTCAAATTTAGTTTTGCCAACAAAAAAAAAAAACTTAGAAAAAGAAGTTTGGTGAGTCTATGGCTTAGAGGAAAGTGTATGTCTTGTGTACTTTGATGATAATATAATTGATGACAGCCTATTAATCTCCAATAGACTCTAGTTTTTTGTGGTTACAAATCCATTTTCCTTTTATAACTAAACGAATCATGAACTGCTAAGATCTAAAATCAAAGCTCACTACATGTTCATTTGTTTACACATGGTTTATTTTCCACTATCAGTATTTATCATTTCTGATTACGAGATAACCTTTTATTTTTATCTTGGATCAATTAATCATCAACCAGAACAACTATTTTGTAAATGTTATGTGAATTGATAGTTCAAGTTTTTACTGTTTAATTTTAGTTAGATTACAGTACATATTTTATTGTATATAATATTTATCTGGGAATATACACACAAAGTGTTTGGTTATTACTAATTATTAATGAATCACTGTATATTAATTATCCAATTGTAGTTTCTCTTACAATGTACTGTATTCAATTGAATCGTGAGTTGACACATCATTTAAATTCTCAGCCACAAAACACTTGCTAAATTTGGCATATGAAATTACACCAAATGTCGACTAATTGTCCAAAAGCAAACGCTACAAGAAATTCAGTTTATCTTCCTTCTCTCTACTGTCTAAACTTTCTTTGTATAAAATGAAAAATTTAAACCATACACTTAAAAAAAATGCGTTGATCAACTACGATACATTTAAGAAACTGTAATTTAGATATAGTAAATATAATAGTAAGTATCAAAATATCGAATTCAGTTTTCAAACAAAAAAGAACTTCATTGATTTTAAAGACTAATAAAATAGTGATAGAGGGTTAGGAAGTAGTGTGTAATGTTTCTGTCAAGCTTTGCTTTGAATTAATATTGTACTTTCTTCCATCTCACTGTTTGCGATTTGTGTGGACGTGAACTAATCACGCAAGTTTTTTTTCATTTCATTATTTTGTTTTTTAAGGCAACTTATTTATTAAGCTTTGTAGTCAAATATTTAAGCTATGTATTGTACTCACAACTCACAAGTCACAACAACCCTATAAAAGAAAACAGTCCTTGATCATCTTCCCGCCTCCAGTACCATCTCTCTCTTCTATGTTCTCTCTCTCTCTAATCTTGCATAGACAAAACACACAAACACACACGACATAAATATAAACAAACAGAAGAAATAGAAAAAGATCGCTTAGAAAGAAGAAGATGGAGACGATGAAGAAGACAGGAAGAGGGAAAGCGAGAATAACATCACAGAAGGAAGAAGAAGGAACAGTGAGGAAAGGGCCATGGACTATGGAAGAAGATCTGATCCTCTTTAATTACATCCTTAATCATGGTGAAGGTCTTTGGAACTCCGTCGCCAAAGCCTCTGGTATATGTCCTAATATTTGTTTGCACATTCAAATATATATATATATATTTCAATCGGTTATCCTTCTTAATTACGGTATGATTTTGTTTTAATACAAAAAAAGGTCTAAAACGTACCGGAAAAAGTTGTCGGCTGCGGTGGCTGAACTATCTCCGGCCAGATGTGCGACGAGGGAATATAAGCGCAGAAGAACAGCTTTTGATCATTCAACTTCATGCTAAGCTTGGAAACAGGTCTATGTTATTATATGATAATAAACATATATAGTTTCATGACTACACATGCGTACGAACGTAAAATTAATTAATGGAAGACTAACGGTGTTCATATATAGGTGGTCGAAGATAGCGAAACATCTTCCGGGAAGAACGGATAACGAGATAAAGAATTTCTGGAGGACAAAGATTCAGAGACACATGAAAGTGGCGTCGTCGGAAAACATGAAGATTCGTCATTGTTTGGGGAATTCGCAGAGCTCGGAGATGACAACGACAGACCAAGGCAGCTCAAGCAAAGCCTTCGACATGGCTGAGAGTTTCTCTCCGGGGGCAACGACGACGTCGACGTCGTTTCATGTGATGGAACAGTCAAACGACAATTACTGGAACGTTGAAGATTTGTGGCCCGTCCAGTTGCTTAATGGTAGTGACCACCAAGTGATTTGATTTTATCAACTTATATTTTCTTATACATTGTATTACTGATTATTTATATGCATTTTCTAGTCGGTTGATATATACATACCCAACACTACACTACACAGTACAGACAAATGCCCGATCTGAATTTTGTATGGTAAGTTTTAAAATTTGGCTTTTTATTGCTCAAATCTTGTTTCATTTACATATATAATTTGCGTGTAATCTTCAAAAACTATGGAAGCGGTGTGTGTGACTTACTTAATGTTCAGTACGATGAGTATATTATATTATTACTCTTCTTATTTCAGTTGTTAGAAAAATGTGAGAAAATGTAGAAACAGAGCCTTTACACCAAAGTCAAACAGACATGGCAAGAAACGAAAGGACTACACACATAGATACAAATAAACATGAACACAAAAGCACTCTTTGTGTAGAAATAGATCAAAGAAGAGTTTACCAATTTGGGAGGGACACAATGCATGTAGTTGTTTAGTCATCAGCAGGATCACTGGGAGTTTCATCAGCATTGCGTTTGATGGTGATCACTGGACACTCGGCATGTTTCACACAGAAGGCACCCACAGTCCCCACAAAGACCCTTGAATGGAAGAGAGATTCAAGACCAACAAAAACCCATAAGACTCGGACATATTACACATATAACAAAATGGGAAGAGGAAGTGATTGATAATTCATCATTCAGAGTAGTAACTAGTTGACATACGTCATGAGGAGAGTGAGAAATTGACTTACTTTTGGAAGCGGCCAAGACCACGACTTCCAACAACGAGAAGATCTGGTCGGACACGAATCACTTCTTGGCATATCACCTCCTTGGGATCACCTTTCTTAACCCAGGCCTCACAACCGACCTACATTTTGTGTTTTTAACATTACTCTAAGCATCATAAAACTAGAGCAGTAGTTGTTATGACAAAGACAAGGGAGGAAGACAACGTAGGAGGATAACTCCATGAGCTGACTGAATGAGAAAGAGTGTTTACTTACCCCAATCTCGTGACATCTTTTAACAAAAAACTCAAGAAGATGAAGACCTTTGGCCTTGTTAGACTCTCTCATCTCTCTGAAATCCTCAGGTGAAGCATATACGCTGTCTACTTCATCAAAACCTGCTTTCCATTTCACAAGGAAAATAACAATTAAATACCACAAGAAACTTATCAAAATCATTCAAGGAGAGATTCCAGAGAAACAGAACCAAGTATCTCTCAAAAAGATTGCTCTACAGAGAAATTGCAACACAGAAGCCAAACGACCGATTATATGTCAACGAGAAATGAAAACGCAGAACATCTTTCTCAATCTCTACTGATAATCAGAGACATCTACATACACTCAAACCGATCTACACGATTACGATATCATCTTCCAAATCTACGATCACGACCCTTTAAATTAAGAATATGAAAAAAAAAGAAAAAGAGAATATGGGGCAAGAGAAGAACCGTCTTCGTCGACGACTTGTACATGGAGCAAGAGAATCTTGAAATCCGAAGTGTTGGATCGGACCATCTTCTCCAGAGTCCATTCGAAAGCCCTTTTGCTACTGATCGAAGGGTGAGGATGGTCTTTCATCGTCGATTCGTTCACAGCCACCATCACTCGAGTCGGTGCACTCTCCATTTCTCAGCAATTCGTCTCCTTCTCGCACTCTCTGCTCTCTTCTTCTCAGACGGACCTGGTCGGAAAATACTTGTTCGCGCACGACGTGTCAAAGCAAAGCGTACTTTACCAAAAACAATCAATTTTTATATGCCTGCTAAAATGCGCAGCTTCCTAAATTTCCCAAATTACCCTTTTATTCTGATTAAGGGCCCAATTAATAGCCCACATCTTAATGTTTCTGGAGAATAAAATGGATTAGTGCACCAAACAAACATATGTATATTGCTGAAGAATCCAATTACAAAATAACTGTTTCAACTAGGAATCAGTTACAAAAAGTTTTGTGGAATCACAACATATATGGATAGAGTAACTCTTTAGGGAAATTAATTATGATAGTCCTATAGTAATTAAAAAAAAGTAATTCCATCTATGACTGATGATGATGAATCCCAGTGAAAGAGACTCTGCCAAAGCCAAGATGTCCAATCTGATACAACTCCAACCAAACTCTCTCTGCTTCTACTCTCGCACTTATCCTCGTCTCATCCTCTCCCCTAAACGACGCCGTTTTCTCCTCCTCCTTGGTCAAGCTCCCATCTCTCTCCACCACAAACCTATGGTCATCCACCTCCCCATCTCCTCCTCCGCAACATCCACCACTCCCGCCTTTCGCCGTCTCCGACCTCCATTGGTGATGATACCGTTCTTCCCGCTTGATTTTTTTCCTCGGCTTCTTACTCCGGCCACCGCGACCGAGACATTTCCGGCCAATCATCCATGGGACCTTGACGAAGGCAAGCGTGAGGAGGTTAAAGACGGCGCATGGGCAGCAGCAGAGCGCAACACAGTCGGCGATCGCCGCAGCCGCCCAAGACCGGCACCTTTTCCCGGAGCATTTGCCTCCCGGCGCCGATTCATCAACGGCTCCGTTACTCCAGTGGGACCCACTCTGGTCTCTACGTGATACTCGATGTGGCTTTTGGCTTTCCTCTTCCATTTTTTCAGATTATTAAAATTATAATCCTGCTAAAAGAGGAAAACAAACAAGCTTACTAACTGATGAGTGATGATAAATTGATAACCATATTTATATCATTACATATTTACATTACATAACAGGATCATACATACACCTAGGCTATATGCATTCATATATACGGATTTTGTACGTATATGAGTCTATTTGTTTGTTGTTGATGCGTAAAGAGAAAGAGGTAAAAAGAGACATGTAGGAAACAGCAACAAAGATTTTTCCCATGCACTTTAACTTATTGACCAGACAGTTTCAGGTGGATTCAAAACTTACTCACGCTCCCTCTTTCGCGCGTGTTAACCAATGCTTTCACTTTAAGGTGAATAAATCAATGGATCTAAAGCTTTTTTTGTTGGCTATGGGAAATAACATTTTTTTGTGAATAAAAAAGGTGTTCATCTGGGGATGAGTAATAAATTTTCTTGCTTGGTTCTTTATGGTAAGAATCCTACGGTGTACGGTAGCGTTATCTTATTTTATTTTATAGAGTCCCTATTAATTTTCAAAATTAAAAGCCCTACGATTGAAATAAATAAAATGACAAATCTTGATGATGTTAAAAGTTAAAACAATTAAATATCAGTAAGATAACGTGGATGATAATGCGGGGGATCCCATTTCACATGGGTTGCCGGGTCTAACCATGGCCCAGTTACGTGGCCCATTGCAAAACTACAAGCAATACAATATAGTGTTGTTGTTATTTGTTTTGGTAAAATATAATACTGTTATCAAGCTGACAAAAACGTCTATAGATTAGTTAGTACTTAGTAGGATCACCCTATGATTTTTAAAAGATTAGATCTACTTTGATCTGTAATAATTTATGTGGAACATTATGAAAAGATTGGTGTTTGCTTAGAAGTGTTTTCGAAATCTTGTAAAAAGGAAAATGACTATTGATTAAGTACAACAGAAAACAAAGGGCAAATGTACGATTTTCACTTTTCACTTGTATAAGGTAAAAAAGTACACGATTAAAGCCAAGTCAAACTTCAAAGACTGATATTAAATTATTAACATATGCATGTGTACTGAGCCGTTAGCCGAATACAGTTTGTATATCTATGTGTGTTTGAAGTAAAGGGATTTACTATTTTCTTTATACTGGCCATTATTATTTTTCGTCGCTTAGAACTTCATGCAAAAATCAACATTAACTAGTTAACTACTAATCAGTGTATTCAGTGTACTATTCAGAGTAAACATACACATAGTGATTTATTGTGAGGCATACTTATGCATTACATATATATATCCATACTCATTATGTTTTTATATGTTTTTTTTGTCCAGTGACAACTTTTTTCGCCAGTTTTACTTCTTAATAGAAAAGATTTGAATCTATGAACACTACAAAATAAACATTCTCGAACCAGAAAATGAATTAATTGAGACAACGATCCCAAATGAAACAAATCTAGAAGCAATAACGTCAGCAGTGTGATGAGAAAGTACAATATGGAGAATGATGAAATGGCTACATACCTTGGGTTCTCTCGAGTAATATCTGATACTCAAAGGTCACAGATGCTGTTTAAAACCCTTCGCTGTACTCAACAATAACAACAAAAGCTCAGTTTTGTTGTTGTGTTCTATAGTGAAATCTTTTTGTTTTTCATTTTGTTCTAATGGATTTGAAAAGAGAAAGCCAAGAAGAGGAAGACCAAGAGGAGGAAGAAGAGAGAAGAAGATAAATGTGATCTGATCTCTAAATACACATTATATTATATCTTGGATTAGAGCTTCTCTTTTTCTATGCTTATTTTAAAAATAATTTATCACTCTCTCTCCTGGTCTCTCTCGAGTATATAGACTCATCTCTGTAAGGGTCTTACATGAATATTTTACATTTTAGCATCTGACAAAAACTCATAAGCTATAAATCTAGAGGATATTACGAGCGAGATTAAAGAGAGAATCCCATATAAGTTTTTCCATACCATTACGGATTCCCGTAGTTTCAAAAGTGAAAATGTCAGGGGGAGAATCAATATCTAAATAATGTTATTTGATATTCTCTATGTTAAAACTGAAGTTTAGACGTCGGTTTACTCGGTGTCAGCAAACTCTGGTTTGGAGCGTGGTCATAATCTTAAAATCAACAATTTATTAGAAAGAAAGTTAATTATAATCGTACTTATACTACTACTATATAATCAACAATTTATTTTTCCGGTAACAGTTTGAACCCATTGGAGTTGGTAACAGAAGTCGAGTCATGATTTGAAAAAGTATTAGACTACTCTTTTAAAGACTAATCCGGTCAAGAAAGTTGGTGGAACCGGTTAAGTTTAATGTAAATTGGATACAGATTTAGAGGAAATATCGGAACTTTGGTGTTTGATGAGTCCCGAAGACAGAAAGAATCAAATTACGGGAACTCGGCCCCTCATGTGCATTCCTATGCAATCGTATTATTTTAAAAATTTTTTATTGTTTATCTATCTTGAGAAACGAACTAAATACCCAATTTAGAACAGCACTTCCAATTTGTAGTACCTATTCATAATCTTTATATTATTAATTGAGAAGTACATTCTAATGTTTGGATACAAGAATAAATAAACATCTATTTGGATAGAAGAATAAATGGAAAAAAAATTGTTTGGATATAAGAATAAGAGAAAAATCTATTTGGATAGAAGAATAAATGGAAAAAATTGTTTGGATACAAGAATAATAACTTAAAACAAACCGATGGTTTAGAAAACTTCCGTTTTCCAGCTCTTAAAAAATTGGCAAAAAAGAAAAATTAACATAATCTATCGATAATATCAAATCAATGATGAGATTTGCAAAATTTCCAATAGTGAAATAGAAATACGTCTAATTTAAATCAAATTGTGGATTTCTGTTCGGACTTTTTGAAAATTTATGTTCGGTTTGGGTTCGAGTTTTTTTGGGTTTAGTTCTGGGTTTTCCGGATTTTTTGGATTTCGGGTTTTCGGGTTTAGACATATTAAAAAAGTTAGATATTTTAAAATTTATTAGGGTTTTTAGGTCGGGTTCGGGTTTCGGGTGAAAAAGTTTCGAGTTTTTATTCGGTTCAGGGTTTTCGGGATTTTTTGGATTTCGGGTTCTCGGGTTTAGATATATTAAAAAGGTTTGGGTTTTTAAAAAAATTTATTATGGTTTTTGGGTAAGGCTCGGTTTAGGTTTTAAGATTTTCTTCACAAAATCAGAACGTCACATCGCGCGTTCACGCGGGTTCTCTACTAGTACACCAGAATTCCGTATACAATTATTTTCCACTTAAACCATGGTTCAAAAATCTTACAGCAGTATATAGTAAGTTTCATGCATTGTTTTTTTTTTGGGTGCAATTCATGCATTGTTTTTAATCCCTCTTTGAAGGAAAAAAAATGAAACTATGTGAGAACTTGTAGGAAATTGGAATAGTTATCAACTTATCATGCATATGTCAACGAAATTGATTGGAGTATATTGGATTTCTTAGCTTTTAATATTGGATTTTGTAGTACTAATTGCGTAAAACTTTACGTGAAGTAAATTAAAGTTCAGTGAAAGCAGCGTCGTTGACGCCTTTTCTCCTCTTTGTTTGCTGTGTTTATAAGCACACTGCTTGAGCTATGCACGTGCGACCCTGCGAAGAATCACGTGCGCCGGGTTCCAAGACCGCCACGTCAGAAACTGAGATGCTCTTTAGGCAAGAAAATTTTGACCGTCCAACTGTCAGTCCTGTCAGTGACACGCAAACACCCAAACGGTCTTCTTTTCCCTCCGTTCTCACACCACTGTTCTGACACGTGTCAAATTATCATTAAAGAAAAACAAGCATCATTTAAATTACTTACAGCTTTTTGTGAAATCAACTCATTGTTAATAAGGTTATTGATTTGAGTCAGTGACACATGAGTGGCGTTGCATCTGTAACTCGGTCGCCACCGCAGTAACATATCTTCTTCGCTTGGATTGGTGATGACTACGATCTCCTTTGTGGTTGATCATAAAAAAGTCAACAGGCATGAGCTGTAATAAATTATGGATAAATAACACAACCACTCAACCAGTCGCTAATTCAGTTTGACACTGACCGCTGACCAGTTTCCTAATACCTATAGTTCGAGTACTCCATTTTCTGACTGAATCCAATATAATATTTTTTCGGAAAATTACTATGTCGTAAACTCTTTACCACTAATTAACACTGTCGTGATTAGCCACGCACTACCACAAAATTATTGGTGAACGGTAGTCCAAATCAGTTAAAAAATAAGGTCAAAATGGATAAAATTCGTAATTGAAAAAACATTATAGCATAGGCAATAGTGAATAATCCGTTAGAAACAAGTTGTGACAAGGAACATGCCCATTTCGCCTGTAAGCACTAAGCAGTAACAAAAAACTGCTAAGATGGTAATTAATAGTTGGCCAAACCTAACTTTGTGAAAATTTTGGGCTCAAGGCTACAATTAATCGAATATAGGGTAAGTTTTTAGGAGCCCCGAGTATTAATAATGGGCTCATTAACGAGTCAATTTTTAAATGTTGGGAAAGGTCGAGGTTTTGATCCTCTTAAATCTTTTATTTGCCTTACAGGCAAGATTTGATCGGGGTTTTCGCCATATAAATCGACGAAGGAAGAAAATCGTACAGGCAAGATTTGTATCGGAGTTTTCGCCGGGTTGCAAAGAGCCAAAGACTACGTTAAAAGTTTAATTATTTTATAATTTTACTAATATAACAGTTAGGTCCTTGTATAATTTTTGGTATTTATCTTATTGCCATGTAACTTTGTTTGGTGATTTGAAATCCAATTCAATTCGTTTCGTTGACTCTCAACGAGCGATATTTATTTACTTTGTTGGAAGTGAAAGGCGACAACACGTGTCACGTTTTGATGAAAAGGAGGTAGATACTTCCACGAGAAAGCGGGACCCACGTGAAGCCACGTGGACCACTTGTTTCTTACCCCTCTCTCTTTGTCCTCTCTGCCGCCTCGTTTTCTGCTCACAGTTTCGAAGTTCCCATTCAAAGGCCATCTCTCTATCTATCTCTCTGCACAAGTCCACATTCTCGAAATCTCTCTCATCAGTTTATGGCGCTTCGTCAACTAATCCCCGGTTTCGGAGCTCTTGAACGATCTCCTCCGTCAATTTTGATCGGATCCAGCGGAACTGGAAATGGCCGTGAATTCGACGGAAGAGTGATTCCGAACGTCGGGTCGATGAAAAATGTCAGATTCAACAGACGAAGAGTCGGTCTCAGGGTTTATGCGATGAAGATGAATTTGAACGAGTATATGGTCACGCTCGAGAAGCCCCTGGGGATTCGATTCGCGTTATCAGCAGATGGCAACGTCTTCGTCCACGCCATCAAAAAAGGGGTACGGAATTCTCAGTTTCAAGTGAACTCATTCTGTGGTTGGGATTTGGGAATGCCATTTCTACTTTCTAGGTGTCCATTGTTGATTTGAACAGACAAGTTGTTGTGTTTGCAGAGTAATGCGGAGAAGGCGAGGATCATCATGGTAGGAGATACACTCAAGAAGGCTAGTGATTCTTCTTCTGGTGCTACTCTTGTGGAAATCAATGACGTTGGTGATACCCAGTAAGATTCTCAACTAGGATTTACTATATTATATACACGAGGCGTATAAACTTTTCTGAAGCTTGTTAGTGACTAGTTACAGGGAATGATTCAATCTCTGCTTAGTCCCAATTCCCTAACCGGGTTTGGTCTGAGTTACCTGTTATTAGTGTCTACTGTCTAGCATCTTTGTTTCACTTTTCCTTGCAACTTCTTCAGAAAATTCTTGTAACCATGACATTATCTTCGCCAATTTATGCTAGTTATTGCTAACACTCTGTTACATGACTAGATTTATTTACCATGCCTTGGTTGGTTTACCAATGATTTGAATCTGGAAAACTCGGTTTTTGTTCCTAATTAGTGTTTTATAGTTTTCAAAGCTGCATTTTGAAACACTTGACATGTACTAGTAACTTTGTGCAGCTCTGTGAGTTGAATGCTGACGAGTGACCACTTTCCTGTTAAGTTTTATGAATTTTTCTTTTTTATGTCTTCCAGTTTTTGGTTTGATTCAGGAAGATGCTGGCAGAGACAAGAGGATCCTTTAGCCTTGTTCTCGAAAGACCATTCTCCCCGTTTCCAGTTCAGTACCTGCTTCACTTGAGCGACCTTGACCTGCTCTATAACAGAGGACGTGTGGCCTTTGTCACCTGGAACAGAAATCTTCTATCATCGAATCTGAGTGGAAACTCTGGCTATGCTGCTTTTTCCTCCAAATTCTTTACCTCCCAGGGATGGAAACTACTGACCAGACACAGCAATTCCTTACAGTCAGGGACACAGAAGAACATCCTTTCTCCACCTATCACTCCACTGGTCTGTGTCTTCTCAGAGGAAGAGCCTGGAGATGGGGAATGGGGCTATGGGAATTTCCCTTTAGAGGAATACATCAAAGCCCTTGACCGATCGAAAGGAGAGCTGCATTATAACCATGCTCTCGGAATGCGCTACAGTAAGGTCTGCAAACAATCAATCAATCTCTTTTCCATATTCTCTCTCTTTCTGTTCAATCAATCAATCAATCTCTCAACACCATTCTTCTCTTGTTGGCTGTTTGCAGATTACAGAGCAGATATATGTTGGTTCATGTATACAAACAGAAGATGATGTGGAACATCTGTCGGACGCTGTGAGTGTTTTATTATAGTTGAGAAATTTGGTTTCTATGGCATGCAATGATAGCATTAAATTTTGATTGGTTCTGGTTTAGGGAATTACTGCTATACTGAATTTCCAAGGTGGGACTGAAGCTCAAAACTGGGGAATAGATTCACAAAAAATCAATGAGGCATGCCAGAATTCTGATATCTTAATGATCAACTATCCTATAAGGTAGGCAAAGACCTCATCTGCCTTCATTTGTTTTCTTTGCCTAGGGCTCTCATCAAGTTTGAATAAGAATAATAATGGAGCTTTGAAATGTTGGTGCCAGGGATGCAGATTCCTTTGATCTGAGGAAGAAACTCCCACTCTGTGTGGGGCTTTTACTACGGTTGCTGAAAAAGAACCATCGAGTCTTTGTTACTTGTACCACTGGCTTTGACCGGTCGTCGGCATGTGTGATTGCTTATCTGCACTGGATGACTGATACCTCTCTTCATGCTGCTTTTAGTTTCGTTACAGGATTGCACGCCTGCAGGCCTGACAGGTTTCCACTTTTCATTCATCTCATCTCTTTCTTCTTTCTTGGTCATTAGCCTAACTTTTTCTGTTTTGATGGAAAGAACAGACCTGCAATAGCTTGGGCGACATGGGATCTAATTGCAATGGTGGACGACGGCAAACATGATGAGACTCCAACACACGCTGTAACCTTTGTATGGAATGGACATGAGGTGACTTATTTGCTTATTATTTTGGTACAACTCTCTCATCAGCAACTCTGTTTTTACGTTGAACCTTGTTTTTTTTACTCTGTTTCAGGGGGAGGATGTATTGCTGGTCGGAGATTTCACTGCAAACTGGAAAGAACCGATAAAGGCAACGCATAAGGGTGGTCCACGTTTTGAAACTGAAGTTAGGCTTTCACAGGGAAAGTAAGTCTTGCTGCTTTGACTTTTCCCATTTTCTGCTCATGGCTCAAGCTTCATTACATTACATTCATATGGTGTAATCGTTGACAGATACTACTACAAGTACATAATCAACGGTGATTGGCGGCATTCAACAATTTCGCCGACGGAAAGGGATGATCGAGGAAATACAAACAATATAATAGTGGTTGGTGATGTTGCTAGCGTCAGGCCTACTATTCAACAACCAAGAAAGGTTACTATTTATCACTATCCATGATCAAGTAACTTTTTCCACATTAATCTGAAGCAGATCTTGCCATGTTTTGTAGGATGCAAATATCATAAGAGTGATTGAGAGAGTGTTGACAGAGAGCGAAAGGTTCAGGTTGGCAAAAGCAGCTCGGTGTATTGCATTCTCAGTCTGTCCAATAAGACTATCCCCAAAGTAGATTTTTTTGTTGTTGTCAAGTTATAATATTCAAACCAACTCCTCTGTCTCTATCCATTCCTCCATGTATACTATTCGTCTATTCCTAATGTCATTGTGAAACTCAGGGCTCATCTTCATTGTTTTTACTCCAAGCGAATAAATTAAAGCCACGTTTGACATACTCTATGACAAGAGAATGTTGACATTATATTGTGTTAATTTGCATGAAAATGTCGACATAGTTTCGCCATTGCCCCCACCTTTACATATAAGTCCCAAAGCCAACCCTAATGCATTTATCGTCTATGATTCTTTCTTCTTCAACTTATCTCTCTACCAAGTCCTACCATGCTGAACGAAATAGAAGCCCTTACTTTTCTCCCCATTTTTGCTTATATGAAATATGGCCATGGAAAATCTGTTAGAATTGTAGAGAGAGAAAGCTTCTTTCTTTCATGGCTTGTAATTTCTTTCACTCTTTTTGATTCATGTTCATTCTCTATAGCCAGGGATACATGTTCATGCTAAGAGTTTACATTGATGGGCATGTTGCTTCATACAGGATAATAGTCCATCATGGCCTATCTAAATCCTTTCCATTTTAATTTTAGTTTTAATTTTAATTTTTCTTTAACTTCTTGCTCTGGGATTGTTTATATACATGCAATACCAGTCTCTAGTCTCTGGAAGGTTTGCAGAAGTATGGTTCTCTGATATGCACCACAAACAATGGCCTAACATCTAAAGTGGGTGGTGTTTATTTAAGACGAGAGCCTGAGAGGGTAAGTGAAAGAGTCTTATCCTTGTTTTTGTGATAAGGCACCTTATCCTTCAATCCTTTTATTTTGCAGAAACTAAAAATAATAAATAATTGAGAGAACAAGAGCACGTAAAACTTCAAATCTTGAGCTAATAATATTCCTCATCCACACACAAAAAAAAAAAAAAAAAAAAAAAAGAGAGAAGAGACTTTCTTATCAACCTCACCCATCGCTTTCATTATCCTCGTTCCCACAAACGCACCATAACCATGAGACGTACACCGTTCTTTTAAACGCTCAAAACTTTCATCATATATCCACTGAAGTTGTTTCCATAAGTCTTATAATTAATATATATAAATACATCTCACTCTCACTACCTTCTCTTCACCAGCAAATGTCGACCGCTCCTCTCTCCGGCTTTTTCCTCACCTCTCTTTCTCCTTCTCAATCTTCTCTCCAAAAGCTCTCTCTTCGTTCTTCTCCCACCGTCGCTTGCCTCCCTTCTTCCTCTTCCTCCTCCTCTTCCCGTTCCGTTCCTACCCTTATCCGTAACGAGCCCGTTTTTGCTGCTCCTGCTCCTATCATCAACCCTTACTGGGTATACTTTTTACATTCATCTCTCCTTTTTAACCTACATTATTACTTACATTCTTGCTTACGTATTATTAGAGGGTTTATTTATAGTATACACATATAATTTTCTAGTATTCACTCAAAAATCCTATCTTTTTGGTACGTATATATAAATTACCTTACGAAACTTCCACAAATCCTGGAGACACTCACGTGTGTTTAACGGTTCCTTTTATTGTACTTACTACTATTAGCCGTGTTGTATTTTTGGTCTCTAGCATGATACTGAAAAAAAAACCCCAAATTAAGACTCAAAGTAGCTTTCACAAGGGAAGTGTATTTTCAGATTCCAAAGGCTCTAAGCGATTCAAATTTAACACGTGTCCTTATAGTGTAATTTTGTGAATTGGAGTATTATTATTTGCTACATTTTATAACAAAATATTGTAAATCAAATACTGGAATTCTGTTTCTTAATAGTAAATGTTTTTGAGAAAAAAAGTTGTATCACAAAAAGAAGACATTTTTGAAATGGGAGTTGGAACGTACGTAGGATCCACGTGATTACTAGTAGTAGCTTGAACAATACAATTTATGAAACTGAGACGTGTGTGTGTGCCTTCTACCATATGAGAGCGTGTGGAGCATAGTGTTGATGAAGTCACCATCTATATTTATTTATTCAACCTACCGATTTGGCTCCTAACCACATTACCAATCTTCCACCCAAAAATAAAAGTTATTAGTAATAAATACGACAAAATTGTACTTTTATCGTCTAATGTAGTTCTTGAATAGGTTGATTATAGGCTCAACTTTAACACACACGACAAGCTCCTCTCACAATTTATACTAATTAACTAGTTCTCTTACAGTTTATATACATTTTCATATAATTATAATTGGTCAACAAACTTGCAGAGCGAAGAGATGGGAACCGAATCATACCAAGAGGCCATTGAAGCTCTCCAGAAGCTTCTCATGTAAGTAATATATTCCTTATATATCCGCATATAGTTAATATTCGTTAATTAGTTTTGGTGGATAAAAAAGGAGGAGGCTATAGGGTTCGTTCATTCTTTAATATCAAAATTAATTATCATGTAATAATCTTGTTTAATTAATCGTAAGATATGTACAAATTTGGGCAGCGAGAAGGAAGAGCTAAAGACTGTTGCGGCGGCTAAGGTGGAACAGATCACGGCAGAGCTTCAGACAGGAACTTCGTCCGACAAGAAAGCTTTCGACCCCGTCGATACCATTAAGCAAGGCTTCATCACTTTCAAGAAGGAGAAATACGAGTAAATATTTCTATTTTATTTCTTAATTATCATATGCCACTAATTACATGAATCCATATTTTAACTAGTTCGCAAGTATTTAAATATGTTAACGTGCAGAACCAACCCTGCTTTGCACGCTGAGCTCGCCAAGGGTCAAAGTCCTAAGGTAAATAAGAAAAGATAAAAACAAAAGTAACGAACTTATAAATGAAACATGAAAGAAAAAAGTAAAAAATGTGTGTGAAAATGGTGGTGCAGTTCATGGTGTTTGCTTGTTCGGACTCACGTGTGTGTCCATCACACGTTCTCAACTTTCAGCCAGGAGATGCGTTCGTGGTCCGTAACATAGCCAACATGGTTCCTCCTTTTGACAAGGTTTAACTCTTTGTTACTTTTGTCTCTACTTCCTATAACCTTCTGTCTCATACAGAAGTGCATAAATTTTCTCTTGTGGAGTCGTAACGTTGACCTTTTTATGCAAAAAACTTGCAGGTCAAATACGGTGGAGTTGGAGCAGCCATTGAATACGCTGTCTTGCACCTTAAGGTGAACCTTGCTTATGAAATATTAATGGGCCGGACTGGGTTTACCGTCTTAGGAAAATACTGTATTTATGTGTGATATCTAATTTAATATGCATATATACAATTAACACGTTAACCCTCTCTCTTTTTTTTTTTTTTTTTTTTTTTAAATCTGAGAAAGATACTGAAAATATTGAAAATTAATATTGTAAATTGCCAAGTCTTAATTTGGATATTTTTTTTTTTTGTTAAAGGTTATCATATGAATAATAAGATCATGTACATGTAATTGATTTTTATTAAAATTTATTGTTGTAGGTGGAGAACATTGTGGTGATAGGACACAGTGCATGTGGTGGAATCAAAGGACTTATGTCTTTCGCCTTAGATGGAAATAACTCCACGTACGTAGAATATCCAACTTATTTAAATTTAGCATCAAATTTTATTGGATGTTATTAATTTTTTCCCCCGATGAATGATGTTAATTGCAGTGATTTCATAGAGGACTGGGTCAAAATCTGTTTACCAGCCAAGTCAAAGGTCATATCAGAACTTGGAGATTCAGCCTTTGAAGACCAATGTGGCCGATGTGAAAGGGTAAATATACACATGTTCATACATGATACATATCTTCGATCTCTAATCAAATTAATATATCTATATACATGAGATAACATTAAAGATTGTAACATTATGTATATTAATTAATGCAGGAGGCAGTGAATGTTTCACTAGCAAACTTGTTGACTTATCCTTTTGTGAGAGAAGGACTTGTGAAGGGAACACTTGCACTGAAAGGAGGCTACTATGACTTCATTAAGGGTGCTTTTGAGCTTTGGGGACTTGAATTTGGCCTCTCCGAAACTAGCTCTGTATGAATCAATCCATCATCATCATCATGAACATCCATCATCATATATGTCTATTACATGTGTAATTTGTAATTTGCCTTGATTGTGATGAGCTATCTCTCTCTCTGTCTTCCCCTCGGCCTCTTTCTTCATGCTATTAAACTTTCATATAAATAAAAACCCAGATGATATATAAATCTTTCGCGGTTTTAATTATGAAAAATAATGAGTTAATTACTTATATAAAATTGTTTGTATTTACGGTTTGATTTTATTTTCTATGTTGTTTAGGTTAAAGATGTGGCTACCATACTACATTGGAAGCTGTAGGAACTCTTTGAAGCCTTTTTCCGATTTCACATTTTTCACTTCTTCAACCTCGCAAACTTGTTGTTTTCATGTAGTCGATCATAAAAAAAACCACTCGCATTATATTTAATAATTGAATACGAATATTGCATGCAAATGGTCTTTTGATTCTATTTAAATAAGAAAACTGAAGGCTTTGGGGGTGGTGGTGGGGGGAAAGAATTTAAATAAAACCAGGTGATTTCCAGCATGTCATTGTTCTTTTCTTTTCCAAATTATCAAGCTATTGCATTTTAGAGTAAATAAATAAAATACTGCATAATATACTCTGTTACATTTCAAAATGTTGATTGATAGACAGACTTCTGACAATTTTATTGCCAACTAAATCTGAGCTTTATCTTTGTCCTGGCTAGTGCTTGTTTAGTCCACCTCCTCTCTTTCCTCTTTCGTTTTCTTTTTTATTCCACAGAGGATCATAAAAGAATCTTGTTTAGTCCACCTTACTAACTTTTAATATATTAATATGTAAATATTATTCTTTTATGGTACAGTGTCTGTTACTAACTTTTAGAAAAAGTCGTTAGTGAACATTTAAATAAATCCAAGCTTTATTTTGACCTGTGAAGTGGAGTATATCAAGAGATTCAAGAAGGGGGACAACCTTGTCATATAGTACTACAACTAGTAGTATAATTTTTTAGGGCACTGTGAATGGTAATTAAATGTCACATATTTTAATATCGTGTTAAATATTACAAATACTCGTATTAGTATATGACCATATGCTACCTAAAATATGATTAATAAAAAATGTTCTGCGTTTTTGACTCTTCTGCCATATAATTATTGCAATGTCAGATTAACTTCCGAGTGTAGATGTTCTGTACTGTATTGAATACCTTTTCTTTAATTATGAATTTATGATCACCTATTAGGTAGTGTGGCCTACATTATAATCACACAACCCTAAAGTTACCTACCTTTAGATTTCAACCCCTCGAGGCCTCGACTTATAAAGTTTCCAGGAACCCCTTAAATGGTCTACACTTCCTTACTACATTATGCATGGACTTTTACTATTATCCTTATTTATATTATACAGTTTTGAAGCAAAATACATATAACTAAATGAGCTAATCAAACACTACAACATCAGCAACTTTTAATATCGGATTGTTGATGTTTCGGTATTTGATCATCTTTTCACTAAGCCACCAAATATTACACAATCTAGAAATGAAATATAATATGAAAACGTAAATGAATGCAGCAAAAACAAAATCACATTAATTACAATGCCCATCTATGAACTCCATCATGTAGGTGAGTGTGCTAAGCTCAAAAGCCTCCTCATGATGACCCCAAAGCGACGAACTCGTATAGTTATTACCTTGATGGAGAAGATTAAAACCTTCGCTCATAAGTAATATATCATCACCGATAATATTTTTCTTATCAACTTTCACATCCAAAAATCTTTCTTCGGATGCATCTGTCATACTTCCCATATTAATCATCTGATTGTCCTTGTTGATGGGTTTGATTGCTTGATCTTTGATTTCAGTTTTTTTACTTAGATGTGTATTCCAGTAGTTCTTCACTTGATTGTCCGTTCGACCTGGAACTCTTTTAGCTATCAAAGACCACCTATTTATGCATCAAATGGTAGTTATAAGACAATTTTTATTTTTTGGTAAAAGTTATAAAACAAATGATTTATGTATAAAATATCGTTAAAATAAAGTATTTGCTTTACCGAAAGAAAAAAAAACAAGTTGAAAATAGATGTAAATAATATTTTTACCTATTGCCAAGCAACTTGTGGAGTCGAATGATAAGATCCTCTTCTTGTTCAGTGAAATGGCCTCTTTTCACGTTTGGGCTAAGATAATTCATCCATCTCAATCGGCAGCTCTTTCCACATCTCTTCAAACCTACTTATTTTTATTGCGGTGAGGCCAAAAATCTTGATTTCAAAAGCAAAATTAGAAACAAACCCCCCCAAAGCTTGTATTTCTATGGTTAGGTATTAGCCGTGTCAAAGGAAGATCCCAGTGGTCGTGAAACTTATCACTTCCTGCCCCCCAACACAAAGAAAGCTAAGCAATTCATCTATATGGAATCATATATGTGTGACTTCTTAACTTAGGCTCTTCTTGCAATGGGAAGTCGGAACCTCATAAAAGACCCCCTGATCTTTATAAAAATTGAGATAAAAGAGTACTTATAGTTTCAATTTCACTCATAATTAAGAAAGAAAGCAAAAGAAGCAAGAACAACTAGTTGGAGAGAGAGAGAGAGAGAGACCAGTCTTTTTGGCAATGCGATTCCAGTGGCCTTTGCCATGAGCTTTGACATAATCCATGAGGATCTTGTCTTCTTCAACTGTCCACAAACCTTTCTTATACGACTCATTGACATTTTTACCTACTTCTCCACCTCTATTCTTTCTCATTCTTCTTGTTTCTTTACTAGAGAGAGAGAGAGGGAGAGAGGGATGTAGGGGAAAATAAAACGATAGATATGTTGAGAACAGATGTTATATACGATAATACAAGACTAGATAAGCTACATCGAATGATGCGAACGCTAATGGAATAATATATTGAACACTTATTTTTATATATTTTCCCTAAATTTAATTGATTTTGAGTTTTAAAGAAAAATAATTCATAGTGACAACTTCAAACACGCTATAAATTTTGTTGGGTATACCCAATTAATGACGTGTATTTATAATGAAATTTTATCATCATTTCTTGGTTACGTTGTGACATACGTTTATCAGGCCGAATTCAATTCGCAAGAAAGATCTATTGTATTCCAAATGCATTAATAAAATACTATAAAATTCTTGTGTGAAGCGATATTTTGATATAAAACAAATACTGATAAGTGTAGCAATTTTTTCATGCAACTTAGCTTCCCGGATTTACTTATCTATATTTGTTATGTCCTTAGCTAAAAAAAAAAAAGTCCTTAGCTAAAGAGAATAGATCGTATAAGAGGGTCTAGAGCTACAGTCTACACAACGATCACGTGAAGTTGAAAAAGATTCGCCTTCAATGATTGAACCCTGAATTTGGCATCGAAGTTTCATGTGTCAGGCGTTTAACCGCTTAATTAATTGGTTAATTAATTACTCCGTAGTACATTATACATGTCGACAAAGAAAAGAGTCAAAAACTAACACCTTATCATTAATTACATCGCCAGGAGGAGAAGCTATTGGACGACGACATTATTAAATTATCATAATATCACGAATATAAAATTAAACCAGAACCCGGCCCGCTTTCAGTGGGGAATCTTGGACTTACAATTAAAGCAGAAACTTACTTTAAATTATTTCGTTCAACAGAAAAGGTTAGTGGCATGAAAATAGTGACTTGGTTACGATGAGATGCCTAACATGGTTTGACTATATTGGGATCAGAGATCATTTAGTCATTAGAATTACAAGAAGGCAAAGAATAGAACCTCCCTATCTTGTCACTATAAACCTAATTTGAACTTTGGGCTACATAACAATAACTGTTTACATAATACTTTTAATTTCACAAGTAGTATATATATTCGCGCATGCAAGTGCTGCAACGTATAATGTCGTTTTCGTTGTTGGATCTGAGATAGCACACTTAAGAGCGAGTATCAAAGATTGAGTTTTTGGGAACTGAGAACTTTCACTCAAAGAAAATATCAAAGGATTACAAGGATGGTGCTCTCGCCAAATAGGCTTGGCGAGGTGAATATGCAATTATAAAGAGGGGGTCTCGTCGAACAGGCCTCGAAGACGGAATACGAAAATAAAGAGAACAAAAAGAAAAGAGTAGCAATTGCTCTAGGTGTTTGCAGAGGATTTCTGGATCTTGTGGATCTTCTGAATGGTCTTCAAGGAATAGGGGGTCTTCTATTTATATGGAGAGGAGGTTGGCTTCTTCAAGATATTCTTCCATATTTCTTTTGGAAATATTCTTCTTTGGCGTTGATCTCCTTCTATTTTTCTTGGATGTAGTCTTTTTCTCCAAGTACTTCCTTTTCTTTGAGGAGGTGGAAGTGGAAGCGGGCCGGGCTTACATAGTATTATTAATTGTGACGGGCTCAGGGAAATTGTGCTAATTTCTGCTCTAACAATAAGTCCCCCCCAGTTTGGCGAGATAAATGCAATTTAATCTCGGCGAACTTCATGTATAAAAGAGGAGCTCAAGAGCAATTAATAATAACTATGTGATGCCGACGTGATGCCGATGCTGTCGCGATGCTGCGCTGACGTGATGCTGCGTTGCGTTATTGACTTTAGATCCGTACTGCCTCGTTAAAACCTTGATATGGAAAAACCCTATGGGATAAAAACCATAAGAAGGGAAAAGAGTACAGTGACGTAATCTTGTCCGCAAATAGAATGTGCTTTTGATAATTTCTCTCGGACTTGACGAGATGACTCTTTTGTCTCGTCAAGGAGAATAAGTTGCCGTGATGAATTTTCTCGGATTTGACTTCAGCTGGTCAAAGAGATTTCTTTGTCATCGTTCGTCGCGGCATTAGAGCCTGTTGCCGTGATGCTTCTTATCGTCGTCTGGAAAAGGGTTCGTCCAGTAGGGATAACTCGTCCGCCTTTGGTGATGTGGAGCTTGCGTCGCGGCGATTCGAACAGCGAAATCTTGCATGGGCGCGGTAGTCGCGGCGTTGGTGACTGGAGCTTTGCGCCTGGGACCAATAGAGGGTTGACGCGACCATTGTTCGTGTTGACGCGACCGTTTTCGACTTCAACGGATGAATGATAGGGTTTTCATCTTCACCGAGTTTAGTTTGACTTTGCAGTCCGCCTGTTCTGGTGCCGCAAAGGTACGTCGAGATGGATAATTGTTGTACTCTATGATAAGCTTGCCGAGATGGAGGGGACAAAACAAGTTTGGCCAACTTTCGCCGGGATGCTGATGGAAACCTCGTTAGCTGGAGGAAGTTCTTCGAGAGAGGAGAATGCGAATGCCGAGATGGGGTCTGGTCCGGATGCTTCCAAGATCAAAGCTGCTTTAGCCCCCTTCTTCCTCACTCGTTTTGCTGAACTTTTGTCATCGGGGCGAATGTTATCGATGAGATAACATTGCCTGAGAGGGTTTTAATCCATATGCTGTTTGGATTGAAAATTGCAATTTAGATATAGTTGATAATTTCACAGCGCAATGAAAGAATCCAGTTTTTTACTATTTCTTTTAATGAGGGGCGATATGCCGTCAACCAAGCGCAATGAATCAAGTATCTAATCGTCATTAGACTAATGAGTCAACATGCTGGGACGACTCGTCAACCTCAAGTGTGTCATGCCGAGATGCTACTCTTTGACAGTGCTAGTGCGTCGTGACGAGACGACGATGCTACGAAGCTCGTCAAGACTCTCATTCGAGACACCGACCAGTGCGTATTAGGTCTGAATGCAGCGGCTTGGTAGGCCTCATAATTCGGCGACGAGGTCTAGAAACTCGATTTATGCCTACGACTTTTAAGTCCGATACGCGTGACGAGACAGCGGTTTTTTCTCGCCCGTATGGCTTAGAACCGTGCGAGGTGCGTGCTCTCGTCTTTTGTGGGTGATCAGTCCACGGGTTGCTGTGCTTAAGTGCGTCCGAACGTTGGGCCAGAACGTCGGAGGAGTTGCGTTTTTTCGGAATTTTTGCTTTGCATGCTGTGCTTGCGTTGCTAACGTCGTCGGTGAGAGTTTCAGTTACCAGCTGAAAGTGAAGTTGTTCTTCAGGGTCTTTGCCGAGACGGGAACCCTTCCGAAAAGGTTCTGTAAGAAGTGCTTGCATTGGGGTTAACAAAGATAAAAAGGGCTTTTTATTTTTATTAATCCATAGCTGTGCCTTTAGTGAAAAAGGCTGCCTACGTACCCGTGCCGAGATCAAGCCAATCGTAGTTCGTTTCAGATGCTTCTGATTTCATTTCGGCGATGCAAAACGAATGACTCGAGATGCGTTTGTTGATCATAGCAGATCACTCGACCAAGTCATTCTTAGCCGTATTAATGCGAAAGCTAGCTGTTTCGACTTATTCCTACAGAACATGTGAGGCCATGCGAGGTTTTATCTCGGCAATGCAGAGATTGCTTATCTCGTCAAAGTAGGATTCATTGATTATTCGTCAACGAAGAGGTTCGTCGATGATTTGTTTATCGATGAAGAGGCGTGTTGCTTAAGTTGCTGATGAGTTTGAAGGTGACGACATGTTGGAGATGATGTTTCTGCCATTGACGAGACGGATGCGACGGTTTCGTGTCGTTGTACTTTTGCTGCTGAGCTTGCATCTGGGCGAATTGAGAAGCAATTTGAGCAGTAAAGCCTTGCATGGCGGCGGTTAACGCGGCGGTCGTGACGGGAGCTTCTACGTCAGGAACCGGTGGCGGCGGAGGCAGATCATCTTGGTGAGGGAGTGATGCAGGCGCGTTCTTCTCGGCGTCGTCGCCTTCATCTTGGCGTCGGATTTTTACGTCGGCGCTGGTTTGCAGCTCGTCGATTTTCATCGCGGCGTTCAGCATCTTTGGCTTTGCGGAGTATTGCTATACTCTTGTATCAAGCTCATGACGTGCCTACATTCTTCTGTAGTATGATCGGTTCGTCCATGGAGTTTGCACCATTTGGACTCGTCGCTGTCCTGTTGTGAAAGACTCCTTAGAGGCCTCCTTTTATTCTCTTGACGAGATGACTCTTGATGAGATGAATCTTGACGAGATGATGCGTGCCGAGATGACTCCTTCGTCATTCCATGAATCTTTGAGTGGTGCGCCTTGCTTTCTTCAACGCAGACGTATTTTTGGGACTGTGCAAAGCGTCCTGGAGGGTTGCGGGTTCGTCGAGCATCAGACTCTCTTTCAACTTTGATTCGAACCAAAGCCCGTTTTCGAAAGCTTTGATTCCTATCGCGTCAGGGATGTCTGAGTGCTCTGCTGCTGCTGTTTTGAATCTCTCGACGAACTTGCGAAGAGACTCATCTTTTCCCTGTGCCATAGTGAAAAGATTGGTGCTGCCTTTTGACATAAACATGCCAAAGTGTTTCATGAATGCCGTGCTGAGATCATCAAAGTTGTCGATGGTCTCGGCAGGGAAGGTTCGAAAACCAGCTCGTCGCGTCTTTGTTCATGTGCTCGATGAACACTTGACAGTAGTTTGCGTCTTGTTCTTCGGGGGAGGCATATTTTGCCTTCTCATGGCCATCTCGAAGTTTCTTAGCCAGTTTCGAGGATCGTCATTGTTGTAGAACTGAAGACGGAGAGCCGTTTGATCCTTAGAGGTATCGCGGCGATACGACGAGTGAAGGGACTTCTTTTCGTAATATATTTGTAATCTTTTTTCACATACACAACGAATACTTGTATAGGATACACATCAAGTATATGCAAGGGCAGAGGGAGAGAGTATTTTTATTGGGGCATTACTAAAATTATTTAAAGAACTAAGGGTATAATTGCAAATAATTAAAGGGGCAATGTTGAATTTGAATAACAAAAAATCATTGGGGTCTATATTCGTTTTCTTTTGTCAAAATACTTCCTGTTTTTTACTTTGACTGCACCACTGATAGTTCCCATTTACCTATTTAAAATCATACTGATGTTTTGCACATTAAAAAATCTCGACAAAGAAAAGTTGTTCATTAAAATCGGGAGTCGAGACAATAAAAGAGTAATAATTATCTGTCACCATTAAATAGTAATAACTCCATGTTTTTAATTTACTACACAAGATCGCTACGTAAGATTTTATTTATTTATTATGGATAATAAGTACGCACCACCAGTTTCTATTAGGCATGACCAAAATCAAACCGTAACCGTATTTCGGACCGTAACCGTACCGTTTTTAAACGTAACCGGACCGTAACCGTATAAATTGGTTAAAACCGTAACCGTCAACCGTAAAAAAAATATTAGTTATGGTTAAAAAAAAATTTAACCGTAACCGCTATTTAACCGTAACCGTATAAAAACCGTTGGTTAACCGCAAGGTTAAACCGTTTAATTTTAACCGTAACCGTCTAAAATATTATATTAAATAAATAAAAAAATTAGCTATGACATGGAGATATATTAAATTATAAAAATAGTTAACTTGAATATTATATTGTGATAAGATTTAGTTAAATTCAAAAAGTAAAATCTAATTAAAATATATAATATAGTATATCCGTTAAGTAATAAGATTATTAGATAAAAATGATTTTGATATGGTTAGAGGGCGGTTCCGATTCAAATTGTTTTGAAATTTTCCAAAAGATTTTATCAATTTGTTTCCACCTTTTTAGTAACAAATAAAGACGTTGTCCACCTTTGTAGTAACCACGTAACCAACGTTATTATAAATATGTGTGCATGCATGTAAGCTAAGTAAACTGATCACACAATCACAACAAATATTTACTATTATCTTTTATTATTCTCGACTCTGCTTTTTTTTCTTGCTATTAACAATGTCTTCAGGTTCATTTTTTTCAAATGTGGACGTTGAGAGAGAAGGTGCTGCCATACCAACCATCAATACTCAGGAAAGTGCAACTCAGGAACAAGCTAGCATAAACGTGGAGAGACAACGTTTGAATGCTTCCGACGTTTTTAAGGTACACTTTCGAAAAGAAAAAATTAATGGTATAATGAAAGCATGTTGTAACTATTGCGACAAAAAGTTTTTTTGGAAATCGGTTCAGGGTATGGTTCATATAAATATCATTTGAAAAAGACTCATCCTGAAAAATTTGGTTTAGAAACCAACCAAGATCCTCATGCTAGTTCTTCTAATCTTTCATCTTTTCGTTATTCAGATAAAAAAAATAGAGAGGAATTAGCAAAATGTGTTGCAGTTGACCATCTTTCATTTAGCTTTGGTGAAAAACTGGGTTTTAATAATTATTGCAAAAATGCTTTAAATCCTCAAGCTAAAAGAGTTCCCCGTACTACTCTTACTCGTACTTTAAAATCACTTTATCGGAAATCAAAAAAAGATTTACAAAACTTATTTTCTAGTTTTCATAATAAAGTTTCAATATGCTGTGATATTTGGAGTGATCATTGGCAAATTCATTATTATATGGGTATTACATGTCATTGGATTGATAGTGATTGAAATATTCAAAAAAGAATTATTGCTTTTCGAGTTTTTGATGAAAGACATACAGCTAATAATATTTTTAAATTAATAAAAGTTATTTTAGAAGAATATAATTTAACATCCAAAATATTTTCTATTTCATTTGATAATGCATCAGCTAATACAGCTTCACTTGATGAATTAATAAATAATTGTAATCCTATTTTAGGTGGAAAGTATTTTCATGTTCGATGTATTTGTCATGTTTTGAATTTATGTGTTCAAGATGGTTTATTAGTTTCTCAAAGTAATATTATTGCACCAATAAAAAATGCTTTAAATTATTTGTGGGGGCATCCACAATTAATGAAACAATGGTTTTCATTTTGTAAAACTCATAATGCATCTCCCAAAAGGTTTTCTCGTGATGTCCCTACCCGTTGGAATTCAACTTATGATATGCTTGTAGATTCAATTGGTTATAAGGATTTATTATGTAGTTTTATTCAACAAAAATGTATTTCTTTAACTTTGTGGCCTACTCATTGGGACGAATGTGCTGCACTTTTAAAATTATTAAAATGTTTTAATGATGCAACATATTTATTATCTGGTGTTTATTATCCTACTGCTCATTTGCTTTTATATGAATGTGTTAATATTGCTGATGTGATGAATGCACATGAACATGATATTGTTTTGTCATCATGTATTAAGAGTATGAAAGAAAAATGGTTAAAATATTATAAAGAAATTCCACCTCTTAATTTGCTTGCATCTATTTTTGATCCTAGAACTAAATTGGATGGTTTAAATGAATATTTATCTACATATTATGAGTTATTGCATTTGTCTGAAAGCATTAATATTCCAAACATTATTTCAAATTCTAAAAAAGATATAGAGACTTTGTATGATGAATATTATAGAGTATATAAGCATCTGGCACCACAAATGGATGAATCATCTGTACAAAATGACATGTCCTCAACATCTTCACTAAGTCTTGCAGAAAGGATGCGGAGACAGAAACGACAACGACCATCACAAGGTAATAATTCTGAACTTGAAAAATATTTATCTACTAACTTTGAGTTTAGTGATGCAGATGCAGGTAATAACTTTCAAGTCATTCAGTGGTGGAAGTATCATCAATCTCATTATCCCATTTTAGCTATGATAGCAAAGGACATTTTTCTCTTCACCAGTTTCTACAGTTTCTGTGGAACGGGCTTTTAGCATGGGAGGTCAAATTTTAGATGAAACTCGATCAAGAATGAGTCCAGATTCTCTCGAAGCTCAAGCATGTCTTGATGATTGGACCAGAGCTCAATATAGACAACAAGAATACATCCGAGACAATGAAGAAGAGTTAGAAGATTTTGATAGTGATGTATCTTCAATAAGATCCGAAGACAGTGACTAATATTTTTTTAAACTTTATTATTGTAATAAATAATTCTCAACATGAAATGAATAATTCATTTTTCTTTCAAAGTTTTATATACATTTATAATTATGTTTTAATTTATCTCTTTCATATATGTTAGTGTAAATTTTTACATTATTCTGTTTTTTTATAATATTTATTTAATCATAAACCGTAATATTAACCGTATTATAATTATAACCGTAACCGTACTAACCGGATTGATATTTAACCATAACCGTATTAACCGTATGTTAAATGGTTAAGGTTAAGGTTAACAAAATTTCTAACCGTAACCGGTGGTTAAATAACCTTAACCGTGATAATCGTAACCGTGGTCATGCCTAGTTTCCATATCATACAAAATCATTTTGTCATGTTTATTTGTAAATTTTTTTTTTTGTTCACGTCATCCCTTATAGATACAAACCTGAAAATATAATATAATTAAATTTCAAACGTATAGTTGAAGGCTTGAAGCTCCTTTGAAAAGTACTCAATACATATTTAGTTTTAGTTTAAGACATTATAATGGAGGGTAATTTTAGTTTTGAACAAACTCATCATAGCCTCCATGTAAGGCCCGTTTACGTGTTAATACTAATTGACGGTCCCTTCACGCGACGCCTGACGGGCCTAACAAAAGAGCCCAGCAAACAATTAGAAAAGTGATCCATGCCTTTTTATTTTCAACAAGCTTGCTGGCTGCAGCACTACCAAGAGTCACCTACTTAAGGCCACATTTACTTTTGTAAATTAGGGGTCACATTTTTTTATAAACCAAATATAAATCAAATGAAACTACTAAATCTAAGGATTTACTGATGTTTTTAAAACATAATTATTTAAAATAATTGTAAATGGCATTCTTCATGCATGTATGGTTGAGTCTGAAGATAATAAGATATGCTTTCTACAGTTTCTTCCCTCTCCATGTGACTTCTGACTATCTTCTATTGTCTACTTTTTTGTCGTTTTCATTCAAGAAATGAAGAATATATATATATTTTTTAAATTTTTTGCTTCAATTGTGACATAAAAAACGTATACCATTTTTACCAAATTAAAAAGAATTATCTGACTAAATTGGACAATATGTGCTATTCATCCCAAGAAAAAAAAAAAAAAGAGAAACTTATACAATCAAATATATGTGCACACTGCTGACTGCACAGTACATACTCCTTTTTCAAGTTTAGGGTCACATGAATTGAAGGCGGTCAAATATTTCACGTGCATGTCGCCACAGATCAACAGCAACTTCTTCTTTGTTGTTTTCTTACATTTTTCCACTAAACAACTTCCAGAGTTTAACGCAATCATGCCAAATTGCCAATAATGCAAAATTAATAAAACTATATTTGAGTGTTTATGTTCAAGCGTACTGTTTCAATGAGTATGTGACAATGATTTGTTAACTGGATTTGATTGTCGCGGCGGCATTAAAAGTGACGCTCATATTCTTTTGACTTAGTTTTTGACCATCATAGAATTTATTTACTAACTATTAGTACTACGCCGCGATTAGTACATAGTTTACAAGAAGTTCAAGCACTAATGACAAAAAACTACTATAGTATATGACGATATTACATAGGGTCGGTTGACTGCTTTAAACCGATTAATCTATACCTTAAATTAGCATGTACATAATTCAATTCGAGGTTCTTACGTAAATGGAAATAGATTAACCTGATATTTGAAGAATTTGTCCATATTTACGTAATTAAATATATATGATTGAAACAAAGTAGTTTATTAGAACAAAGAAAAAATCATCTTGAAAATGACACGTTAAAACCACAAAACGAAAGACTAAAGCTTAACGGAAAAGGAGTAAAGTGACCATGAATCCCATGATTTCATGAACTATATACTATTTGATGTTACATATTTTTATATGAACATTCTAGTATATTTCGTAACATTTCTTTGTTTATCCTGAAATGATTTATGTTTTTATATTTGCATACTTGTCTATATGAACAAGAAACAACATTTAAAACCTGTCGAGCAAGATTTTAGGAATTTTTTGAAACTTAAATGGCTAAGTTTTGTTCTCTTTTAGTTAACGATGAAAAAAAAAACATGATTTAGGTTGAGTTTGACAAATGAGTAGTATATCCAAAAGAGAGTTTTGTGAGAAGTGGAGCCGACACACGTCGAGCCTTAGCCTCTTAGGGACACCCCATGTGGTCACGTGTAAACGTTTGTTTGTCTTAAAAGAAAGTTAAGATTGAACTTTGAAGTATTCCGAGAAGTCTCAGCAGAGAGAAGATAGCAAGAGAGAGTGAGCTAGCCGTGAGCCTCTTCTTTGGTTGTTTGTTGCAATAAACACAAACACAACTTCCCCATTTTCTGCCTTTTTTGTTCAGCTCCAATCACAATTCACAGCCCATCCAGAAAAGAAAAGGAAGAAAAATCTCATACCAAAAAAAAGGAAAACCCAATTTAGTAGCCCATCTAGAAAATAATATTGAAAAAAGTATTGGTTTGCCGGAGAAAAATGAAGGAGAAGGCGGAGAGTGGCGCCGGAGGAGGTGTAGGATACGTGAGAGCGGATCAGATAGATTTAAAGAGTTTGGACGAGCAATTGCAGAGACACTTAAGCAGAGCATGGACGATGGAGAAGAGGAAGAGTTTGAGTGATGGTGAAGATAACGTTAATAATAAACACAACCAAAACAACTTCGGACATCGACAGCTTGTGTTTCAGAGACCACTTCTCGGTGGTGCTGGATTCAACAACAACAACAGCAACGATATAATTAGGTCGAGGACGGAGGTGGGGAGGTCAAGGAGAGAGTGGGAGATTGATCCTTCGAAGCTTATTATCAAAAGTGTGATCGCTCGTGGTACTTTTGGTACTGTTCACCGTGGAATCTATGATGGTCAGGATGTCGCCGGTACAATCTCTCTCTCTCTATATCTAATGATTCATAATATTTTGTTTTTATTCTGAGAAATATCATTTTTTAAGAAGACCCCTTTTTGGCCAAATAATTTAGAGAAGAATTCGGAACTTTCTTGACCAAAACAGGAAACTATTGAGGGAAACTAATAATTTAGTTTTGTAAATCATCAACAAGTAAATAAACATGCATTAGAGTAATGAAAGCTCTGTTTATATCTCTGCTTTTTTGTTTTCTTTCCTTTTGGATTATCAAAGAAAAAAAAAAGAGATGAAGTAACTTATTAATTATGTGAAAATAAATAAATATTGGTAATGATTATTTAAGAAAACAAAAACAGTGAAGCTACTAGACTGGGGAGAAGAGGGACACAGGTCAGACGCGGAGATAGCATCGCTAAGAGCTGCTTTCACTCAAGAAGTTGCTGTTTGGCATAAGCTTGACCATCCCAATGTCACCAAGGTACGTACGTGTACCACTCACTCTTGTCCCAAAATGGTTAATGTGAATTTTTTTAACCGAAATCGAATCCACTTCAAAGTAACCAAACCGAAACCAAAATTAATATTCACCCCTAAGCACATGCATAATGCATTCACAATCACATATATATATATATATATATATATATATATATATATATATATATATATATATATGAGAAGTAGGTATACGTTGATGTCTCTTTTTGGCCATCATACAAGGAATTGAAGATGTAATAAAGCCTTGCTTTGTTTTATTTATTTTGGAAAAATAAAAAGTTCATAGGAGCGGCGATGGGGACATCGGAGATGAGCATTCAGACGGAAAACGGGCAAATGGGGATGCCAAGTAACGTTTGCTGCGTCGTAGTTGAGTATTGCCCCGGCGGTGCTCTCAAGTCTTTCCTCATCAAAACTCGCCGTCGCAAACTCGCCTTCAAAGTCGTTATCCAACTCTCCCTTGATCTAGCTCGCGGGTATGTGTATATATTGGTTCTGGCTTAAATTCGGTTTAGCTACTTTTAATTGACTAGTAATATAATATTGTGATGATCCGTAATTCCGTATGTACGGTTGATTGGATTAGGTTAAGTTACTTGCACTCGCAGAAGATTGTGCATAGAGACGTGAAAACGGAGAACATGCTACTAGACAAGTCTCGCACGTTAAAGATTGCCGATTTTGGTGTGGCTCGTCTCGAGGCCTCCAACCCTAATGACATGACCGGTGAGACCGGAACCTTGGGCTACATGGCTCCCGAGGTACTCTACTAATTAGCTACACATATATATTTATTCCATTTTCTATTACTAACTTGATCATATACATGACTGATTATTAAATAAATAAAACATAGGTGTTAAATGGGAGTCCGTACAACAGAAAGTGCGATGTGTATAGCTTTGGGATATGTCTATGGGAGATTTACTGTTGCGACATGCCTTATCCTGACCTCAGTTTCTCTGAGGTTACCTCCGCCGTCGTCCGCCAGGTCCTTCTACATTACATTTTTGCCCTCATTCAGGAATATTATTGATTCATTGCCCTAAAAGAATATGCATATGTATCAATATCAATTTCAAACTAGAACTTGAGACCGGAGATACCGAGATGCTGTCCGAGTTCGCTAGCGAACGTGATGAAGAGGTGTTGGGATGCCAATCAGGAGAAGCGGCCAGAGATGGATGAAGTGGTGGCCATGCTGGAGGCTATTGATACCTCTAAAGGCGGCGGAATGATTCCTCCCGATCAACAGCAAGGCTGTTTCTGTTTCCGGCGACACCGAGGCCCATGATATATACGAACATTTCTATAATTTAATATTAACTCTAGTACTATTTTTGAAGTAGAGAGAGATTATGTAAAAGTTACGTAATGTTTAAGTTTAACTGGTTCGTGTTGGATTTCTAAGAGAATGTCTCGTAGCCTACTTGAAACGATCATTTCATACGTTGAGTTGAACAGTATGTATATTGATTTTTAAAAAATACAAATTTTCATAATATACTCATAGGAGGAAATGCTCTAACGAAAAATACCGACACACCTTTAAGTTTCTCTCACAAAATGAAATTAAAAGAAAAGAAACAGAGTATTATGTAAGAAGCGAGAAAAGGACAAAGATGAGAGGGATTAAGCGGCGATCTTGTAACTGGGGTTAGCCAGGTTCTCTAAACCAGAGACAACTTGAATGGATTCAATGACATCACCGACTTTAAGATCAGCTAGAAAGTCTTCGTTTTGAGTAACATAGCCGAAGACAGCGTAACGACCGTCCAAAATGTTGGAATTGCTTGGGGTGAGCTCGCTCTCTTTTAGCAGCCAAAACACCTGGCTTGATCCTGAGTCATTCTCAAACTCCTGTTTACATATGAACCGCTTAAGTACATGTAGTAGTATGCAAGACATAAACTATGGAAAGGAAGAAGAAGAAGAAGAATAAAGGACTTACTTCTCTTGCCATAGCCATAGTCCCAAATGCGTTGAAAGGAAGCATAACCTGAGCCTTGTAAAGACCAAGCTCCTGTTCGTTCACCCAAAACACACAGAAATGAGTAAAGGATGTTATTATCAACCATTATAACTCTCCGAAGAAACAGACAAAAGAGAGATATTTACTTCCAAAGTAGAGCCGTAGAAAGGCGTTTTCTTTCCAGTGACCATGATCTCAAGAGGCACAGTGCGCGTTTTCTCAGTGCTTGGGTCGATGAATCCTTCCGCAGGACCCTCTGGATCTCCCGTTTGTACCACAAACCCATCAGCTGAACATGAATGGAAACCCATCATTAGTTTAGTCCCATACATATATATACTATCAAAGTATTAAGGCAAGACTCTCGAGAGTGCAAGAATGTGTTTACATCGCTGGATCTCCATGCCATCGTAGAAATGGCGCTCCACCAAGTCGACAAAGTTGCCAGCAGTGACGGGGGCGTTGTAACCATCAAGCACAATGCGGAACACACAGTCCTCCACGTTTGGATTGTCCTTGATCTTCACCTTCATGTCCACAGTGGCTCTTCCCTTGAGAAGAGGCATGTTCCGGTACTCTTCTGGCACCTCGTAAGGGAAGCCATCAACCATATCCTCTTCTATTCTGCAGATAAACCCAATGCGCCACACGAAGATCTCAGGCTGCAGTCAATAGTCATCAATCACAAAATGAGCACAACCCTTGTCTCTTTCTACACAAAGATTCCTTCTTTTATCCCTCATGAGTCATGCATGACCCTGCCCCTCCCTAATGATAGAAACAAAGAAAGACTCACCCGCCAACATATTGGAGGATTTGTTTCTGTTTTGGAGCAACCGCATCTCTTTTCCGATCTTCCACAATCTGTAGCATATCTTGCATCCCAGCTTCCAACTTCTCAATCATTTCATTACCATGCTCCTTCTTCGATTCCGCAAAGCCTGCCACAATCATACTTTTCCCTTGCTGCAACGATCTGTTTGCCTGCCTCACATTCTACATCCAACAACAAGGTACAGACAAGAATAAGAAAACAGAGCAATTCCACACTGATCGACGATCACCAAAGGAACAAGAACAAGAGCTGCTTTACCCGTTCAACAGAATCGAGAGCCTTAAGCCCCGCAATCTTGAGGCTATCAGTGATATCCTCGAGTGGTTTCTGTACTTCTCTGATGGCTTTGTTGTCGATAGGCAATGCATATCTTAACAAAGCTCCTGGGTCTTTAATGGGAGGGCCAGAGATCAACACTGACACATCTGATATCGCTGGATTTGCCGCTGCTGCGGCGTAAGCATTGGGAGGGGAAACAATCGAAGGTACTGAAGCTATCAAACTGGCCGATAAAGCTAACGAAATCGCACATTCTTTCACTGATGAAAATATCCCTCTCTGCATTCACAATCAGAGATATTTCATTAGTTTCAAATGCCGTGAGCCATAAGTTAAACAGTTTGAGACAATAAAGAGTCAAAATTGAACTGACTCAAACACTCAAATCCACTTTTACAAACTCTAAAAAAAATGAGCATTGGAGAGTGAATTAGAATTAGAATTAGAATCAGGCATGGTTGCTTCCAATTGACAAGGAGGAAACAGAGAAGGGAGTCGGAAACACTTGACCTGATTATACTCGCTGGAACAACAACGAACTTCAAGGTTTTTCTTGGAGCAATAGGAATCGATTCTCCTTCTGGGAAATCTGGAGGAATTGACGAAATGAGATGTGGGAAGAGAGGCCAACGATGCCGCCATTGGAGATCCAACAACGGTTAAATTGAAGAGAGATGATTTTCAGTGACAGCCCAGATGAATTGACATTGGATTAGGCAGTTTTTGGTTTGTCCGAATACAACATGAGAAAGAACGACACTTGTCTTTGTCTGCGTCGGATTTTTAATTATTAGAAGAGAAGGTGATAGAGAAGAGGATAAGGGGTTTATGACTCCGCTGCTCTCTTTTCTCCCGAGGATAAGATTACTGCAAATTTTCTGATCTTTTCATGGAATTTAGTAAGATGGGCCCATTATTTGGGCCTTCTTTGCCTGGACTATTTAATTATATGGGCCTCTGCATTTGCATTTCATAGTGACCACTGACCACGCGCATATCCGCCGTTACGTGATATTGGTTTCGAATTCTTTTTGTTCTCTGAAATAAAAACGTTCATCCCCTACATTTAAACCATAAATATGTAACTCGATCAAAAAAAGCTACATGAAACATTTATTTTTAACCTTTGCAAGGAAAAGTAGTAAAATTTCAATTTATTTTATTTTTACTTTGTTTTTTTTTTTTTTTGTAAAAGGATTTTTACTTTGTTTGGAAGTTCAGGATTCTAAAACTTTGCCACACTTACTAAATGAAGCTGTGTTGCATCATATCGGAGCTAGATGTCATCATCTTGAGTCCAATATTAATGACATCTTTAAACAAGGCCAATCCAAACGTAATTATAGCTTCTTGTTCGCCACATAGGGAACTAATTATGTAGATAATTTTTCTCGTCATGCTATAATTAAATCAGTCTGTCATACGGCATCTTTGATAATTAAGTTGATACTAACTTAAAGATGTACTTTATTTCCTAATATATATAATTAAACACACATCAGGTTGCCCCCTAAAATAGAAAGAAAACAAGTCCATCGACTACTCATTCTACAAAGAAATTGGTGGAATCAAAATCTGTTTTATACTAATTGCTTTTTTCCCTACTATACCAACTGCTAAAAAACTTCAACCAGATGAATGATATTTTTAAAAATGTTCAAATAATACACACACTAGTAAAAAAAGGTTACGTATGGAACGCACATACATGTAACATGTACTGCTCTCTTTCTCTGTGTATGATGTGTGTACGTGTGTGGCTTTAGATGAAGAAATTGAATATGACTATTCTCATCGCATACAGTGAGAATTGAAAACCCATACCATAATGAATGGACCTTCTCCAACGAAAAGACTGAATATACTTTAATATGATATCCTCTCACTCTCTTTCCGAAAATGACACCTTGGCCCTGATAAAAAAAGAGGAAGCTAATATGAATATCATGACAGATAGTAACGATTCCGATGATAGTTTTTATTTGAATATTTTTAAAGGATAGTGGAGGAAACTATTAAACTATGAATGGTGCTTATACCTCTATCGATTGATCGTCTTTTTCACAGAACCACACACATGGCGACACTAATCCACTACCAATACTTATGTCCTAAAGTCATTGTTACTCTCAGGTGTTCTGCATCTTTTCTTTTCTTCCTTTTTTTCTTGAAGACCATTTCTGCTAATGCAAAATTTATTTACAAGTCAGTCTAATGCCGAAATGAAACAAAATTGATCATTCATAGACGAACCACCGCAACTACGATAATGTGTTTAATTTACCTTATACGTTAATGCGTTTTTGCAGAGTTCTGGTATGCCATCACCTTTTTCGGTAAAGCAAACAAAAAAGAGGGATAAAGAAAAAAAGTCCCCTATTTTTAGAAAAATAAAAAGGAAAAACTTAGAAGACACTATCCAATGAAAAAGATGCCACCATTTTCAAAGCCTCTCTAAAGTCTAAACTTCGTTGTGAAGAAAAAATATAGCAAAAGAAAAATAAATTCTTATTTGTGTTGCAATTAGTATTATATTCTTTGGAATTATAATTTCTTCCTAAATGGAGTAGTTTTTTTGCCATTCTTAATAATATAACTTATTAAGGTTTCTACTAAACAAATTCCCGTATATCAATAGTAATTCAATTATTTTTCATGATCTTCAAATTTCATGATTTTATGATTTGCTATAGCATATCGCCATATCCTTATTCTTGTTGTTTTTTTGTAAGACAGCTATCTTTTGGGGAGAAGTGAAAATCCCCCATTCCTTCGTAGAATGGCAATTTCCTTAGTTTCTTTACTACGTTTTTCTCTCTTTTTTTTTTTATTCTTGTTTGGGTGCTGAAATAGTATTTTTCTTTATCGGAAAGGTCTATTGATATCCAACTGGCTAACAAACGAAACGAGACTCTATCGTGATTAAGCATATTTTCTCATCTTGTATATATCTTTTCTTTCGATAGCATTTCTCATCTATATATCTACAGACAAACATAACTCTTACGAAGTTAAATATAAAAATTATAATGTCAAGAAAGGAATGATATGGAGTTTTTATACATATCATAAATATATGTATATCACGGACCATAGTTTGCAATCTAGAAATTTGAAATAATAATATTTTTCTTCATCAACTATATATATGCATATATTACAAACAATACATACCCATATGACCATATATATATATATATATGTATATAAAGTCATATTAAGCACATATAAAAAAGAGTATTTGCATTTTGGGTAGTTGAAGAGTAAAAAAGAAATGAAAACGAACGAGGAATATTTAATTCATGTCTAATCACACATATTAATAATTATATATATATACCTTAAATATATAATTATGTATGTCAAATCAAAACCATCAATCGTCATATTATTAACTACTTACATCATTGAAAACAAGGTCCTGAAATAGCATTTTTTTATAGGGAGAATAGTTCAATATGCAAAGAAATCATCAAAAACCAGAGACAAGGAGAAGGTACGTAGGGACTTGTGTAACACAATAAGCTAATAACAAATGTATTCATATAAAAACTATATCCTATTTTTAGAATTATTGCGGCCATAAGCAGTTCCATGCACCTGGTCTGTTTTTTTTTTCCCCATAAGGTGACATGAAAACGATACAAAGTATTGGTTGCATAATAGTTCTTAGTTGTCTAGCTTTCTGTTGTAAATGTAAATGCATTTTGAACCGTGAATCGTCAGGACAGCATACAAAAATGAAATGCCTAATCTTGGTTAAATACCTAAATGTGATAGAAGTATTCAAAAGTAAATCTCTTGTAGTACTTACGATATCATTAATACTCCCTTGTTTCAATATATAGGAGGTTTAAGGTTTTGGCACACAGATTAAGAACTCATTTAATTTTTGTACTTTTTGAAATAAAATATATTTTATCATCAATTCCAAAATATTTCAACTAATGAAAAAGAAATCTACATAATATAAATAATTAAAAGTAATAAAAATACAATTACTTTTACACAACTCTTTATATTTTTTGAAATAAAAACAAAACTCTAAAAACTCTTATATATTGAAATAGAGGGAATATATTTTGTGTGCAAGACTACAGAGGTGCCATTAAGATAAAGATTAGGAAATGACGTGAATTTGATTTTACTGGATTATTTAATGAAGCAATGGTACTATGACAAGGCTGTGAAAGAAATGATAGTCACAGGAGGATGAGGACCGTTAGATGTAAAAGGATCAAGCGCAGATCCGACACTGACCCGACCGTCGAGCATGCACCCTATTTAACACACTCTGGCCGAATCACACCACAGCTGAATAAAGACTTTATTTTAAATTAATCTTATATAAAGAGAGAATAATTCTCTCCAGTTTGCTGACACCTGTCGTTCATCTAATTAAAAAAAAAGTTCTTTTAATTATTAAAAAAACAAACGAAAAATTATTTAGAAATCTTTTTACAATGTTTGTTTTCATAAAAAAAAACCCCAAATCTCCTCTGGAAACCCTAAAAACGACGACGGCACAAATGAAACCGGAACCGCCTTCCGCCTCGAAACCGGCGAGCCTCTTCCTATACGCGATCAAGACATCGCCGATACCCACCGGATCGAGATCGGAGAGCTGAATCGATTGAAGAGGGGATTCGATCACCACGTCATGGAATCCGAATCCGGCTATAGTCCGACTTCTACACGTCTCTGGTTGCTTTGATTGGGTCTCGAGACATCGTCTCCTCTCATCGCGACCCCAGATGACGCGCCACCGCCGAATCAGATCTCCGTGAGGTTGCAGCTGACGATGAGACAAACGAAATCGGAGTCGCACGGGAAGAGGCGAAGTTGGAAGAACTGGTTAATACCCAAACGGCAAAACCCTAAGATCAACGCGGCCGTCTGCGGCGGGGCGAGAAAGAAAGCACGGTCGAAGTTCCTGGGGCGCTCTGACTGGAGGCTATATCGGTCTGAAACGAAGAGAATCTCCACCGGTGAAGAGAAGAAACCGATCTCCAGTCAACGCTCAAACAACCAACCGGAAAACCGCTGTGGTTGCAGACGAGCAAGGGCTTCGTGGAGGCGGCATCAGACGGCTGCATAGGGGATTTTTATTTACAATAACTCTGAATCATTGTGTATTAAATTCATTACGGTGTATTAAATGTCATTACTCTCAGCTCGCCTAAATACCGGAGCCATCGATATGACTATAAATACTAATCCGTTCATACCTGCAAATCATCTCGATAACCATGGAATCTCCGACTCTAAAACAGAGTGTCAAAGCCAAGAACCTAGAGAGCAATGCAAAGATTCCTGTGAACTCAGAAAGGAGAATGAAGGAGATGATGATGGAGAAGGCGAAAGAATAAGAGTCGACGAATCTGTTTGGCTCACCTATGTTCGTTGATATCGGAAACGGACGGCTCAGATGCGTCGCGACAGGTCACAAGGTTGTAGCCTACGAAGAATCATACGCTCGTAAAAAATGGTATCGTTTGGGACTCATCGATCACATGCCATTTTCTCGGTTAGCCAAAGTTTCTCCATTTTTTTCGTCAAATCAATACATTAAATTTTAGATATTTCAAGTGGGTTTAGGGATTATAAGAGCGAAAGCTAGAATTCTGCTAATTTCAAGATTAAAGTGGTTTTGAAAACCCAAAACAAATCCTTTGTAGTTGTTTACATCTGTTAAAGAAAGTGGATGAATGATTAAACTTTTGATGTTTTCTGAGGGAAAAAGTTGCACTTTCATGTCTTTGTATCCTTTCGAGTTTCGGATTATAAAGCTTCAAGTTTCATGTAGATCATTTCTACATTAGAGTCTCATTGATTTTGGTTTTGATAAATACCATTTGAGGACCTTTGGTTGCTACTTTTGAGTTTTTGTGGCCAAGAAAATGAGACTTTTATGTGTTTGGATTCCTCTTTATATAGCTCATAGTTTCAGAGAGATCTTTGCTTCATAATCATAGTTATTGACTTACTGCTATATTAAAGATGATGTTGTCCAGCATAAGCAAATGAATAAAGTTTTAAGCTTTCTTTTGCTTTTGGCTGTGTTCTCAGTTCGAAACTCGTGTGCAAGCTTACAGGAGATATTGTGAACAAGAATGAGGAACATATCTGGAAACACGTGAATGGGAGAAGATTTCTTTCAAATTAGGTCAATAAATGTTTCCACTTAAGATCAGACTCACTGGCATCTTGTACTGAATCTGAAAGTCTCACGCTTGTAATGTTTTGGTTTGATAGAGCAAGTGGAAAAAGAACTGGATCAAGCGGAAAGACCAAGAAAACAAGAGGCGGTAAGGAAGATACTGATTCCGATGAAGCAGATTTTTGGATGCTTAAGTCAAGTTCTGGTTCAGAGTCAGAGCACGAGGGTGATGAAGAAAATTGCAAAGGTTGCTCCTGTTTGTTCTGTTTGTTGGTTCCACTTTCATCTCGTTTTGAAACTTTAAATAGATTTGCATCTGATTCTAATACAGGTTCTCATTGTGATGCCAAAGTATCCGAGGAGCTCTCAGAGAGGTATATACATTTGCTCTTCTTATCGATTTATACAACTTTGGTTTGGTTTGTCTGATTTTGATATTCACTTCTAATTGTTTACTGTTGTGTCTCTTCTACAGAACAAAGAGAATGTCAATAAGATATCGGACCAAGTAGCTTTGCTTCAAGGAAGAAAAAGATTAGGAACGATGAGTCTTGTTAGGAGATTGTTTAGGCAAAAAAAAGAAAACAATTTTGTTTGTAAATTACAAGCTCTTTTCAAACTATGGTTGCTAAATAAATTGCAAAAACGAATCATCAATTAATTATCACAGCTTCAAGTTCAATCTTAAGAGAAACTAAAGATTCGATTTAATCTTAAAACGAAAAAGCACAAAAAATATTTTTAAAATAGAGTTTGATTCCAAATTAGAAGATATTTATGAATCTTGGTAATAATACAAATCCTTTATATTTACATCTATAATACTATTGTGAGATAGCAAAGTTGTTCAAATTGAACAGGATTGGTTGATTTGGATTCCATATGTATTTCTTTTGATAAGATATTAAATTTCGTACATGGTATTGCAAATATTTATAAACACACTTATAATATTTGTTAGAATACTCCCAAATTTATTTTGAGAATTTTTATTTTAGAAGAATTAAGAAACAATATACATTTCTTTCTCAAACTAAGTTTACATATTTAGCAAATTATAGAACATAAACCATTCACATTTCTGATATAACAATTAATAAAACTTTCAATTACTCACAATCCGCACGCATCGCGCGGGCCAAGCCCTAGTACTACTAATAACATAAAGAAGGGTATATTCAGATCTAACGGTTAAGATCTGTTTACGAGTCCACTCGCTAAAGAAAGTGGTCCCCATCAAGCTCAGAAAAGTCCACTTCAGATTGTATCATCCAATCACATTCGAACTACCAGAACTGCCCCTGTTTTGGGCCGCAGTGAAAGTGTGTGAATTATTCAGACATGATAGAAATTTGTAGCCTAGTTACTATAACTAGTAGTATTATTTTGATTATGTCACTATGCAAATGTAATTGATAGAAAAATCCAGTCAGCTGCAAAGTGTGAAACGTTCAGTTAAAATTCGTAAGGAAATTATACTTACCGTTTACCGTTAGATTAAAAAAGAGGGTATTAGAGTCATTTAGTAAGGACGGCTTGTAGTATAAAAAAGCGCGCGCGTCTTGAAGCTTATGAGTTTAGCTGACATTAGCAAAGCCAAGGCCAAAGGGACTCTCTCTCTCTCTCTCTCTCTCTCTCTCTCTCTCTCTCTCTCTCTCTCTCTCCATGTAATTTGAATTCCTATAAGAACTAGTCGGAAAACTTAAGAATATGATCTGATTCTCTCGGGATTACGAAAATTTCGAAATATATTTAGATCCCTCTGGCACCGGAGGGGTATTGCAGTTCATGATGGGAATTTGCATCTGTCCGTTGGAGTCACCGGCGAGATTACTATGGAGTACGAGCTTCTTCCGCCATAAGATTATGATCTTCTAATCCTTCGCTCCATCTTCTTACTTTGAACCGAATCCTCTCTCGCTCTCTGCTTCTTCTCATTCGCTTCCTCTTTCTTTCTTTCTTTGTTTTTTCATTTTCTTTTTGTTGTTGGTTCGTTTCTCTGTTCATCAATGGAATCCAATTCGTTTTTCTTCGATCCATCTTCTGCCTCCCATGGCAACATGTTCTTCCTTGGGAATCTCAATCCCGTCGTTGAAGGTATTTTTTTTTTTTACTCTGGTTTTAGGTGAATTTCCCCTGTTTTCGCTGTTTGAATAATCTGGCAGTATCTGTTACTGGAATTGGGAAGGAGGAAGATCGATGGAGGAAACATCAAAGCGAAGACCCTTCTTTAGCTCGCCGGAGGATCTCTACGACGAGGAATACTACGACGACCAGATGCCGGAGAAGAAGCGGCGCCTCACTACCGAGCAGGTTCTCGTATACAAAGAATTGTTTTCTTACTGTATTTGCAAGAGACTCAGATAAGAAGATGTTTTGCTTCAGGTGCATCTGCTGGAGAAAAGCTTCGAGACGGAGAACAAGCTAGAGCCAGAGCGCAAGACTCAGCTAGCCAAGAAGCTAGGGCTGCAGCCAAGGCAAGTGGCCGTCTGGTTTCAAAACCGCAGAGCTCGTTGGAAAACCAAACAGCTCGAAAGAGACTTCGATCTTCTCAAGTCCTCTTACGACCAACTCCTCTCTAACTACGACTCCATCCTCAAGGACAACCTCAACCTCAAATCCCAGGTTTTTTTTCCCATATCTTATGACTGTGTGTGCCAAATGGAGGAGTACTAAGCTCTGATTATTACATATGATTACAAATGATTAGTCATCTCCATCTCTTATTCCTTATTGGTCCAAAGGAGAAAGCTGCAAGCATCAACTGATGAAAGAATATGCGCTTTTCCTTTTTTTCCTCAAAAAAGAAACGAAATTGGGAATCAAATCAATCAACAAATTTAGTTCAATATTCGTTTATGGGGAGGTTGCTTGTGTTGACCGTTGTGATTCTTTCTTTCTTTTGGTTTTTCAACAAAAGGTTACTTCCCTCACGGAGAAGCTCCACGCCAAACAAGAGACAGCTAGCGAACCACCGGCTCAAGTACCCGAACCAAACGAATTAGATCCGGCAAACGTAAACCGTTTCGAACCGGCAATCAAGACAGAGGACCGGTTAAGTTCAGGGAGCGTTGGGAGTGCGGTACTAGACGAAGACGCACCTCAACTACTAGACAGCTGCGACTCCTACTTCCCAAGCATCGTACCCATCCACTCCGAGGAAGAGAATTACAACAGCAACGCTAGTGATAATGACCGGAGCTGTTTTGCCGACGTCTTTGTCCCCACCATTTCGCCGTCACACGATCACGGTGAATCATTGGGATTCTGGGGCTGGCCTTAAAATTAAACCGATATATATATGTTATACATCCTTATATTTATGTGTGTTTATCAAGTACACAGTCATATCGTTTCCATGTTTACGTAACCCCGCATATTTCTGCAATTCCGCGGTATTTTTATCAGCTACATATACTATATCTACATGAACTCACCAACGTTTCACTTTATTATTCAGTTTTCAAGTTAAGAAAACAAAATGATTATGTCGTCCCAGTAATTTCAACGCCTCTGTACCTACCGGAACCAAAGAGAAGAAAGGTCGATCATCTTCAGAAAGAGAGACAGAGAGAGAAGAGAGAGATTTATAAAGAATTAAAGTGTGGGTTGTAACATCAGTTAATGTCTACAAAAGCGACTTAATAATACTAATTGATTCCACATTAGTTAGTCTTCTACATAAGTGTACACATACTCTCTCGGCTCATCCAACTGTTGAACCACCTTAAACCGCCGCTCCATTCCATTCCAAGAAACTCCTAAACCGAACTTGTCCTGGTGAACCACCAAACCAGATCTCAACATCCAGAACTTACAGCCTATATCTACACATACATTGCCTCCTCCACTTTGGAGAAACAAAAACCCACGGGTGGTTTCAAGTAAATAATCTTATGATCCCTCGGGTTCTTTCCTCTTCTTACCAGATCTCCTGTTTGCTCTGCTGCTTCTTTCTTGTGGATCTGAAACAGGTTCTGACTTGTTATCTGGTAAGCTGATCGGCTTTGTTTCATCCATGGGATCAGATTGCGTCACGGGTTTATCGTACACAATAGCTGCATCCAGGGAGAAGATGCGGACGGATAACGCAGAGAGAGTCGATATCTTAGCAGCCGCTGAAAGAGAAGACCAGTACCACCATTCATTTTTCAAGTACTCTGTCTTAATCATGTCTTCTACCACAATTGCTGCCTGAACCAACTGAAATACACATATATGAAAATGCATAAATATTAACATTAGAAAAACGAGCTTGCTCTGTGCTTCTATAGGTTGAGAAGGAGTAAAGGTATATTTTAAGAACAAACCTCGTAAATACTTTGCGCCGATTTTACATACGCACGCAAAGCTCGTCTACGGTCTGGATGTGATTTTGATGTTCTTAAAGCTTCTTCAGGTAGTGCCACATCCATATCAAGCAAGCTGGTTTTAAGGAACCTGAAAACCGGCAAAGCTTTGCCGGTTATACGTTTCAAAGAAGCCTGTGGAACCACACAGCAGCTTCTTTTTAACCCACTACCTGAAGCTTTCTTATTCTTTTGCTCTGAGAAGCCAAAACCCAGCCCGCTCGGTTTATCCAGTGGACCGCCAAGATCATTTGTGACAAACCTATCGAGTGACGTATTTGATTCAGAAATTAAGCTTTCATCATTGGCTCCAGAACCAGTAGACATGACTTGATCCCCTGAATCACCACCACCATCTAGCTTATTGGAATTGGTAGAGATGAGCATTGAGTCGTTAAGATGAGTGGATGACGATGGAAGAAATGTTGGAGTTCCATTTGAACCGATCAGACCGATCTCTTTAACCAAATCTCTGTTAGAATCTTTTGTCAGAAACTTGGAACAGATCTCCTCAAACTGGTATGGGGAAATTGATTCTTCCTCTTGATACCTTATCAACCCAGAATCAAGCTCTGAAACATTGGATATGTCAGCTACATCTTTGCCGGCGCCAGACTTTACATTAAGATAATCGGGTTTCAGACTTTCTTTTGCTTTCGAAGAATCAGGGACTTCCTTGCCTTCCTCAGGTGCTAATGAATAGAGAGTACACTTACTCTCAGTGTGCTCTTCAAATTCATCATCACTTGCGAATGTTTTGTGGCATACAAGGCAGTGAATCTTGGATGGCAAAATGGATTCCAAGCATTCGCATCTACACAGTTTCTCTCGCTCTACAACCTTTGTCTTCTTCCCCCGTTTTTTTAAGGTTTCGGTTTCTAGTTTGATGCATGGACCGTGTCTCTTCTCCATTGACATGGCAGCCTTGGTCACAAGACCGCCAGCCGATATTGGAGACGGAAAATTCTGAGCTGGTTTCATTTCCTTTTGAAGATCCCCAGACCGTAACCTTTTCCAGCACAAAATAGACTCTCTCAGGTCTCTTTCTTTCAGGTCATCATCATGAAGCCATTGGACAAGCTCAGTGATCTCGGCTTCAGTTTCATAATATGTCCAAGGGGAAACCATTAGTCTTCCATGGTCAACGGCATGGAGAAATGGGGAGGGGACTTTCGAACCTGTCAAATCAACTTGTGCAGATTTCTGCAGAGATATGCTTCCATCAACCAAAATACGAGGATGTTCTTCTGGGAAGCAGCAACCCCAGTATAAACGACCACTAGCATCACTTCCCAGAAAGTCTCTACGTATAGATTGCCTTAGAAGCTGTGATTCTATGCTTCTGATTGATTGTTGCAAATTTTCTATTTCAGTACTAGTGGTATTCAAATCCTGTTGACAAGCCTGCAATTCCTGGGAAGCTAGAGAAGTTGCATCCTGAGCTGTCTGCAATTCCAATTCGTGGTTTTCACAAGATAGACCATCCGTTACATGAGGAGAAGCATCTGCTATCAGCAACTCGTGCCTCTCCGGGGATGTAGCTTTTTCCAGGGAGGAAATCTTGCTCTCATCGGAAATAACAAGCGACTCTCCGGCTTGAGCATCGGTCTCAAGCGAAGCTTTCCCCTGATTCTTGTTAAGAAATGCAGCAGAGGAAGTGTCAACATCATGGGTAAACCTGTCTCCACCACCCTCTTGTGGTTGTTGATTACATCCAACGTGGTCTGGAAAGCTACTTGACTTTTGTGGATCGCCCATTTCCTTCAGAATACTAGGTTCAACCTTTGCGAGTTTAGCCGTCAGAAATTCTTCCCGCATTTTCGTGTTTTTCCATTCTGAGGAAAGAGAGCGCAACTTCTGCTGCATTTCAATTATAGCCTCGGTACATTGCTCCAAGTGTTGATGAACAAGGGATGAGCTAAGCAATTCATCGCATAGAAGCTTAAGCAGCAGGATTCTCTGCATTAGAACAAAAAAAAATTAACCAGATTAGCAATAGCAATAGCTACAGTACCATATGTTTGTACTAATTTTAAGACAAAGAGCTGTGGCATTAGTCGCCATTCCAAATTTTGGCTACAGAAATAGTTTTCTTCGCACTGCTCTTTATCATTTGACTCAATTTACAGATACATAAGTAAATCCAGCATGTGCAAGTGTCAAATATAACCACAGATCACAACATGACAATATAATCAAGGTCTTCAGTTCCAAAATGGGAATGAAAAGTTGACACAGTTCAAATGAACGAGCAAAAATGAGAGAAAGGTTCAAAACTGACCTCCTCAGCACTGAACTCCCAGTAGTCTTTTACTTCCATCACACCTGCTAGGTGTGCAATCGTTTCCATAGAAGCTCGGGTAAGTTCCCCCTGATACTTTTTGCCTTTCCGCCGTCTAACTAGCTTGTACGATTCCAAAGCATCTTGAGCCATGCGCTTGGCAATGACACATGATGGACAATACCAATTCCCATCAGGAATTCTGATAAGAGGTGGATTCAAACAATATGTGTGATACTCAGCATCGCATGTATCACACAAGAGAACACTGTCATCATCTTTGTCAACGCCACATACTTTACATACCCCCTCATCCCACGGGGCCTTAGGGAGTTTATTTATTGAAGTAATTACGTCCTTAATTTCCTTCTTCATCTCTGCACTTAGGCATTCGAATTTCTTGTAGTCCATAAGTTTCTGAACAAGTGGTAGAACCTATACCAGCAAAAAAAATACAGGCTTGAAACTTGAGGAAATAACTGCACCGCGATACTAGTAGAACATGCCTACAGCTTCTGAAAACTAAAAGGCAAACACAACGACAATTATACACGCACACAAAAGGAAGAACCCTTCTAAAGCCTATAGCATTATTTAACATCTTCAGATTCAAAGAATTTAATCTCAAAAGGTCTATAACTTTCGCAAGAGAAGACTCTTAACAAATTCATTTCACTAAAATGCAAAAATATAAATGACGGTCCCGACCATTTGACTTCAAGATGCTACTACGTGATGAATATATATCTTGTTGTGCTGAGCAAAGTAGAAAAAGGAGAAAAAAGAGACAAACCTCAGCTTCGAATAATGACTTAAATTTTTCAGACAATATGTCAACCAGTTCTACACAATCTGGCTGATCCGCGTACATAGCACGTATACCACTCCATAGCTGCAAATCAGGAAGTTGAAATTAGCATGTCATCCATGAAAAAAAGATCACACAAAAAAGCATCATGTTGAACTGCAATAATAAACAAAACAGACATAAGAGGGTGAATCCCACCTCAAGAACATCCTCAAGAAAAGCTTCAGTTGACCCGTCGTACGCACCAGCAGCCAACCTCAAATCAATAGTTCTAAAGTCTAAGGGACGGGAAACCATTGCAGGTGATCCCAGGAGACCGTCATCATCATTATCACTGGAATTCAGCAACTTTCTCCCCAGCAAAGTGCAAAATACTTTATCCTCGTCTGCGGCTGCAACATCACGCAACACAGCACGGCATTTCTTCATAATGATATCAGATACACCAATAGACGTCTTCTTTTTGGTTCCTACAGACCTTTGCACCAGATCTCCACCTCGAACATCCGCTAGCAATGAGAGGACAGCTTTCTGTATTCAGTAAGAGCAAAAACACTTATCTTAGAATAAGGTGAGCTTAAGAAAAAACCATGCATCATCACGCTGAGACATCAACGGAAGAACAAGAACAAGAGGCGGAAAAACTGATGTGAATTTGAGAAATAAGAAATACTTAGTTTACACAATTCAAAAAATTACAAGTACTTCAAGAGGGAAGAGAGATTCAGAGATTGAACCTTTGTTGGTCCTGATGCATTGCCTTTATATACTTCTTTACTGATGGAATGCTCCAATATCTTCTTTGCCCATTCCGGTGGATTTCTCTCTAAAGCCTCGTAGACACACTTTCTGATTCTAGTCCCAACATTTGTTGGAAGCTTTTTCACAGGTTCTAGAACCTGTGCCCACTCTGGAATATCACCATTGCAAGCGGTTGTCTCCGTAGCAATAACGCCATCGGAATCATCATCTTCCACAAAAAGAACATCTTTTTCTCTTGTCAAAGAACCAAATATTTTTTTAATAGCCTCTGCAAGTAACTGAAGATAAAGATTTAGTATCTACACGTTAATTTCTGTGAGAGTGGTTCAGGAACTTCAGTATATTAACACAAAGTAAATTAATTTCCCAGACTGTATGATAAAAGAGGACCTTCAAGTAAGAGTAACAGGATATAACTGTCAAAATATAGAAAAGAAAAAAAAGCTCAACTACTCTAGAGTGATCTACGAATGAAACATAGCTTGACATAAGCTTGAGACAGATCAACCTGACTAATTTCGTGGAAGGTAAAACATTGAAAGGGCAAAAAAAAGCACATAGGTGATGTTTCCACCAAAACTAAATTTGTGACCCCATCATCCAGTAATACAATTAACCAAGAAAATATATAAAAAACTAACAAAAACATACCATTGAATCGGCTTCCATCCCAGCCACTCCTGTAAGTGAACCGCAAAGCAAACCACCATCCCCTTGTAAGCAACGGAACACCTTCCCACTTTCACGAGCAGCAATATCTGCTGATTCCAGGTTTCCATCCATTGATAAAACAGACAAGATATATCTACGGGCCAATTCAGGCCAAGTGAACTCGTTAACAGGAAGCATATGCAACTTATTTCTTTTAGCAGAGAGTGTGATGTCATCCTTTCTCCGTCCTCGTCTGGATCTCGGCTCTCCAGAATCAAAATTTGGATCAACAAATGCAGCTACCTTGGATTGCAGCTCACATATTAGCACTTGCAGAAGCGAGATATGAGTCCTTGTTAGAAGTGTACCCAAGCACGGCCCACGAGAGGAATATGAAATGTTAAACTCAGTAGAATCCCCTGCTTTTATCTCCTTTAGTACAGAAGCAGAGGTATTTTCCGAAGAAAAAGGTTGGCGAGATTCATCGAACAAAGAACAAATACTAGTAGCTGTACAATCCTTATCGCTAAAGTTCATCTCACTTCTGTTAACGTCTTTCCCAGATTTTTCAAGAAACAAGCCATCAAACACTGGATTGATAAGCTCCTGTTCCAGCTTCTCAGGTGAGAAAGCCTCTTCCAAACCCAAAACTTCATGGAAACGCCAGAACACTTCAGAAACCTAATTAGGCAAGCATAAGAAAATATTTATCATATGTGTGGCAGGACTTGGTGAATGCAGGAATACGTTGTAGATTACCATATAAGGAAGACACATGTCCGTACCTGAAGGAAGTCACCAACAAGCCCAGGAGGAAGCCTCAAACACACAGGCCTCCCGGGAGGAGGGTGTGGATTGCTGACACCTTGACCACCATGTAGTTTAGGTTTCTTAGTTTTCCGAGACATCTCACCGAACATTTCATCCTTGACATTTCCCCCACCTTTTGGTTTGACAACTAGCGCTCCTGCTGCTACAGTTACAGAAACAGAAGAAGAAGTTCTACTCTTCAGAGATCTATAATTTGAACAAGATTCGGCATCAGGCATATGCTCAATCATTTCCTGTACAAAATCTGCATCAAGTCCAAATCTGCTTTGATCCAGCCAACTTGACAGAGCATCAACTAGAGTTGCACTCTCGCTTTTATCCCTTTCACCACATCTAACACTGTGAGGAGCAAAAGAGCTGCAAAACCTTGACAGCGATAAAATTACACTGTCTTTTTCGTTTATCATATTCCAGTTGGTTTCCCTTGTTTCTCTGTCAACATGCTTGCAAAGGAAGTTTATTGTACCCTTCTGCTTCAGGACATTGGAACATGCGTCGACAAGTTTTTCAGACACCTTTCTCCATGCAACAGACAATGAATCTTCTTCCACAACAATGTTGCCTATTTCAAACTCGTGCTCTTGATTATAGGATATATTTTTATCAAAGCCTACTTGAGAAGAACCAACCTCTGAGCGCAGGCAATTGACTGACTTGGAGAAATTCTTCTCGCGTAAACAAGACAATATATCATCTCCGAGAGGTGGGCAGGGATCTGCAAGAAGGATCTCAACACTGTGGTCATCATGCTCTTGAGTATGATCATCTCGTTTGACAATGTTCTGTTTCACCATCTCATCAATCTTTGGGCAGGAGAAGACAGTTGATCCAATTGGAATAAATGATTTCGAGCACGGTGACCGTGTAACCTTGAAAACAGGCCCAGAACTGCCATCAGATACTTCACACGTGAATAGAGACCCCGTGATCTTATCATGCCAGCAGGACTTATAACCTATTGGATAAATCATGTTGACATTGTGGTAAGACTGTCTTATGTCAATTCTTCCAAGCGACAGAACAAAGAAATCTTCAAACTGCATCGGAAGTCCTTCCTGAAAATCAAATATACAAGCATGAGGATGAAAAATCGAACAAAAGTGAGAGAAAGATTTGAAGTTTATACTTACATTAGCTTCCTCGCAGCCGCATCCATTATTTGCAGAGCTAAGAGATTCACCAGCCTGAAAAAGAGATTTAATGGCAAAAGGGGGCATCGTCTGACCATTGAATGGAAAACGCCTCACTGAACTGCCCTTTTGCTCAGGGAAACCATTGTTTGGCCATCTTGACGTCTTTCTTCTCTTGGGCATTTGCAGTCTTTCGTGAAGAGGAGAGCTCTCATTCCTGATTTCAGTATCCATACAGCTGTAGTTACCATTAATTGCCAAGCCCAGATAACAGGCAACATCTTGTATTGAACTAAAACTTTTTCCATTCGGAGCACAATACACTGCACATAGATGGTAGCCATTTAAAGGTTGTTTAAATTCGACACGCCAACCATCTTCCAATACTCCCTGCCTCTCGGATATGAAATGCCTAAGATTTTGCAGCAACAGCTCACTTGGATCCAAGGATGGAAATCTACTGGGCAAACTACTGTTGTTCAGGCTTAACGGGAAGCCAAAACCTAGAGTGTGTGAATCTAATGCATCCACACCCGTTATCGAATTACGAAGCATTATCCCTGAAGCTTCGAGACTAGCATGTCCTCTACCAGGATTCAAAAAGCTTGAATGCGTCATTGCATAGTCAAAAGAGTTTCCCATACAAGAACTGCTGGCCAGCATATGCTTTCTGAAGAAGAAGAAACAGGGAAGCACATAACCAATCAGTGCTTTACAATTTCTGCTAGATATAGAATATAGAAGGCCATACAATGTCCTATCAAACAAAATCTAACCAACTGATTGAAGAAGAAGAAGAAGAAGAAACGAAAGCTTCCAGTCTTCCACTAATGGTATACTCGTAAAATTTATCAAAAACTACCAAATGTTAGAAAGCCTCTTCGTGCATAAGATCAAAGGCTACTTAACAACTCTCATGAGCTAATCCTTTACCCGCTGATTCGGTCTTGGCACAGAATGCGCAATCGAAACTGAAACCTAAATTCATCTACAATAGCTTCTCGTTTTCTTTTAGCTCCCGTTGCATGTAACGACAGCTTAATCAAGTCTTGCTTCTATGTTCTCGAACTCAACCAAAATTCAACTCCTAAAAACCCTAACGCATAGTCGGAAAACAGAACGACGGCTACGTACCTCGAATCTGACGTCTCCTCGCCTCCGTATCCCTCCGCATCACTCGGCGGCGAGGCGTTCATGTCCAGAATGAGCTTGGACTTCACACCCAACGGCCACAGTTTGCTCCTCTCGCCGCCGGTGACACAGTCACTGCACATCCAATCGGCGGAAGGAGCCGCCTCCGCGCCGTCGTTAACACAGCATATGTGAAACCCTCTCTCACAGGCATCGCAAACTACTACGAGCTCCATCGACTCCGGCCTTCCACACGCGCCACACGCGGCATCCCGATCCGGTCCAGGAACCTCCGCTGGCGCTCCAGGCGCTGGGTCCGGATTATCGTGAATTGACCTAACAACTTCGACAGGTTCATAATCTGCGTCATCATCTTGACCGCCGGTGCAACCAACGCCGAGAGTAGCGCCGGTAGGGATTTCGTTGAGATCGATGCCGAGAAAGGACCGATTATCTTCCTTGAGGCCGGCACTCCTGGTCTCTCCGAGTTGCTCGTTCGTAGAATCAGTGAGTTCCATTATTCGATTAGGTTATTGGAATCGAGCATTGCTCACATTGAAGACGAAGAAGAAGATTGAAGGAAAAAAATATATAGCGAGAAAGTGAGTAGAAGAGGTTTTCTTATTAATTTTCTCACCACTTTTCCCGAAGTTTTTTTGGAGAGAGAAAATAAAACGTGATTAGCTTAGCTTCTTCTTTTTTTTGTGCGTTTACAAAAAAATCTTTTTTGTTTTCTTATTACCAAACATCATATTCTTGAAGATGCTACTCAAATGTTTCATATTCTTTTATTTGTTAAAAGGCTACTACCACTAAAATAATTCGGTGATTGTAGCATCCAAATTTAATTACAATTAAAAAAAATAAAAATAAAAGGCTACTCAAATAGTTCGATGACTGTAACCTAAAATTTTAACTACAAAAAGAAATGGTAAAATAAGATTCAATTAAGATGTGACGATGGTTGACAAAGAAAGAAGAAGATATGAAAATGAATTGCATGATAGTTAGGCATGAATAGTGATCATTCAAAGTAATGTGTTACTCATTGTTGATTGATATTGTTGGGAATTGTATATCGCATGAGAGCTACATTTGTCTGTGTGGGGGTGGGGGTAGTTCTTGGTATATTGATAAAGATAAGTAGGAAGCAATGGACCTCAGTAGTCAAATATGTCAGAAAAAAAGGTAGAGAATTTAAAACCATTGGCATCACGAGGAAAGTAACTCAAGGAAAGTGTAATATACACGTTAATGACACTTGATAGTTGATACTCTTGATTTCTTGAGTGCTTAAGGCTAAAGCAGTCTTCTTCTTCTTCTTTTCTACAAACTAAAAGCAGTCATGAAAATCATATTATTATTTACACGTTAATGTTGCTGGTGCGGTTCGAGCTGGTCTTGTTACAGGCTCATGACACAAGTCCCCAGTTTGACCTTAGCCCTTTTGTAAGTAAAATGTTCTACGACCACTGTTTACCGGTTTCCTTTCTTTCTTGTGCATCAGTTCATGTGCATATGTCCATATGGTTAGATACGAACTTGAATAAAAATTCCAACTCGTTATAAACTTGAATCATATTTAAGTAATCAGGTCTATATATTACATTTCGTTTTCGACGGATGATCTTCAATAGCAAGTAAAACCGGTGACAACTGAACCGGGGTTTTCAAGCCATTCTGGTCATAACCTCTTGGAGAAGAAGCTTAGTATCTTTATAAAACGATTCTGTCTCAGCCAAGTTCTTGGTCTTGGCTGCATCTTCAAGCTGTATCAAAACGAATCACAAAATCAGCATAAATGAAATGTCAAGAAAGTCTTTGGTTTGAATAAACCGGCCGGTTTAAGACCAGTGTAAGTAGTGTCACCTTTTCAAAGTTGTCGAACAATCTGTTGGCTAAATCAGTGAGAGGTTGCTTGTCTTCAGAGGCAGCAACAGAGATGAGGTTGTCGAAATCGTAGAACAAAAAGGTGGATTTAAGCCTCAAGTACTTTTTAACATAGTTTAAAGTATCTGGTCCGATCAAATCCTCCATTGCTAACAGATCGAAAGCATTCTTTTTAACTCTATACATCCTCCCTTGTGTCCCGATATCAGCTATGTACACTCCTTTCTTCAAGAACGATCTCGTTCCCGTCTGCTCATTCGTGATATCTGTATACACAAGTTAAGGAAATCGCATGAGAGTTGTTTCCTGATTTGTTCGGTTTTGCATTCTACCAAACTGAATTCTCTTGGCTCCGGAAATTTCAAAATTCTCGTATCAATTTCATTTTTTTTTAATTCGTCAACAAAAACTAACGACATATGAAGCTCTCAGTTTGGAGTTGATATCGATATAAAATGGTGCTTACTGTTGTAAATAGGAGGAATTGGAAGAGGACCATCGATCCAAAACCCGTTGTCTTTTGCCAAAGAAACATTATTCCCGCCAAAGACTCCGGTTAGACATATCGAGACAGCAGATCCCAGTGTCATCCGTCTTGTGATCTGTACCGAATCCACTTCTTCAAATTCTCCGGTTTTCCTGCAAACAATCCCGCTGGATTTTCCGGTTTTCCAACTCTCACGTAGTTTCGGAATCGCCGGTAAGGTGTTGGCGAGACTGTTCAGGTCTATGAAGTGAGCCATTGTAGTTGCAGAGTATCAGTTGAGTTCTGTACTTATTTGTTCGGTTTTTTATCCGTTATGAAGAGAAAAGGCAAGCGGCCATCACAAAGATTTTATCTCAAAGAAGGGGTGTTTTCGTAATTCATCAACTACGTGCTGTTTCAGAATGCGAGCCATAAATAAACGACGTGCCGTTTTACGTCACAAACAAAATTATCTTTTCTCTCTTCTTTGCTTTTAACTTTCGCCGTCGATCTGTATTTGGCCAGTGCGATCTCTTCTCCGTCGCCGATTCCTCCCGTCGATTCTCAATTCTCCGTGTTCTCTCATCGCCTCTTCCATCTTCGTTGTCTCGAGTCATCCTCACCCGTATTCCATAGCGCCATTCAGGTAATCGACTGCTCCGATTTCCTTATTTAGTGTATGCTTGCTTATGGGTGGAATTTGACGTTACTGTGATATATTTCAGTTTTCAAATTCGTCTTGCTCTTCGTCCTTTCGCGGAGAATCCGATGGATCCGCAGACGCAGAACACTTCGTTGCAGCGACTCCAGAATGTCGAGAGGGTGAAATTTCCGGAATAATCGCGTTTTACCTTGGAATTAAATCTCCGATTATGTAAGTGCTTTTCTGTGAATAATCTGTATCCGCTTTGTTTATTTTGGCGCGCAGAGAGTTGTGAGGGTTTTGGATATAGCTGGAGGAGTGATGGAAGAACTGGCGAGCCCTTCTGGGCCAAAGAAAGAGTTCGTCAACAGTCATTGCCGAGAGTTCATGCAATCCATGAAGGTTTGCTTACCCAATCTCTACTCTTCTTCGCTACATTTGTCATCTTTTACCTTAAGTCTTGAGCTCAAAGGTTTATGAATGGTGGATTCGGATTCTAGTGCTTTTCTTAAAACTAGCTGATCAAACAACAGTAAGCATAATGGCCGCTGCATCCAATTGCGTGATTTAATGAACTTGTTCTTCTTTGACTGTGATGATTTGGTTTCACGTCTCTCATTCATTGCATTTGTCTTCCTTTTCAGTTTTTTATGATTTGACACATATCCTTCAGTCTTGGGATTAAGGTTGATACTGATATTTTCTAATTTCAGTTGAATTCAAGTGTTTTCAGAAGAATCTTGCATATCCAGCTAACATCAAGTTGTCTGATTCATTAACTTAGTCATCTTTCAATGTAGAGATATGCTTTTATATGACTGCAATTCCATATTACAAAAAAGTCTATATTACAAGATGAAGTAAATGTGAAATTTGCAGGATATTCAAGTCACACTAAGGGAAGAGATCAAGAGCGCGTGCGAGTACCGCCCCTTTGAGAAATGTGATTACAAAGCGAGAATAGCTAATGAGATCTGCTTCCAGAAGCTTGAGTATGTTCTCTCCCAGCTTGATGATCTTAAAGAAACCGCAGACCGGTATCCTTCTTCCGACTGAACTCGCTAAGAAACTCTTTTGCAGAGTTTCTCAAGTTTGTGAACGTTTTTTTACAAATCTCTCTTAATTATTCTAGAACAGTGTAGGTTTAACGAATTAAAGTAGGTCCGGTTGTTTGTATTCGAGTTACATGTGGCACAAGTAGATTTTCTCCTACTTTCCCTATTATATTTTTGATAAAAAGATTAGGTGAATTTAGTTGGAACATTCACCTGCAATGAATCTGTTCCAAGTAAGATGCATTCATTGGTAGTGAGCCACGTCAGTTCATGGAGATAACCGAACCATTTTAGCACCAGACCAAGTTTACTGCGGTTTACCATAACAATAACGATCAATTTATACTGTTTCGATCTAAATTTGGAACCAAACAAGTACTAGTAACTTAAATATGCCCAATGCACACTGTTATTAGCCGTATACAAGCAACTATTAATTGATCAAATTCCCGGTTATATGATAAAACCAGAGCGGTTAGCAAAGAGTTCCCTGAGAACCGGTCTTATGGCAGTTACGCCGTTTTCTGCTCTGTTGTTATTCCAGCTTAAGAGACGCGTTGGTTGCTGAGAGAGAGAGAGAGAGAGAGAAGTACGAGATCTCTTGGTGGGAGGAGAAAATTAGGGGTTTAGAGGAATTAAGATCTAAGGAGAAGAAGAGAGATAGATCAGGAAAATGAGGCCCCAGCCGTCTCCGATCTCTGAAATGGACGCCACTGACGATATGCACGAAGCGTTGTTGGCGAAGCGAGGCTGTTGTTTCCTTATGCCATGCCTTGCCTCATCTCAACCGTCCTCTCGCGGGGGATCTCTGTTGTGGCAACGGATCAAGACAGTCGATAAACTCGAGCCTGACGAACGGTGGTGGATTCGAGGGTGGCGGAAGATGAGGAGGTGGTCTGAGCTCGTTGCTGGCCCGAAATGGAAGACTTTTACCCGCCGATTTGGGCGGAACCACTGCTGCGGCGGGGGAGGAAGTATCGGATACAACGGTGGAGGCTGTGGTTCCATTCCTAACCACCGAACAGATTGCGGTAAATTCCGGTACGACCCGTTGAGCTACTCCTTAAATTTCGACGACGGGAAGCAAACCGGACATTTTGACGACGAGTTTCCGTACCGAGATTACTCGATGAGGTTCGCTGCGCCTTCCTTGCCGGTCTCCACTAAATGCTCCATCGATTTCGATAGCGAGCGACAGGGACGCGCCGCCGTTATGTAAGGGAAAGTCACGCGCTTCTCTTTAGCATCGAAGCCAGTCTAACGTGCGACAAATCCGCGTGACAAGGCATGTGAGCAGTGAAGTTGACTTGTTCTTTGAACATCGAATCTAACTCTTGCACGTGTTTCCATTTTCTTAATAAAATATTACTTTTGTTTGCTTGTGATTTTTGTAAAACCGCAAGCTGTTTTGTGTGACACAGAACGACACGTTATTTGCAAATATTGAACCCAAATATTAATATTGGGCTTATTCCCGCCGAAGCCCATCTATTTGTCTTTCTTCTTCGCTTTGCTCCGCTCCATCGCACTCACTAAGCGTTCGTAATTTCGTAAGTCTGAGTTTGAAATTCGAAAATCAAATCGTCGAATAGCTTGGTGAGATATATTTCACTCGCTGCGGGTGTTAGCTGTACGAATCCGGGTTTCATATAAATCTCATTTTGGGGCTTATTTCAGTATTTCTGATTTTCCCGTTCGGTGTTCGCTTGGGTAGGTTTTAGGGTTCTTCTTCAAGGGTTTATGTGAAGAATTTGCGTCATCGTCTCTCTCCGCTCTATCTTACTTACATTATCTGTCTAACTTCGCTCACTCGGATTTTGTTGTTTACTGTAAATTTGGGATTTTAGGGTTTATCATCGGAAGTAGAGAGATTTGCAGTTTCTATGGGTTCCGCAATGGAGGATGAAAAAGACGCATTTTACATTGTCCGCAAGGGAGACATCATTGGCGTGTATCGAAGCTTGAGCGAATGCCAGGAACAAGCTGGATCATCTGTATGTAATTTCTCTCTGTTGCTTTGTTTATCATTCTTTCCAATTTTAAAATTAGTTTGATCTTATTCACTGTTGAAAATCGGATATCTCACTTTTTATATACATTTGATTTTGGGTTTGGTAAGGTTTCACATCCTGCAATGAGTGTCTTCAAAGGATATGGTTGGCCTAAAGGAGCAGAAGACTTGATATCGTCGTTTGGAATGAAGAATGCTCTCTTCTCTATCAACGCAAGTTATGTCAAAGATGATGTTTTTGGGAAACTCACTCCTTGTCCTCTTCAGGTTAGATGCAGATTCTTTACCTTAGTAACATTCTTCTATGAGAGACTCAAAAATGAAATCATATTGTAGGCCAAAATTGTTCTCATTTCAGTGAGATAGATAACTGTTGTTCAACACTCTCTTGTGACTTTTGATCTTACGTTTCAGCAACCATCTTCTTCCCAAGGAGGAGAGACTTTGGGCAAACCTTCCCTGCCTAAGAGATCGCAGAAAATGGTAAAAAAACAGATGATCTTTTCAGTCGTAGACACATAAATATTACTACATTTGCAGATGATTATGTATCACTCACTGAAGAGAGTGACGAAAAGTCTTGTGCCTCTGATGTTTCACTTCAGGAAAGTGATGATTCAGATAGATTTTCCTCGAGTCCTGCACAAAAGCATCTTAAAACAGGCAATGACATGGTTTCTCGGGTTATTCCTTCCAGCTTCTTGACTCGGACACCAATTCTTAAAGATGTAATACCACCTAACCGAATATATTTCTGTCATATGCTATGCTTTGCTTCTTTTTCTTTAATTACCTGAATCTATCCCTTGAACCACAGGATTCATGTACAATCGAGTTTGACGGTGCTTCGAAAGGAAACCCAGGAAAAGCTGGTGCAGGAGCTGTTCTCCGTGCTTCAGACAATAGTGTGCTCTTCTATTTACGTGAGGGTGTAGGCATTGCCACAAACAACGTTGCTGAGTATCGAGCTCTGATTCTTGGTCTCAAGTGTGCTCTTGAGAAAGGGTATAAAAATGTGAAAGTCCAAGGAGATTCAATGCTTGTCTGTATGCAGGTGAAGATAGACTTTTCACCGTATCCAAATCATTTTGAATGTGTGTGTGTTAGTATCTAAACTGTTTGGCGACAGGTTCAAGATGCATGGAAAACCAAACACCCTAAAATGGCTGAGCTTTGTAAACAGGCCAAGGAGTTTAAGAGGCAGTTTAAATCATTCCATATTCAACACATTGACAGGGTAAGCCAACTACACTTTTACAGGCTTATTTTGGTAACAGTCGCATGATTATTCGTTGTTAGATGATTCGATGTGAATTAATTTGCTAGCTGTCTGGTTTGTAGGAATTCAATTCTGAAGCTGATAAACAAGCTAACCATGCCATCAATCTCGGAGGTGAGTTAGTTTTGTCATCTTAACAGAATATGGATTCTATAATTTGTTAAGCTAACCTTAAGTTTTTGTATTTTCTTCTCCTCAATGTGTATCCAGAGGGTAAAATGGAAGTGATTCCAGGCGGCTAGAAGTAGAAGAGATTACTCTATATGGCATTTAAGTAATATAAATTCCTGCTTTCTTGTTTTTGGGATCGTATCTTTAACATGGCAAGTGTTAGCATAAACATCAACATGGTTGGAACATGTTCTTCTCTCTCCCTCTTGCTCTGTCCCCTGCCTGTTGAGAAATCAGTCACTCGTTCTCTAAGTTATATTCCAAAAAATACATCTATGTTTTTTATCTTCTTTTTCTTAATTTCTGTTCCAATAATTTTTCCAAATGATATTGTTTTTTGCTTTCTTCTCCCAATTCTCTATTATTAATGGTTCCTTGATGTTCAGAGCCTAGGGGCCCCCTAGTCAGAGACTGTACACATGTAAGGGTAGATTAGTAAATATGTGAGACCCAACTGAAATTTAAGATACGTGGATCATTTCTTCCCATTGAGCTAGAGAGGGAGTCAAGAAAAAAGATGTTAAAGCAAACCAATTTAATTTTAGGTAAATCACAGAGTTCTTCGACTCTTTTCTTGGCATCATAACTTACATAAGAACACTATGAAGATGTTTATTCCTACTAATTAATAGGTTATTATATAGATAATTAGTTGAGTATGAAGATGAACATGATGGACACATGTTCTGTACTCTAGAATTGCTCTGTCCCCAGCCTGTTGACATTTCAGTCACTTGTTCTCTAAGTTAAGTTCCGAAAAATGCATCTATGTGCAATGATTTTCCAAATAAGAATGTTTAATCCGTTTTGTTATTCAAAACCATAGTTAGTAACAGATTATAAACATGGAAGGCTAAATTGGTTAGTAGTAATGATGTGAATGAAACACAGAAACAGTTAAAACCAAACCGAAATTTATCAACTGGATCACAAAAAGCCAAACACAAGAAGATAAATTACAGAGGGGAAACAAACTATTTTTCTACATTTAGTGCACAAACTATTTACACTTTTTTTTTTCGTTCTCTTTTCTGGCTGTTTGTTGTTTGTATATTCGCATTAACAGTAAAAAGAAAAAGTGTAAAAAAATGACAAAAGAAAGGAAGCAAATTTTCTAAAGCTCACAGTTCCGACGATCTTCCACCGTTACTAATGGATCTCGGCTGCCGTAAGAGCTCAATCAAAGCCTCCGCCTTTTGCTTCGCTCGACTGGTTCCCGCCTGAGAAAGATCCACAAGCGGAGGAATCGCTCCTTCACGAGCCACCATGGTCCGATACACCACACTCTCCTCACAAAGATGAAGCAGTATCGACACAGCGATCTCTTTCTGTCTCTGTGTTCCCGCCTCAACGATCTCCACCAGCACCGGAACTCCTCCTTCCTCCACAAGCGACGGCTTCGATTCCGGCACCGACATTAGCAGGCTCATCACGAAAGCCGATTTATCCACCATGTTGGATCCGAAATCCGCCATCAATTCCACCAGCGGCTTCATAATTCCCGATTGCACGGCTCTGATTTTGTTCTCTTTCGCTGAGCACAGCGAGTAGAGAGCCGTCGATGCGTCTTTCTTCGCCCTGAATCCTCCGGTTTCTAGAAGGTTCACTAAGAGAGGAATCGCTCCTGATCTTCCGATTGCGACTTTGTTGTCCTCGAGCTGTGATAGCCGGAGCAGAGCGCACGCGGCGTTCTCTTTAGCCGTCGGAGTTCCCATTTTCAACGCCCTGACAAGCGGCTTAATCGCACCGGAAGACGCAATCAGCTCCTTGTTCTCGTCGCAGAGGGAGAGATTGAGGATCGCCGTGACTCCATACTCCTGAAGCTGAAGATCCGAAGAAGAGATGAGAGAAATGAGCGGTTTAATCGCGCCGGCCTTGGCGATTTTGATCCGATTTTCCGGTTTGTTCTTGGATAAGAGCCTGATCTCCATGGCAGCTTGCTTCTGCTCCTCGATGGAACAAGAGGAATCGAGATGAGCGACGAGATGCCCGATGAGATCATCGGAATTGTCGGAGGCGCAGGTGAGGAGGAGGCGGCGGCTCTCAGAGGAAGCAGTGGGAAATTCGCCGGATCTGTCGCTGTTACAATCGCTGAAAGCAGAGGAGTCGTCGTTGACACTTAAATCGCTGAATTTGCGGCCCATGTAGGTGAAGCCGGCGCGATTATCCATCTCCATGGATGAGATCAAATCTGTGCTTCGTACTCAAAGCATCAAAAACGTGGATGGTTAGGGTTTGTCTAACGAGTGTCGGGAATATTTGTTTGGACGGAGCCAAAGGAATGAGGGAGATGCAGAGAGAGAGAGAGAGAGAGAGAGATAGAGAGCGCAATAATACCGTATTAAAAACTAATTAATTAATGTTGATCGTTTTGCAAAATTTGGTTATTAATATTAAGGGCTTTATTGTCTTATGGGCTTTAATTTCGAGAAAATGTGGGCCCAATAAGTCATAGAAGTACAAGTAGGAGGTAGATTAGAAAGACGTGTTATCCGATCTTCTCTCCGATTGTATTCTCTCTCTCTCCTCCGAAGTCCGAAGAAGAAGCCAAGGTATGTGTTTTCTCTCTACTTCTTCTCCTCTTCAATGAGTTTCAATCGGAAGTCAAAATGTATCGCCGTATTTTGTCTACTCTCACAAAGTCATAGACTGTTAGGAGAATATACAAATGTTTTAGGATCGTTGTTAGGATCCGTTAAACAGTTGGATTTTGGTTAAGATGAGTTAAGCTCTACATGGATTTCTCTGACTTGGTGATCTTCGATCCTCAGTTCTCGTTTGGGCGCTTAGATCTCTTTGGTTCTGGCCCCAATTCGAGTAAATGATTGCTAGGTTGAACAGATCTCCTTTAAATTAACTAAAGAGTAAATTATGTTTCTCTCGACTTTTTGTGCTCAAATCCAATTAGTTAGTGATCATGTGTAACTTTACTCTAATAGTAGCTTTGTTTATGACTTTGTGGAAACTTTGATGCATTGACCTTTAATTGTTTTTGTTAAAATTTGTAGGATAAAAGATGGAATCGAGCAGGGGCCAGGGTGGAATCCAGCAGTTGCTTACAGCTGAACAAGAAGCTCAACACATTGTCAATGCTGCAAGGACCGGTATTTATATTATTTTAGTGCTTGCAAATTTGCAATCTGAATCTATACGTTAGCACAAATGGTCTTGTCTGATCGGGCTGGTTGTACTTGTCAACTGCATCTTTGAGAATTTTCCATGAGATTCATTATATGTTCTTGGAATTGATAAGGGACATTGTGTTCTTGGTTGCAGCAAAGAATGCAAGACTGAAGCAAGCCAAGGAAGAGGCTGAGAAAGAGATTGCCGAATACAAAGCTAAAACTGAGCAAGACTTCCAGAGGAAACTTGAAGAGGTACAAAACGGAACATCCTTTTTTTTTATTTCCCCCGAAAATGTAGAGTCCTTGTCTAATGGACCATACTGTGAATACAGACCAGCGGAGATTCAGGTGCGAATGTGAAGAGGCTGGAACAAGAGACGGATGCGAAAATCCAACAGTTGCAGAGCGAAGCATCCAGGATTTCCAAAGATGTTGTGGAAATGCTTCTCAAACATGTGACCACTGTCAAGAACTGAGATTTTATATCATTTTTGAGTTTCTGCTCTGTTTCTCTCCCTTGTGTGTGATGTTTCTGGAATTTGAGAGACTCATCATCATCTCATTATAAATTGTTGCTATTTATTGTAAGTTCTCTCTGTAAACTCTTCTTGTATTCATATCTTTGTGGTTGTAATAAAATTGAGAGCCATGGAACTCTTTGGATTATTAGTTTCTTTTTTTCAACCGTTAATTGATTTCAAACAATACTAATCTCAATTCGTAGTCGTCGTTAATACAATACAAGATTGGATGGACCTATGTCATAGCTTTCAAATCGATAGCTTGATGTGATTTTCCCTGGTTTGGGCTTTATTTACAGAGTCTCTAAGGAATCGAACGAGACTAGAGAAGTGAAGATCGGGATCTTGGGAGTAGGAGGCTATGATCAGCATCGAGAAACGTGGCTAGTGGTTCTTCCCTGGTGTGGCTCTTCACGCCGTTTACATGCTCAGTATATTCGACATTTACATTGTCATGGTAATATAAGAAAGATGGCGGTTGGACAGCCTGGAGATGGAGGATTCTGGCCTCGGCAGACTGCCTCGGCAGACTCTATGAGCTTGTCCTTGATAAGGAGCATAATTTCTTCATCAGAAGGGGCATCATTAGGCCCTCTGGTGACAATGCCAGTACCCTTGTTGGCCAGAATGGTTCGGCTTGGGAGAGCATAGATGATCTTGTCCACTGCCAGAGGAGACCTCAAAGGGAGTCCAATCAGATCATACCCGGTCAAGTCAAGTAACCAGGACGACTCCCGAGGGATCTTTGAGAAGTTCTGGTAGGCAAGGTTGTCTGCAGCTCTATGAGTAAGGATGAAGACATCAGTTTCATTGATTTCATAAGCTCCATATTTCCCATCAGGCGATACACGTACGGATTGTTTTCCAAACATAGGACTCGGAGTGGTTGCAGCCAAAAACACATTCTTTCCTTCCAAAGGAGCCAGTTTCACAGAAAATGGCTTCACAACTTCAATCTTAATAAGTAAATACTCTTGAGGCTCATCAACAAGGACGGTTAGTTTCAGTTGAGAATATCTTGTACTCCCCAGGGCCTTGGACAATCTTTCCCATAGATTTCAGCTTCCTCATCTGCCAACTCACCAAGGCATCGAAAAACGGATTCATATCGGTCACGAAGGACCGTCTCCAATCACAACCAAGCCCATATTCTCTGAGGTCATCAACAGCCGAAAGGGGAATGTACCGCGCCATATAAAAATGGATCGCGGAGTTGTCTTAGATTAGCACAATTCTGGCGCGAAACCTCCCACGCAGGAAGCTCTGAATACCTTATCTCCTCACGTTTCACTCCAGCCGCGAGTTTCTCAAGAACAATCCTGTACTCCTCCGAGTGCTCACGAGTATTCCTGTCCGCAGACTCAAAAATCGAATTTCCAGAACAGTGAAAGGCAAACGGAAGGAGCACATTAGCGCCTCTTAGTCTACGATAAGCACAAGCAAAGTCAGCCTTGGAAAGTGACAAGGCGTGCCCCATGTGTAGATGATCATTCATGTACGGCATAGGGAAGCTCGAGAAGAACTTTTCTCCTGCTTCCTTACGAGCTTCAGCCTTGAACACTTGCTCCTCCTCCCACAGTTTTGCTGCTTTCCGTTCAATCTCGACAAGACCATCTCTTCTCGCCAAGCTGATCGAATCAGATGCCATTGCCTGAGAAATTACCTTGTCGCGAAAGCAAGGAGAGGAGAATGAGGATGGTTTTTCAGCCTCTAGGGTTTTCCAATCTGAGACAGAGACATATACAGTATGGAGGTGATAATCGTTAAATCATTTTATAAGATTGGGCCGCTTTCAAATCGATTGGCTTTGGGCTCTAATCGATTAGCTCGCCAAGGAGAGAGAGAGAGAGTAGAGTAACCGAAGAGCGGCGGGACTTAGAGAGAAAATCTCAGTAGAAAAGTTTGTAGTCTGATGACCATGAGGAGTGACGGGATCTTGGGAGTAGGAGGAGGAGGAGGCTCTGATCAGAATCGAGCAACATCCGCCGTCGTCGCCGCGAGTAGACGGAGATGGCTAAAGAGGCGAGAAACGTGGCTAGTGGTTCTCGGCGTGGCGCTTCACGCCGTTTACATGCTCAGTATATTCGACATTTACTTCAAAACGCCGATAGTCCACGGGATGGATCCGGTGCCTCCCAGATTCTCCGAGCCGCCGGCGAAACGACTCCTTCTTCTCATCTGTACGTATTGCTACTTCACAGAAACTCATGAAATGTGTTTCTTAATCCGACTCTAGGCAGCTGTTGCTTTTTTTTAGTAGATCAGTAGTTGATTCTGCTTCCTTTTTATGCTCAACCTGTTATCAGCGGATGGGATGCGAGCTGACAAGTTCTTTGAGCCGGACGAGGAGGGCATATACAGAGCACCTTTTTTGAGGAATGTGATAAAGAATCAGGGGCGTTGGGGCGTGTCTCATGCTCGTCCTCCCACTGAATCTAGACCTGGCCATGTTGCTATTATTGCTGGATTCTATGAAGACCCTAGCGCTGTCACCAAAGGTTCTCTTCTTCTTCTTCTTCTTCTTCTTCTTCTTCAAGTTTGTATTTGTGCTTTGATTGTTACTCTCTGTGGAGGTTATAGCGGATTTGGGTTTTGCAGGATGGAAAGCAAATCCTGTTGAATTCGATTCTGTATTTAACCGGAGCAGGCATACATTTGCGTACGGGAGTCCTGATATTATTCCTATATTCTGCAGTGCATTACCTCACACTACTTGGGATTCTTATCCTCACGAGTATGAAGACTTTGCAACAGGTCTTGGAAATTCATTTGCCTTTGCGGTCAATTGTCTTACTTGCTTTTTGTTTTTTTATCACTAGAATGAACTGAGATGTCGTTTCTCTTGGTGTAGATGCCTCCTTTTTGGATGAGTGGTCTTTTGATCAATTTGAGGGCCTTCTCAATAGGTCTCACAACGATCCAAAGTTGAAGGAGCTCCTCCACCAAGACAAACTTGTTGTGTTTCTGCACCTTCTTGGCTGTGATTCCAATGGTCATGCACACCGGCCTTACTCGTCAATCTATCTCAATAATATCAAAGTTGTTGATAAGATAGCTGAAAGGGTCTACCATCTCTTGGAGGATTACTACAGAGACAACCGCACTTCTTATATCTTCACTGCTGATCATGGGATGAGCGACAAAGGTCTGCTTTATGCCTGTGTCCTCTTTCCCTTTGTTTCAAGTCGTTTCTTTTATTACCACTTTAGAAGCATACTGGGTAATTAGGGAGCTGGTTTGAGTACACAGTATAGTATAGTGGCCATTTGTTAATGACTTACATTTGCCACTCAAACTTGGTGTGATAATTGGAATGATCCCTAATCTGCTCATAGCTATCTGGTTAGGTTTCAACTGCACCTCCCATCTATATTCTTTGTTTCATTTTGAGCTATAATGATAGTAATGATACTGTGTGTGCTGGTTTTTACGTGTAGGAAGTCATGGAGATGGGCATCCTTCATGTACTGATACTCCATTAGTTGCTTGGGGAGCTGGGATTAGATATCCCAAACCAGCAACCGGAAACAGTCACTCTGATTCTGTTACTAGATTTATCGACAAGCATGCACATGATATGCCCACACCTTATGACTGGGGCCTTAACCGTGTTGAGAGAGTAGACGTCAATCAAGCTGACATAGCACCACTTATGGTTAGACTCTGCCCTCATTTTTGTGCTCTCAATCAAACAACTGAAAATGTGAATCTGTTTTTTACTTTTTGGAGCTCTTTGGTCTCACTTATTGTTACTCTCTGTAGTCAACGCTCTTGGGTTTGCCATCCCCTGTGAACTCGGTTGGAAACCTACCACTTGGTTTTATGAAGTTAAATGAGGTATGTTCTTATACTTGATATGAACTCTTCGGTTGTGTTTTCTGAAAAAGATGAGGCGGCGTTTTTAAATGCTACATTTCTCTAATAAATTCCAATTCCCTGTTGAGTGTTCGTGGGTGAGAGGTTAAAACTCAATAGGGAACTGTTTAAAATAGGAATAGAAATATAAGTAGTTTAAATAAGTACATTGCTGAGAGGTTGAGACTATGGTGCTTTATTCTGTATGTACTTCCAGGCTGAAGAAGTGGAAGCTGTGCTAGCCAATACTAAACAGATCCTAAATCAGCTACTTCGTAAATCACGTATCCTTTCCCTCATAATCTAATGCTAGCTTAACTTCTATGTTGAATGTTATAATTATGTACTGTAGCATCGCTTCTCATTCTTATAGCTTTTGACATTGTTCTTGCTATTGAAAGTTAGAATTATGTACTGGTAGAAAAAAAATATCATTATTCAAATAGCTTTCTTTCTGTGTTTGGATTTTGTTTCTGAGCATTGCTTATATTCTGCCCTTTGTGTCTTGGATATGGTCTCCTTGACAAGATCAGACATAAAAAGGTCGAATTCCTTGTTTTTCAAGCCATTCAAGCCGTTGGTCGACCATTCCTTATCGCTTAGTCAGATTGATGAGTTAATTTCTGCCAAACGTTATGACGCTGCAATGAAACTGGCTGTGGACCTCAGAAACTTGTCACTAGAGGGCCTTCATTATTTCCAAACGTACGACTGGCTAATGCTGATGACTGTGATCACCCTTGGATACACTGGATGGATGATCGTACTTGCCCTGCATGTCCTGCAATGTTATAGTTCACTGTCAGGAGATTTGTCCAGAAAAGGCCATTTATCTGTGCAGAAAAAAGACTCTGGAAAAGTAATGCAGATATAAGCTTATACTCTTCAATTTTCAGTTTTATAAGCCTACTCTTCTTCTTTTAGCCGTTCTTCTGTTCTCTTGGTTAAGCGTGGCTTTTTTGGTATAGTCTAACATCTTGTACTTTCTATGTGAAATTTCCGCCTATCTCATATATTTGGATCATTTTGGCGCAGGTATATATATCAGGCTGTCTGCTTATGGCAATTCTCTCTGCGCTAAATTTGGTGGAGCACTCTCCTCCTTTGTACCATGCGTATATTGGAATGACAGTATTTCTCTGGACACAGATTTTTAGTGAGTATCGACTAATAAGAGGATTGTGGAGATATTTGAAGGAGAGGAAGGCTGACTACTTCATCAAACTTCTATTCGCTGCAGCCGTAGCAGTTGTCATTGTAGAATTATTGGTATGTGTAATTGGATGGTCCAATATGTTTTTCTGAGGTGGAGACTTTTATTTCTCTGATCGTTTGTTCTTTCAACCTCTTGCAGGTTCATAGCTTCACTGATAGAAAGCTTTACACTTGGTTTTTCTTGATAGCTGGTTTTGTGGCTTCGATTTTGCTGCATATTTCAATTCCTTGGAGATCTGGGATACCAGTTTTTGTCTGTATATCCTGTTGGTTCCTGTCTGTCTTCACTCTGATGCCAGCTGAAATTCCTGATAACAATAACCTAGTGTAAGTTCCTTTTCCCGCTCTCTCTTGCGTGAGCTTTTCCGGGTGAAATCATAAGTTAACAACTCATCTTTTCTCTCTAGCGTCAATATGTAGATTGTAAAAGCGTCACTGTTTCATGTTGGCACTATCTGTTGGTTGCAGAGTTATAAGTGGAGCTATCATCATAGTAGTAAGCCTTGCTGCGAAGTGGCTAGACACACATGCAGAAGGGAACAAATTTTGGCAGAGTATCACTTTTCATGAAAGCAGGAAGCCGATGTGCTCCATGCTGTATTGCATACAGGTATACATTTCTACATATAAATCTAAAGATTTTGGTTCTCTTCTGATGGATCACCTTTCCATGGTGCTAATGGAAATAGATTCTTTTGGTTGGAGTTTCGTCGGTGATGGTGTTTCTGTCGACAAAGCATCGAACACAGAATCAAGAACTGCATTCGTCACACCAGCTCATAAACTGGTTAGTTGCCGGTATGTCCTCAGACCTCTGTTCTGTTTACATAATGTGTTTTCTTGTGTCTAAGTTATTGACCATCTTCTGCCTTGCAGGTTCTTCAATGGTTCTTCCATTGTTTTCAGGGAATGGCATTCTTTCACGATTAACTTCAATATTTCTTGGTTTTGCACCTCCATTCCTTCTTCTGTCAATTGGGTATGTCTCTTTACAAGACTTGGCTAAAACTGAGAGATCACTTGTGTTCTGGTCTCATGTTTCCCTGGTTTGTTTGCAGGTATGAAGCTGTGTTTTACAGTGCTCTGGCCGTTGTACTCATGGGATGGATATTGTTTGAGAACGCTTCTCATCATTCTAGCCAAGTGAAAGATTCAGAACAAAACACGGAGGAGCATGTCACCATTGGAAGTGACGAGAGGTACTTGCAGCTATCTGATGTGCGGATTCCTTTGATTTTTGTAAGTCATCTTGTCTCCTTCCTTGATCCTATTCCTATAACGATTCGAGGATAAGAGCTCTGTTACATCTATAAATGTAGCAGGTATACGATATGTATGTGTTGTATATGACTTGTGTTCTCTGTAGATGGTTCTATTCAATGTCGCTTTCTTCGGAACTGGGAATTTTGCAAGTATAGCAAGTTTTGAGATATCATCTGTATACAGGTTCATCACAATCTTCAGCGTAAGTGTCTGCATAAAATCAAGAATCTCATCTGTCTTTTCTTATAATAATTGTGGTTCCATAAGAATCTAACGTGAATTGATTGCATGTCTACAGCCATTTTTGATGGCAGC